CTGAGACTCTCCAAGGGCAGCATTGCGCGTCTCGTTGCCCTTCGTGACTAGACGGCTTTTTTTTTTTCTTAAAAAAAAAAAGGCTGACGCTACTGTGTTTCTCACGAGCACCACCCAAAAGGGAAACTAACCTGGCGCCGCAATGAGCGGGAGCACCTCGGGCACTACAGAAGCACTACCACTAGCGACGGATATGCATTGGGAGCGGAAAGAGATCTTGATGCGACCTCACAGGCTCTCTGGTGACCGATCTCCTGTTTTCCGGATCCAAACACACCACTTTGGTTGGTGGTCTGCCTTGTTGTCGCAGGGAGACGAATGGAAGGAGGTCAATATTCCGTCCGCTCGGCCCAATCAGTCGACCAAGGCCCGACCCCGCGTTGACAGCTCCTGGGGACCCAGGAGGCATTAGCAGGTAAACACGGTCCAATCAATCTGATGCGGCCCCAAGAAGGATCTCACGACAGGCCAGCCCAGCCCGGCATGGCTGCAGACGGGAAGAGGCACAGGTTTCGGGGCGTTCTGGCCACAGAAGTTCTGCTGGCTGGCAGGGCTTGTTTATTTTTGAGCCTCCAGGGCTGTGAACACAGCACGGCTTGGGCTTCTAGACGTGCTAGAATACTGTGCGACTGGCATTGAGTGCTCAACCAGATGAAACTTCAGACGGCGGCGTCCCAATATACCCGTTGAACATTCACCAGCGGCCAATCTATTTTTACCCGGCATCGGTCAATCAAGTCTGGGAGGGTTTGTCCTGGTCTGGTCTCTTCGACAAACGCATAGTGCGATCCGGTGACATCCCCGTTTCGCGATCAGACGGTCACACCCTCATCATCACTCCTTCGGGCATATATGCCCAGCCCCGGCCGTGCGACGTTCAACCGCGGTCGTCGGTCGGACGAATTGGTCGGAGGTCAGCCCGTTACAGGGCAGCCGGTCAGCCGGGCAAGTTGATCCTTGGCTTACGTTTCCGTCAATCGACGGGGGCCATCAACACAAAACTAGTTCGAGATTTCGCAATCTCGAAAAGTATGGCCGCTGGGGTTCGTATTTTGGTCACCCCCTCGCTCCGGGCTCCGGGCCCGGGGTTGGGCTCGATCAACTTGAAACAACCCACCAACAAACAGCACACAGGGCGGGGGCGGCAGGCCACTGGATGCCGTAACCCACCTGCAGATCCCCGAGTTGTTTCAAGTGCCACACCCTGCAAAGGTGCTGGAAAGGGCGGAACGACGAGATCGAGTAACCCGCCCTATGGCACTGGCAGACTAATGGCCAGCGAGGGCCACCGAAGGCTCCATCGAACGTCCCATTGATTCCAGAGCCTTGTTTGGTGGGACTCCTGAGCCGTCGACCCGCAAAAGGGGCAGGTAGCTGAATCTCTAGGGGTCCACTGCACGATGCTCCGTACACTGTACCACCTTGGGAAGGCCGGATTCCAGACCGCCGGGGAAAGCTGGGGTCCTGTCTGCTTTGGGCAGAGCCACTGGGCTAGCCAGCACGTGTCTTTTGTCTGGTCTTGTGTGTTGAGGCGGCCTGAGGTGAGCAACGACACACATCAGACCGAGACATGGGTTCACCGGCCGTCTCTCCCGGGCTCGGGGTCGCCATTTCTCAACTGTATACACAGTAGTGTACAGTCCCGCCGCCGCGGCGATGTTGAGCCCGTGTGCATCCACGCCCCACCCTCGTCTTCAACGCAATCAACTTTGTGGACGAAGGGGCCAGCCAGCGTCCCACGGCAGCGGGTGCTCACACACAGCAGGTTTCCAGGGCTCGAATGCATTTCGCCCGAACGCGTTGCAAGGTGACGATTCCGAAAGTCTCGCCGTTTCATTGCAGGAAGACATGCGGGGTTGCTCTTTCTCGTATCGCACACGCAGAGCAACCCTGCCTGCCTGCCTGCCTGCCCGCGCCGGCCCTGCTCAAGTGTGCATGTTGCTGGGCGATTCCTGTCCGACACGAGGAAAGGAACTGTACGGACCCTTGCGGTCAGGCCAAGGATGAAGTCATCTCGTTCCCAAAGACCTGGCCTCGTGAAAGGGGCCCATGGATGTCATTGCAATATCCCGAAAGCCAATTTCGATCGCAATAGCCAGGGCTCAAAGCGCCAGCCGGCCCGCACCGGATCGGATCAGATCAGATCAAGTTGTCTGGGTGTCTGCATCTTTCTGCCAGCCCACGCTCACAGCGCTTTGGGGTCGCGACTAAGTATCTAGATGCACTGAGCTGCTTCTGGGGCCCATCTGTCGGCCGGGCAGCTCCCTGCATCACCCATTCGCCTCTGGGTGGGTTGCGGAACCGGTTCGGGAGCACCCTCGTCAAGGCTCGGTATGGAGAACGGGCGTTGGGTTGCTCATGATCTACGCTCTGGCACGACACCCCCGGCGGTAACGACTGGGCTCTAACAGCCGAGCTCAGCATATAAAGTCTCAGCTTTCTTATATTTCTTCTTGTTTCCTTTTGGTTCTTCTGCTGCCTGAGTGCCTGCAGAGCTTCAAGAGCCTGCAGTTGTCGCAGCAGCGCGGGTCTTGGGCGATCAGCGTGCCCTCGCGGTGATCGAACGTCTCGCCCGCGTTGCTCATCCATGCAGCAACGCGTGTTTCCAACGCGGCGAGGGGACTCTCCGTGTGTCGAGAGAAGCCCACGGAGGTCTTCCTCTCCCCCATTACACGCGTTCGCTTTGTGTGTGCAATGGCGGATCTTATCAGTCGGGCGCCCTATAAATGTGAGCTGTGTGCCGTGCCGGTGGTCGATGGTTTTGTAGAGCTCCCGCCCTCTCCACCCCATTGAGACGCTTCTGGTCCCCGGGGAGCTGTCGTTGATCTTCCTGGGCCCCTGCGATGGGTTGTGCTTTTTGTTTTGTTCTGTGTTGCATGATTATTTCGGCAATGGGAGGGCTGAGCGTCGTGTTGCTTCTTGACTTTCGGTGTGCGGTTATCTCATCCGCCCTTGCACATACCGCAGCGGTGCACAGGGATGCAGATCTCAACGCGTCGCATGAGACGACAACTCTTTTCTCAACAGCTTCTCTGACCGCCTTCTAATGTTGGCTGATGTCCATGTCTGTGCTGAGACCCTGGGGAAGGAGCGGTGTCTTCGAGCCGCGCGGATTGGGAACCGAGAGGGTGAGAGTTTGGATGACGACTAGAGCAACTTGTCTCGTCTCACACAGCGTCTCTGTATCCTCCGTGCGTCCGGCTTCTCTCTTTCCTGTTTACGGTCTTTTGGGATGGCAAGGAGCTAGAGTTAGCTATGGCCATGTCCGGTCCTGCGAGCATCTCGCAGGTCTACGGCTAGGCCTTTGACGTTCACTCAAGCGAGAGGCGTCAGCTGGCAACAGCGAAAGCACGAGCCTGGCGGGATTGGTCTCCAGCTCCTGGGATAGTTGACATATCCATTGAACGGTAAATGGGCATCGTGCCACATTGAAGCCAGTGGAAAGACCCGAGTTTCATTGCCCTTCGCCGCTTGACGGCGCGAACCCGGCCTTGCTGTCTGCCGGAAGGTCATCGCGGTGTGCCCTGAAGGTGTACCGACGAGGGCTATTGTGGAGGAAAAGGAGAGCTCCCGCCTCCGTGCTGGTCTTTTCTGGGTTCTAATCATGTCCATACCATGGTAGGATCTTCGCACCAGTGCCTAACTCTCAACACTGTGCATGCCTTTGTGTTCGTGCAGAGAGGCTCTTAGCGAGGATAGACAGGAACCACAATTTTCAAGGTTCCTGTTATAGGCGATGATACACGGGAATTTCTCGACACGGGTTGACGTCCAATGCTGCAGGGTTAAATTAAGTCGTTCACGGTTTAGCCTTTCATAGACCACTATGAAGATTACAATTAGCAAAACTGTTTAACTTTCACTTTACTTCGAGGCATGGTAGCAGGCTCATGTCAACTCTTCGGCAGGACAGTCGGCGCCGGGTCCTCGAACGAGGTCATGAACAACGGCCGAGGAGCTCCAGAAACGGGAAGTAAGCACCGATAGTGATGATTCCATTCTACCATGGAAAGAGACTTTCCCTATCCTTTAAAGTCTTTTTGCTCAAACGCTTGATGGTAGCCATATCTCAATCCTCGAGACGTCCACATTCCACAGCTTGGATTGAGTTTCGTATATCAGCCGTGGCCAGCGTTCCTACCGGCCCCGTGGTGCATGGCCGCGGAAACCTTGGAAGCGTAGCGTCGTGTTAAACGTGCGTTGAAACAGCAACTTTTACTCCAAGAGCACATCATCCGTCACGTCCACAGATTCGACATGAATCGATAGTAGCAGCAGTTCCACACCGGATAGCGGTAAGTGTTCTTTCACGACCGCTACGTTGCACACACATACAACAGGCACAAGCTCGACTCTGACGCTACCTACATTCTTTGCTGAAAGCTGAATCAATCTTGTCATGGGAGGCGATTTTGAAGTCGACAGAAGACCCCAAAGGGCTAACCGAAACTTTAGAAAAAAGTCTACCTAGACTAGACATTATACTAAAAGCATTTGGCTTTTCGTGCGGTCTTCAATAGTATGACCAGTGCTGTTTCGCCAATTTCGTCGGTACCAAACCATATGAGGACTCTACTCTGTCTTTCCTTGTCATCATCTTTTTCCCTTTCCCTTTTTTTCCGCCTTCTATCTGTACACGACACACTTACTCGCACTCGCTTGCCTATTCGTGTCTTGGATCTTTTGCGATCCATATGATTACTTGATTACATTATATGAGCTGATGGACTCAACTCACTGGAGTGTCTTTTCAATGACAGGATGAGGCTATCATTGAGCAGGTAGTGTGAGCGTGAAGCAAGAATGGTAATTCTAGCTAGCCCAGCGAAAGTGATCGCAGCAAAGTCTCGAACTTTGATGGAACAATCAAAGTGGCTTTTCTAATCCACATACCTATAAAATGTATGTAGCAGCTTTATATAATCAGTGGTAAATGCTCAAGACCCAGCATTGAAAAAATACAATGCCAATAACAGTGCACAGAGAATACAATACGTCTGCGGGCACGTGGATTTAGCCACATTTCGTGTAGAAATGAACAATTGAGTAGACTTGAAAATGGAGAAGCACAATTACGACCCATACAATGTGTGTGAAAAGTACACGTGCCATATGGTCGACGGTCCAGATCGCATCACTCAGTCCTTGAGATCTGACAGTGATACTGGGGACTTGAACACCATACCCTTTGGAACCTCTTTCCACTGTTTACTCTCATCGAGAAGTGCCTGGCACCCATCCCACTCCTTCCGGATAGCTTGCGCATGCGTTTCGCTCCTCGGAGTGATCTTTGCAGGGAAAGGGCTTGGCTGCACTAGGAACCCCTCCGTGAGGTCGTCCTGGTCCGGCACGATCTCTCGTCCCTGAGCATCAATAGCCTTCTCAAAGTTGAAGGCCCACAGTAGCCTCGAGATGCTCAAGAATAAGGAACGGTCGGCGATGTGCATGCCCTGGCACACTCTGCGCCCGGCTCCGAAGACGAAGTGATCTCTCTGGCTGGGGTCGCTGTTCATCGCTGCCTCCGCCGATGTCTGGTTGTCACCTTCATAGCGAGAGGGATCGAAGGCTCGTGGATTCTTGAATCTATTCTCGTCCATGTTGATGCCCCAAACATTGTCTGAACTTTTGTTAGCTTCTGTCCGGCAAAGAAGAAAGCGGATACCATGATTAAAGCTTACACATCACTGAGGCGCCTTTGGGGATCTTATAACCCATGTACTCATCGTCCTGGATGACAGCGTGCGGCATCCCGAGGATGGCTGTGGGCATCCAACGCAGTGTCTCCTTGATGCAGGCGCGGATATAAGGCAAGGAGTCCCAATCGTCGGTATTTGGGAGCCGCTTGTTGCCGCAGACGCTGTCTAGCTCTAATTGAGCTTTCTTCTGGGCCTCTGGGTATAGAACCATAGCCTGGACGAAGCCACTGAGAGTAGAAGCCGTCGTATCTGAGCCAGCTTCGTGAAGGGATCCAACAATGTATCCCGCTAGATCATCAGAGAAGCCATAGCTCTTTTGGCCTTCAGCTACGCCGACGCTGAAACAAGGCTGTGTATTGTTAGCCTCTTCATGTAGTACCAGCCATTAACACCAAGAGCCTCACCATTGCTGTCCCCTTGCGGATCTTTTCCTTTGTCTTCATCCAATGGCCCACGTAGAGTGCTTTCTCCTTCTTGTGTAGCTGCTTAGCATAGCGCTGCAATGGAAGCATGGACTCTGGTAATCTCCTTAGAATTGGAAAAACGTCCAAAAAGGCCGCAGTACCCGAACGCATGACCTCGCTCCACTGCTCGACGCATTCGTACAGCCTCTTGAGATTCTCATCATGAATATCGATCGTCCTGAAACCAAATACCATTTGTGTGGTGAGGGAGTTGGTGAAGCGGCGGATGTGGTCGGCAAAGAAATGTGGCTCGTCTAAAATGCCATTCAACATCTGCTTGCTCTCGAGGTCCTGGTATGGCACGTATCCTTTCGATGCGTTTATGTGCAGGACGGTATGCATAATCTTGCGTATCATACGCCAGGTTTCGCCGTATTTCTAAAGCCACTCGGGGTCAGACCTGGATGATCACATTTGAACTCGAGCGAAGAATACCCTAGGGTAGCATCAGGAGGGTCAACTAGGATACATACCATGAGCAGTACACGCAGGTACCCGCTCACTAAGTTGCCAAGGTAGAGCTCAGGACGAGAGGAGTAGATATTGCTGCGCTTATCCAGCAAATCCTTCACAGCTTTATCGGACGATAGTACTATCATGATGTCCGTTCCGAGTATGAGAGAGTAAACAGGCCTAGCATGCGAACTCAGCGATATTCTCTGCTATCAAACGCTGCTTAGGCTTTGCAAACATACCCATATTCCTCCGCCCACTTCTTGAACTGATGGTGTGGGCTCTTGGAAGGCATTTGGTGCAGGTTTCCAATTATGGGCATCGTTGGAGGCCCGGGAGGGTAGTTCTTTGGCCTACGGCCGACATTGCGTAGCTTATAGATGATGGCGGCGGCCACAATGATAAGCGGGATGAAGGTCGTGTACGCCATGATTCTATTTGCCTTTCAGAAGCTTTTCACATGTGTGTAATCAAAATTTCAGGAGTTTAATGCTACAGAAATTGGGAAGAAAGGGGACGTGGGCGGGACGAGGTAGTACTACTAGTAGTTGTCCTTCAGGCGCAAATCGTTACTTCTTATTAATTTGACTGCAGCCAAGGTGCCTTGTGAGGGGCCTCACACCATTCTGCCCCTCATTAAGTCTCAGAATGCCACGCATCTCACGGCAGACCGCACTGTTGTACTGGTGCTATTCTGACCAGGATCGTCATGCAGCCGGCCGTCCGGAACCAGCGGCCGACTACTACTCACTAGGAGTTCCAATGATACGTGTCTACAGAGAGGAGGACATATTAATTTGCTGTGTGCAACTTATCATGCCGTGAGATCCCCATCAAATGGCAAGGACATTGAAGGTAAGCCGCAGGATGACTTGTCCCTCGGGTCAGAACGTGGCCAATCGCTCTCTTAGCTATGTTGAACAAGCAGAATTGACGTTGTAACCGTATCATCTGACAGCTGCAATCTCTCCGCTTCTGTATCTGATTTGTCGTGATGGCGCGGCACCACCTCGACTCTGCAGATCAAGCGCTTACTAAGATGGTAGCATGGCAATTGTAGGGGCAATATCACGTTTGCCATAACAGCCATGATCCAGAGATAAATTGGATTTGCTGAGGATACGTCCGGAACGTGCGCCTCTTCCCAATCCACACGTCCAGCGGCGCGCCGAATGCCATGTTGTAAGTTCGCTCTGTGAGATGTCATTGCTCTAGATCCCCACATGATCGTGGTGAGAAAATAGTGAATTGCCTGCTGTAGATCGCGCTGAACACCGCAGCCATGCACTAAACTCAAGCCACGTCGTCTCATGAGCGGCCAAAGACCTACCAACTTTGATCCGGTGTCCGCTCCGCAGCTACAGAACCTGCGTGATGAATGGATGGGAAAGCCCTTGGAGCTCACATGGATTGCGGAACCTGTAAGATACCGTAGCGGGATGCCAATATATGCTGAAAGCGTTCCGACTGCGCAGCACTTGCGAAGTGCGCGGCGGTTGATATCTGAGGCATCCTACGGAAGGTGGAAACCGTTTAAAGCAGAAAGATTATGTACTGAAATTTTAAAATGTCAAGCTACAAAGACTCTGCATTGATACGTGGCATCTCACAGATCCGTGTTTCATCAGAGTGCAGGAAAATGATAAGCATTTCAACCAGATCATAATATTCTTTAACGTTCTACTATGATTTCAGAAATACGTGGACCTTGGGGTGGGTATGTATTGAGTGCGCCAGTGTCACGGCCTCGAGATGCGTTGTTTTGGAGATAAAAATGCCCCCGCTACTGCTGCCAATGTGCAGCCTGAGGTGGAAGACTATGGCCCTCCGCAAAACCTGAAGCCTCCGCTCCCAGCCTTCTCACGATGGGATCTCGACTTCCTTGGCTCTCTATTCTACGTACCCGATCTCCACCAAGGTGCCCCAAGGCGACATTCTCCGAGTCCCGTGTTTGTCCTCGGTCTGTCTTGCTAGTCGCCTTCACCAGTCGCAACCACCAACCTCTCTTTCCCAAATCTGTTGAGTCGTTTCCGGAGATACCAAGTTCACCACTGTTACCTCGATCTGCTATCTGGCTCCCTCGAGGCTGTAAGCTATCTACCAGGCGGTTCAATATCACAAACTCCATCTTGAGTTTAATACCGTACACACACGGTTTGAATGCCCCTTGTAGATAGAATAAATCCGCATATTGTATTCCCAAGAGGGTGATATCCAAGGCGATAATAAACAGATTGATGTAGATTAGTTGATACAGTAGGGATATCCTGTCGGCTGTAGACTTGGACGCTGACCCATGTATCGTCCCTCGAAGCAGTCTGGTGCGGCTCAGAAACTTGCGCGTTTGCCAGACGTACAGAATGCTCAGAGATGTTTCTTGCACGAAAAATGCTGTTGTCTGGAGACGGTCCCAGATGGGATTGATACGGGACAGGTTCGGGTCTATGTTGGTTGCTTGCTGTGCGAATGTAACCATTAGATGTCTACAATACAAGACTGAAATATTGGGCCAGTGACTTACGGTCAGGATACCCATGATAATAGTTGGTACCGAGAAGACGACCGAATCGAAAAGCAAGATGACTGAAATCCAGCGCAAAGCTGAGTTGTGCTGCCTTTACAAGCCATTCTAAGTTTAGACGCCATACCAGATCCCTCATTTTCTGGGGCCGAGGGTGAACTCACATGATCAGATGCAAGCGCGAATATAGGACCCAGCTCTGCGGCACTACCATAATAAACCAGGTTAGATATATCATAGTAATCGAGCCTTTCAGATTTTTCCACACCCCAAAGTCGGCTAATATGATGAACAATGACTGTAGGATGGAACCCCAAGAGCACAGGGCGCATGACCAAAAGTAAAGTCCCCGCCACTTCTTGAAACGCATAAAGAGCGAAAAGTTGATTTCAACTCCGATATACCATGAGATTCCGGAAAAAGCGGCCATGGTCATTGCCATAGGCAGATCATTATTGATGTCAGGTGTTGTGCTCATTTTGCTTGGCTAGACGGGGAAGCTGATTCGGGCTGAGCAAAGCGATTGTTACCGAGGAGCACATGTAAAGTTGGAGTCAGCAGAGTAAATATCACGGGCATCGAACTGAGTCTGACGCCCCGAGACTTCCACTGTCGGTGGGGGGAAAACACGGCCAAGGGTGGCACAGCATTAACAGGCCGTCGCAGTGAGCCGAGTTCACAGGCACTCAGGCACACACGACAAATTATTCCACAATCGCAGCCTGCGGCGCAGAAGGTGACACGACATTCACTAGCGTGTAGAAAGGATGGTCTCATGGAAATTCAGGTAATATCCGCCGCGGATCTCGCAACCACAGAGGCGGATAAGGCTTCGACGTATGCAGTATGATGTGGAGCGTAGTGCATGGCCACCCACCTAAAGGTCGCACACATGCAGCAGTTACTCAGCAGCCACATAATGTGACAAGTCGTACTCATTCAATGAGCAGGCCAAGTCATCATTGATTCGCACAACGAAACGGAACTGCACCAAAACAAGATGATCGGCCCACGAGTCTGTACAATTTTGGAACTTGGCATGCATTGTGAAATACCATTTCTGGAGTGGAAACCCGCGTTGTTTCCTCCCCACCCAACAGCCAGCAGCCAACAGGAAGTATTTGTGTTTCATGCAGGCGTTGGTTGCTTACTTGCATCAGGCGCCCGCTGCCCCGCGGGGCTCCCAGCCTTCCTTGGCCATCTCGAATGACTCCATTGTGAAGGCCGGGGAGACGGTGCATCCCACCAGCGTCCACTCCCCCAGACTCTTTGCGTGCTGCCACTGTCCCAATTCGACGATAGCCTGAGGTCTTTGTCCCTATAGGTATGTTAAACTGAGGTCAGCCCGCTGTACGATGGTCAAGTCCGGAAGGACTCGGAGTGACCTAGAGGAGTCTCATACGCACATCCCACAGGTCGTTCCCCAGAACAATGTCCTTCAGGGGCGTCCCGTCATCCCAGGAAAGAGAAAGCTTCAACGGAGCACCCGCATAGTAGTGCCAGACCTCGGTAGCATCTAGAACTCGATGCCAGTGAGAGAGTCCTGACTCGCCCTCAAGGAGGTAGTAGATGCAGGTACCGGGGGACCGGTTATCTGATGACAGATGAGGATCCCGAAATGTCTCGATGAAGTAGCCCTTTTCCGGGTGTGGCTTGAGGTTCAGGGCAGCAATGACATCTTTTGCAGAGCGGGCGTTTGCCATTTCGAAAATTTCTTTGCCTGAAATTGAGGCTGTTGATTCGCACCTACGTGCACAGTGTGGTGGAGGAAGGCCGATGAACAGAGTATCTGAACTCAATACGCCGATGGAAGACAGGTCGACGCTACCCTCAATTCCAAGAAAGATATGTTGGCAGTCTTTCGGCCAGGCTTTAAGTACTGGAAGGTGTGGGCCTCAGTCGCTCAGTGATACAAACACGTGTGGGCCGCAGTCACTCTCCAATGGGTGAAAATGCCGAGCTCCCCTTGCTGGTCACCCCTTCCAAGGTTGTTGGCCACCCCTATAGGGCCTGCATGACCAATTCCCGGGTCTGAATGTGGCAAATTGGCTACAAATTGACAAGGCCGGCTTCGATCTGTTCAAGCCATTTGTGAATTTTGTAACACCTTGCTCTCGGCTCGGTCGGAACGCAGGTAGTGAGGTATTGCGTAGTGTCGTGACACCAGATGATAGCAGGCTGGCAGGCTGGATCCCAATGAAGGCTTTGAATGTTTCGCAGCTCACTGCACGCTAGGTGGCCTGCTGAATTGATATTCATACCCCAGGGTACTGACTTCAGGACATGATTGTGTCACGTACTTGTGTTGTCCAACCAATAAGCCTCCAAGGTACTACCACGGCGGAATCCTTCCTGTAAAGTAAGCGAGTTTCTATTCCGTACACGTCCGAAGCCTGTAAAGTAAAAGTGCGCAAAACTTTTGCAACCAAGCTGAAATGTTCTTCTGGCTGAAGAATACGGCCCACTAAAAAATGACTCTGGAAACTTGTGTATCTCATGCTCACGTTCAAGAGGCTATTTTCTAAATACAACTTGATAGCTGTTGCTCGACAGCGGTTGCAATCCGCGGAGATCTGTTGGTGGAGACTGTCTCACGGCAAACAGCCAACCAGCTCAACAAGATTCACGAGCCGGAGTCCAACTGCACATGTACAGGGACTTGGTACGAAGTACACCCAACAAGCCCCTTACTTAGGCAAGGGTGATTGCAGGGGGCATCTTGCAGTAGCGTTCTATGTACTCTCCAACATTGAACCCCACCGAAGACTACAAAAGGCTACCTGGTCACGGTCTCCCTATCATCTTTCGGGTGAGCAACCTAAGTATGCAAACGACAGGTACTACTCTGCATGTCAGATCCCATCCACACGGCGCCAATTCAACCCACTCACGACAGCTTCGCCGCATTCACAAGTAGCAGTGTGGTCCAGCACTGTCACTCTACATTTCCACCCAAGACAACTGATGTGATCTGCGCTGCGCTGCCCTGCCAAAGTAGGCATTTACCGGCCCGATGACGCCGCTGCCGTACTACTCCCTGCTTCCAGGCCTTTTGTCCTTGGCAAATATTCCCAATGTCGCTCTCTGCGGACCAGATTTCCGGGCCCAGCCCTGGACGCCTATCAGCAAGCGCTCGGTCGAGGAGATTATCGAGAAACTGGGCCTGATCCCCAACGTCGAGAAGGGCTACTACGTTCAGACATTTGAGGACCCCTACACCATCCCGTACCTGAACCGCTCAGCGAGCACGGCTATCTATTACCTCCTCGAGGGCAGTGCCGGAGACTCGGTCTGGCACCGCGTAGACGCAGTCGAGGTCTGGCACTATTATGCCGGCGCGCCCCTAGTCCTGTCGCTTTCATTTGACGACGGGCAGCCTCTCCGGGAGCAGACCCTCGGCCCGGATATCTTTAACGATCAGGAGCCGCAAGTGGTCGTCCAGAAGAGCGAGTGGCAGTCTGCGAGAAGCTTAGGGGAGTGGACACTAGTGGGGACAACAGGTTGGTTCTCTCATCACCCTGAAGCCAGGGGGTGGCGGCGAAAATATGATGATGGTGTCACTGACATGTGCACAGTTGCTCCTGGATTTGTGCCAAGTGGCGTTGAGCTTGCGGACCCCGATTGGACCCCAAATACGGCATAATTGGTTCATCTGTGAATACAAGCAAGGTCTGCAGGGGCTAGGGTAGCTGTGCTAGGAGTGACAAAATACGGACTGGCTTCTCGAGAGGGTTTCCACACAATACCTTCTAAGTTCCTTACTAGAATCACGTACATTATTACAACTTGAAGAGCACAGCCACATTTCAAAAAGTTGTTAAATCTCATGACGAAGTCCCTGTAGATTGCCCACCTCTAACAGGTTGTCTTGAGGAAGTTGTCCTAGGAGATGACTGGAGGTCATCCTTCTTAGGAATGGGGGATGCAGATACTGTGGACAATAAAGAAGTGAAAACCGAGAACCGCAAACTCGTAGTAATCAATGCCGTAGTCACGCAAGTCATCCTTTCAAACATCAGTTCTCAAAACATCCGCAATGCAATGAGCGATGCTGTCTTTTTTTTATATTTTTTTATTATGATATTCATCTTAGAAACAGTACCTCGCACTTCAGACTCATATCGCCAAAATGTGACGGCCCCGAGGGGGGGGGGTTAAAACCTGCTCGGCAGGGCGTGGATGACATCGATCTCTCCTCATGCAGGGCGCGGGCAAGGACCTCGGGATTTGGGGTCATGGCATTCACGCACTTCTCCCACCTGTCGCAAAACCCAACCTACAGTAGTTCAACTCGTCCGATTTGGCAGGCGACAAGAATCAACCCAACAATATCTGCCCATCTGGAGAATGCCGTCGACTGAGGGACTTCCCAAGCCCCCGCGCGTGACTGGCGGCTGTCTCTGTGGGTCTGTCCGCTACCGCGTGGACTTTCCCCATGACTTTGACTTCGTCAAGAACGTAAGTTAATTCATCCTCCTCTTTTCCAGTCTGCTAATGATGACATGAACAACAGACGGGCACCTGTCAATGCACCCAGTGCCGTCGCAACTCAGGCTCGATCTTCTGGTCCTGCATCCAGGTCCCCAAGGCGTGCCTGAGGTGGGCCACCGTGAAAGACGCGACCTCAACTGCGAGCAAGGACGGAAGTTGGTCGTCATTTGAGAGTCCGCCGTCTGCACTGCGGTTGTACTCGGCCACCACCGGGGTCGGACGCGGTTTCTGCGCAAACTGCGGTGGCTTCCTTACTTGGATGAGACACGAGGGCTCCATGGTCGATATCTCTGCGGGAACCATCGACCCGCTGTATTTGATCGGCCCCGATGATGACCTCGAGGTGGGAAAAACGGACGTTGAGGGCCAGGAGGTTCCCAAGGGAGGCTATGGGGCCGTTCTTGCGGGTGGTCATGGTAGAAACCTTTGGTGTCGCAATGAGATCAAAGGCGTCACTGATGGACTTCCGGCAGTGGGTGTTGGTCGAGGAGAGAGGTTTTCCCAAGATGGCTAATAGACTTGTACCTGGCAGCTCAAAATACTGGTAATCTGCTCTAGTCTGGAAATCTCAGTTACCTTTGGTCTGATTTAACATGCGGCGTGTTGACAGGCGTGCGAGTAAGGCGACTGAGTACCTAGGGCGGATCAAAGCGGGCCATTCTTGTTCGTCCCTGACCCTATCATAACAATCAGTCGAGTGTTTGATCAAAGATTGTCAGGTCTTGGAGTCTAACAAATGGACAAGGAGTTTTCTATGGCGCAATCTGACACGAACACCTAAGGAGCCAATTGGAAGCTGCCCAGGTGTCTCAGGTCCGACGTCTACAGTTGCCCTATTGTTCCCAGCTCGGGACAATGGGACGACTTCAAATGTTCGCATTATGGGGCAGACCTCGGACGATTGAGGGCTCTACTCTATTCAATTGGCAATTGTTCTCAATTGTAGTCCTTGCAATGGCGTCTGCTTGTCGAAAATTCTTCTACTACTTAAGTATGGGCCATCAGGCCGTCTGGCCTCAACGCCATCTACTTCAGAGTCTTGAAAGACGACGTGTGCTGTTACTTCCAAGTTGCGATTCTTATTTGTGTACTTCAGACTGTACATCATGGAGGAAGCAAAGACTCGGAACCTGTACGCCGACCTGGGCCTCACCGACAACTGGGCCTCCCTGGGTGAGATTGACCTCGCCCATATGGAGCTCACGAGCAAGCTCGACCCGGAGGTCAACCCGGCGGCGGGCCCCACCGACGCTGCTGAGCTCTCAAAGGTAACATCCACATGGTCACCAGCGTAACCATCACCGGCAGTAGTCCTAACAGTTTGTTGTCATTCTTCAGGTCAAGAGCGCCTACGAGATCCTGCGCGACCCTCAGAAGCGTGCCGAGTACAACCGCACCCGCAACGACCTCACCAGGCACAAGAGGCCGAGCGCACTCTGGCGGAAGCACAAGGCCGGTTGGAAGTCGCCCCTCGACCAGGTGCTGCGGGTGGCGCGGATGCAGCTGGTGTCAAGGGCGTGGCAAAAGGCACAGACAAGACGGCTCCCGAGAAACGCGCAGCTGCGGGCCCAGGCACAGCTGCGAGCCCACGCCAACCACCTCGACCTGTTCCACGCGCTGTCGAAGTCGCACGGAGGTGCGGTTGCACTCCGACACGTCGGGCTGGGACCGGTTGAGGAGCTGCCACAGTACTGGGCAGTCTTTGACCCGGCGTACGAGCTCGGAAAGACGATGAGGGAGGCGAAGCGTCAACAGACACGGAAGGAGGCGATAGAGACGGCATGGGCGGAACTATCCAGGATCTAGCAACTATTCTGCTCCACAGGCTGCCTTAGGAGTCCATTGACAAAAGGGTGAGGAGGGAGGTTTGAAGGGCAGAGGCCAGCCATGGTCGAAAGGGTCAAAAGGGGGGTGAAATCAGTTCAGATGCAGGAACTACTTATTACTCAGGTACTCTACTACAAAATGCTTCTCCATAAGAATTTCTCATTACACAGTAGGAACTCGTCTTGTCATGAGAATGTCTCGTTCAGACCAGGATCCCTGTCCCTCTGGCGATGGTATCATGACCCTAGTTGATCTTTGCCGCTGTCTCGGAAAAACGAGAGTTGCCCCCCCCCCAGTTAAATACCCCCTATTCCTCAATTAAACTAAAACTTCGCTAGTAGGGCAGAAACTCCAACATTTTTACCAAAATACTTTTATTAATCTTATTAATACTAATAATAAGTTATTTTTATTATCTAATTAGATAAAAATAATATTATATTAGTTTTATATAATTAATTTAAACTTAATTTATAAAAATATATATAACCTATTTATTTTAATATAAGGTAATATTAATTTAGCTAATTTTATAAATAATATTATTAAATTAATTTATTAAATTTAAACTATTTAATATTTATTATATAAAATTTACTTAAAGAGTTAAATTATATAATTTATTAATAAAAATATTATATTATTTAAATAGTTATATATTTAAAAGCTAACTATTAAAGTAATTAAGGTTTAGTAAATTATTTAAAAGTATTTATAAATACCTAAAGATTGTTTAAAATAAGGCTATTATAATAAATTAAATAATTTAAAAGTATAAAAATACTATTAAAGTTAATAATAAAAGAATATATTTAATAATAAGAAAGAAAAGGCTTTAAAAGGTATTAATAATAAGAACTCTTTTATTAATAAAATAGAATTTTAATAAATAATAATAATAATAATATTAAATATCTTAAAAGTTGCTTAATTAACTCTTTAATATAGATATACCTAAATAAATTAACTTTAATTTTATTTATTAAAATTTATAACTTAAAAGCTAATACTATTTTTATTATATAACTTAAAAATAAATTATTATATTAAAAGAGGAGAATAAAAATTAAGAAATTTAAGGCCTTTTATTAAATTATATTAATTTATTTAGAAATTTAATTAAAAAAGTATAAAACTATTTAAATATAATTATTAAATTAAAAGATATTTTTATTAAGGTTAATTAGTTTATAAATTAAAATTTTTAATTTTATAATTAAAAATTATAAGAAAAGATATTAATAAAAGGATTAAAGTATTTAATTATAATAATATTATAAATATATTTTTAAATCTTAAAGACTCTTTTTTTAATTTTTATATAACTATAAGGTTATATTACTAATATAAGAGTTATAAATACTTATATTATAAGGTAATTATTTAATTAAATAACTATTAATTAAAGTTTTTAGTTATTATTAGTTATTTAGTAGATAGCTACTTTAAGGATAACTTACTAATAATTAAGTGGGTAGTAGATATAAATATATTTAATAAAATTTAAACTTTAAAACTTTTTAACCTATATTAATAACTATTAGATAAAAGTTAAAATAAAAATAAAATAAACTTTATATAAAAAAGTATAAATAATTAATAAGAATATAATTATATTTTTAAGTAATTATTATAGAGCTAATTATTATTATTAAAATAAAAGGATTTTTATAATAATAGTATTTTATTAAATAAAATAATATATATATTAATTTATTTAATAAAATTTAAGGATTAATTTAATATAATTATAATAAATAATATTATAATTAAATATTTATTAAAAATTTTTTAATTATTAGATAGCTTAAATAAAATTTAATAAAAGAAGTTTAATAATAATAAAATTAGCTTTATTTTTTTAAAAGAAGTAATAAAATAAAAGTAAAAGAAAGTAATATTAATATAATTATTAATTTATTATTTAATATTAATTTATTTAAGGTTAGATATAATTAAGTAATTTTAATAAAATTATTATTATTATTATTATTATTAACTTTTTTATAAATTTAATAGAGCTTTATTATTACTAATAGTAATAATAATAGCACTTAAAAGTTTATAATAAAGGTGAAAGCTATTAATTATTTTTTATTATTATTATTATAAATAAAGAGAGATAAAATAATTTTATATTAAGAGTTTATTATAAAATATTTTAAAAATATTTTAAAATTTATTAAAAAGCTTAATTTAAGTAATTTATAAAAATTATAAAGTATAAAGGGCTTAACTTTTATAAACTTTATAAAAGAAGGATATTTAATTTAATAGGTATAACTTAAAGGCTATTTTACTAATTAAAATACTAATTAAGTTATATTTAAAGAGGAAGAAGAATTTTACTAATTTCTTTAATAATAATAATAATAAAAGGATTTATTACTATAATAGAGGCTATTAAATAGCTACTTAATAAACTATTAAGTAAATATTAAAATATATATTTTATAAAGCCTATAAAAATTATTTAACTAACTAATTAATTTTATTTAATATTAAACTTTATAATTAAGTTAGTTATTTAATAAAAGAATTAAAAGTTTATTAAAATAGTCTCTCTTATTTAATAAAGTAAAAAGTTATATAATAAGTTTTAAAGGATTTTTAAATAAAGAAAATAGTAATTAGGTATATAAAAGATATAATTAGTAATAAAAGTAGTTAAAAAGGAAAGTTATTTATTTTAAATAAATAAAGTAAATTAAATATTTAGTATTAAATACCTAATTAATTAAATAGATTTACCTATAGTTAATTTATTTATTTTAACCTTTAACTATTAATTTAATTATTTAACTTATAAATAATACTTTTTATTTATATAACTTTATTTAATTAAAACTTTATTAATTTTAATTTTTATAACTTTTAATTAAAACTATTATATTTATTTTATTTTATATTTTTTTAATATTTATATATAGTAAAAATATCCTTAAATAGCCTTAACTTTAAATTTAACCTTTTAGATATAAAAATAAAAATTAAATAAAATTTTTATTTAAATTATAGTTTAATAACTTATATTAATATTAATAATATAAATAGTATTTTAAGTTATTAAAATATACCTTAATAAGATTAAAATTAAGGAGTATAAAAGTAAATACTTATACTTTATACTTTTATATTTATTACTTTAATTATTTTTATTTTATAATATTAAAAGTATTATTTATTATAAAGATTAACTTTAAGTTTAAATATAGGTTTATTTTTAATAAAATACTTTTTAACTATTAAAGGAAAAACTTTTTTATTATATAACTTTTATATATTATAATAATAAATAAATTATTTAATATAATTATAAAGAAAATATAAAGGTGAGCCTTTTATTTAAAAGACTTTTAACCTATAGGGTATATTTAATAAGTATTTAACCTATTCTTTTATACTATTTTATTTATTAAAATTAAACTTATTAATAAAAATAAATATTTTTATTATATAACTTAATTAATATATTTATTAAAGGTAATAATTATAAAGCTCCTTATTATATTAATAGGTTAATATATATATTTATTTATTACTTTATATATAAGCTTTAAGGGTATTATTTATTATTTTTATAATAATATTAATTTATAACTATTTAATAAAAGTATTATATTTTATTAAAATATAAGTTTAACTTATTAAATAAAAGATTTTTAACTTTTAATTTATATAATTTATATATTAATTATATTTTATAATATTATTATAAAAAATAAACTAATAAACCTTTATAATTTATTATTTTAACTTAATTATATTTAATAAGTAATAATAATAATATATTTAAAGTAATTATATAAATAGTAATAACCCTTTAATAATATTTTTTAATTATAATATAATTAATTTTAAATTTAATTTATAGCTACTTATTTAATAGGGATAGATTAAAGTATAAATAAAACTTTAATTATTAGAATTTATAATTTAATAGGTAATAACTTACTATTATTAACCTTTCTTTTTTTTCTTTTAGAGTGTAAATAGCGTTAAGTATAATATTCTATTAAAAATATAGGGTTTTCTACCCTACTAGTAAAGTTTTGGTTTAACTAAGGAATAGGGGGTATTTAACTAGGGGGGGGGTAACTCTCGTTTTTCCAAGACAGCGCCGTATCGGCGATCCCCACTGTTTTCTGCCGACCCCAAGAGCTAAGCTACCGGACGATTGACGTCTTGACTGCCGCCTTGCCACCTCCCACTACGACCAAGAGACTTCCAGATTTACTTCTTTCCCCTACCAAGGACAGAGGGGATTTTGGATTTGGGTACTTGGAGTTGAGACAGCAGCCCCTTATTTAAAGTTGAACGTCAGCATGGCTCCAGTCAGTGAGAAGCTGCCATTGATGCAGGAAGACATTCCCGCCGGCGCGCCTTACACAACGCCACGGCCCAAGGCGAGATGCACACGCTCCAAATGGGTCGCCGTCCCCGCGCTGGCCCTCCTCGGCCTGTATTGGACCAACGGCCTGCCCTCTGCCGTCTTTGGCGACCAGAGCCCCAGCTCAGGCCTGGATCTTTCCCAGCAATGCCGTCAGGTCGACTCTCTCTTCCCGGCCAAGACCTCGCCGTCTCTGGCCTCGATGGACGAGTACCTCGCGTCGTCCCAGTTCCTCAACGCCAGCACCGCCCGCATGTCTGGCGCCATTCAGATCGCCACCCAGTCCTACGACAACATGGGGCCCATCGGCGAGGACGAGCGGTGGGACGTCTTCCCCCCCTTTGCTGACTTCCTGGAGAGGACCTTCCCTCTCGTCCACAGCACCCTCGAGCTCGAGAAGGTCAACTCCCACGGTCTTCTGTACACCTGGAAGGGCTCCGACTCGCACTTGAAGCCCACCGTGCTCATGGCCCACCAGGACGTCGTCCCTGTTGAGAAGTCCACCGTCGGGCAGTGGACGCACCCGCCCTTCAGCGGCGAGTTCGACGGCAAGTTTGTCTGGGGCCGTGGTGCTTCAGATGACAAGAGCAGCCTGATTGGCATCCTGGAAGCCGTCGAGCAGCTCATCGACGCTGGCTTCGAGCCCAGGAGGACGGTGATTCTCTCCTTCGGATTCGACGAGGAGATCTCAGGATACCAGGGCGCTGGTAAGCTGGCGGAGCGTCTGATCGATCGCTACGGCAAGGACGGCGCCTCGATTATTGTCGACGAAGGCTCAGGCCTGGCCAGGCAGTGGGGCACCGTCTTCGCTCTTCCCGGTGTCGCAGAGAAGGGCTACATCGACGTCGATATCATCGTCAGGATGCCTGGTGGTCACTCGTCCATCCCGCCCAAGCACAACGGCATTGGTGTCACCGGCGAGCTCATCACCCTCATCGAGGCCAACCAGTATGAGCCACACCTGTACGACGAAAATCCAGTAAGCATGAATACAACACTTTGGGACCCGCAGCAGAACTAATGTAATCATCAGTACCTGGGTCTCCTCCAGTGCGGCGCAAAGTACGCCCCAGAGTTCCCGCCCAAGGTGAAGAAGGAGCTGCAAAAGCGCAACAAGAAGGGCTCCTCCGCGTCCTGCCACAACAAGCGCGACAAGCTAGCTCTCGAGGCGGCCAAGGAGGGTGACGCCATCAAGTACCTCTTCACCACCTCCGTCGCTGCTGACCTGATCAGCGGCGGCGCCAAGGTCAACGCGCTGCCCGAGCGCACCGTGCTCACGGTCAACCACCGCGTTAACGTCGGCGAGAAGGTCTCGGACGTCAAGGACCGCATCACCGGCATCGCGGCCGAGGTCGCCAAGAAGCACAACCTGACCCTGCACGCCTTCACCGACGAGGCCGAGACGCCGAGCTCCATCACGCTCAAGACCGAGCACACCCTCGAGCCGGCGCCCGTCTCGCCCACCGACGTCTCGGGCGACGGCAGCGCAACGCCCTACTCGGTCCTCTCGGGCACCACGCGCGCCCTCTACGGCGAGGACGTGGTCGTCTCGGCTGGGCTGATGACCGGCAACACGGACACAAAGTTCTACTGGGACCTCACCAAACACATCTTCAGGTACAACCCTGGTTTCGACCCCGACCAGAACTTCATGGACGGGATCCACACCGTAGATGAGCACATGAGCATGCGGGGCCATGTCACTGGTGTCCAGTGGTACAGTATTTTCCTGCGGAACATGGATGAGGCTGATCTGTGAGAGCATGTTATGCTGTCGCTGGTACCTAGGTAATCATCAAGTAAAGCATTGGATGGTCTCCCTGTCTTCCAAGGTTGTTATATAGCGGAATCTTTCTACAAAATTTAGATAGATTGGAACAACAAATTATTGGTGACGCAACCCCCGGAATAGTACAATTCTGCCCTATGTTCACTCTGGACTCTGCCGATACGATCAGTTACTTGGGTGAACCTCTCAGCTCATTTTAACTTTGCACTTGTGGGACTTCCTCCTCTCCATGGATGGTCTACAGCATCCAATCTCCCGAACCTAGAAGGCCTTTTCACACTCATGCCTCAGCCGCTGTTGATCATTCAATGCACGACTTCTCTCATGGTCAGTATGGAAGAATCTGATAGACTTACGGGTCGGTTCTTACTGAAATGTCGGAACAGCTAATAGTATTGTAACTTGCATGGCTGTAAACCTTCAACAGCTTGACTTCTCACGGCCACTCAAAGACTCGGATCGATACTATAAATGCACTCCAGACTAATTTTAGATTTCCAAGGGAACACCTTTGTCCTATTGTCCTCCTGGGTCGGCTCGCGAAATCAAAGAAACTCCACAAAGCTTTGTCTTCTTTTACTATTGTCCAGGGAAGGTTGGCTCTGCGGAAAAAGTACTTATGAAGCATACTTGTGTCCTTGTAGAATGCAGACTCGGTTTCTGGATGGATTCCAACCCTGGGACATTTCAAATTGGAAACATACTCTAATCAATACCACGTCGAAAATCCCGATCATGTTCTTCGACAAGAAAAGATACCAACTCATTGTGGGTAACCTTATCAGCACCATCCCCCAATTCGGCGACGGGCCTTTCACAGTGAACTGCTTTGTCTACCTAGAGGGGCAGGATATTAACGATTCTAAGGTACACGATGCGAACGACCGCTCGAGGCTACGTCTACAGCTTGAGCTCGTAGAATTAGATGCAAATCTCAAAGAAAAAGCCATTTCCACCACCAAAGCACCGGCAAAGAAAGTTATAGACGGTCTCCATGGTCGGGCCTCCAGGGGCGGGCTCGAGGCTGTTATCTTGGAGAGCGTAGGGCTGAGGTTTGATGTTACTAACCTCCAAATTCCCCAAGAAATCAATTGGGGCACCTTTCGGATCCGTGCTAAGCTTTCACGCTCTCGTTTTAGCCTTCGAGGGGGGTCTGAGTACGAGTTGCTGGCCGAGGCAGACAGCCAGACCTTCACTCGGGGGGATATGGTAGAGCACCTGCTTCCTGCTGGATGGGAGGTTTTCCGTAGGTATAGAGGGTTCCGATAAGAGGCCGGAGTGGGCCTTAAGAATGCATTCATTGCAGCTGTATTATTTAAAAGCGCTTCGTGAAGTCTCCTGTCAGGAAGTGAGCCTGTTACGTCTCACCAAGCAAAGGGGATGCTTGTGCTAAATTGTCTACTGGGAGAGCTAGGTTGTAGAAGTGATGGGCTACACCATCCAACGCCATTGGATGATGGCAAATAAATTTATGCAAGTATATACATTGCTATGTACTAGTTGAAGGCATTACGGGCCCATGATATGATAACGACTCCAGACGCCGTGCCCAGGACAGATAGTCCGTTGAAAATGGTCCCAAATGCGTCTATCACGGTCTCGGGGCTTACGAGACCGCATGCAAAGAAATCAAGACTCGCAATTCTACGTCTACAGCATGAGCAGACCCTTCACTCCTTGACCATCCAGAAACAGCCACCAAACAGGCCAGCGGCGATCAGCGTCGTCAGGAACCCGGCGCCGACCCTGTCACCGGCTGTGATGGGCTTCAGCGGGTTGAGCGACTCGTCCGTCTTGTCCTGGCCAGCATTCACGTCACCGGTCGATAACCCGCCGTTCTTGGAGGTGAAGGGCGTGGGGACGTTCCAGTTCCTGACCTGGCTGTAGAACAGGGCCGACAGCGCGGCCATCTGCTGCCCGACGCCGTGCATGCCGTCCCACTGGGGGCCGTCGACCCAGTGCATGCCGCAGGCGGTCCCGGGGACGCCCTTGTACCCGTCGGCCTCGGTGGCGGTGCCGGAGCACTGCTGGGCGGCGCCGACCGCGCTCGCCGACAGCAAGGGCCCGATGATGTCGTAGGTGTGCGTGGCCATCTGGACGGTGCCCGCCATCCAGCGGACCAGGTAGGCCTTGAAGGAGAGCGAGTCGGTCTTGCACTGGAAGGCGGGCTCGCAGGCGGGCTCGTACATGACCTGGTCCTTGAAGAACTGCTGCGAGGTGTGGTTGAGGATGCCGTCGACGCGCCCCTTCCACAGGTCGGATCCGGTGTAGTTGTACATGACGGCGGTGCCGTGGAGCCAGATGCCCGCGTTGTACGTCCACTGCACCTGGTCGATGGCGGTGCAGTTCTGGTTGTCGCCGTAGCCCGCGCCGTCGTAGATGTTGTACTCCTCGTCGATGAACCCCACGGCCTCCATCCAGTCGTACACCTTGGTCGCCCAGTCGGCGTAGGTCTGGTTGCCGGTGTAGCGGGCCAGGCGCGCGCCCAGGTTGAAGAAGCAGCCGTTCGAGATCGAGTTCTTGTATGTGTAGCCGTTGTTGAAGGTGAAGATCTGCCAGCGGAGGCCGCCGCCGCAGTCTTCGGCATCCCATCGCCCGACGTACTCGTTGAAGACGGCCTGCACTAACGCGAGCCATTGGGTTCCGCCCTCCTCGGTTGAGTTAGGGTCCATGAAGTTCTGCTCGGCAGCTGCCATGGCCGAGAGCGCCCAGAAGCCTTGGCTAAGTTGTCAGGTCAGCTTGGTGGTCTTGGAAGTCACTCGAGCAGGGGTGCCGCATGCAGGTGACGGGCCGCTCCATCGTGTGAACATACTCATCGTTTCCTTCTGACTTGGTCTGGTTGAGCGGCATGAAATCAAAGTCATCGCCTACTTGGTGTTGCATGGCCTGGTATGTGACGTTGACGTATGTTTCGTCGCGTGTGTACGCCCAATAGTCCACCATGGCTCCGAACATGGCACCAGCTTCCCACCCTGTTGTTGCACGCGGTTAGTCTTCTGGTCGGTGAGGAGATCGACGAAAGACGATGACATACAGTAGTATGGATCTGGCAAATTACCCGCCACATCACCGGTGTTGTTTCCTGTGTAGTACTTCATCAAGCCATATGCAATCGTTGATGCGCCCTCCCTGATCGAGTCTGCCACTGCATTAGCTCAACATGTCCCGGCGGGAACTAGAGGCTTGTCAGGTCCGGATGAGGACAGACGTGGGGTTGTGTTTCGCGACGCACCTTCTGAGTTCCAGTCGATATCGATGGCCAAGGCCATTGGCGCCATGGCGCCTGTCAGCCATATCGAGGCCACGGACGAGAGCTTCATCGCGTTCTGCCTCGAGTCACGTCTCTTGTCACAAAGCACAGGCACACGACGTGGAAAGAAAAGTTAAATAGTAAGGGAAACTATTAGCCGTGGTAATACAAAAGGTGGGCAACGAGTGTCGAGAAGATCGAAAACCGGAGAAAGGAAAGCAAGAGGGGCCGCCGGGGGTTCAGCAGCGCGGGTAGGGCTGCATGCTTTTTGACTGTATTCGCTCTTTTGGCTGGGAGGGAAAAGCTGCCTCGTACGAAACGGCAGAGCAAAAGAAAGGGGCGTTGAGGCGCAAGCTGATCTCGGTGGGTCCAGCTTGGTGTCTCCGGCGTTGTCCCCATGGTGCAAGTGGCCAAGGGGACCCCTCTGCCATGGCTGTTTGACCCACGGGAGTGGAACCAGAGAAAATCAATCGCAGTTCGGACTGCATATCCGTCGTATTGGCATCTGCTCCGTGCGGAATTGCATCCCAGATATCGGGATGGCACCTCTCAAATCTCCTCGCGGGGCTGTGTAAAAAGGCATTTGACATCCCATGAAGCCGTCGTTATCTCTCATATGTGTCTCGCGTTGCGTGGCTGTGGATTACGAGGCAGTCTGCACGGTGGTGCGAGAGAACAACGGAGGACGAGACGTTGAGGACGGGATGCCAAGCCACGTGAAAATTACCGCCAGGGGTTTATCCAATTTGGGAGCCGGAAACTGCCCTGACCCCGGCAAATACGCAGGCTCCCTGGGCTCCTGTTCTCACCTCAGGTTATAGGGGTCCACATCTACCGTGCCTCCATGGCCACTAGGTGACCCCGTATGTCGACTGAATCAATCCGATCTACGCGAAATGGCACATGCAATTTGATGGGTATCTAATCCGTACTTCCTTCTTGGCTGGCCGGCTGGCCGGCTGGCTTCTTTCCCAGGCTCACTGGTACACTTCATAGCGTTGTGTTGGTGATTTGTGCTTTGGCGATGTCGCCCCCATTCTCTACATATGCTTTGAGGTTGGTGTGATCAGCGGTTTCCCCAGGTTTGCCTGGCCTGTCGGGTCTGGGCTTTCCAGAGCGCACAGTGTCGATCTCGGAGATGCAACCGGCTGCCAAATTCAAATCGCCTTCTAGAATTAGATGTGAAGGAAGCCCTGGAGACAACGATCCACCCCTCGTCCAGATAATACCACCCCGTTCGATGCCGACGACAAATCCTAGCAAATTGATTAGATCGATGAATGGGTAGGTGCACACAGTGGCTTTGCAAAAAAGAGGAAGAGAGAAACCATGATATATCCATCCGTGTGGTAGACACGTATTGGCTGTCTCCATCGGGCAAAAATGCCTCCTGACGGAATCGAACCGTCGATCTTCGCATTACGAGTGCGACGCCTTACCGCTTGGCCAAGAAGGCTCGAGAAATTTTGAAATCTGACATTTTATCACCAAAAATTGAAACATTGAAACTCTAATGCGGATTCTCGACAACAAAAACACTATAAAAGAGAGCCAGCATCCACACACCCAACAAGTCAGTCCACACACCCAGCATTTTCTTTCCACTTACCTAGTACCTACTTTTCTTAATAACTCCCCTATATTTATAAGTCCTTTCTAAGTTAGCGCTAAGAGACTCTATAGGATAATTTTTTTCTTTAATTTTTAATATTTAAGGTATAAACCCCTTTTATAACCCTTTTACTTTTACTTTTTAAAACTCTTTACTTTTACCTTTTAAGTCTTTTAAGCTATATATATTTAAGTACTAACTAAGTATTTAAATATTAATTAAATATTAGAAGGTTAAAAGTTTAAAGTATTAAAAAGTTAAAAGGTATTAAAAGGCTAGAAAGAGTATAGTTTTCACCTTTACCTTCTTAATTTCTAACCTTTTAATGTTTAATTAGTATTTAAATACTTAGTTAATACTTAAATATATATAGCTTAAAAGGTTTAAAAAGAGTATTAAAAGGTATATTAAAAAGGCTATTAAAAAGTAAAGATAAAGAGGTTATAAAAAGAGTTTATACTTTAAGTATTAAAAATTTAAAGAATTTTAATTAGGTATATAATTTTATATAAGTTATATATATAAAAAGAGATACTAGGTATATAGAAATAAAATATTAAGTATATAAATTAACTTATTAAGTATATAAATACTAGCTCTATAAAAGAGTTTTATGTTTTATAATATATTTATAATAGAATAAATATATATATATAATAAATAGTAGTAGAAGTTTATATATAGAAGAGTATTATTTTATTTTAAATTAATTTTAATAATTTAATTAGTTTTATTATAACTATTAGAACTTATAGTTTTATATAAATTTATTACTTTTAATAAAAAAGAAGGCTCTTAAATAACCTTTTATTTTAACGAACTATTATTTTAAATCGTTTATAGACACTATTTTCTAGGTAGTTAAGTTAGGTATAACACCTTCTAGGCTTTTCTATATAACATAAAGCTAAGGCTACATATCTAAATATATTACATTCCTTCTATACTATTATTAATATTATATATTTCTTTAAATACTAAGTGGTTTTATAATAGTTTTTTTTTAATCCCTATATATATAAAATATATATAGCGCCTTATATAGTAGTAAATACTTAAGACCTTTTTTTAATAAAAAAGAAGTTAAATTTTAAGTATTTACTATAGTATAAAGGTGCTAAATAGGTTTTATATGTATGAGGATTAGAAATAAAACTAATAAGTAGTAATGATTACTAGGAAGACGTTCGGGTGGTTGAAGCGAGAACAACCTTTGGATACCATTCGGTCCAGACCGATCCGGTCCACCTGGGCAGTCAGCCAAGAATTACACATAGTTACTGTCCTGCTCCAACGACCTTCCTCTTCAAGTTTATGGTCATGCTGATCGGAAGATTCTCGCTTGGCCGTTGATGATGATTGCGGTCTGGAATATCTATGAAATTATGGACTCTGGCGGGAACACTTCCCAAGGGTTTTCATGAGAGCGGGGCAAAGGGTGCTTACACGAGATGTGGTCTATCTATCCGGGATTTTGATCTTCAACATGTGCAGTCCATTAGATTTAACTGCTTTCGTTTCTTCGCACGTGAGCACCATCGCATGAATATAAGCAAACCCACCTTAAACCTAATCCCTAGCTACTTAAGTATCAGGGGAATGGGGGGTTTTTAATTCAGTAGTAACATACTCTTACTATGATATATTGAATCATGGGCGCTGCCCTAGACTGCGTCTTAGTTTCCGATGATTTTTGCTGATCTCTTCTAAATCTAAGATGTATTCCAATCTCGCGTATCTACACAAGCTTGGTATACTTCTGAGTGGAATTAATCTAACCAATCAATTATCTTGGAGGAAACCTCGTCGACCTTAGCATGGCCTGGACTATGGACCATATCTACATCGATTGGAAAATCTGGTAGGGGTCAAGGAAAACAGGTCTGAGGAACCTTGAACTTTGAACAAATGGTGGATGACTGGAATTTCTATTACTAGGAGACGATTGATGAAAGGTCCGAGGGGCTTATGAGGCACCATAGTAGCCAAGAGGAAAATTTCGGACACGACCCCCGGCTGTATGAGTGGTAGAAGTGGATGGATGAAGGATGACGAGGAGCGATTGGAATGCCGACTGCGGAACCACGAGCGAACTTTTAGATGGTGTTGAACAAAACCTTCCCTTGAGGAATTGTAAAGGATCGAACTTTGATGGTGGGGTGGGGGGGTGGAAGCAGACTATATGCCGTTCAAGTGACGGTACGGTACTTATAAACTGCTAGGAACAGCTAATTGGCAGATTGGTTATTATGGTACTTTGGCCGGGCGGTCGAGGCGTGTGGTTAGCAGTCGGGCCTCCCATTGCAGCTCAAAGCAAGCTGACCCAGAGTGTGGTGTGGTGAAAGCAGCCCCGGAGAACGCTGGCAAAATTCATAACACATCTTTCGCGATAAATCTGTTAACTCCCATGTGGAGGCTGTCATCGTCGTTAAATAACCCTGGGAAGTACATATCTACGAATTGGCCCAACATGCTACTTAGGGATAGCTCGAATCTGCTGATAAACTTCAAGCGTCCAATGGCTGCTCAAATTATTTTAGAAAGACCCTTAACGCAGGAGCTACGTTGATATCAACAGAAAAATTAACCAAATCCAAGGCTCATGGTCGCCGTTCTCTAAAATTGTTGGTGCTGTGCCAGCTACTTAAGGGCATATATGCACCAACAGGCCGACTACCCCAGGCAAGGATGGATCCAACATTCCCCGAATGCCGTGGAGTCTGAGCAACGTCCAGACTGCCTGCATCTTTGTTTCTTTTGCCCTCGACAGCACTCGGAACTCTCAGAATTTGACACAGTCACTAGATTTATCCCTGCTTTCTGTTATCTGATGACCCAAGCCGATTTTGCCACATACGTAGCTGACTACCTAGGTCCTCGACGACAATGGGTGGCGGGCCGGTCGACTCGAAGACAATTATACCTAGAGAAACCGAGAAAGGCTAGGACTGCCCGGAGTTAAAGGGCGGAATGAGTGGCCAGGACGAGAACTTCACACAATTCTTCTCTTCGCAGCTTAGAAAGCTTCAGCTGCTGATCGGTCCGGCCACAAAGACATCGTCCCTGACCGTCACAACCTACTTGCTATTGATTCCACTCCCGGACAAACACTTCAACACTTATGCCCAAGCCGTTAACCTCACTCTGACAATACACATCGACTTCCAAGTCATTTCACCGGTTATGTTTGGCTCTTTGTCCGACGGCTATGGATGAAGACCAATTTTCCTCATCGTCCTTGGTGTACACGCCATGAGCGATATCGGGCTGACTGTAAACCTGCAAAATTTCGCTGCGCTCGCGACCTTGTGATCACTTGTGATCGCTGCAGAGTCTCGGCGCGAGTGCTACGTACCCCATCGCCTTAGGGTGGCGGCGGATGTCTGATTGTCTCGAGATCGTGAAGCCAGGGCCGAATACCAGGACCCATCTTGATGGCCCTGAATCTGCGCACTTGTGTCGGGTTAATCATTGGCGGGTGTGACATACCTCAAGCGCAGTTACAACTGGTCCTTGCAGCTGTATTCCATTCCTGTGTGTTGGCCTGTTCTTGCCCGAGACCACAAGGTCACTCGCTGGGAACGGCTTTCATCGATCTTGTTTCAGCCGGTAGCAAATCAGCTGGCTGTCTCTTGCACAAGAGACTCTCGCTACTAACACGTTTGCTATCCGGCGAATGTATACGGTTGATGATAATGATCAGATAAGATCATTCCTGCAAACAAGGCCTGTAAAACATTTTTTTTTCATAAAAAGTACCGGCGACTAGCCTGTGGGCTACTTGTGTCCACAATTCTACATATGTAGTCAACGCCGCCGTCAAGACGGCGCGGCGCCCCTTAGCCTTATCTGTGCGTCACAAGGCTGAGGCCATAAGCACCTATCATATTTTAAACACTGTATTGACACCGAATGCTTCCCAAGCGCTGGGTCTTGAGCGTTGACCATCGTATGAAGGCGCCATGTATGTCCTCGGACGTATGCGGAATAGAAGCGAAACCAGTTATATGGACTTATCAACCCCGAAATTGTACAGCGGCCTACCGGGAGGGGGAGTCCCTAACACAGACAAATAATTATTTCACTGACAGGCTTCTGGACCACAACTACCTAGGTACAGGACGGTGGCACGTAGAGCCGGCAGGGCGGAGTCCAAGGCGTCGGGTGCCGACTTGCTCGACTTCCCAACCGAGACTTCAAGGGCTAGAGGTAGCCTCATCGGACTTGCGACATCGATAGTCACCATGGTAGGTTACGGTTGGACACTCCACCAACAATCACACCCGGCTGTAGCTTCTGGGGCACGTTCTTTTACACTGCCTACAACACCCTGCTGGTCGACTCTTTCCCTAACAGCCAGGCCAGTGTTGGCACGGCTACAGCGACAAGGCGCAATGGCAACGACTGGTGTGGAGATTCTGTAACCGTTGATGGATGCAGCGGGGAAGGGGGTGATGCTTCACAGCGTTGGGGCTGTAGAGTGGTATTTTCTGCGCAGCAGCCATATTTGTGGTGGGTTGGAGAGGTATGCGATGGAGGAGGGAGGGAACCAGCATGATTGTGGACTAGAAAATTTGATAGGCAGCATCCCCGGGGAGAGGAGCGGTTCGAGTACAACCTTGGAATACAATCCGATTTCTGGGGTCCTGCAACTTTGATGTCCGCAGGTGCCGCGTACACCAATTTGACTGTGGATTTTGAAAAGGGGGCCAGTGGGAACGGCCATTCTGTTACAAACACAATGGGCCCCTGAAATCAACTGCACGTCCAATGCCTTCGAATACAACAGTGGCTCCTTCGGATTTCGCAGCACCGAGCTTCCAGTAGATCCGGTGTAGGAGCATGCTGAGGGTCAACAAGTCCTCGCGGAATTTCCCGCCACATTTGCGTGAAGTGTCACCATGTCCTGCTGGGACGGTTACAGTACATACAGCCGAGCGACAGACAAACCCAAAGTTGCGCCATGCATGTCACCCGCCGCGTGACGAAACATGGGTACATAAAGTAGGTTGCCCCACAGGTTCGTCCACGGCGGAAAAGCCGCTCCAAAGCTACCCTAGGGTACCTAGGTAACTACCGCTTGGCAGCACGGCAGCCCAAAAATCTTGAAGCCTGGTTGTTCTTTTCTATTCCTTTTTGCAAATACATGCCGTCAATATTAGCTCACAAGTGTGCAAAAACACCGAGTGCAGGGACTGTTCCGCTCGTCCGTGATGCACCGAAGTCGGGCACCTGGGCAGGCAGGACATGCCGCTCGGAATGTGAGACCCACTCACACCTGTCATTTGTCAGTTTGGGCTGCACGAGGACAGTACTCCGTAGGTAAACTCAAGGAACCGGCAAGATGCCGCATCCGTGGGCACTTGACACGTTGCTACATGTTGGCAGCGGCGCAGCATAGGAAAAGTTTTCAGCAACGGTCCAATGTTCCTGTTCTGGTAGGAGCCTTGGGGTCTCATCAACAAATAAGTCCATCAAGCCGGGCCGCTGTCACTATTTTTATAACAGAAGGAGAAGACGGAACCTTCCAGAGATTCACATGTCACTGAGCCTCCAGACCCACATCCCTCGTGGCTGCTCCGTTCCCTCGGATTCACTGTGGCTCCTCATTTCTCCGATTCCTACGAAACGTTTCCAGGCCGCCCAGACTTGTCATCCTTCCTCGTCACTCCCCTAGAACAAAACCACAAGTGACTACCTGCACACAACTCAGGATACACAGACTGGGCCTCCAACACACTGCTTTTCCTGAGTGCATCAGTAAAGACATTCAACGAGGTTCGTATCATCACTTGGGGTACTGGCCGAGTTGATCGCTCAGACTGACACGCATCGAAGCCGGATAACATCCGACAAACACGAAAACCCCTCTGCTTCTCTCCGAGACGTTCCGGTGTCCCCAAACCCCAAACTCCCTCACGAACCGCGAAAATGGCAATCATCACAAGAGCCGTCTCCATAACAAACTTCCTCGTCGCTAGCAGCGCGCTATGCTTTCAGGTCTTTGTCCTCTACCCATGGCACAAAGAACTCGATGAGAACTTCGAGAAGCTGAAGAAGGAGCACATTCGTGTGCTGGACAACATCAAGGACATGACAGAAGCAGGTGTCGAGAGGGACAGGAGCATCGGCTCATCCGTGACGAGGCAGAAGACGCTGCGGGAATACCTGGGCATCTAGTAAACAGGGAGAGATGGAGAAATGCTTTCACGTTCATTTTTCGGAGTTGGGAAGGCGTATTCCTGCAGCATTTTCAACTTTGTCGATTCGGTCTGGCGTTGCACTTCAGCATTACTTCCCAAGTCTGCCGTCACGATGCGCCTGCTCACGGCTCACAGCCCCCAAAGGACTGCTGTCCTGGAAGCATTTGCAAACCGGCGCACAGGGAGCGTCGCCCGCTGACAGCCCCGGGGGATTTCGGGCCGAGAATACCGCGAGAGGAGATTAATACAGAAATACATAGATCACAACCATCGAACTCGATCGATATAACGGCAACACGGATACGCAGCAGTGATTGATCATGTTAGACAAAGTTCACCTAGGTGGACGGACTTTGACTGTGACAGCCTCTGTCACCGCGATTTCGATATCGATGTCTCCCAGAAGCCTTGACCCATATACAGGTAGCCCATAACCCCCCCCCCCCCCTGAAAGGCAGGTCTCGAGTACCCTCAAGTGCTCAATACCAACATTGCTTTACCACTTGGCATCGCTCCTTAACATTCCTTCAACAGCTAGCTTCACCTTGTCTCCCAAAGGCCCCTTTCTAGCATCCCTTACATTACTCTCGAGCTGGCCCATCTTCGTTGCCCCCAAGATCACAGCATCTCCCTCACTCAGCTTCGAGTGAAAGATCAGCCACCGTAGACTCGCCTCCTGGAGGCTCACCCCTTCCTCGTCACACACCTTCTTGAGCGCTCTGACGGCGTCATGCATCTTCTGCGTGTCATACTTATCGGCATATGGCTTGAATGTGCTGGCCCCATGGAACCGCGTCCGGTGGAGCTCGGACTCAGCGTTCGTCGCGAAGGTAACCTTTCCCGTGAGGAAGCCGCCGGCTAGGGGGCTGTAAGCGTAGTACGCACAGTTGTGCTGGCGTAGGAGCGGGATCAGTTCGATTTCGTCATCCCGCACCAGCGCGTTGTACTCGCCCTGGTACACGGCGGGCTTGACATAGCCTTTCTCATCACAGACTGTGAAGTAATCTGATAGCTCTTTGAACGTGTAGTTACAAAGCCCCAACTATGTCTCATATGATCAGCCGGCGACCTGATAATGAGATTGTGCAAATTTGGTTGGCCAGAGGAAAACGACGTACGCGCTCGAACTTTCCGTCCCGGTATTGTCGGTCAAAAGCCTTCGCAGTCTCCTCGGTCGGCGTATGCTTGTCGCAGAAGTGGGCATACATGGTCCGCACCTTGCCGGCATTGAGCAATCGGAGCGTCTTGTCCACGCTCGCGGTGATGAGTTCATCGGTCAGCATCGGTCCACGGGCACCGAGAATCTTAGAGTCGACGACGAAGCCTCTCTCAATGGCTTTGCTCTCCCCCAACAGCCTTTCGGTGTCCCACGGGTTGCCGGGAGGGTACGAGGCTGCCGAGTCTAGCTCTTTAAGCCCCAGGCTCTCGAGAGTGTCGAGGAGCGAAGAAGCCTTCTCTGCTGTGTCCCACGTGTAAGTGAAGCCCTTCTCGGTCCCGCCGATCCCGCCGGCACCGAAGACAATTTTGGCAGACATAATATTGATGTGAAAGTCTCCTATACGGCACAACCATCAGCAGTCTTCCGGTCTGGAAAAAAGAATGATGCGTTGTCGTTGCGACAGGCAGACGTTCAGACGTGTCCGAAGGATTATGGGCCAATAGGCGCTACTTAGTGCTTGGGAATCTCAGCCAATGGAGCGTCATTAAAATCCGACGCTACCAGCCCCTTGCTCCCGAGTATATTGTTTGGTGATCACTCATCAAATACAGCGAATGAACCACGGCTAGCTTTAGACTGTCGACTACCTATCGTGTTTTCACCGCTGTTGTTGACACTGTGTGTTTTTCAACGCTCGGTCTTGAGTACTTACCACCGTATGAAAGCGCCATGTATGTCCTCGGACGTGTACGGAATAGAAGCGAAACCACATATGAATATGTCAACTGGTGGCAATGATGGGGCCTTGAATAACCTCCAGATCAGCTTCTAAGTTATTATTGCTTGTAGTGCTAGTGAGATTGAGTCATTGGTATTGCCCATGCAAGCAGGCCGCAACCACCACTGGTGAGGTCCGAGGGGTCTGATGTGATTGACTCCCTTGGGTCTGCGACGCCAACGGTTGATGTCTAGGACCTACGCTCCCTCCTACTTCACGGGTGCTATCGCACACATATAATTCAGAGCTCGATCGCTTGTAAGACGGTACCAAGGAAAATCCATCATGATACCCAATCACCCACTGAAAAAAAGCATTGGCCGTATTTCCCCGAGGGTCGCTAAAGTGATTCTGAAAGTCTATTATGAATTTTGCATAGGCACACACGTTAGCCAAATCGCCATGCCAACCTTGTTTGTCAGGGGTAGGCTGTCGTTGAGCTGGCGCACCCCTCCCAAAATCCCCAGATATTCGGGCCTAGTTCTCAGCTAACCGTTAGGCTCATCAGCCTTGACCCCATGGGGAAGTTCTCGCTCCTCGGCTCTAGCATGGCACACGCCAACTCCGGACGTGGGTGTCTCTGGCTCTCGTCGGCCCGACCAAGGTCGAATCTTGTCTGACCTCCGCTAGCAGCACTGAGAGGCGAAATCCGGGGGAGCAAACCTGGGGCAAGGCCGTCCTCCACAAGAATCATTGATGCCTCCCCACACGACACTTAGCTGCTCTGGGCAGGAGGAGCCAGCCCGTCTGCCTCCACACCACAGTCTACGGGTAGTCCGAAGTCTCAGCGACGTTTTCCCGCTCACATGCGTCAACATATCGTTTGGTGTTGAGCCAGGTCGTTCGAATTCAACATAAATATGTCTTATTCCCTCGAATGGAACATCACCAGCCTCACCAGCCTCACCAGCCTCACATCCTCATCACTCAAACTGCGCACGGTCAGGACATAGTCCTCAGGCATTCTTTTGTCTCCTGGATCTCCTGCAGCACGACTCAACATGACTTCAAACTCCCTCTCTGCCACACCCATGGCGGCTGTGGTCGACGCAGAGAAGTCCAGTGATATCCACGGAAGCTTGGACATGGATTCTATCACACGGGAGGCGGCAGCAGCCACGGACGCCGAGCATCAGCTGGGCCTCTGGGCTTCAATCAGGACATACCCCAAGGCCATTGGCTGGTCTATCGGATTATCGACATGCCTTATCATGGAAGGCTTCGACATGGCGCTGCTAAACCAGCTCTACGCCTTCCCGCCCTTCATGCAACGCTTTGGCCAGCAGACGCCAGACGGCGACTACCAACTGACTGCTGCCTGGCAGGCCGGTCTTTCAAATGCCATCTACGTCGGAGAGATCGCTGGTTTGTTCATCAGCGGTATCATTTCTGAGAGGATCGGCTACCGAAAGACCCTCATGGGTGCAATGACTCTTGTGGCGGCTTTCATCTTTATCATCTTCTTCTCGGAATCTCTTGTGCAACTTCTCATCGGCGAGTTTCTGATCGGTATCCCGTGGGGTGTATTCCAAACACTTACAACTACATATGCGGCTGATGTGTGTCCTCTACACCTTCGGGCATACCTTACGACCTACAACAATCTGTGCTGGGTGATTGGTCAACTTATAGCGGCTGGTGTCATGGTTGGCATGCTCGAGCACATGGAGGCACTTGGAATATGGTCATACAAGATCCCATTTGCACTGCAGTGGATATGGCCACTACCTCTCATCCTTCTGATTTTCCTTGCCCCCGAGTCTCCGTATTGGTTGGTACGCAAGGGCAGATACGACCAGGCCAAACGTTCTCTGCTTCGCCTGACAGCACGCAACACGGCCGACACGAAGTTCAGTATCGATAACAACATCTCCATGATGATCCACACCAACGAGCTGGAGAAGCATGCCAGCGAGGGAACTTCCTATCGTGATCTCTTTAGAGGCCCAGTCAACCGACGTCGCACTGAGATAGTCTGTATGACTTGGGCCATCCAGACTCTCTGCGGGTCTACATTCATCGGCTTCTCGACCTACTTTTACACAAATGCTGGAATACCTGATAGCCAGGCTTTCAACATGACTCTGGCAGGCTACGGCATCGGTGCGTTCGGGACTATCAGCTCCTGGTTCCTGATGCGCTGGTTTGGGCGCCGCGCAATGTACTTCTGGGGCCAAGCCTCCATGGCTCTCTTCCTCCTTGGTATTGGTCTAGCCGGCATCATGGGAACCGGAAACTCTGCAGCGAGCTCGGCTATTGTCGCGCTGCTGCTTCTCTACACCCTGACCTATAACGTCACCGTCGGCCCTGTCTGTTACTCGCTCGTCTCTGAATTGAGCTCCACACGCTTGCGAAATAAGACTGTGGTCCTGGCGAGGAACTTGTACAACATAATGGGCGTTGTCACCAATGTCCTTTCGCCTCAGATGATCAACCCGACGGCCTGGGGCTGGGGGGCCAAGACTGGTTTCTTCTGGGCTGGAACTTGTGCCCTCTGCGCAGTTTGGACCTATTTCCGGTTGCCAGAACCGAAAGACAGGACCTATGGAGAGCTGGAGGTCTTGTTCGAGCAGCGCGTGTCTGCCAGAAAATTTCACAAGACCGTAGTAGATCGCTTCGCAGCATCCAAGGATGACTCAGCTCCCGGGGACGAGAAGAAAGAGGGTGCTGTCGAAATTGTTGAGACTGTTTCGCGTCAATCTTCATAGTAACCATCCACGACAATATCTGCAGTGGTTGTGGTGGTTGTGGGATGCCCTGGTACTTGAGTATATATGGACATATTTCTTGAATAGCAATTAACGTTAGAGCGCATTTCAGTTGGTTTACATATATCGCAAGAGAATCATTTCCAGCATCACTGGTAGTTTGGGTTCATTTTCAGCGCCAGACTTGACAGGGGAAGTCACCGATATGTTCCTGCGAAGACTTCGAACACAAAGCAACCCAATGCGTCCAGGGATGTTGAATCAGTGCAAATGGACCCAAATCCGTAGCGTCGTGCTAGTATGGCATGCCCGACAAATCGCTCGTAATAACTCCGAAGCTAGCCCGTACCACACCAGCAGTTCGTCCATGGCCTCTTGGCCGCGTCACTCAAGGCGTCCCCGGGACATGGATCACGTTTGGCATGAGCAACAGGTACCAAGGCAGACTTCCAGACTATGCGTCCAACGTGTCTCATAGATCACGAAACGAGGCTCTAGTCGTCCCCGAGAATTCCTCATGAGCGATCGGGCGCCAAAGGTACAGGCCTGCGATGGCTGTCGGACTCGGAAGGTCAGGTGCAACGGCCGGCAGCCGTGTCCGCAATGCGAACACTTCAACCTGTCCTGCACGTTCTCACCAAGGAAAGAGCGCACGCATGGCCGACGTGGTCGCCTGGTCGCTCAGTTGAGAAACGGGGGTAGCGGTAAACAACCGAGGCCTGGCTCAAACTCGGCATGGCCTCCACTTCGTCCACGCGGCTCAGGCGACGTACAAGAAGAAACATCCAACATTTCCTCCATCCCGACTTCCACACCCCCACCACAACATAACAGAGATATCGGAGACGACTCTGCAATTGGGTCACATATTAAAGGCCATGGTTTATATGCAACAACGGTGAGCAAGGGGGCTTCGTCGCCTGTCACGGCGGACGCAAACTACTCGACGGACTACTTCCAAGCTCTGATCCCGGACTTCGAAAACTACACCTATCCAGTGAATCCAATAGTCACATCGGACCAAATTCGCTGTTCTATTAGGCACATGTCAAGCGACGCTACACATGCGGCTCTTGTCTACAGCTTTGCAGCTGTGACCATCAACTTGACCATGACCCAGCAGCAACACACTCATAAACTAAGCATCAACTTCATCAACAGCAACGGGCTCGGGATGCCAATCATGACTTCTGAACGCATACATGATCTGATGAACCATGCTATTCGTGCCAGAGCGCAAGCGACACCGGTCGACGCGTTATCGGAGAGAAGTGTCTCGGAAGATCTGATCGAAATCCGGATCGCGACCTGCATCTTCCTCGAGATCTGCTGGATGGCATTCAAGAAGCCCGAGCAAGCTTTTTTGATTCTCAGGGAGGCGATTGCACTGGTTCAACTGCTACATGTGGACAGAGGGCCTGGGACACTTACAGAATCCGACTATGGCCGGCGGCAAAGAATATACTGGGAAGCGTACATACACGAGCGATTTCTGACCATAACGAATTATTTTCCACCCATTCTTCGTCCTCTGAGAAATGCGAAAAGTACAACGGATCATTCCATTCCTATCAACATCGACTTAGGCTTCAAACGGTTGATCAAGCTGTTTCTCATTCTCGACGATGATCTCCTTGCCAGCTGGATGGCTCAGAACGACAACGCTGCTGACCCACTAAACGACGACAGACTTGAAAATGGCGGCATCACAGTCGATTGGATTGAACAGAAACAGCAGCAGCTGGACGACGAAGAGGCCGAGGTTGAGGCAGAGCAGCGTTGCCTGCAGGGGACTCCGGCCGCCCTTACGGAACTGCAACTTGCGGATCTATTCATCACGCGCGCGTGGATGCGGACGATCGTTTGGCAAATCGCCATGTCGGACTTCCTGCTTTGCAGCAAGCCACCAGGCTCGGAGAGACACGAGGCGCTCTCGCTCTTCTTCCCTGCCCATCGCCTGTCCGCACAGCTGCGCAAGCTGGCGCATTTTCAGGTGGAGACAAGCATTGGCAAGCATGGGAGCGGCATCTTGCAGAAGATTTTCGAGATTGCCAACACTATCGCCGATGTTATGACTTTGTTTCCTGTAGCTGGTGAGGGCCCGGCAGAGATGAGCAATGACCGCGCAGAAAGCACGAGGTTTGACCAGAGCCAGTCTTACCAGTGCATGTCGGACTTTCTGCTCTTGGTCAAGGTCCTGCTGTCGTTCGAGAGAATAGACAAGACGCAGCGAGATATCATCCTCTCGAAAGTGGAGACTCTCAAAACGATCTTTCCTGGAGTGGATTTTGAGAACTCACCCCCAGTTTGGTGACGTGAGGGGAGGAAAATATAATGTATCGTTATTATATATTATTCATTAGAAACCTTGTGTTCTCCGATGCCATTGTTCTAGCCCACTACATGAAGAAAGCAGCCATCAATCCCACGACAGCCACGAGTGATGCGATCGGTGCGCTCTCAGCTCTCCAGGCGCCTGACTCAGAGTTAGAGTCAGAGTCCGCGGTCGAGGTCGAGGTCGATTCGGCTGCTGGTTTAGATTTCACGTCAGAGATGAACAAAATTTAATCAAACGCGAGGAGCTGGGTCTACTTACCACCACTTGTTGATGAAGAACTCGAGGTTGCAGTAGCGCTACTGGAGCTCGAGCTCGAGCTCGGCGTAGCCGTAGCTGTCGTGTTCTCCTTCTCTCCGAGCTTGATGCTCAGCCAGTCCGCGGCATCCTGCGAGTAAAGTTCAAGATAGTTCCAGTGGTAGGTGTAGTTGACAGTCGCCGTCGTGTCATAGGCGCAGACTCCGTCGCGCGCGTCACACCAAGACCTCAGAATGTCTGACCACTTGTTCAGGCTCTTGAGTTCCGTCTCGTTGCGTGGATACCAGCCCTTGAAGTCGCCACCGTCCAGTGCCTCGTATGCTTGGCCCGCAACGTGACGTGTGTCACCCCAGAGGAAGGCCGCAACGACTATGGGTGATATGGTTAGCTACCGTTTCCACGCTCCACAACAGGCGAGCTCCCTCTTTTCCCTGAGGGGTTGCTCTTCTGCCCGATTCGGAAATTGAAATTCTTTCCTAGACTCAAGGAAACATTGATGATGGACTCACTTTGATTGCCAGGACTACTGTCTTGGTCCAGTCCTTCGACGTAATCCTCGGTACTGTCCTCACCCATGTGTTCACCACCTCCCATAGTCTCGAATGTGCCTCCACCTCCTCCAAGCATGTCCCCGATGACGTGGGCGCCTTGTGAATAACCGGTCAGAACCAGCTTGGAGTCCGGACAGTCCTTGCCGTACGATCTGATTTGTTTCAAACCATTGACAGCACCCTCGTGGCATGCCTCAGCGTACTTGTTGTCCACCGGGTTGTCATATTCAATATCTTCCCACCCACAACTCTTCCGCCCTTCGCAAATTGCCTTGACGACAGAAGTCTGCCGTGTCGCGGCCCCAGCGACTTCGTTGTTTCCCCTGGCCATGATGACATGAACATCATGGCACTCTGTGCTGGGCTCGGTGTATGCCTCGACATCCACGTCCCGGGCGACGAGTGCATCCCCAGCGTGGGCGGCGCCTGCCAGCAGTAGGGCAAAGACAACGCCGCGCGTGGTTGGTGATAGCGAGGCAGGCATCGTGGTGGTCGAATAAATTCCGAGTCCGTTTTGGGTTTATGTCGGTTTTGCACGTGGGTACGAAGTGCAGAAGAATGTTCGAAGACCGGTGGGGATCTGCAACTTAAGTCATGGAGGTTAATCGTCTGGCGCCCTAGAACCGTCTGGTTCTCAGGGGCGGAACAGGTGCTCCAAGACCTCCTCTAGTGGGCCTTCATGGAGCCTGCTTGAGACGCGGGTGTGCCCACGATGCATTGTAAAAATTAAAACCGGGCCTGTGTGCCAGGTCATATCGAATGGGGAAGAGCCAACACTTGGAATGGGATTTGAAAGGACGACTTCTAGTGAACATCATCGTCATTCAAATTTCCGGTTGACCAAATTGTTGGACTGCCAAGCCGGATTCGGCGTGCCTGGAAGGCATTGAAGGCTGGGTATCGTGAGGCCCACAGAGAACCTCAGCCCCTGGGTGGGTCCATCGGAAGACTGCTTGGCCGGACCTGTCTCCACGCGAAAAGTGGGCGAGACTGGGATGGAAGGTGATTGTTCTTGTTATCTTGTAGGACGCGGCACAGTCCCAATAGTTCCAGGAGTTCGGTACAGCAATTTCACCTATCTTCATAGCGCGAAAAGAGGCATGTTTTCCATGCGATTGTACAACACTTTGAAAATCGAGCAGACAACATGGTCCGCCATCTCACCGGTTCAATCAGAAGCACAATGCGATAACAGACAAATGCAGCCTGAAATTGAAGACTGGGCTCGAAATTTCGACCGGCAAGTATAGTAATGGCATAGATCTGTGCATTTCCCCCCGGCGGAGTAAAGTCACTTCAGCAACAGCTTGTTTACAGGAAATTACCTATAGCGATTCTAGGACGTCTCTGCAAATCTAAGAGTATATTGTCGACCTGCCCCAGTACCCTCTCTAAGAATAGCAAGCAACGCACCAGTAATAGAAACCACTACCAGGTCTGAAGACAACTGGCCTGGGGGTATAGGCAAGAATTCGGAGCGCAACTTAGAATGATTACGGCGAGCCCGCGGGCGACTGAGGTGGTGGTCTGTCTTGATTCTGATTGTCCTCTCCACTTGGTGCCGCGACGTCGCCGCCCGAATTACTGCTACTTAAGCCCAAACGTATGCGATCTAGAAAATTACCGAGGACCGGTCCACTCAATAAACCCGCCAGGATTGAGCCTGGCGTAGATGGAGGCGGAGGAGGCGGAGGAGGCGGAGGTGGAGGCTGAGGTGGAGGTGGTGCGTTGGGTCCCCTCTGTGGAGGTGCGCCGCCCGCAGGCGGTACTGGGATCGGGTTTTGGGATGGCCTGCTATACTGTTAACTAGATTACGTGAACCTACAGGCATGACCCGGGGAAAGTCCCCATGCATTCTCGTGCTTGCAAGTTTCGTGCGGGTCTTCAGCGGTTTCTGATGACTTACAGAGACGGCTCACCCAAGAGCTCCCTCATGGAGAACTTCTCGTCGGGCATGGTCTCTCGAGCTGCCCAGTCATAGCCGAGAGCCCGAAGTATTACTTGTTCAAGGTCCACCATCGTAGGCCTGGCTTGTGGAAGGTGGGACATGCATGCGGCCACGACGAAGCGTACTAAAGTCAAGCTGATCAGCCCCATCGCTCCGTATTATTGTTGTGACTCCGACTTCGTGTTGCAAAACCCGAAGGGCGGGGGATTCACTCATAATATCCGCGGAATCCACGTACGGTCAAAGTCTATGCGTTGCGTTGACTCAGATTGATCAAACAACAGCATGCCACCATAAGTCCAAAACGGGAAATTTGGTAGGTCGAGCTTAACGACTTGAGGTGGCTCATCAGGGTACACGCCTAGGATTAATTGCCACATAATCTGTTCAAATCATCAGTGGATCTGTACTATGGCATGGGGCAGATTCAGAAGTGATGTGAGTTACAAGTGCTGCCTGATATAAATTTGTTGTCCAGTTGTACCGGCCAGCTGTCGGCTCTGCCGTTAGATCTGTATTGTTGTCGATGTAGTCCCAGTCTCTGGTATTTTGCTCCTGTGTGAAACATATTTATCAGCCAATGGGCATATCGTGTCGGGGGGCTCGCTTTGTGCGTGCATGTGCGAAGCCATTGCCGTTACTTGTCTCCCGAAAAAGCTATGTGGTCTCTTACCGGTGTGAAAATAAATGGTTTTCCTACTCTCCTACATCTCAGAAGAGGCCAACTGTGCACAGCGGTCAGCAATGCAATTTTGGGGGTGCAACAAGCCGAAGCTTACAGCTGGCGGCGTTGTCGTTGTGTAAACGTTTGCGCGATGCCCATGTCGCCTATCTGCATTATGTTCAGAACTGGTACTCAAATTCTTGTACTTCGTTCCCCCCCATACCTTGAATATAGGTGTCGTGTTATGCAAGTGGCCTTGTGTTTGATTGTCGAAGTTTCCAATCATCACTGATGATATTAGTTATCGAACAGCAAGCGATGGCATGGGTTTGGAATCAAGTGCTTCGAAACTTACCATTCTGCGGCTCTATATCGAAATGAACCACAGTACCGTCATGATTGGCTGGATGCCCATCGACTAGGGGTATTGTCTCTTCTTGCAATGTGATGTCTTCCGTTAATGGGTTGCGCCCTCGACGCCAAGTGTCTGGGTAGGCCAATGCAACACAGCCTCTAAAGACTACCTCGTGGTCAGCTGTACGTGGATTACCTTACCGGGATGGTTATATTCAAATACTCACGGCAGTGGAAGATGTACCAAAGCTCTTCGCTTTTCCATGTCTTCTGGTGACTGCCGGCTTTTTGTAGGAGGCTGTGAACATCGCCGTACTTCATAAATTCCAGGCCCACCATGGTTGGGTTCATATTGAACGTCTCTTCGATGAATGCGGGAGGATTCCCACCGAAGAGGTTTAATACATGCGGCGGAGTTGGCTCGATAGTTGCTGGTGGAGGTAACCCCCGTATCACTTGCTGCTGAAGAATATGCCTCGCTCCAGCCAGCCGCTGTTCAAGAATATGTGTAAGTCTTGAATGTTCTTGTGCGGAATACTAGGGTAACCACCCACAGTGAGATATGTTCGTTCTCGCATCAAATCGTTCCTTGTACCCGCCTTGACAACAATCTGATGCTTCTGCCCGTCGACATCAGTCATCTCGAACAAACACGCCATGCCAAAGCCGCCCTTTCCCAGAATCTTAAGCAACCGGAAACCCAGAGGGCGCATATAAGGCATGACATTGTACTCCCCGTCCTGTATTTGAGTCATGTACTGCTGCAAGTTCTCTGAGTCCTCACGCGTAGATTGTCTCCATCTGTATCTTCGGGCACCTAGGTTCAGTCGAGGCGCATCAGGATCAGACGGGTCTGCTTGCAGCGAGGGACGTCTAATTTTCGGGACCCGGAGTCTTCTATAGTGTTCCCTGCGCCTGCCTGCACCGTTCTCTCGGCTCCACCAGTGATAGCGGCCGTTCCAGTAATGCTCAAAAGCATCCTGTGCGAGTTGTAAATCTCCTGTTGAAGCTTGGCCCGAATAATCTGTTTCAGGTATTATGTCGGGGCCCGCCCATTCTGCGAATGCTGGTGGTGCGCTTTGTGCGGCCATTTATCAGGACTCAGCAACGAACCGCTCGGAAGTCGTGATGCAAAGACTTAACCAGGTGCTCGAGTGTGTCTCTGGAAGATTTGATAAACTATTGAGTCTGCAAGCCTGCACGTGGTAGCTCGAACTGGACATGATAACGTCAAGGTCTTCCTTTCATCGTTACATGCTCTGTGCTGATGAGCGGATCTCAATAGAGCTTGAACAAAGACATCCGAGTCCTGCCTGGCCGGGCCGCGGCCTTCGTTGTTCCTCGAACAGCCGTTTCCAGGCATATTTTACCGCAGGTGAACAATGAATGAACTTAGAAATCCAACGGAACTCCCTACCTAGGTAGTGTTACCAGCATCTTTAATGCCCATTACCTAGGTGGTCGGAGAACTTGCCAAAGCAACAATCAAAAATCGGCCTGCACTTCAATGTTGTCCAGCACGGGAGCATTAACGCCAACCTGAACCAATGAAATGCAAGGTCTGCCTTTACAATATTATCACTTAGGAATAGGTATGGACTATAGGATGTCTTCACATTCCCCTGCTAGGAAACCTTAGAAACATTCGAATGCCGCAGTTAAGCTGGCAACTCCACGGTCAATACAACCTTGGAACACGGCGTTGCCAGGCTCGTATAGACCTCTGTTTGATTTTGCACTCAGAATAACATGATTGATAACAATTTGAGCAAATAGCATTGGAAATGAGAATACTGGAGGTTTGCAAGAGCTCCGCTCAAGACTATGCAGAGGAAGCACGGTAGCACGGACCGGCAGCCGAACCATCCCAGGGCTACAGTTAGCTTGGTTCTCCGATTATGCAAAGCCTCACCTTTCACCCCGCTCGTTGCTGCGCGATCGGCCCCGTGATTACTACGTACGAATGCGTGTAAGTTGAGCCTAAGACATGCTGCAGACGCCATGCAGCGATCGTCCGGCCCGTCACGATTGGGCCGCCTGGAATTCGCCCACGATCCATGTGGGCTGCTCGCAGTGATGATGTCCCGAGCAAATCACCCGACGGATCGCCGCGGGTGAAATTCAAGGGGTGTTGACATCGTGACGGTCAACCATTATGGTTGTTTGCCTATGAATTTGTGATACTCTTTAAACCAAACGTTCTGAAGCAAACCCCGCCCCCGACTCGAAGTCCCCCGTGCAGACCAAGAAAGATGTTGACACAAGACGGAAACCGCCTCACTTACACCTACGACCACGAGGTTCTCAACCTCGAGCCATGGGGGCCTAATGCACTCCGGGTCCGCTCGACCAAGAGCGACACCATGCCCACAGAGGACTGGGCACTTGATGAGCCTGTGCCCGAGCTGAATCCTGAGATCAAGATCGGCGATGAGCAAGCAACCATCACCAACGGGCTGGTCCACGCCACGGTCTCTCGGGCGGGTAAGATCACGATACATAACACCAAGACGGGCCAGCTCGTCCTGGAGGAATACATGCGCAACCGGGATGATGTGCGCGACCCCAAGGCCTCAGCGTTGTACATACAGGCGCGCGATTTCAAGCCCATCACCGGCGGGGACTATGAACTGACACTGCGACTGGAGTCGGTCTCCAAGAAGGAGAAGCTTTACGGTATGGGTCAGTATCAGCAGCCGTATTTGGACCTGAAGGGGACGGATCTAGAGCTGGCCCACCGCAACAGCCAGGCGAGTGTGCCGTTTCTCCTCAGCAGCCTGGGATACGGACTGCTCTGGAACAACCCCAGCATCGGGAGGGCGGTGCTGGGCACGAATACCATGTCATTTTCTGCGTCAAGCACCAAGAAACTTGACTACTGGATCGTGGTGGACGATTCTCCCAAGAAGATCGTCGAGGCATATTGCGCCGTAACTGGTAAACCCCCAATGATGCCCGAGTACGGCCTCGGGTTCTGGCAGAGTAAGCTGCGGTACCAGACGCAGGAGGAGACGCTGCAGGTGGCGCGGGAATACAAGCGGCGGGACTTGCCCCTCGACGTCCTCGTCATCGATTTCTTCCACTGGCGCGCCCAGGGCGAATGGTCTTTCGACAAGGACTACTGGCCGGACCCGCAAGCAATGTGCGACGAGTTGAGGTCGCTTGGCATCGAGCCGATGGTATCGATCTGGCCGACCGTCGAGCCCGACAGCGAGAACTGGGCGGAGATGCTGGAGAAGGGCTTGCTGATCCGCAGCGAGCGCGGGTTCAGGCACGTCATGGATTTCCAGGCCAACACGACGCACTTCGATGCGACGAAGCCCGACGCGCAGAAGTATGTCTGGTCCAAGGCCGCCAAGAACTACGGGCAGTACGGGATCCGTCTGTTCTGGCTCGACGAAGCGGAGCCTGAGTACCAGCAGTACGACTTTGACAACTGGCGGTACCACCTGGGGCCTTCGCTCGCCGTGGGAAATATCTACCCGCGCAGCTACTCGCAGGCATTCTACGAGGGCGCCACCGCAAAGGACGGCAGCGGGCGGTTCCAGGGCCGCGAGCCCAACACCGTTAACCTCGTGCGGTGCGCGTGGGCGGGTAGCCAGAAGTTCGGCGCGCTGGTCTGGAGTGGCGACATTGCGAGCAGCTGGGGCAGCCTGCGCAACCAGCTCGCAGCGGGCCTGAACATGGGCATCGCGGGCATCTCGCACTGGACGACGGACATCGGTGGCTTCCACGGCGGGGACCCAAAGGACGAGGGCTTCAGGGAGCTGCTTGTGAGGTGGTTCCAGTGGGGCGTCTTCCTGCCCGTGTTCCGCCTCCACGGCGACAGGTACCCGAACAAGCCGCCTCTTTCTAACACCGGGGGCGGCAGGTGCCCGTCAGGTGCGGATAACGAGGTGTGGTCGTACGGGGAGAAGGTTGGCGCGATTCTCGAGCGGTACCTCAAGCTCAGGGAGACCCTGAGGGACTACGTCAGGGACTTGATGACGGAGGCAAGCAAGACTGGCACGCCTCTGATCAGAGCGTTGTTCTTGGAGTTCCCCAAGGATGACCAGGCTTGGGAGGTGGAGGATGAGTACATGTTTGGTGGAAAGTACCTCGTTGCTCCCATTCTATACCCCGGTTTGACCAAGAGGCAGGTCTACTTCCCCACCGGGGCTAAGTGGAAGGAGATGGAAGGCGATAAAGTGTACGAAGGCGGTGCAACGTCAGAGGTTGATGCGCCGTTGGAACGTTTGCCAGTCTTTGAGAGATTGTGACGTACGCCCTGGACCGCTCTAGACTGATACCATGGGAACGCAGCCGAAGCACTGGGTGCACTTCGGGTCGGCGTTCCGCGGGTGTTGATCGAGTAGGAGACATCTTGCAAGTATAAACTCATAGAGATAAGATTGTGTCCCATTTTGCCTGATATTCGGATCAAGTCTTCACAGCATCCAATGTTCTATGAAACGCTTCGAGTAACTCTGTGTGATTTAAACAAAAACAGGACCTAAGGAACCATATGCAGACCGAGAGCCTTACAGCGGCTTATCGACGACGACATGGAGAGGTCATTCTACCCTTTCCAAATGCCGACTCAATACCGCAGGCGATTTCAACAATGAAGCCATAAACCCCGTGAAACTCCAGACCCATCGCTGATTTCCTAAATGAATATGCTGGTATTGAGACCCTGAGAAGCCTCGCAGTGCGCCGAAGTGTGATATGTAGACGAGCCGCCGATTCGTTGCTGTATAAAACCCGCCTCCAGGATCCTCCTGTCACGATTAATCTATCCAGATTATTATATCCTATTGGGGTCACTTCCCGCCCTGTCCATGATCCGTTTGACTCCCTGCAAGAGGGGGTCCAAGGGAAACAAACCCAGGCAAAGGCGGCGTGTCGAAGTCATCCCCCCTGCCCGCTGCAGTCTGTCCCACTGCTGTCGTCGGCGAACCAAAGTACCCATGCATTGAGTTCGTCGCCGGCACAGCAGCCGTAGTGGCGGACTCGTCGATGCTGCCGAGCCGCGACTCGGTCGCCACCGAGCTGTCGCTCCTCCCCCTGCCTCCGCTGCCGTTCTGCCCGTCCAGGGTGCTGACAGTACTATTCCCCCTCCGGCGCGCGTTCGCATGTGTCAGCGGTGGCTTGTTGACCGAGGTTGTTGACAAGGGCGAGACGACGCCCGAGGACCGCCTGCGCGGCTGGCCGGGTCGGCGGCCGCCATTGCTCTCGGTCTCGGTGTCCGACCCCGGTAGCTCCGGGACGGGACCCTCGTTGCCCAGCTCTACCGCGGCGGTCGGGCCGATGAGCGGGGACCCGATGCCGTGCTGGGAGCCCAGCTCGGAATCACTGCCTGCGGATAGCTCGCTGGCGTTGCTGTGGTTTCGGCCGTGGCGGCGGCCGCCGTGGATGAAGCGGTGGTAGCTGTATTGGCTATACTGGGACGATACCTCACTGATTCTTCGGCCCCCGAGCTGGTTGTGTACCCTTGGAGGGAGTGTGAAGTACTCCCTGGAGTTGCTGTCCCCACCGTCCGAGTCAACGCTCGGGGTGTTCCACCGCGGCCCAGCAGCCGAACCACTGTAACCGCTTGGCTGGCTGAGCGTGTCGGAACCACTTCGTGACCTGCCGTTTCCTGGCCGAGGACCCATGTTCTGCCCTTGAGGTGATGCAATGCTCGAGGAAGGCATCATAAGCGGGTCGTAGTCCATTGCATCAAATTCAGACGGGGTCGGTTGTTGCATTCGGACGATGCTGACTTGGGTTGCTGACTTCTTCTCGTTGGTCTGACGGGTTCCGGAGCCTGAAGTTGTTTCGCGGCGGGACTCGACTGCGCGTTTAGTTTTGTTGAGGCGTTTGACGAGGAACCACGCGACAGCCAGGAAGATCACCAGAAGGGCTGCTGCGCCCCCGACAATGCCCCCGATCGCGCCCTTCGAAAGACCACCAGAGCCGCCTCCACCGGATGAGTCGTCGCCTTCTGTAGCCGCCTTCTTTGGGTACGTAGATGGGTAGATTTGGGGGACAACATTCTCGGAGTTAGACGGGTCGCCGGTTACAGTGAACACGGACGTGGAGGTTATCGTTGTTGCCGAGCCGTCTTGCGTGGTTGCAATGACGGCGACACTCGTCGTCGGTGTCACACTGTAGCATTTTGACGACCCGCAAGCCATACCACTCTGGCAGCAGCCGCCACCGAGAGAGGCTGCACACGCGGTGTAGCCAGTGCCAGGGCATGTCTGGGTGACAGTAGCACCAGCAGGCGGGCTACACGCCTGGTTGGCACCACAAATGAGACCTAGACGAACAGACGCGGTGTTAGTCAATGGTCGTGACAAGAGCGAACTCCGAGTATGCACTTGGAATCCGGCCTGCTGAAGTGGCTACATATGTACAGGAGTGACGGACCTTGAGGGCAGCAGCCCCCACCAGATTCGAGCGGGCACGCATAGTACGATGCGAGCCCAGCACACGTCGATACGGCGGCGGTCGTCGCATAGCATGAGTCCTTCGCGCATGAGTAGTCGTTTGGACAGCAGCCGCCGCCCACCGAGGCTGAACACAGACTATAGCTTGTCGGGCACTGGTCCTTTGCACGCTTGTCGAGTTGAGAATCCGGAGTTAGGTGATCTTCGGTGATTTTAACCTTGTAGACCCTGTGCACATATTCGCGCTTCCCGTCGCCTTGGAACATGGCTGCGGCGTGCCTGGGCAAAGCTGCGGATAGCAGCAGCAGAAGCAGCGGCAGCATTGTGCAGGGGGCCCACGACCGCGCCCCACGACTACTCCCCATACCGCGCGTCCCGGCGAGCTCTACCGAGCCTCTCGTTCTGCGCTCCGTCTTGTACGTGTTGCCTTCTCCGGCCAGTCCGTGCGAGTTCGGAAAAAATCAATCATGGGCCGACATGCGGCAGCATGCACGACAATATCCTCATGAACAAGGTCGAGATCGGGACAGTGGCAGAGGTGAAGGAGGGACAGGTGCGCCGGGGACGTATGAGCGAGGAGGAAGTGAGGAAGTGAGGAAGAGAGAGAAAGCAAGGGCCAGCTTCACAGGTCAGCAGGGCAAAAACGGAGAGGGAGAAAGGGAACCGGGCGGTCCAGAACGTGCTGCAATGGGAGAGATGGCTAAGCTATTCTATCCCATCTCGTGGGGGGTGGGGGTGTCTGCAGAGTACTGTGGTAGGAGCACAAGCGCAGTCTTGTGTGTGCGGCTGTTGTTCTGGTGGCTGAGTTTTCGGTCCGTAGGACTTTACGCCGCAGACCTGCAGGCAACGATTCCCTCCCGCACAGCCGGCGCACGATGGGCCGGCGAGCGCAGTCCACTTTTGCGAACACGTCTCTCAGACAACCAGTGAGTGAAACAAGAAAGGTGTGATAAGCACAAAATGTTGCAGACGACAGGAACTCTGTCAGACAGACAGAACAGACTGCCTGCCCCCTTGACGAACTGGCAGGAGGAGCAGTGTGGGGCGGAAGCATGTATGTTTCTAATCTGAGCCCATGTGATGGAACGCTCTGAAGGGCTGAACTGGTGGTATATCAGCCTGAGTAAAGAGATCGAGGACAAGGATCAGAGCGAGTGGAAAATGCTCATCAGGCGCGACGGCAAAGGCCAAAATGCCATGGGTAAGCAGCGGCTGAACATGCTGATGTCCCAGACATGTGGTAGAAGGAACTGAGGATGGGGCCTCTCAGTCAGTCCTGCCAGTGTGGGACGAGCTGCTGCCCTTCACACGTAGAGAGTCCCGATCTGGACACGGCCGCGGCGATGGCCGACAGTGCCGAATCCTGTTGCCTTGCAGGTGGCCCTGCCGCCAATGTCGGCGCTGGGCTTCGTGCCTCTCAGTATCAGGCGATAGAGGGTGTGTCTGTTGTGGATGCACCGAAGGATGTCCCAAGGCCGACGAGGGCCAACGCTGCCGTGAGCATCTGGTGGATTTGAGCCAATGGAAAAACCGGGGAGGGAAAGTCAGCCGTCTTGGCCGCTGCAATTGGACCCAAACGTAACCCCAGCCTGCAGGAGGAGTGGCTGGTGCCAGAAAGGGAAAGGCCCTGCATGCCTGATGGGTGGGCATCGCTTCCGAAGAGACATGCATACGCGCTGTCTTGCCTGTCTGCACGATGTGCGTGAGTCTGACATGCATCCTTACCGAGGAGCATTGTCTCGTGGGCCCGTCTTGCCCGTCTTGCTCTTGCCAGTGGTGAGACGGATCGAATCGAAGTGAGTGCCACTTAAATGTGGCTTACCACCAGTTGACTAAAGAGCCTCTAGATATTGCTCCTGCAGTCGATGGCACAAGGCCACCAATGCTTTTGCGTGGGGTGGCCCGAACGCGTGACACAACGAGAAGCATCTTCTGTGCAACAGCACCATGTTGTATGCTCAGCATTCGTAGTCATATCTTACCGCATGGTCCTGCCGGGCGTGCCGTCCAGGTTGGATTGACAAATTCGGGATCCGGTCGGCGCGGCCTGCGATGCTTGAGCCATGTGAAAACCACAGGGCTGACTTCAGGATGGGTCGTGGGCATCTCCTGCAAGAGTTCGGCAAGGTTCCGAGGAGCCTCACCTCCGAGGGATTCCGGTGCTCGGGAGACATGACGGAGGAGAACAGGACTGGCGAGCGTGACACACATCTCACCGACAGCTTGCAGGGTCGAAACCAATACCGGCCCAACAGGTCTGACGGTGATTCAGAAGGTCAGAATCGAAAATGTGCCGTCCACAGGTCTTGTAAGGTAGGGAGATTTGGTAGATGCCCTACTGCAAAGGCGGGGTGAAAGGTTCGTGCTGATTCATTTACTTGCAGATGTTTCGGTCCCCTTGCATGTGAGCTGTTACGGCCTCTACACGCACAGTATACCGAGTACGTGCAGGTCCCCTCTCATCCTCGGGATAGGTTTACGAAAGGCAGCACGACGGAAACATTGACGGTTGACGTGGGACTGGTCAGCGATACGGATTGAAAGAAAAGGTCGGTTCGGTTGTGAGAGGTGAGCTGCAGTCGTCGGCGCTGGAAGGCCTTGCTGCGGAAGTGGTTGGTGCAAAAGTCTCACATCGTCCTCCGTGTCTACAGGTCCATACAGCCAACCCATGAATGGCAGAATGCATCCATTGGTGCCGACTACCTCTGGCTACCAGGCATAGCCTTGGAGTTTGTGCACATGTACCTATTGGGGTTTGGCAGAAGGACAGCCGAGCATACCAGAGTTGCGGTGACGCAGTCTCGCAGTTCGATTCTCTAGTCTAGTGCTTCCCGTGGCCCGCAAGCCCATCGCCCTCGTATCCATCCCTCATCTCTCTTGGGAGTCCTCCAACCCATCCCAGCCCGACCACCTGCCGGATGGGGCCTTCTCCGAGCAACCCAGGTACTTGGCCCGCACCAACGGCCCCAGCACGGTCAATTTATTTGTAGCTCATAATTAGACTGCCTGGCATTGCAGAGTCGCCTCCAGCACCTGCACCGACATACATCCCCAGAGTGCCAGAAGTGCCCGAGCGACGGCTCTAGCTGCCTTCTAGTCTACGGTACGACTTCATGATGCAAGATCTCCCAGATCGTGGGCTTGGGCTAGAAATAGCTCTTCCGTAGCGCCGGCGCCGTCAAACTGTGTCTACGGTGCTCCGTTGTGTTGCTTCTGTGGCGGATGGAGAATAGCGTCTTGGGAAATTGGGGTTCCTAGGTTTCCCCAGATTTCTGGGCATCCGAGTCTCCTTGGCCCTCCTACCCTCCCTCACATCACCCCGTCTCTGTCCGCCTGGGAGTCCCCTGCTCCCACTTTAAACCTGCCAGTCTCCCAGGGATGAGCAAAAACAAATATGCTCAAGTGTACAGTGGTAGTTAAAAAGAAATGAGGTCGAATCTAGGATGAAGTGCGACAAAAACCAAAAGTGTCGACAGCGATCGGATTTGAACCGATGCCTCCGAAGAGAATAGATTTCGAGTCTATCGCGTTAGACCACTCCGCCACGCTGCCATGTTCCATTGCTTTCCCAAAGGTGTTATATAATCATAACAGTTTGCTATGGTACAAAGTTCCCCACACCTGCTATCAGCATCTCCTGGGAGCCAGTTATCATGTACTTTGAAAAAGTACTTAATCACGATGGAAGGAACTTGGCAGATTAGAGCTTCTGTCCCCTTTTGCGCACCGATATCACTCAACTACCCAACAGATCTGAGCGCTGTATGAGAATCGCCTCATGGCGCGCCACCTGTCAGCCTGCATGCTCGTGCGGCCCGACACGATGTTGGCACAATATTGTTTGACGCTAGAAGTGACAGCTTTCCGTGATAGTATTGCTCGGATGATAGTGTTCTGTGCATGGGCGCTGGGGCGCAGGGCTGAGAGCATGCGTTCCCATGCAGCTGGTTGGCATGGCGGGCGCGTGCTAGACTACTACATAGTAGATATGCTATGTAGTAGTGTCCACGGGTAATATCTGGACCGTCGGCGGTGCCAGCGGGCCACGGGCCACGGGCCACGAGCCTGAGCAGCTGGGCAGGCTGGGGGGCCAGGCCCAACACTGGACCAAAGTTACCAAACCCCGCATGGCTCGCCCTCTCTCCACTTCCAAGCCCGCAGGTCCATCAATTAGGTGTCTCGGCCGCCCCAAGCTTAACCCGGAATGGGGCAAGATCAGGTCCACCTCCGCCGTGCTGTGACCTTGGTTCGAGGACCAGGGGCTGCCCAGGCCCGTGGTGGGGGATGGGGAAAGAAAGCTTTGGCTCTGTGGAAGCCACAACGGGTTGGGGGAGCCCCAGGCCCCAGGCCCCAGGCCCCAGGACCCCATGAGCCCGGGCACTGGGGCTGGAAGGCTGGCCAACCTGGCTAACAAAGGCCGTAGGTACCGTCCAGGCGGACCTTGCCCGTAACGGGCGTGGTGGGCAGGGGAAGCGTAAACTACGAGAGTCCAGAGTCCAGACGCCATCGTGACTCGATTCCAAGTATGGCTTGTGACCGCTCTGGATCTGACCTTGGACCTTCTCCTTTCTCCTCGCACTTTTCCATATTGTCCCTTCCCTCTCTCCCCCAGACCGACGACCTCTTCTCGACCGACATTCAACGACCTGGCCGACTGATCCACCGAGTTGCGCAGCCTGCGCCCTGCGATCGCCACCCCCCAGAATCCCCAGACCCCAGAATTCCCGTCCCGTACCGCTTTGCTTGTCTGCGACCCCAATTTCCACTCCCACATCCACGACTCGTCCCCCGCAGTCCGAGTGTTCGACCTGGCGCGTCAGCGACATTCGCATAATAGACTGCGCCCACACCCCGACTCGTCGAATTTCCGCCCACCAGGCCATGGTTGTTTTCAAAATCATGAGCCATTGTTGAACTTGTCTGAGATTGTAAAGAGTAGGAGACCCGACTGCACATAAAGGATCGACGGCGCTGGCATTTGAAATATCACAAACCCCAAAATCTCGGAACGTCATGGGTTCAATGTTGGAGCCCGGCAGGATGTTGTTATATACGAAAGTGGCGCCCCCCAAAGCCCCCAAGAGACGGTCGAGGGCAGGTATGTTCATTCCAAGACAACTCAATCAGTCTATTTCAGCCACACGTCGACAGACTCAATCCCGATCGCCCCCTACATGTTTGGGTGGGAACCTGCATCACGTCACATATCATACATACACCTTCAGTCCTCCCTCCAGACTCACCAGTCATCACAATGCCTACGCTTCTCGAGTGCATGATTTGAGCTGACCACGAGACTTGTTTGTGTTTCACCAGGCTGTACGTTTTGGTAAGTAGCCTCCTGCGCGTCAATGACGCCACCTCCACACAACTCGTTGCACATCGGCTGACCATGCACAGTAAAGAAAAGGTTCGTCCGATCTCCATGTCTCAGGATCCAGTACCACCCTCTTGCACTGATGCCTGCGGGTAAGCTTCGCCAGCAGAGCTTCCGCTGACGACCCTCACAGAAGAAGAAGTGCGACGAACTCCGGCCATCCTGCTCACGCTGCGCCGAGCGAGGCCTCGACTGCTCGTACGAGGCAGTGCGGCCCCGCCAGAGGAGGAAGCGGAACTCCAATGCCTCATCCACAGTCACCAGCCAACTCGACCGGAGACTCTCGTTCGCGTCGACCCGTCGCTGGTCAGTCGGTAGCAGCGGCAGTGTCGAACACCATGATTGGTATCACTACAACGTCGACACCAAGGGCGAGCCGGTCCACCTCATCAGCCCCATCGACGGAACCTTTGACGCCATCTCCCTGCCCACCATGTCCGACTTGAGCTGCAGCAGCTTCAGCCCCATCGCCGAGTCTGCCGTTGAATTCGAAGAGGACGACGCCCACGCCCACGCCCACGCCCACGCGGACGGGAGCGCAGGCGCGGGTACGAGCCGTGCCGTGGTGACCCACGTCTCCAAGCCGCCGGACCTGGCCATGATCGCGCCGTGCCCTGTCGGCTCGCCGCTGCTTGACTTCTACATCCCTGCCTTCTCCGAGTTCTCGGATCGGACAAACCGGCGTGCCCTCGTAGCGCACTTCTGCGAGAGCCTCAGCCACCTCATCGTCTTCCGTGAGGAGAGCGGGAACCCGTTCCGGGAGCTAGTCTTGCCCCTGACAGCCAAGAGTTCCCCGGTTATGAACGCAATTTACGCCCTGTCCAGCGCACACATGGAATACCGCGGGGTGACAAACCAGGAACAGTCGATGTACTTCCATGGCCAGGCCATTCAGGGCCTTGCGGCTCTGATCGACCAGAAGGCTAAGACCGCCGAGAATAGGAATGAGTTGTTGGCAGCCATCATGCTACTGGTGTATTATGAAGTGGTATGTGAGGAATCTGCTTATCTATGCGTATTTTTACTAACCCTTCCTGCAGTTGGTTCAAAGGGGCCGGTCCAATTTAGTTGATGGCCATCTTAAAGGAGCCATGACCATCATGAACTCATATCCAGTAGCAACAGATGCTACTGGGATTTTCTTAGAACGAGTATGTCATCCCCGATGATTGATCTGCGCTTATCACTGAGCTCTACTGACATGTGCAAAAGGCATTCCGATTTTACGACGTTATTGCAGCCCTTTCATTCGGCACAGCGCCCCTTTCACAAGCCCCAGGGAAGGGCTGCCTCCACCCATTCCCTCCCACCGGAGCCCCGGTCACGTCCTCACTCAGCTCCGTCGACACTCTACTGGGCATGGCAACATCGCTGTGGCCAATAATTCACCGCCTATCCAAGCTCTCGTCCGACAAGACAGAACTGGAGAACGCATGCCGCGAGGGCCAGCCCTCGTCCATGATCGCCGTCCTCAAGACCGAGTTCGAGACAAACTCACAGGCGATCGAGAGGGCGCTGGAATCATGGCAGCCGTACCTGCCGCCCGGGTTTAACCCGGACGACCCGCCGTCGCCGGAGACGGATGAGCGGCGGCACGACACGGAGACGGCGGAACGGTCGCGGCTGCACTCCATCTTCAACAACGCCATGGCGTACCGGCACAGCGCCTTCGTGTACCTGTACCACACCATCTACGGGTACCCGCGCAGCCACGCGTCGGTGCAGACGCACGCGCACACGGCGCTGTGGCACTGCCTGCAGACGTGCTCGCACGCGGGGCCCATGGGCGCCCTGCTGTGGCCGCTGTTCGTGGCGTCGTGCGAGGCGGTCACGGAGCAGGACCGGAAGCTGGCGAGGGATGCCTTTGCGCTTGTCGAGAAGAGGCAAGGGATGATCAACATCAAGTGGGCGTGGGATATCGCACAGGAGGTGTGGCGGCTGGCCGACGCTATGGAAAGCGAGGGAGCCGCCGCCGAGGGAGCCGCCACCGAGAGCAGTCACGGTGGCGGCGCGCAGCAGGTGGATGGCCTGGGCGAGTTCCCCGTCGCTGGGGCGCTCTCGACGCCGGACCTGTGGAGAAAGGTCAGCAAGCAGATGGGGATCAGTATAGTCTTTGGGTGAGCGGGCCGGTGCGGAGGTGACGGAGCCGCCGTGGCGGCGCACTGGTGTAATGATACGACGTGTAATCACATGGGTCAGGGCGTATTGGGCAGGGGGTGGGGAAGCATTGCACGGTGAAAATCAGACCTCCTCGAGGCCGGGGAATATTTGGTCTTCCGGGGTTGGGGAAAACTATTGACATGGGTGTCTCATTGTGGTCAGTTGGGTTATTGCAAACTCGTGTACAACTGCGTCAAGGTGCCTGGGCATACAATTTGGTGAATCCTATTTTAAGGCTTTGGAGTCTTGTCTCGACGCGAAGACACGGACCGTTTCTACGACGTGATTTTACCTCGACGAACGAACCTCAGCAGAAAAAGGTCTGTACAGTCTGTACCTGACGGGAATTCGACAGGGAGCTCTGCCCTCAGCCCATGGCAGCATGCCATTTTGTGAGTTCATGCCCGTAAACATCTCCGGAGCTGCGCACCGTTTCACAGGAGGAGCAAGTGCTACGCAATCTATCGCCCAGAGACTTGTTTGTCCCGGACCGTTTTTCTTGGGCGAACAACCACCACTGCTCTGTCAAGGCTGCACACCAGTTGACAGTGGTGCCTCCAGGCTGAGATGTGTTCGGACAACCACCTCCGAAACTCTCAGATTGGACTCGGTGCCATTACCAAGCCGGTGTGGCGACTGAGGTGTTACCTACTGCGTTCAAATCTTTTGTTTATATGAAGACTTCCCAAGAGCGCCGCCAAGATGGTTGTTCCTCCCCCACCCCCTGGCGAAATAGGACCCTGGAGACTACTACAGTCAATAAACTTTTTCGGTCCCGTCCCCTGCCCTATACGGCACATCCATTAGGCCGGGTATGGCCCGAAGCTAGACGATGACCTGAGGTCTGAGGTCGAAGAAGAGGGAGTGAGACTCGTGCGTCGGACGCCATTGTCGTACAAGGCCCTGCATGTCGAGACCAGCGTGATCGGATGAATGTGTGGCAGAGCTCGCTCGAGGAGTGTGTCCCGCATTTGACTTGGATCGTGGTCTGCAGCAGTCAAAGTGGATATTCCCCAAGCAATCCGGCAATCGAGTTCGTCCTAGCGATGAGACGATGGAGAGGTGGAGACTTGCAGCTCGCTCTAATATTTTTATTGGTTGACTGCTTGGAAAAGGAAGACAGCGCAGTGCCGGGAGGCTCTTTCTACAGTTCTCCGTACTTCCTGTCAGGGCAGTGTTGGAGGGAAGGTGGGGCCCGCCCGGCGAGGCAAGATATCGATTTCGCGAATGCCATGTCGCGTCATGCCTCCACGAGTCCAGGCCCAATCTTTTTTCCCGTCCCATCTGTTATTAGACCCTTTCATGATCGCACGTTGCGTGCCCGTCCTGCCGTCCCGAAACTCGAAAACCCAATCAGAACAGGACGAGGACATGCTCGCCCAGACTCACGGCCACTCGCATCGGCAACAGGCATGGACTGGCTGTCGTGCCCACCCGCTCGGAGTTTCCTTTGCTCTGGGGCACCCGAGCTGCAGATTCCCCTTCGAGGGTGGCATTCGACCGGCCGGCCGAGCAGCTACTGAGACGGGCGGGCGAGACAGGCTTGACAGGCAGGCATGGATTGGTTCGAAGGGCCTTCTCCGCACCCCAAAGGCCAATCCCCTCTCGTCCGACGTCTCCAGGTTGACATGGATGGCCGTGCAAGCCGTGCAACATGGATTCCACCTCCAGGCCTTCGTCGAGCAGTTGTACAGTGCAAGTCTGACAAGCAGACAAGCAGACAAGCAGACAAGATGTATCAGCCAGCGCGGGCGGTGCAGATTCAACCACCACCTGACGGCTCAGATGAGCTCTGCCACATCATACACCACCCAGCTCCAGCTGCAGCTCTGCCAATGTCGTCTGGGTAGCCAGGCCTGCCGCCAGCCAGCTGACTCGCCCCGCCCAGCCCGCCCGCACCCTCAGGCTGGTCGCCGATCCCCGACCGTGGGAGCTGGCTCCGGGGCCCCGCATCCACCCAGCCTTGCCAGCCCACCAGGCGCCCCCAGGCAGCCCCAAGTCCCAACCCAGCATCTGCCGGACCCCGAACCTGGGGTGCCAGTGCTCCGTCATTGCTGGCGCCTTTCCCTCCCATCCTGCATCTCGCTCCGTTGCAGTCATCCGCTTCGTCCGTGACAAGGCAGGACCCACGTCTCGCTCGCACGCGCTGCAACGATCAGCCACCTGCTGCCTGTTTCGCCTATGGTCCAGCATCTCTCATGCCGCCCGAATCCCCTCCGTGATGGCGACTCCGTCGACCGGCGCCGTACCGCCCCCGAAGCAGATCCGTTTTGTCAACAACCAGGGCCAGCCCCCCTCCAAAAGGCGGCGCGTGAATGCAGCGTCAGTGCATATTCTCCATGCTCCATCCTACCTCCATCACCTCGACTCCTTCCGACCCTCTACATTGCGTCATCTGTGTCCCGGTCTGTGGGGAGCCGCACCTCAGGCTGCCTACGACTGCAACTCAAGCCATTGTGTTTACCTGGGAGGCAATCCGGCCTGCTGACTTTGGTACATATCCTACAGATGTCTTACTTGCCGGAAACGGAAGACGCGGTGCGACGGAGAGAAACCGACCTGTTCGACGTGCGATAAGAATGGCCACCAGTGTCTTGGATACCCCGAGCAGAATGACAGGCTCAGGACAGACTCCGCCATCTCTCCTGTCAAGGTGGAGGGAGGAATCGGTACTTCGCCCATCGAACCCGAGGACGACCACCTCACAGATGTCCTCGACAGCAAACACCTCGGCCGCCGCCCATCAGAGCCCCGGAATGGTACAAGTCGCCACTCCGAGACCACGCTCGAATATAGCTCTACACACAAGCCACGCAGCGACTCGTCCTCCACAACGAGCGGCGGCACCATTGGGAAATCGAGGAAGGACATCAACAAGGATTGGGCTACGGAACCATCAAAACCACAAACTCCAGAAAAGTCAGCAAAGAGACCCCCGTTCCAGCGCACCGTCTCCTTTTCCGACGATGGCCAAAGCCCGAGTACCCGATCACCTGTCCAGCACCACCATGAGACTCACAAGGTCCCCTACTTCCGCTACTTCGGACCGACTGCTATTGTACCGGGCTATAAGCAGATGGTGGTCAACGTGCACCACTATCACCGACGCAGGAGCAGAGGAGGCTCTGCCTCGGTCACCTCCCCCGAGTCTGGGTCCATGTTGAGCCACCACAGCCTACCTTCGCACGCCGACACTGTCCTGCAGGCAATGGAAGAAGTGCCTGCATACGACCCAAACGACCCTGGCCCCGTCCACCCTACCATAATCAACCTGATCAAGATCTTCTTCGTACATCTTGGCTGTAGCTACCCGTTCCTGCATGAGGAGCGCGTGCTGCGCATGGTGAAAGAGAAGAGGCTGGACGCAATCCTGGTGGACGCAATCTGCGCCTTGGCGGCCAGATTCTCGACCGCGACGGACTCTTTGGGTGCCGCCGGAGAAGGGTCGAAGTGGGACTACGGAAACGCTTTTGCGCAGAGGGCACGAACCGCGACGGTTGATGCATTCCCATGTCCCTCAGTCGGCGCAGTCCAAGCTTATTTGCTCATGGCTTACGAGGGCTTCGGCGCGGGCCAGGATAGTACTCTGTGGATGTATCTTGGTCTTGCGATACGCATGGCGTTCGACCTGGGCCTACAGAAGAATGAGGGCGTCCAATTCCGAGGCGATAAAGACCCATGGTACACTCGGTCCTGGAACCATGCAAATGGCGATGAGGAGGACACCAGTACCGCGATACCAAAAAGCGAGACGCTGAACCCTGAAGAGCAGCAAGAGATCGTCCAGGAGCGTGTCGATACCGCGTGGGCCATCTATATCCTGGACCGCATCATTTCCACCGGCACCGGTCGGACTGTCACCATCAAAGACGAGGAATTCGAATTACCAACCCCGGAGCCACTGATCGACCCAGCCTCAGGCTGGCCACTTCCTTATCCTGCGTTCATCCAGATCACTCAGTTCTACGGCCGCGTCTCCGATGTATTGAACAAGATCAACAAAGTGCAGGACCTTACAGAAGAAAAGATGGCTATACTGGCAAAGATTGAAAGTGATCTGACCCGACTCTACCACAAACAAGACCCCCGCTTGCATTTCAATCCGCTGCACTTCCAGAATTACGTCAAGCATGGGCAGGGCACGACTTTTATTTTGCTACATGTCTGGTTTCATGCCTTGATCATTGTCCTGCACCAACCGCTCCTGACATCCTTCGGCATCAGACAGCCTCAATTGACATCACATAGTCGAGAACTGGCCATGTCAAGTGCCAAAACGATTGCCGATATTCTCGCCCTGGCCGAACTCATCGACCCGAAAAGCTACATCGGCAACCCGTTCATATCGCAGCCCATGTACATTGCTGCGTGCGCTTTCTTGACCGAGTCGGCTGCCGTTGCCTCACAACCCGTCTCGAGGGATGCGTCTCCACCGCTTGCGAACGCACCCATCAACACAAACTCGGCCAGACCGACTAATAAGAAGACCAAGTCAGGCGCAGAGTCAAGATCTTCCAAGCATTCACTATTAGCTGATGCCGCAAATCAAAATTATCAGAGGTGCTACAAGGTTCTGCAACAGCTCATCATGTATTGGAATGGTGTCAACTACATTCTCGTCGCATTAGAACATAGGTCAAAGGGCGTTTGGGACTGCGAGACCTATACCGCCGAGGAGTACGAGAGCACAAAACTACCTCGCCGCCCTACTTCATTAAGTCGCTTTGCGCGGCTCGATAATCCATCTTCACCCCAGCCGAGCGCCCCTCCGATTGCATGGTCGCTCACTGGAACAACAAATTCACCAAATTCGAGTCTCACACTTTTGTACCAGAACATGAACGCGGGGGGTACGCAGACTCAAGGCCCTACCCATCCGCCTCCGTCAGCTGCACCTCAATCCGCTCCAACGCCCCCAGGCAACATGATCTACGATCCGATACGCCAGAGCCTTCCGGAGACTCCAACAGCGTTCTCCTCGACTTTCCCACAGCAGAACATGTCTGCTATGCGCTACTCTGCGAACAACTCGGCCGCGCACCGAATGACCCCGTCGCTATCGACTAGCCTTACCTCGGACGCCAGATCAGGCCTGACGCCTGACGTTGGCCCCGGTACACCTGCAACCGGTGGCGCCAGGCTTCAGGTTCTGTCTGGAATCGCGAGTGGAGGTCCTGTTCACCCGCCACTGTCGACCCATCCGTTCACACCATCCTCGAACTACGAATCTTCTGTCCTTCAGGGCACCTCGCCACCGAACTCACTTAGTGACCCAAACTCTGTCCACCACCAGCGCATGCACCAGCTCAACCACGGCGCCCCGAGCCACACATCAAATGATGTGGTTGGGAACTATGGGCATGATTTCGCACAGAATGGCCTCGCCTCTGGTTCATACCCTTACTTCGGTGCTGGACCAATAGCTGACGCTATCACGGTGGAAGAGATCAACATTGGATCACTCGGACTACCAAACGATATGATGCCGCCATGGGATTTCTTCCCCGGTGACTTTACAGGGCTTTTCGATTCGAATAACCTTGGGGGAGGCGCCGACAACCACGGTCACATGTGATAATTGCGCAATTTCACTATTATGTCTTGGCCTTTATCCCCCCCCCTTTTTTTTTCTAGATATTGATGATGATTCGACGCCACGGAGCACTGTGTGGCGTTCGTATTTGTGATGTTCTGAAGTTCTGCATGTTGACATCGGAACTATTAGTTCTTGACAATTTCTCTTCGGTGGCATGCTATATCAAATGCAAAGACTGCTATTCGCGCATGGAGGCAATCGTCTTTACACAATGGGGTTGGAAAATGAGTCAGGCTATGCAAGAATGCGACCCAAAGGTCAAGCGTGGGCAATGTTTATCTGGGCGCTTAGGGGAATCATGGACTGGAACATTTTATTGCTTCGGACTATACATGTTGTGACAATGCAACCGATGACGGTTGGCGTTTTCGAGTTGTGCGTACGAAAGATGCCTCAAAATTATCAAAACCATTGAGCGTGGGTTGATTCCCACGACTGCATCCCGTGCTTTGTTGTCCCTTCGTTCCAGTCTCTGCCATGTACCTGCTGAATATCGCTCTCGTGATTCCAATGTGCGATGACCACGCCGGATGATGTCGCATACGTGCCAGCCTCATCCTGCTGTCTGAAGCACCCAAACTCCAACGGCCCCCACCCCCGGGGTGCTGACCTCTCCTTTGCTACTCGAGACCTACGCAAGGTCTGGCCAACCACAACCCAAACCAGACACCTCAAGCCGAATGCGAAGGGTGAGGATTGGTCCCGGGGAAGTTGTTGTCCGCCTCGGCCCGCGCCCTAGCATCGAGTGCGGTGGCGTCCGGGCCCGAGCTGCCCGCCGCGCCGACGGGCTGGCGCGGTTGGTGTTGGCCGCGGTTGATCTTGGGCTGGTCCCCTGCCGCGGCAGTGGTGCCTGTGGCGTTGGGCTCGCTTCCTAGGCTGTCTGGTAGGGTCTCGTGATCTGGGCGGGTTCCTGGTGGGGGCTGTTGTTCCGAGGTCGGTGGGTGGTTATCTTTTTGGGGCGGTGATTCCCGGTTTGGGTGGAGGACTTTCTTGATTGTGTCCATTTTGATGCTTTTCTCGAATGAGGGGTATCTTATGTTCCAGTACGTAGCTTTGATGGTGTTTATTGTAGGTCTGGTCGGGTGATATGTCATCAACCTTGGAAGCTGAACTTGGTCAATGGTAGGTGAGGGAGAGCGCCGGTGTGGTCCGCTTTATTTGATTTGTGTCGTTACAGTCCTCAATGGTAGGTGACTTATTTGGATTCACATATAGTCCGGGGTAAGACAGAACCGGATTGCTGGACAAGTGAGGTTTGCTGTATGTTGTTCAGTCGCGCATCCAACTTCATCATGCACATGTGGCGTGCCGCAGGTGACCTGCGCTGTGAGATGACGTCGGCGTGGACTTGAGTACTGTAGCTCCACATCCAGTCCCTCTTCCGGCGGTGTTGCGTGGATGCGACGTCGAATTGCGGGACCACCACATCCCGGGAGCGCCTCTGCTTCTTGACCAGTCGACTGCAGCGGTATCTCGATGGGAGATATGCATGGAATAAACTTCTCGCTCTGGTTATTCTTGAAAATCGCGCCATCATCTCCAGTGGTGGGGTGTGGTTTGATCACGGTGTGTTCCTACCACTGCGGGCATAAGGTGTGCCATTGGTGAGAGACTCGGATTGTGTGCTATTAAACTAGGTATGAACTTCTTAGGTTCCAAGACTGACGTTGTTCGTTAAAGTAGTGTTGTATAGATAGCCTCAACTGAGAGCCGGGTATGTTGCGCATTATTCATCAAGAAATAGAAAAAAGAAACGGGTTTTTTGCACTTGACCCTCAATCTCGTTCCTCCTTGAACGGATCCTCAGACACCTTCCTGCTGAGCTCCATATAAACCGCCGTGCCCTGGACACTGACCGTGGCACAGCCAGCAATCTCGCTCTCGGTAAAGCTCATGCCGATGATGGCGTTGCCGCCCCTCGAGACGCAGTCCATGACCATCCTGTCTGTGGCAGCGTCCCTCGCGTTGTAGATGATGTTGGTGAGGCTCCTGACCTCGGCACCCATCCCGACGGCAGTCTTGAGCCACATCTTGACGCCGTCCTTGGGCAGCGCCGCGGTCGTGTTGCCGTAGACGGAGCCGATGACCCTGACCACGCGGTGGCCTGGGATCTCTGCGGTTGTGGATGTGAGGACGGACGGGGACTGGCAATGTGGCTGGCCATCCGCCTGGGTGCTGTTGTAGACTGGCGGTGCTACGTCGCCGTAGGTGCCCGGCGTGATGGTGAAGGATGAGGCACGGCGGCACCATGTTTGCCGGTTGGGATTCGCCTTGTCGACGGACATTGGGCCACCGACGGGGCCTCCGAGCAACGAACGGCGGTTGGACAGCATTTTGATGTTTTGAGTGTTGTGTGTTGTGGTGTGGTGTGGCGTTGATATAAGAGAGGTAGGTGGTGGGTGAGTTTTGATGTTTCGTTTCAACAGCTCAGGGCTGGACTACCGTTTGACTTGACAAGTCCCAAGAGAGCGGGTGATGTGCGTCGATAGACTGAAGAATCTTGTCGAGCCCGAGAGCTTGGGGAAAAGAGCCCGGGTCTCGCGCGCGAGATATACTCAAGCTTCGGGGCAAAGAGGACGCCGCGCACCGCCCAGACCGACAAGACTGCTTGAACAGCCAAGATGAGGCCAAAACCATGACGCCAGAAGCGAACGCGACCCGCAGCGCAAGTGCAGGGCCAGCTCTTTTCGCCTTGTCTGCCAACTATGTCGGCGCCTCTGCTCAGCATCTTTACCGATGCGGTTGTTCGAGACGAGCTCCTGAAACACTGCTAAGCTCCCCATCCCTGCGGCAGGGCGGGTGTGCGCATCGGGAAGAGTTGCTTCGCGCGACGTGCCAAGCCGCTTCCAGGAGGTCGGGTAAAATGGCCAGGGGCCGCTTTGTGAGCCTCCTTGTCCTCCCACTGCAAAGGAGGGTCGCGTGGGTTCAAAGGTGCGACTCGAGAGAGCGAAAACGAAGCTTGCCCCTGTCCGGTTGCGCGGGCTCGACGAACCACCGCCCCTCATGATCGCCATGAGGGACCCGTGGACCTTTTCAGGGTGGCTTGGGGCTTCACGAAAATTAATGCATCCCGCCCACGATGGGGTGACATGGCTTGGAACTCACCTTCACCTCCTTGCGGCCAATCTTGGGGGTTTCCTTGATTTCGCTTTGACAAACTTCCCCCGTTTTCGCACCGGCAAGAAGCGAGAACGAACTATATCTCTCAGGATAATATCATCAAGGGCTGTTCTCGGGAGACCGCCAAGATCAATGATGGAGGTGAGCAAGTTCACCACTTGTTACTCCAACACAACAAATTTTATCCGAACAAAAGTCTTGAAGTGAAAAACCAGACAGCTCAGCTGACATTCGAGGGATATTCTACAGTCAAGGCACCTCAAGTTTATCATAATGCGACGACTCGGAACTTGGGGAAGTCAAACCTTACTTGGAATGACTACAAGTCTGGACAGTGTCAACCGCAAGCACAGAAAGAGGTCATTGAGAATATGTGCAGTTCCAGACACTGACTTTAAGTCTTGGGAGAGTGAGTGCCGTCGCGTGTGAGCTCAGTGAGATCACGCAACACTTGAGCACAGCGCAACAATCCGACAGGGACAGCTCAGCCTAATCAAGTAGAATCACTTCGACGGTTACATTGACCGAGCCCAGCAAATATCCAAGTCTGGTATAAGTACTTTTGCAGGTGTCTGTCAAATAGGTGCCTAGGTATGGTATTGTTCAAGTCACATTTAACACCGCGCATTCTCCAATTTCAGCTAATACTAGTACTACGCCGGAGCCAGAAGAGCACTAGAGGTGTCCTACAAGACGAGAGACCGTGTATAATCTCAACTATGCAATAAAATTCACTGTAGAGCTTGGGGTTTCTCTATGCCTTCTACAGTTTCGTTGGCAGAGATCGCTTTGCCGAATTGATTCCGCCTTGTGATGGGCAGCGGCTATCTTGCTCAATCCTAGGTATAGCCTGAGAACACGTGGCGCCTTGTGTTCATGCATTCATATTGCTCATGCCGCTGATGATTAAGCCTTGAGGGCATATAATATCCGAAGCGGCACGTTCACGGGTACTCCCCATATCTACATGCTGGCATATTCGATACCAGTCGAGTCCCACTGATCAAATATATATATGCATGTAGCGAGAACTAATCTTTCACTGGCCCTCCGTAATCCACCCGCTCGCGTTGAAGGTGGCATAGAACAGCTTAGTCTCAGCGCAGATGACCATCCTGCCGTCGCCCGCAAACTTGAAGTTCGCGCTGGTCGTGCCGAGGTAAATCTTTCCAACAAGCTTCCCGGAAGGGTTCCACACCTGGATGCCGTCGCCGCAGCCCGCGTAGAGGTTGCCATTAGTGTCGGTGTGGATGCCATCCGGTGCGCCGGAGTCAACGTAGGCGAAAGTCTTGCGGTTGACCCAGGTGCCGTCATCGAGGACGTCGAAGCGGTAGCTATTGGTAGTTTGGCTGGTTAGCATTGTGACAGTCTTGGCAGAGGACGTGGGCCGCATGGGAGGTCTTACATGGATGCTGGGTCTGAGAAGTTGAAGCCGTAGAAGCCCTTGTTGATTCCCGTGTCCGCGACGTAGGCATACGCGCCATCTGGAGAGAATGTGATACCTGTGTCACATTCAAGTCAGCGAATCTGCCGCCCACCAAATTTTCTTGCTCGAGACCTTGGGCGACTCCAGGAGTCCGTACCGTTGGGCAGCACAAATCCATCCGCGACGACCGTAACCGCGCCGGTCTGGTCATTCCAGCGGTAGACCTGGTTCCGGAGCCCAGGGGCGGGGCGGAAGTCCTGCAGGAACCCATATAGGGTATCTGTGAAGTAGACCTCCTTGTTGACGGGGTGAATGGCGACGTCGTTCAGGGAGCTGAACTGCCGGCCAAAGTAGTTGTTCAGCACGACGGTCGTGTTGTATGGTTCCCTTGGGTTCATGACAACAGCGTTTGACGTGTTTTCGGCACCAGCACCCTCTGCCATGTAGAGGATCTGGCCCTTGTAGTTGGTAGCTCCGTTGGGGTTGATAACCTGTGGGTTGGACGGCACAACCTCCACCGTGACCTGTCCGGTCGCGTTGGCCTGATCCTTGACTGCATCTGCTTGTGACAGAGCGATCTTCTGGATGATGGCTGACTTGTCGAGCCCTGTGCCTGCGGCTTTTGCGCCGGCATTTTGGACGAAGAAGACCTCATCGGTTGACTCGATCCTGCTCGATGGTCAGCCTGGATTCAAAAACGAGCTGATGATGAGGAACTACACACCAGACCACGGCTTCGTGAAACAATGGGTCCGTTTCCGTCTCCGCGATCAGTGTCAATGTGGGCTCCGAACCGATGATGGACTGGAACTCGTCGTCGTAGATGTGGAACGGCTTGGCCAAGAGGTCTTCCGGTGAGACGCCCGGGGGCATAAAGACCTGACTTCCATTCACGACAGTGGCGGGCAGCACGTTAGGCAGGACGTTGAAGCTTCTTTGGTCGATAACCTGGGCCTGTGCGGGCAGATCTTGAGCTTGGACGACCACCGAGGCTGGGTTGAGGAGCCATTGGATGTGGATGGCGGCCAGGGCGGCCAGTGCAGGTAGCGATCCCCAAGCCATGATTCGTAGATAGCTTCTGCCCGAGCTTTGTCTGGAGGTTTGTTGACGAGACTCTCCTGGGGCCTTGGGCGCTCTCAAAGGAGCAGCCTGCGGGGAGGTCGTCATCGTACCTTTATACATATACAGGCTCTAAGTGCCTTGGGGTCAACTGGTACTACATACGACGGCTCTCCTCTTCCGGTGCGCCCACCGCCCGCGCGAGATCTTCAAGCAGTTCGACCAAGGTGGATACTGCGTAGTTGCCCCAGCTAGCGCTATGTCAAGGGGCCCCCTGTCTCGTACCTAGGCCCGGATCTGCTTGTGTGCAAGGACGCAGCGCGGATACAACGCTGCTCAACGTGAAATAAAGCTTGATGGTCTGCTAGTGCAAGGCAAAGCACGGAGAACCATCGGTAATTAAAGCCCCTAAAACAGAACAAGCCACCGCCGGCATTGGAATGATTCGCAGAGAACATGCGGGGAACTTGGGGTGCCCCATAGCGGTTTTTGTTTCTTTGCGGGGACGACGACGAGGTATACTCCAGCAGGAGCCGGAACCCGTGCTAAATCCCGATGCCGGACTGGGGCTGGAGTGGCAGAGTGGGTACCTAGACGACTGTTTACGACTGTTCACGTACCGGCTGGTCTGCCGCTGCCAGGTTTGTCTATGCAGATCCACTTGGAGGGACTTGTTCATCCAGTCCAGGCACCCCGTGGCACCCCGTGGCACCGCATATCGGGGAGGCCAGGACTGTAACTGTGATTGACCGTTTAGGTAACTATAGCACGGCTTAGCAGCATGCAGGTCCCCGCCAGGACAGCCTGATGATGCTGCCAAGCACGGAGATTACAGGCCATATAACCCACACAACGACTGATGCTTGTCCGGGCTTGTTAATCCCAGACCTCCTCTATTTACTATATGTACCAGGCACTCACTACTTACAGGCAACCTCGTCTGGTATAAGGACGTCCAACTCCCGTCACGCCAACTAGAATGCCCATGTGGGGTTGCCGGGATTTAAGCTCAGGCTGCTCGAGTCGTGCTTTGTACGTACCGTACGGATACAGCTAGAGGTTGTATGACCCGGGAGTCAATCCACGACTACTCCGTAGAGCATGAGCGGACCAGATCTCCGGGAAGCCTATGACGCAGGACGTCGAACTTCTTTTTCTCGACTGCCGGCTCGAGCATCGGCCTCCACAGTAAGGATACCCTGGCATGAAATCTATGTCATTGGTGACTAGATTTACCTTTGAATCCAACGTAACTCGCAAGTCTCTCTTGTCACGTTGCCCCTGAGCCCCATATTGATAATATGGAGAATGGACTTTGACTGCTTGGCGATGCCATTCCTTGCGAATAGGGCCGACCAGGGTGGAGTTTAAGCTGTGCATGCTTGGCGAAACCATTGCAACCCTGAATCTGGGAACGCTCTGCTGCATCGACCATCCACGTTGCTATGAGCTCGCGAGATGCCAACAAAATGTCCCAAGAACAAAAGCATTTATCAGGAGTCTTTAGGCGCCTCCGAGTCTTTGCTCTATCATACAAATACAATGGCAAGTGGTATGTTCACTTGTGATCATTGTTCAGGGGTACTTCACGCATTCCACCGAAACCATGGACCAAACAGGAGCTTTTCGGACACGATGAGGGTCTAGTGAATGAGTGCTGCAACTCGTCTCCTGCTGTTCTGAGGATTGTCATCGTTGCAAAGGGAGTCAGCCTTGTCGCGTACAAGGATGGGCCGGCTTCCAAGGTTCCACAAACTCGCATCCTTCAGGGTCGACTACAGTATTATATATAAATATATATCCAGCACACAAACTTGCGAATTGTAACACGTATCTCAATTGTTTACTTTACTGGCCGGGGAGCGCCAACATACGCCGAAGAGTGCCATCTCAATGTTCGGCTGCCTACTCACTCTCGGGCTCCCCTTCATTCGCTTGCAACGGCCATAAGCCCGCTGACACGTTCCACGAGATCCATACCTGATCATACAAATGAGCTGATTTCGGCAGCAAGATGTATTGAGTCCTATCGAGCTGTCCGAATTTGAAATCAACACAACAGCTGGGGCCGTGGCGTCCGTGGCGGCCGCCTTTGCATCTGCATCATTCATCAATCCAGCGTGCCCCTTCCCATCGACGCCTCGAAAGTGCACATGTGATTTTGGACGGCCGATTCCAATAGAATGCCGACAGAAGTGATCAGTTGCCGCTTCTATGTAAGAAAAGCTTTTGTGGTTGCCGCCATGAGGTGGGACAGCCCTGGAGCAGAAATGCTGTTATCCAATGGGTAGGGATTTTAAGTTGTGTTCCAATGCTTAATCGGTTTTGTTTCAATTCTGTCTACTCCAGAAGGAATACACCGCGTCTTAATACAGTGGTACCTAGGGTATTATATATGGCAGGGTTTTAGGAGTGCTTTAGGATGCCAGACTCAAGTTAGAGGTGACGAGCCGGGAGTTCATTTACATCAAGACGATTTTCAACTGCATCTTTAGGAAGAAACTTGTGTGGATTAGAAGGAGACAGGCCAAACATGGGCTTGCCGCTTCATAAAGAGTGAAGGAAGCAATCTCAGTCTAGTCATCTTTGGCGGAGGAGCATGCAACACACGTGTGGTTGCGGTCTCCGGCATATTCGACCAGCTGCGATTCCTCATTACTGCCCTTTCATGCAAGTTTGGGCCCGAACGACACGTGCAGATCTGTTTCCAAGAGTCTGTCGCGACTCACAATAGGGACCCTTCCCTGGGTCTCTCCCATTCTCATTAGTTGCGGACAAGAATGAGATGTTTACCCTTTCAACAGAGTGCCCAATTGTCAAACTTGTTTTGGGGACCTTAGAAGACAGACAGTACGGGACGGTGGACAATGAGTTGCGAGAATGGCTAACTTGTTGTTCTGTGTTGACAGATGTACAGCATCAAGTAGCCTTTCCCGGGGCGTGCCTGGGAAGTAGTTATATACAGTTGCCGAATGGCCGTCAATGACCGGTACACGCCTGCCAAGCCCATAGCTATTAAAACATGCCACACAACGCCTGAAACCCCACCGCTCAGTCTCGTTCAACGAGAAGATCAGGAAAAGTCGAAAAAATTAAACTGGAGATTGCTTGGTGACATCTACAGTCTTGGTCACTGTGATGCCCGGTTTTCCTATCAAAGTCATGCTGAAGGACTCCTTGGTGGCCACATGCATCGCGTTCGTGTCGGTCAGAATCTCTCGCTGAGACCACGTATCCGGCTCGCCGTTCGCAAGGTCCCGAGCCTGTCTGTAGGTGCCGGTATAAGAGGGGTACAAATTGCTGGTCTTCGCCTTGCGGGTTCGCATACCACATGCCTGGATCATGCTGGCATAGGCCGGCCTGCTGACAGGCAGGCCAATACATATCATTGTCACTGCCATCTCCGCTCCATGCCAAAGATAAAGTACGGCGGCTAGCCACCTGGTCAGTCTCATCCAAGCATGAAGAATATCCGGGGTCAACAGCACATACCTGAATTCTCAGCTAGGTTATTCACCGCCGCGTATATGGTCAAGCCTCTCGCGATACCACAACCCGCAGCAATTACACCAAGACTCATTGATCCTTGGATCAACATTTTCTCCTTCCTCGGCCGTGTCAGGCGCCGTAGAAGATACCACGGCATCGCGGCATACCACAGGTCGACCGCAACACTGAAGCCCGCCGCTACTTGCATCCAGTGCATTGCAGGAACAACACTGGAGCATAACAGAGTCGTCCCGGCCAGTGCGGTAAAGCATCTCGACCACATTGCCATTATCGCCCCGAAGGTTACGATGCCGAGGAGCACAATCGGGAGGACGATGAGTGTGTGCCACTTCAGCTGAGACTGGTGTTGCGGGGCAAGACGCAGCAGGAAGACCACAAGTGAGCTCTTCGCAACGACGAGACCGATGCTGGCGATATCGAAAAGGACATTCTCAAAGACAACAATGAGGGTGACGTCGCTCGTGCTTAGGGATGGTGGAAGCTGGCTGCCGAGGCCGTGATATGAGTAGAATGTGATGAGACCATTGTATGCGAGGAGAAGCGTCTGACGACCGAACTGTCAGCTTTGGCCCCGCAGACTCAAGGAATATGAGAAGACGGCGACTTACAAAGGCGACATTGTATAGGTAATCTTCGACGGCGTAGAACTGGAGGATCTTGACACGAGAGTATAGACGGAGAACAACGAAGATGCCGGTCACCAGAAACAGCGTCCACAAGACTGCAATGACGCGGATGTCCCATAGCGTAATGGGAAAGTATGTCAGGTCGGTCGATTCGACGACTACCAGTCCATTGGTGCCTTCTCTGGGCGTCAAGATTCCCATAATGACATTGCAACCCTATCCAGGCGATCCCAGGTCGGCGGGATGAAGCGATTCGTCCGTGCGATGGGTAAGAGTCAGTTCACTGCAGATCACCAACGAACGATCGGGGTTCGAGCTCGGGTCCGGGGCCGCAGTCCGGTGGCAGGTCGTGGACAAAATAAGGCGATGGCGATTCGACGATTCGGTGTTCGGATTTCGAGGCCTCTCGACAACGAGGGGGGATGGAGGGGGAGAGGGAGGGAGGGATATCCCGCTCCAGCTACAATAACCAGAGGGCCACTAAGTGACAACACAGCTCGGGTGGGCAGAGTGGGAGGAGTGAGCTGTCGAGGGAGTCGGAGGGGACCACATGACAGATTATACGGAGCCCGAGGGCGAGGGCGGGTGAGCGGAACCAACCGGCCGCAATTTTGACAGGCCGCTCGAATAGACTACACAGTATGTATACTGCAGTGTACACGAACTTGTGAAAATAGGGCAGATGAGGACCCTCTCTTTTCCCACTGATCAGACCCTTACAGCCGCGGCTTGGTTGGCGAGGAGGGCTCGAGACTCGAGAGCCAGCCGCAAGCCGCTCTCCCGGGTCCCAGGGGGGTGTTCGTCCAGCCTTCAAAGTGCTCTGATGCCCCATGTTTATTGACCATTTAGGCGGGAGAATCACGTCAATCCTGGGTTGATCCTTCGCTCGTTATCAGGCCGAGCGCCACAGCGATGCAGCCAATCCTGCGGTCCAGCCGCTCCGGAGCTGCATGGGTTCGCGAGCCAACCACATGGCTGCCCGGACGACCTTATGCAAGGCGAGTGGGCAAGATGGAGCCGGCACAGCGCGAATTGGGAATGGGTTGCTGTTCTCTCCCTCGTTAACCTGCCACCCCAGCTTGCCCAGCTGCCCCCTCCCCGGAGGCTTTAGCCAGATTTCCACAAATCCGCAGAGCGCAGGCCAGGCTTGCCAGGCTTGCCAGTCTGCCGGAATCCTGCTGGTGTGACATGCCCCCAACCCCCCACCCCCCCAGAACCCCGTGCTTATCTCCCGATGGGATTGTTCGCCTATCAATCAGCATGGTACATATGTAAGTACTCACCGGGCCGACCTCGACCACGCCGAGGATCGATCCACCGCCGGAGAAAAAGCACAGTGGCCGCGATTGGTGTATCAGCACCTCTGCCAGACGGCAAGGCATTCCCTTCCCGCCTGCTTCTTTCGTATAAGCTGTGCGAGACAGGCAGACAGGGCCAGGAGCAGACTTCTGAAAACGTCCAAGCTTTTCCGATGTTATCAACTGCGGCGCCCAGGTGCCTCGGAAAACCGCTGTAACATCTGCAAGGGCGGCTCTAGCTCGGAATGGGTGAAACTATCAGCTGCTGTCGACCAGCTGTAGGCTAACCACTTAGATAAGCGGGAAATTGCAGCTGCCGTGTAATCTCGAGGATCTGTAATTACCACCTCGGTTCAGACGTTCCCAAGGGTTGCCAGGTCGGCACCCAGGTCCAAGCCCAGGGCGCCGGGTTCTGCGATCCCAACAGGTCGGTTCCCCCGGGTTTGGCTCCAGGGCTGAGCCGATAGAGCGAGGATTAATTACCCTCATCCGTCCTGCCCATGTGTGCAAGTGACCAGGGTTCAACGTGTACTAAGCAACATGTCAGCTCAGCTTGCCGTTTAAGCGGTAGAGCTGCAAGGGATGACGGTCAGGATTAGGATTCGAGTTATTAGTGACAACTTAAAAAGCAAAGCTCGAAGGGTGTGGTGGCACGGCAGGAGCCGTCATCTTGTCCCACGTTGTGAGCTAGGACCCGCCGTGTTGATTGAGCTGTTACGAATCTAATTTTAACCCAATCTGCTGACCACGCGCACAGTGAATGGTCCGTCTGCGTGCGGTGCTTCCAGATGTCCCTCGGATTCGATCTGGGCGCACTCTGGTCTGGCCCGTCCGTTCATCGACTTCGACGTTGAATGAGCGGGCCCGTGAAACACAGGTTGACATTTCCGGTGCCATGAATATTGGTCCCGCGTACGATTGGTCCTCCAGTTTGTGTGTTCTACACAGTAGTTCGTGAGTGGCTTTGCGTTCCGATGGGGCCCGGCATGTATTGACGCACCTGGCATCAGGCAAGGTGAATACAACTGTCACGAGCAGAAAGAATCGCAAATCTTGCTGGCGTGAAACACTGGGTTCGGGGGTGGAAATTATGGTCTCTTGACTTCAGGAGTGCCTGATTGATACACGGGGTCCCTTTTTTGCCCATAGGATATCCCCTCACCAGATTTGAGAGTCCACATGTTGACACTTGCAAGACGCAGAGCAACAACCATAATTGAAAACAAGGGTTCCCATTGATTATGGCTGACTCTTCAGCATGAATCGTAGTATCGAAGTCATTGTGGGTACCCTATAAAAGCAGGAACGTCGCTTCTTTAGGATAGATGGCGTAGCAATGCAATACACACGCTTTCCATTCAATATTTTCTGCTTGTTACGAGCCTGGTGTGGTTCCGTCCGGAAGCATCTTGTCGTTTCGGCGGCTGATTCCTTGGTCCGTAGAGATAATGGGCCCGTCGATTACACTTCCTGCAAGAAGGACCTCGGGATATTGGCCGACGAGGCAAAGACTTCCACCCAAAGGAGTAAGTAAGTCACTGCACCCACTGAACACAACCCCACCAACGCCCACCTAATAAATTGCGGGTCCATGTCAAAAGCTCGCGAATCTGGGGAGAGCAACGTCACTCGCTCCCGTCGCAACGCATTCGATACATCAGAAACCACGTTGATTCGTCCTTGAGACAGCTCAACAGGAGGTAGGTCATCTCACAGCAGCTTACCCGGCAGCAAACTGTCGCATGAGATATCTCTGTCGACTTGTCCATCCGGCCTTTTCTAGAGGTGTGAGTTCCAGAGAAGGCTATCCACAAGGAGGTTATCCTGTGGGAAGATTCCACAAGAGCGTATTCGACAAGACGTTACCCAAGATTAGGTTGTTCTGTGAGAGGCACGCCAGAGCCACCCTTCAGGTGACCCGATTCAGTCAGCAGATCGTTGGTGGCCACTGTCACTTGTCATGAACAACGGACGCTCGGTGTCACCAACTCCCCGTCTATGATTGCGCGAGTAAAAAGACTATTATACAAAGCTGTCTTGACCAGTCGTGAATGGCCAGATTTCGCCCGGAGACCAGATCCTGACCGAAAAAAGGAGTATAAGTTTCGCAACCGGAGTCGCGCGGACCTTCTTTGAACCCAAGCAGATCGTCGAGTCTAATCTAGCCCCTGTAGCAGTCCCTATAGCGTATGGCGGGCTTATATAAGCACAACCTGCGGTGTATCTTGTACCTTCTACCAGCACAAATGTCTATCCCATCTCGACCCACCACCAACAACAATTTCTAGCATCTTCAGACACTCGGGAAAATCGTTTATTTGGCGATCTCTACACCGCCTGTGGCGCCCAGTGCTTTCTTGAGGTCTCCCTTCATGGAAAAGCTTGTCAGCGCTACTCGTGGGGTTGAGTTATGTGTTGGGGATTGTAAACTTACGTAGATGGCGAACTGGAAGGCAGTCAGGGTGCCGACCATGAACAGACGGGCACCGAGACCGGTGTAGGAACCACGGAGACCAAGCTCCTTGCCGATCTTGATCAGACGGGTGGTGGTGCCCTCACCGGGCAGACCCTTGGTCTTGTTGATCTTGGAAAGCATGGTGTCGGCGGGCTGGGAGACGAAGGCGGCGGCGAAACCGGCGATCAGACCGGAGCCCAGGTTGACACCGGTCTGGGCGGCGTCGGAGAGGTCCTTCTTGGGGAAGACGCGGAAGGCAGCCTCGGAGACCTTCTCGAAGACGACGAACTTGGCCATGGTGTAAGGAATCCTGCGCAGGTTGTGAGCACGGCTGGCCTCCGCGACAGGGGTGGGCAGGTGTGATGTAACTTACTGCTTGAACAGGATGGGGCCGAAGCCGGCGTAGAAGGCGCCGAAGCCCTCCTGCTTGGCCATCTTGCTGAAGCCGCCCAGGAGACCGTTGGCGTAGGTGGGCTCGGAAACGAGACGGATACGGGTGGCCTCGAGAGGGCAGAGGGCGATGTCGGCGAAGAACTCGCCGGCGGCGGACGAGGCCAGGTAGACACCGGTGCGGTAGTTGGAGGCGGTCTCGTAGCCGAGCAGGTTGATGGACTGCTGCTTGAAGAACTCGTAACCTCCGAACTTGAAGGCACCCTGCAGGAAGTAACCGGCGGCGGTGGGGCCGAAACCGGTCAGAAGAGCACCAGCACCCTCATTCTGGATGACCTGCTTGAAGCCACCGATCATGCCCCGGTTGTAGGTGGCAGGGTCGAGCTGGATACGGGTCTTGACGCTGTGATGGAGTGCTTGTTAGCATGGTGGCCCGAAAGGTTGACGGCGTTCCGGGCTGGATGATGCTTGAGCGGCCGGCAGCAGCGGGAGCAGCGGGAGCAGCGGGAATGGCAGACGCATCGGTCGCGAAGCTGAAACAAAGACGGGTTTCTGGCAGCGACTGGGTTGAATTTGACGCGGGGTCAGGTAGGAGCGACGTACACATCGACGGGGGTGAGGGCACCGTGTGTTATCGAGCAGCAGACGGCACCGGCGAAGGCGAATCTGGAGTAGAGCTGGAACCCGCTGAGCTGGCCAGGGGCGCTGGCGGCAGCCTTCTGGACGACGGCGTCGACCTTGGTCGAGCCGGTGGACGGTGCTGCAGAGGCCATTGCGATTGAAGATGTGGACGGCGGTGGACTGGGAAGAAAAGACACCAGAAGAAACGAATTGAGTGGAGTGGTTCCCGAAGCGCAAGCTGCGACTGTCACGAGGGGTGGATGGTGGTGGTGGATGGATGGATAGGGATTCCAAGTGGACAAGTGACAACAAAAAGTTTTGAGGCTTTTTGTCAGGTTTGGCGACGGAGAGCCGGCGAGAGAATTTTGGGTCGGGTCGTTTCGGGTGTAGGGGTGACACGGACCAGAATGCGGCAGCGGCTTGTGCCAGAAGAGGTCCACCTGTCGCGGCCCGCCAATCGCCCTCGTGCCTTGGGGTGGTAGGCTGGGCCTCTGAGCCTATGAGGATCCGTTTCCGTCTCGGCTGGCTGCAAAGGCTGAAGGCAATGACGACACTGCAATCCGTGCAATCCACCAGCCCTGAGCACTTGACGAGAGCCACCGTGAGGGATGACTTCCCGATTGATCGTGATTCATCCGTAGACTACACACATCTGCTGACCCCACCTTTTCGCTCAGCACTTCAGTCACCACATGCACACGCTCGTGTATGAGATTCTCAATCATTAGGCTAGCCCGGGGCCATGATATCTGCCCATCAAACTGCTAGTTAATCGCAGGGCTCTGGGGGCTTGCCGTCCCTTTCCGGTAATACCGCTATGCTGTTTCTGATGGCGCAAGAGCCACCATTTGCTCGTTGAGTCTTGATCAGTTAGAGCAGTACCCAATCCTCGTAGGCTTCGGCCTCGCGGATCAAGTTCCACTCCTCCTTCTTTCTCTTCTCTCGCTTGGCCTCCTCCCTTCTCTGCTCCATCTCCTCCCTGTGCTTCCGTGCCCGCTCATCAGAGATATCCTGCAGCAGGTGGAAGTCGCCCAAGAGCGACTCTCCTAGTCCTCGGTCGATCAGGAATTCCTGGACCTTTTCCGCCACTGCTTGGCTGAAGGACTGGGCCTTGTCGTCAGTCCTGAGCCGTCCCATCAGGCCATGGAAGACGTGGCGTGCTTGTGCTCGCTCATTGGGGTCTTTGATGGTCCTCAGCCGGTTCTTACACAACCTCTGTCAGCCCTTGGGTGTCTTGACAAAGCTGTGGCATCTCCACTTACCCTAACCTTGACCATGAAACCAGCAATTCCTTGGGACTTGACATTCTCCATGCCAACCTCCTCGGGTTCCTCAGTGGGGTGGGTGTACTGATCCTCCACCTGGGCCGGGGCTGGGCCCTGCTTGTTTCTGTCTGTTGCTTTCACCGCTGGGCCGTAGACATGCTCATACTCGTCGTTAGAGGTATCCTCAAGGTCTGATGGCTGCTCAAACTCCGGCTCTGGAGAGGATGGTAGGAGGGCCCACTCGATCTGTGGGTTGTGAGGTGGGTTGTTTGGCCCTGATTTGCCGTGAGAAGAGGACGACATCCTGAATGGTGACCAGATTTGGTTTCGTCAGGACTTTGCAGGACGTGGAGAAAGGTAGGTGTGTTTGGGTAAAGGGAAGCCCGGATGTTCAAGAAAGACAGCCACCCAAAAGACTGGCATTGAGGCTGGACAGCAAAAGTCTTTGGGGGGAGATTGCTCAAGTTACCTAGGTATGGAGGCTAAAAGGTGTGTGACGGCCTGGAATCGCCGGCTGCTAAGGCAAGACGTTCAAGATGGTAGAAAAATTGATACCGTTACCGAGCAATCATATTAGAGGGACACTAAACAAGGCCGAGTCACTCAGCCTGCTTGACAAACTGCCTAGGTGACTGTTAGACCAGAATGCAGAATATCAGCATCAAATTACTTCAAGGCTAAACGAACGGGCTGCATGATTTGATCCTATCAATTCAGGGGCCTTGCAACCCAGCCTTCCAAGATGAATGCGCACCTGAATACAGGAGCGTGGCCTTGCATTACTCTTCTTCAAAAGTATGCCAGGAAGAGTGAAAGCATAGAACATCTGCCCATGTAGAATAACAAGAAAATGCAGTTTCCTCTGTCTCGTAACAATCGCCAAACCTATGGGGCAGAGTAGGCCCAGGCAGGATCTACTAAAGCACGCTCCGTCACCAACACTGGCAGTGGGAAGAAGTGTCCAAGCAGAAAACATCATCTGTGACCCGGTATTAAGGTTTTCATAACAGTCTCTGATCACTAGGAACCACCCCCCCCCAAAAAAAAAAAGAAAGGAAAAAATACTAGAGAACTTCGAACACTCACTAGCTGCCTAGGTAGATTTACAGGAGTAGTTCCAGCTGACGCTTGGCATGTGCTCTGAATTTTTTTTTGATCAGGCTGGGCAGGCAAAATGCACGTTCTCTTTCACATCCATCTTCAAAATAAAGAAAACCAGAGGTGTTGGTCAAAGAGTAACTGCAACAAGTTTTATTAATTTTGTGGAATTTTCAAGTTAACATGTGCCCTGGACTTTGGATACCATGTGGCATTCATTTGATAGACTAGGTTGCCGTGGTTGGGCTTCAGAGGCACTTGAGTCAACTAGATTTGCTAGTGTCCATTCATACTCCTCAAGGATGTGATATGTTCTGCGGGTATCTATAGATCACTAATGGATCACTCTTTGGAGTTGGCCATACTACTAAGTAGGTACCTAGGTAATCTGGGTGGATGCCGCCATATAATCAATCATTCTCTATTCTGCCCAAATTTTGTGGCATCCTTCCGTCCCGACTCTTTCGTCCCACCTCTTGGTGTCTCGTCTCATGTTGACAACCAAGCTCATAGCCAACCAGAAGTTGGCATAGCTCGAATGGATTCTGTCGTTGCACTAGCGTCACCTCCCTGGGCACAATTCAACAACTAATGCCTCAATGTGCCTGGCCTCCCATTTCTGCAAGCACACTTGTAGACTTTTGATATTCCCCGTTTTGCCCCCCGGGCTTTGACACAATTTTACTCATGTAGTCACTCGTCTCGCCACTCGTTGCCTTCCTGACGCAGACCTGATGGCTCGATTCTCGGTCCACCACCGTTGCGCTCGTCCAGGGCGCCATAGTGATATCCATTAGTTGAGCCGGCACCGCCCACCTCGTCTCCAGCCTCCTCAGCCGACACGTCACGATCGGTAATCAAAGGGCGGTTGGTCGAGGGGCCAAAACCAGACCCCTGCCGCCTGCGGCCTCCAAAGACGCGGCGCCACGAGGACTCGTGGAACCGGGCTTTGAACTGTGCTGGAAATACGAGGCTCACGATCTGCACGAAGGACTTGTTAGCGGGGCTGACAGGCTGTCTTTGGAGCGTTGGTCGTCTTGCTTACCTGAAGGATTGCAACTATGATGACGACGCCCAGCTCCACGCCGGCACTCCTCTGCAGGGCACCCGTCCAAGGTCCCTGACACGCCAACGCCCTGTCGAAGCGTTGGGCGCATTGGACGTCGACCGGGGGAAACGGCCACGCCATGTCCTTGACACTGCGGAAACCACAACACTCGAAGGCGTTTTGGATAGCCTTGATGGACTGGGCATCCTTGGCGCGGAACAGCCGCTGCCAGATGGTCGAGAGACCGCAGTCCCGTGCGGCGCCGGGCACCACGTAGGTGGTGTATAGGGTAGCGATGGCGACTATCAGGATCCCCTGTATGCCCTGGGTGACGGCCGGGTGTGCGAGCTTGACTAGCAGCCTGCGAGGGGAGCGGGCCTGCTCACGGAGCATGTACGGCAGGGCTGTTGCGTTCGCAGCGGCGACAAGGGGGAGCAGCACGGTCAGGAAGGTCAGGACTGGGGAGAGTGGGAGGGAGAAGGTAACGCTGTTGGTGTGCTCGTAACTGTGACATGGCACCTGTGAGCATTCTTGACATCTCCCATGGGTTCGTTTGCAGGTGCGGAATCGGTAGCCTTACAGAGCGACGCCCATCAGAGCCAGAATGAGCTGCAGGTCATCAGAGAACTGTACTGCAAACACTTCACGCAGAGACTTACCACTGGGTATGCAAACAACAGCCAGCCCATGTTGAGAGCACAGTCAACGTGAGAGAAATGATAGGTACTGCCGGGCTGAAAGAGGCTGAGTTGATGGCTTACAAGGAAATGGTGGTGGTCGGATCGGAGGAGGGGGTTGAACCTTCTGGAGCGGTACTCCAAAGGTGTAATTACGATTGGAGCTCACGTATCACAGGTTGGTTGATCCAGGGAGGCAGGCTGCACGAGGCCTACCTTCCCAACAAAGTTCTTTCTCACAAAAGTATTCTCCAGGCTGCATTTGCAGAGAGGCAACTGGGTTAGCAGGTAGTGAGATGTTGTTTTCCCACAGATGCGTGGAGGAACTGTCGACGGCCGTCCTTGCAAATCCCAGATGTAGGGCAGTGCGGCTTGTAAGCAGCCTCTCACCTAGGTACCTACCTACCTAGGTACCTAGGTAGGTAGGTAGCTGGTACGACCACATGTAGAATGGCCGTTGTCCGCCTGTGTCATCTACCCAAGCAACCAAGCAAGGTAGCAGACCGCCTGATGGAGCACCCACCCCCAAAGAACATGGGGGTGGGTGGCACGTCACCACCCAGAAATAGAACTCACGCCCAATGCTTAAGTCCTTACACAGCCAGCGGTTGTTACGTTTCGGGGACTGATCTGGGCAGGCTGAAGATCGGATGCCGGCTGAGATAAGGCCGCGTCGGTGGAAGAAATGGAAGGATTTCAGACGCGACACTACGAGATGATGCCATTCATAGGCACTGGGATGGAATAGTCGGGCCGTCAGATTTGCACCAGGGCATGGACAAAGAAGGTTGCAGGCACCTGTACAAGAACCGTTCTTGGGAGGGCGATGAGACTCATACGATGATACGATGGGGAAAGAGCAATGATAAGATAAGTAATATTATAATGCTCACCTTGGCCAGTGCTTGATCAGTGGAATGTGTTTCATCAGGTTTCCATGGGCAGCGAAGTCGGGTTGGCATAATGAATATCTGAGGTTAGGGACGGGCAGAGTGGATGTCCATGACACATCTGGGTGGAGGCACCAGACCTTGCCAGCTTACCCTGTCCAGTGTCCACCCGTCCCCGGCCCAGGGGAGGTTTTGTAGGCGCCCAAAGCGCTACGGCACCCCGAGCTCAGGCCCAGGTGGTCGGTCCTGGGGGTGGTCCTTGGCTCCTTGTGTCTCCAAGGATTTTTGGCCCGGGCATGACAGCAGGGGAACGTCCGTGCCTCGACAACTGTTGAAACCCAGAAACCTGGAAACCAGAAACAACATCTCGACAGGCAAGAACCAAACCAAACCAAACCCTTGACACAAGATCGTCAATCACTGCATCCTCGCCCGCCCACATCCAAGCATCAAGTTCCACATTTGCAGCACCACCGGCACCAGCACCAGCCCAGCCAGGCCCTCGTGCTGACCTGCTCGCCCCCACTACCTGCCTCCGACTTTACCGACTCTTTCGCCTCTGCTGCACCTGCACCTGCACCTGCACCCAACTCCAACCCAATCCGTGCGTGGCTTCAATCCGAGCTTGGCCTTGTCTCACCTCGGCCCTAATCTCGACGCTCCTCCCTCATCACCACCATCTTGGTCCTCACGATCCAACACACACGCATCCATCGGCTCCCGTTATAGAGGACAAAGAGGGGGAAGGCCTGGTTCGGGAGTTGTCAAGCCACAAGCCACAGTCACCATGCAGGCACCAGGCCCATCGCAACGGTCCTTGCGCCGCTCGCCAGGCGCAGAGCCTGGTCCGCCGCCAAATGTTCCCTTGCGATCAATATCACCTGCCGTCGGTCTCGCAGGCAGTGTCCAGCCTCGCGCTTCCACTGCCTCCAGCAGGTCGAACCAGAGCAGTGAGAGGAACAGCAGCAGTTCAAAACGACCGAGTGTCAGTCAACCCTCTCCTTATATCGATCGGCCTTGGTCCGCAAGCCTCTTCATCATACGTGGTGGTGATGCTTTGCGGCACATCATCTGTGCGGCGCCAGGCTACACCTGCCACCGAGACGTCATCCCATGGCTTCAATTCCGGGTTTATGGCCAAAATGCTAACCCTTGAGACTTTCATATCAGACCTCGAGTAGCAGCTCCGCCATGCCCTTGTCCCAGATCGAAAAGAGCGTCACCCACTTGCTTGTCGCCACGAAACAGCTCCTCGAGACGTTGACACAATGGTCCCGGGGCCAGGCGACCGACACGCAGGTGTCAGACGTCTACGTAAGGCTTGGGTATGAGTTCAATATGGCTTGTCGGGCCTTCACGGCGATAAATGTCGATACCTCCGACCTCGGAAACGTCCCTGAACTTCTTCGGAATATACTTGAGGCGACCCTGAGCCAGGAGGCAAGTGTCGAGAGCCTTGAAAAGTACCTGCCAAGGATAAGAGACATAATTATAAATCTTCTCCATGGCTTGAAAAAGAAGCAACAAAAGTTACGACAGAAGCAGGCACGCGACAAGGAAAATGGGGGCCCTGAGTCCTCCAACGGCCGTGTCACGAGCACCGGTACCCAGGGAAGCAATTCTGGGGGTTTGTCGCAGATTCTGAACGATAGCTTGACTGAGAATGGATACCGACCGGCCAGTAGCCGTGGGACAGACGACACGGTCAAGGCGAATGGGTCTCCTCGGCGATTCCAGTCTCAGCGGGATGAGTCCCAGGCGACAATCTCGGACAAGTCCTCCCTCTCGAGCGATACCATGCAGAGCATGCCCGTCGTTCCACCATACCCGTCCGAAGATCCTGTTCCAACCCCTGCGGCGCCGGGGGAACTGGACTCTTTCCCGCCGCCGCCGCCTCCGCCAAAGTCATCAACCCAGAGTGCCCTGGCAGCACTACAAAGAGGTGGGGACTTGGAGCGCCGTGCGTCTCGAAGATACTCTGCATACCAAATCTCCAAGCACCTGGGCAGTGGCGCAAGTGGGGTTCCTATGATGCCAACGCAGACTGGCCCAATACCAAACCGAGGAAGACCAGAGGCCAGGGAATCTATGCGAGCCGTGCAGGCGAGGGAAACTGTGCGAAGGAAAAATAATGATGGGTCACTGAGTGCCAGGCCCGGAGTCTTGGATCCCTCCTCACCCCAGCGTCAACCAAACAGGGCATCGGGAGAGAAGGAGGTGCCCAAGCCAGCAAGCCCGACACAGGAGGACAGATTCAAACCAAGCGCGACCTTGAAAGGACCCCTGCCTGATGTCGTCCCAACAATGGCAAGTGAAGGCGACATCACGCCGAAGACGGAGACCAAAGAGGATTCGAAGCTTGTCGAGCCGAAACCCGCGACTCCCACCCCTGAAGAGCAAGGCAAGAGCTTCATGGACCAGTCGCCTCCAGCGTCGCCACCGAAAGACCTCACCCTTTTCCTCCAATACAAATCCAAAGTCAAGAAATTCGTCCTTTCGGGGGGCTATAGTGAACTGACGATCGGCCGGTTGCAACTTGCATTCATCGAGAAGTTCTCCTGGAATACCCATGCAAATGGGGCGGATCTGCCCGAGATTTATATCCAAGACCCGGTCTCCGGTGTACGACATGAGCTAGAGGATCTGACGGACATCAAGGACCGTTCCGTTCTGGTGCTGAACGTGGAAGCGCTTGATGAGGTCAAGAAGCACGTGGATGACGGGCTAGGATCCATCCGGAAACTCATCGAATCCGTTAAGCAGGACGTTGGGGACCAAAGCGCTGCCCTCCAACGCGTTTCCGAACGACAATCAGAATCGGCCAAGGAGATCGCGAGGCTCGCTGCTGCCCCTCCAAGCCCACCGGCAGACTCTCCCCGGAACACTACTCTCAGTGGTGGGCGCCAGCTCAAAGGTGGTCAGGCGGCTGAGGTGCAGACTCTGCGCCGGGATCTGGCTGTTCTCAGGCAGATGTACACCAACTTCCAGTCTGAGGTCGACGGTTCCATGGCTGCCATCCGCAACAAGGCGAACAACGTGAAGGCTGCGGCGGCCAAGGCATCGCTGCCTGACGTCGACGGAGGCTCCGGATCGTCATACGTAAAGCAAGGACGGAAACAGCTCAACACGGACTCTGATCGTCTCGTCACCAAGGTCGACGACCTTCAAGATTTGGTTGAGGATCTGCGCAAGGATGTGGTCCAACGTGGCGTCCGACCACTGCCACGCCAGCTCGAGACTGTGGCCAAGGACATGCAGCTTGCCCTCAAGGAGCTCAAGAAGATGGAGGAGTACATGAAGCGCGAGAAGCCTATCTGGACCAAGATTTGGGAGAAGGAGCTCGAGGATGTCTGCAACGGACGCGACGAGGTCAAACTTATGGAGGATTTGGTTGCCGATCTGCAGGACGACCTCGAGAAGGCCAGCGAGACGTTTGCGCTTGTGGAGCAGGCCACCAAGGAGCAGATGAAGGATGTCAACGCTGGGCAGGCGAATGCCACCGTGTCACGTCAATTCTCACGGGGCCTGAAGCACATTGAGGACAACACGCTGGTGGACCCTTCAGAGGCGAAGGAAGGGGTGTTGGGTGAGGTGCGCGCGCTGCAGCCAAACCACGAGAACCGCATGGAAGCCATCGAACGCGCGGAAAAGCTTCGCCAGAAGGAGCTTGAGACCCGCAACCAGAATCCGATCAAGAAAGAGCTCGTCGAATTTGTGGCGGAGGGCAAGCTAAAGAAGAGCGGCGGCGTTGAGGAGCTCGAGCGGCAGAGAGTCGCCCGGGAGGAGCGCATCAGGAAAGAAGTCTGGGAGAGGATGAACGGGCTTGCTGCCGATGATCCCATCGGAGAGGATGGTATCCCCGAGGGCGACGACGACGAATATGTAGAATACGAGGAAGTGGAGGTCGAGGAGGGTGATGAGCTGGAGGAGGGAGTCGGGGCGGCGGCTGAGCCGGAGCCCGCCGCCAAGACAGCTTCTTGATGCAAGACCATCAATCGAGAGTGAAATATCATATGCTGGGATTTTCGGGTGGATGATTTATGGGGTCTGGATGCGCACTTTCGAAGCAAAAGACTGTGAGCAGATACCCGCGACTCGTTGGCCCAGCACTGCTACATTTTGTATCGTTTGCCCTTTGCTTATTTTCCCCTTTCCGTCGTCTGCTTCTCCTCTTGATATCATATCGTCTCTAGACACTGCACCAGATTTCCCCTTATCATACCACTGTTGTTACACCCTATCACTTTAGCGTCGGGGGTGGTGTTTGGTGATTCAATTCCATGTTTGTGGGCAGGAGGATCTTCGTCTTTTCCGCATGGGCATTTGTGTATATCAGCCCGTTACTTATTTCATCTGGGTCGAAGTGTTGGAACTTGAAGGCGGGTCGGTGGTGGTAGTATGTTGATGCGTCCATGAGGACAATTTGATCACGACTTCTTCCCAACTGCACCGTCCCTCGTGACTGCTGAGAACCGATGGCGAAGCGATGTGCCTCCTTGCGCTACGCCAAATCCAAGCCCCACGAATATCCCTCAGCCGGCACGTGTGCCCACACAGCGACGCATTCGAGATTCCGGACGGCATTCTACCAGCGCATCTCAATCCTTCCCCCGCCGCAACAGCTAAATTCCAGGTTAGCCTCGGGACGACGTCCTGCGCTACGGCACATGGGAGACTTGTGCCGTCCCTCGCACTCAGTTGTTCGTGTCGTTCAGTTCAAACCACACCACGCGTTGTTGTCAGCAACTGGAAATTTGGAATGTGCGATGCGGCTATTACAAACGATTCATATTCCACTTACCTTTCAGTCAATATTTGAACCCACTCATAAGATCACATGTGACGATAGTTCGAGTCCACAGTGTAGAAGGCTTGCCAGGCTGCTTTTGGCAGCCTAGGTACCAGCTTCGATTACTGAGCTTGATACTTGAGAATCGCCGAATGTTGCGCACTCCCGAGGCAGGCTTCAAAATTAATTGGGAGACATGAGGTTCACTCTTGGGAGGCTCAGCAGGCGTTCCCGGTGAACATTTGAAGTCTTCATAGTTAGCCCGGGGAACCTTGGAAGGGATAAGAAAACTGGTCACAGCTCCGTGTGCAGAATTAAAATACATTGCCGTTTCCTTAGGGCATCCTCAATGTCGCTGCATGGATTTGATGGGAAACTTCCGCCGTCGCGTATTCTGTGGCAGATCTCTTGTTCGCGCCGCAATGAGCAGGTCCGTGTCAGAGGACCTGTTGACTTGTGGCTGATGTGTTTATATCGTTTTCCCAGCGCCATCAACGGACTACTCAGAGCTGCAGTCGATGGAAAACCATAACCCCTGGATAAATCTCAATAATTCAAAAAGAGCGAGAACTGTGGGCATGATATTACCAATAATGTGCTGCTCCCAGAACCGTGCAGATTTCGAAGCCTGCTATACAAGCGGTGCTTCTGCATGAATCATTAAAAACATACTCATTAGTAAGTAGGTACCAACGTGTGAAGGAAAGTATGTGTCAAGAACATCCGTCTGAACTAAGAAAGAGTGGTCATGGTAATCGTATTTGGGAGAGACTCGGATATTCAGACGGGACAAAAACTTCCAAGGCTCTTGGTCCGAACACTTCCAGTGCTTTGTACCTAGGTCATCCGGTATTCGGATATTCAGACCACATGACAGCCCCCACCGGCTATCAATTGAATCCTAAGGTATGTCTCGTGTCAAAAATGAATTTGTATTAATAGTAGTGAGTGTCACATTTCGCCTACCGAACTCCTTCACTTTGCCACCCAGGCACATGGGATAAACCCCGTGGCGCTCCTTCACCGGGACTTGGCAATTGAACACGACAGAAAGTCAAACCACACATGGGTTTGAGGGCCATATCTTCGCGGTCGTCACTCGGCAGATTCTGGTTGTGATAAGTGAGCAGAAGCGGCGGATCCCCAAATGCAATCGACAGCTTGGCCAGCTTGGATCTGCGCCCTCGCGCTTGCGAATTGCTGGGTGCGACGCTTCCACAAATGCATACTACTATCTTGGCTTGACATCGGCCTGATATCCATTGACGCGCAGAGACGCGCTTCTTGAAGTCTCGGATATTTGACGCTCTGCCTGTCGGCCCTTGGCAGCACTGAGGCTGCATACTCCCGGGCCCGAATTGACCATCTGGGCACCTTGGAGTAAAATCACGAGTGAATTTGGTACATAAGTCGATACAGGCGGACGGACTATCAAGATGCCTCCTTTTTGTGCAAAGTGGGGAGCAATGGTGGTATCATGATGCACGCTCGGTGTATCGCATCTTTACGGACCCACGATACTGTAACCTGTGCCGAAAAAAAAAAAGATGTTGATCCAAAAGTGCTACAGCAGCAAACTGGAGAATGTGCCCTGAAGCCAGAGCGACCGACCGTGCTTGCAGACTTCATAAGTCAATAATAAATGGTCCGAGGCTGGCAATATGCTTAGGGACCCAATCAGCTTGCTCGAGTAGTATTGAAAAGCGTGATAATCGTAAGAAGTTTGAAAAAAGTTTGTGCTATCATAGTAGTTTGTGCACTTGGATCAGCTTCGGTGTGTGGCTGGCTACCATGCGCCGGCCCCGGAACACGCATCCTGGACCAGTAATACCACACGAGCACACCTCTGACGTATGATTATGGTGAGGGTAGGACAGAGGCAACACCACTTAAGCTGATGTAGAGGGCCAGCGTAGCAACGGGCCATGAGCTAATTTTGGTCCGGAAGACCATAGACGCTCATCATAGGCAGAAAGGGATGAACCAGCTGGCTGGGCAAGTGCGCAGGCTGCTTGGCCAGGCCACGCCGGACCTCTCCAAGGTCTTAGGCCGGACAGTTGTCGACCTCGGGAGTGCTCGCGTGCCAGGGCAAGCCCTTGGTGCTCCTGAATAGCGCCATGGGTGTTTTAGAAAAAGGGAAACAAAGGAAGAAGCCGAAGGAGGATCTAGCAGACTTATGTCGGTTGCCAAGGGCCAAGGCACGATGCTCGGTTGGTCTGCTGCCGGAGGCTGGCCAGTCAGTAACGGACTCTGTCTGAGCGCTCACTGATCAGGGCCCGGGACACCGGAGCACTAACTGGGCGGGTTGCTGCGGCAGATCTGCAGCTGAACGGATGATGAGTAGAGTTTCGAAACATATGCCGTTGAGACATTAGTCCAGACGGTCAGGCCGGCCCACCTACCCTGGCAGCAAGAAAGTTTGAGTGAGCGCATCGTACTTGGGCATCGTCAAAGCCCAGGCTCTAATTCCGAGCCCCGTGGGAGCGGATTTGGAACGCCCTGGTGAGACCCCCTGAAGTGGGCTGCACCATCGGCACGGCGACCGCGCCAGCTGGGCGTGCTCGAGATGACTACTTAGTACCTAGGCACTCGTGCACCGGCATCTCCAACAATGTCCGTCGGTGCCACAACACCGTGCCGTGTGGTTGGGTCTGGTCTGGTCTGGTCTGGGACCCTGCAGTCCGGGCGGCGAGGCGGATGACGATGTAGATGGGATATTGGATATATATTGCATCGACCACTTTGCCATCCTGAAGTTTTCGAAAGACCGACCAGCATCAACACCATTCGACTTGCGATTTAGATACCCAAAGAGCGCCTTCATTGCCGTTCAACAGTTTAGACCATATATTTTCACGACACACAACACCAAAATGGCACCCGGCCTGACAGAAGAGACCCCCCTTCCCATCAACGGATCAAAGGGCAAGGTCGAGAACGGCAAGCACATGATGGCTGAGGGGATCCAGGACGGACCGGCACCCTCCAAGAAGGGCAAGTACAATGCCATTCCCGGCCCCCTGGGTCTGGCGTCTGCCTCTCTCGAGGGCAAGGTTGCGCTGGTGACCGGTGCTGGTAAGTCAACCTGAATTTTCTCTGGTCTCTTCTCCATCCGATGCCCGCTTGGACGAACCCTCCCGCCGTTGCGTGCATCCCACCCAACCACCCAGCCAGCGGCTCGGCCCACGGCAGCAGATAGACCCTTGCCAGGGCCGACCGGACGGCGGGTGGGGGAGTCCGTTCGGACCCGTGTGTGCTGTACATCGCCGGCTCAGCGGGCAGGGATCAGCCGCTCTAGCCGCTCCCACTACCAGCCGCTCCGACCCTTGGCAGAGTTCAACCATAATGCTGACATGAGTTCTGCCTAGGGCGTGGCATTGGCCGTGAGATGGCCCTCGAGCTGGGGCGTCGCGGCGCAAAGGTCATCGTCAACTACGCCAACAGCAGCGAGTCGGCCGAGGAGGTCGTGGCCGCCATCAAGGAGGCCGGCTCCGACGCTGTCTCCATCAAGGCCAACGTCTCGGATGTCGACCAGATCGTCAGCATGTTCGCCGAGGCCAAGCAGGTCTGGGGCAAGCTGAACATCGTCTGCTCCAACAGCGGCGTCGTCTCCTTCGGCCACGTCAAGGACGTCACCCCTGAGGAGTTCGACCGTGTCTTCAACATCAACACCCGTGGCCAGTTCTTCGTCGCCCGCGAGGCCTACAACAACCTTGAGGAGGGCGGCCGCCTCATCATGATGGGCTCCATCACCGGCCAGGCCAAGGGTGTCCCCAAGCACGCCGTATACTCCGGCTCCAAGGGCACCATCGAGACCTTTGTGCGCTGCATGGCTATTGACTTTGGCGACAAGAAGATCACCGTCAACGCCATCGCTCCCGGTGGCATCAAGACCGACATGTACCACGCCGTCTGCAGAGAGTACATCCCTGGCGGCAAGACCCTCGACGATGATGGAGTCGATGAGGTATGTGTTTCCCAGACAATAAACATACATCCTTGAATACCGACGTCATAACTGACATGAATTCAATAGTTCGCTGCTGGCTGGTCGCCGCTCCACCGTGTTGGTCTTCCCATCGACATTGCCCGTGTTGTCTGCTTCCTTGCCTCCCAGGATGGCGAGTGGATCAACGGCAAGGTTCTCGGCATTGACGGTGCCGCGTGCATGTAGATTAAAGTTAGGGGGCATGGGTGTGTAGGCAACACAGTTTGGCTTTAGTCGTTTCTGATGTGATCTCATTGACCACAGCAGCCCGATGGTCCCATTGGGCAGGCGTTGGGGATTTTTTATGCAGCACCTTACTGTATCATGGTTGAATCCTGTTTAAGAACACGTATATACCAGACAAAGAATCAATACGTGGTTTCCCGTCATCATATTACCCCGTAATCAACCTATTGAGTGAAGACACACAAAGCGTGACCAACGTCGGCCATTCCCGTTGCCCTTGCTCAAACCTGAGACTCAACATATGCCTTCAGGTCCCTCCCCTGTTGCTCAAATAAACCCTGAAGCGTGGACCTGGCAACCAGCAGGGAGGGTATGAGCGGATTTTCGTAGTATGTCTCATACGATACATACCTCGTGATTCCATGCCCCTGGTTCACGAGGATGTTGGGATGCTCCGCAACCACGAGAGCCCCAAAAACTGTGACATTGCTCCGCCAGGTTGGAAAGTCCCTTTCCAGCACTGTCACTACCTCCTCACTGGTGGTATTGACAAAGGGGACGATGCCAGAGGTGGTGAGGTTCATGGGCATGCCGACGTACACGTCCTCTGGTGTCTTAACCCCTGCCGGTAAATCAACCTCGACAACAAAGCTATTCCACATGTGGTACGAGCTATAGTCGATGAGAGCATCGTACACGCTCTCTATTGTCACACAATAGTCAACTGTTACTGGTCCAAAGTGATGTCTTGTAGATGATTCTCAAGATTGCTGTCAGGGGACCATGGGAAAGTAGTAGTAGTGCTCACCTGGGGGGGCATGGATGAACTCCTCGGTGCACACCGTAAAGACAGCGTTGGTATCTCCGTAAGTCGGTGTTGGTAGGGTGGTCTTGGAGTCCTTGGGACATCGGATGCTGGTCCAGTCAATCGCGCACTCGGGGGAGAGGGCCAATGCGCTGGCTATGAGACTGCAAGCAGATAAATGACGGATAAAGGCTGAGAAATGCATTTAAGCGGCTCTTAAGATCGTGGTTGTGAAATAGCTGTGGCTTTTCCGAGACGTTTCCGAGACTTTGAAGCGACGTTGTCGTTATCTGGGAGAGGGAGAAGAAACCCTGCTCTATCGATTTTGGTGATTACAATAGCACTGGTGCCAGTGCGTCCTGAGGGGCATATGCAGTGGTGGATCCTTCGTCCAACTGGAAAAAGCAAGTGCATGATGCACACCTCGATACCTGATATGATCCGCACTAATTCAACTACTTCCGGACAGAGGAATATCGGACAGAGGAATATGCTACGCTCCGAACGGTTCAAGACATCATGCATGGCGTCCATGCCATGTAACCACGCGTGCATAATGGCTTGGTATGCCTAGCTGTGTATGAGTGAGAGGTGGTCGGCTTAATGTCTATGTACTTTGGAGCATCCCAAAGAGACAGCCAGAATGATCATGCTGTTTAGGAACTGTGCTCTTCAAAATAACAATGGACGTTGTTTTGAGAGTCAAAAGGTCTAGCCAACTAAGGTCTGCCGTCCTTTTGTACTACCGTAATATGGTCAGATGCTTGATCATCGTGTTTGGTGTATTCAGCTGTCATAGAGCCAGTTCTGGTTTTCGCGCTCCTTTTTCTGAACGTGTGCTTCCCGCCCATTCCCAATTGCGCCCGATGTTTCTGTTTGTCTGTTTGTTTTCTGAACTTGATTGAATCTTGCTTCTTGGTCACTGCGCTATGCTCGACTTCTTTCTGTGGGCAGCTGGAGCTGGGTTGATATTCGATGCGTATCTACCCTGCCTGGTCCAACTTTGAATCAATGATAGCTTGATTTCCTCACCTAGATCGAAACGCTAGAAACTTCCGAGGTCAATTCATTAGTATTCCAAGGGTCACTGGATACTAGACATAATAATGATACTGTCACTTCACTGTAATTACAAGTTCCTGTATGTCGTTCATCACTACACGATGTATCACACTTGGGCATATTCCAACAGAACGGTTGCGTGTCAGTCAGCACTATTCTGTCTCATCAAGCAGTGTATTGAGCTCTATGGTATTCTGCTCCTCCCCGGCTCGTTTCCTCACAAGAGCTTCGTGCTATTCAGCCTTGAGCATGAATCTGGTCTTGGCGAAGCGGCTGACAGTGCTAGGTGTAAATGGGCTATTTAGGGGGCTATTTAGGGGCATTGTTACACCTCGTACGTGGAGCCAGACAAAGTTCGGCCCAACGCTCAAGTGCTCCAATTTCCAGTGAGTGTAACTGTGACACCTTTGTTCCTCGCGCCCGAACCCTACCTATGTGCCTTGCAATTTGCACGATACAGTTGATGCTGAACAGTATGTAGTTCTGTGTCAAAGGGGCTCAAACTACACATGCTTGTTCATCCCATGAATTTGGGTAATTGTCGTGTAGCTTCCTTCCCACGTCATTGGCCGTCTGTAGCGGTGATTTAGTGACATTAGTTGCTTGCATCCTAACCCTGGGAGCTGTTAGGTTGGTCCCGGGTGTTGGTTGCAGCTTAGAAATCATCTCGTATTTGATTGATTGTAACTCCATGGCGCAAATCCATGGCGCGTGCCACGGCCATGTCGACGGGGGTAGGCCTTTGAGCACTTGAGCCTTGCTGCCTTCCCGCATCAAGGGCTCGGGCGCACCGACGCCGAGACCGAGCCACGGTTCAGCTCAAAAGCCTAAGGCAACACATCCCCTCAAGCAAGTAAAATAGCTTGCCCCATAACTCCTTGCGCTGCAAACTCTCAGCCCAGGTCCTCCGAAGCTCCCACGACCTCTCTGGGGACGGACACGAGCACGAAAAGGCACCATTATGGCGTCCACAATGGGCATCATCACCCGCGTCACGGCGGCTCTGTTGTTTCTCGTTGTTGTTCGCTTCTTCTATCGACTTTACCAGGTTCGAATGTTGTTTAGAGAGGCAGCTCAGAAATATGGCATCGTCGGTCTTGCCCGAACACGCATCTCTCTCCCCGTCGATTTTACTAACTTCTCGTGCAGCCGATGATTCCTCACTCGTTCTTGTTCGGTCACCTTGAGATCATGAGCAAGATACTGGCCAAATACCCGGCAGATCTCCATCCTCAGTGTGTGCCTTTATTGCTTGCCCAGGAGTATCCCGAGATTGGCGAACAGTCAATTTTCTACCTGGATACATGGCCCTTCTCCCATCCGATGATCGCCGTATTCCACCCGGACATGATGGCGCAATTCACCCAAGATAACTCCAGGCCAAAGCACGCCCAAATGCGGGACGAGTTCTACGTATTGTCCGGATGCAACGATCTTGTTAATCAGGAAGGCCAAGTCTGGAAGATGTGGAGAAGCATTTTCAACCCTGGATTCTCCGTCAAGAACTTGATGTCCCTCGTACCGGCCTTCTTGGAGGAGATCCAGGTCTTCCGGGATTCGCTGGATGAAATCGCGGCCAGCGGCGAAGTTGTCCAGCTTGACGTCAAAGCCATGCGAGCGACCGGAGATATCATCGGACGGGCAACACTGTGAGTATCTTGTTTCGCTTCTATTCGGTATACGTCCGAAGCGATACACGGGCACTGTGAGCTTATCAGCTTGTCCGCGCGATACCACGCTGACACCATCCAGTGGACAGCGACTACACTGCCAGGATGGAAACAACCCATTCTTTGAATCACTGAAAGAGGCAATTAGCTGGCTCATCGCAGAACACAGCCCACCGATGATCCTCAAGTCGATGCACCCCCTCCGACGCCTCCGACTTTGGAATGCCAACCGTATCATGAAGAACTACGTAAAGCCGAGGATCGAGCGCGGCGTTGCTGAGTATGCACAGAGCAAAGGTGACTCTACAGGTCCCAAAACGATAATTTCACTCGCTATCAAATCTTATGTCGACGAGGTGCAAGGAATCTCTGGCATCGCAGACGTGGATCCTTCATTTGTCGAGATGGCGGTCTCTCAGGTCAAGCTCTTCATGCTCGCTGGCCACGACACGACGGGCTCAACGTTGTGTTTTATTTACCACCTTCTCAACAAGAACAAATCAGCCCTAGAAGCCATACGTGCCGAGCACGACGACGTGTTGGGAAAGGACACGAGTGCCGCGCGAGACAGACTGTCCGCCAATCCACAGTTACTCAACCAGCTACCGTTCACGGCGGCCGTCATTAAGGAGACACTGAGGCTTTTCCCACCGGTTGGGACGGTGCGCGAAGGCGCTGAGGATCTCTTTCTCACGCACCCGGATACGGGAATGCGATACCCGACAAAAGGGATGATGGTCTTCAGCTGCAGTATAGCAGAGCACCGCACCGAAAAGTTCTGGCCCCGCCCCAACGAATTCGTCCCGGAGCGATGGTTTGCAAAGGAAGGAGAGCCTTTATACGTCCGAAAAAATGCTTTTCGTGAGTTTAAACCCCCCACAAGACTTGAATAGCTTGAATATGTTGCTAATTCCTTTGGAAAGGTCCTTTTGAACTGTGAGCACCATCTTCCCTTTTTTGATACTCCTTATTGTTCCTACTTTGAAATCACACATAATGCAGCACTTGAGGCCCAGTCGCAGGTGACTAACACGCAGAAGGGGACCTCGCAACTGCATAGGACAGGAGTTGGCTCAGCTGGAGCTCAAGGCCATATTGGCTATGACGATCCGTGACTTCGATATCTCTAGTGTCTGGAAAAAAGACGACCCAGAATGGTTTGGGGACAAGGCATATCAAGGCACTCTCGCCAACGAGATAACAGGCCACCCCAAGCAGTATATGCCTGTGCGAGTGTTGAAGAGGCGGTAAAGTCTTATATCGTATTCGTGAGCATGTCGGAATTCAGTCCTATACGGTGCACCGCATGGGCAGTGAGTGCTGCTCAAGTGCATCATGAGGAGCAGCATCCCACAGCGTCCTGTGGGAAGTAGCATAAATCCCCGTGGATCAATTGAGTAGAGTGCAACCAAAAATCACTGTGCGAGATCTTCCGTACGTAGTGTACTATTTGATGAGTATATACCCGTGTTGCATACATTGACGAGATGCACTGAAGCTTTGGGCCACTATACAACGGGTCTTGACGGGGTTCTCATATGGAAGCCGTCAGAATTTGAATTGAGGCCATGGCGGCTCTCTCGTCGGCGCATTTTGAAGAAGCTGTCATGAAGTTTCAGCGTTGATATTGTGCACGCTTGACAGATGAGGGTCACCAGCAATAAGAGCTCGGATGTAGCTGCTCAAGCTCATAAGCCGCTAAGAAGAACTGAGTCCAACCCTTAATCCTGGACCCCGTGTTTTAATGCGGAAATCTGATGTAATAATTTGGAGAAAGCCCGAGTGTCTGATCGCTGAGCTCGAGGATATGGAACAGGACCACGGCACGAGATTCGAATATATCGGGGTTTTCTATGCTTGCTCTTGACACTTGGAAGTGTGATTAAGAAATGGATGGAAGGTTTTTCCACGTAAGAAAAAAAAAAAAAAAAAGGTAAGGTGCACTTTTCAGAATACATTTCATTAAGATGAATCTCGGATGAAGCATGATCTTGGGCCCAGACTTAGTTTGCAGATGAAGACTGGGAAAGCATCCTCCACCGCCGAAGAAAAACCAAAGCCAAACCATGTATCAAGAGCCAAGTCTCTATCATAGGCATACTTAAATGGAAGAAGTCCGTGCCCAAATCCAAAGTCGACTGTATTCACAAGGGAGGTTTTTGTCAAACCAGTTTGCCATATTCCCAACATATCATATTATCCCGAACTTCAGTTCAGGAATTTCTCACGCATAGATTCCAGTTGCTCGTGACGCCTGAGAGCGGTGTCGAAAGTCACATACTTGCTCTCATCGCCGTCTGCAAATGCCTCGTACAGAGCTGCAACGCACCTGGCCGGGCCTGGGAGCTCCGCTTGCCATTCTTGCCACTGCCACTCAACTGGCCTGGTCTCTCCTGAGGCCTGATCATGCCATTCAATCAATGTACTATCGCCCTGGTTGAGATGACGACCTTCGTAGGTGAAGCGCAAACTCCCCTTCTCCCCGCGGATGGTCCACACAAACGATGGCTGCTTTGGGTCTGGGAATACTGCTCCGACTCGCCACATGGTCACCAACTTGGCGTCATTTCTGGTGAACGATGATTCCGGCAGTGATGCCGTCACGACGACAAGGTCCGGAGAATCTGTAGGAAGCTCTCCTACAAGCTCGCCCCCTGGACGATCCAGGAGCTTGATCTTGGGGTTTTGAATCTGCATCATGGCATGGACATTTTCCGCGTCGCCAAGGACGTATTGGATGGGATCCCAAGCTGCGAGGTTTATGTCAGTGGGTCAGCCCAACAAACTCCAAATCATAGTATTGACGTAAAACAAAGTGAAGTGGTACTGACTGTGTCCGAACCCAATTGCAAAGAAGTTTGCGCCAGACTTTGAGTTACTCAATGACTCCAGGCCTGGGTACAGAACATCTTCGCCCTCTCTTGTGGCGTTGCTGTTGACTTGACTGTTGATGACTTTTCCGATGGTTCCCTCGGTCAAAAGTTCCTTTAACTTGACAACATATGGTGCAAGCCTGGCCTGGTTAACAACAGCCGTCCTGCCACCGGCTTTCCTCGACAGCTCTGTCAACTCCCTTGCTCTGAGCGCATTCTCTGCTAGTGGCCACTCGACGATGACGTCCTTGCCAGCTGCAACGCTCGGTCGAACTGTGTCGTAATGCTTGTCCACCCAGACACTGCATACAACTAGGTCGACATTGGGGTCCAGAGCAAGCTCTTCAGGTGCGCCGTATGTGCGAATGCTGTCAGGATTCGGGAGGCTGAAATATTCAACAGATTCTCGAGCACGCTCCGCAGTGGACCCGAGCACTGCAACAATCTGGTACCGTTGTTGACCACGAGGCGAGAGGAGATAGGGTAGATGAGCCTTTGCAGCCCAGCCAGATTTTGACTTTGCAGAGAGGCCGATAAGTCCTACACGAATGAGAGCCATGATTGTAGTTTACTGGCTAATACAGAAATTCACTGAAAGACAAAAATCGATGGATCGTGGAAATATTTATACTCATTCTCTCATCAATTAGAAATAGCATTGTCCAGGCGTGCGACTGGGTTCTCCGCTCTGTCCGCCGGACAGTATTCACGCGTATTTCTGAATACATGCACGAACCCCGCTTGCTTACGAATGCATTCCCAGAAGCGTTTGTGTGAGAGTGTGTCAGAATTATTAATAAGCGTTCGTAAGTGACTACGATCCATACACCTAAAGGCGGATGAATGCGGCCGCCTGAATGTCTCCGGTGTCGAATATGTAAGCACCACGTTATTAAACATCACGCAATATACAAACACCACGGACACTAGGATCACCTTAATTCAGCTTTATCACTTCTTAAAATCATACCACCTAATTCCACCTCTATTTTAAATACCTAGGTATATTAAGAACTATATATAATACTTAAATATACTTTTAAATATATACTATTATAATATATTATTTAATTACTTATTATAGATAAGGGACTAGTAAATTAAATAATAGTATTAGGTTTAAAATTAGAAGTATAGGTAATTATAAGTTGACTTCATTATAGGTGTGTGAATATAAAAGCGTAATTTGCTTTTTAAGGTGTGTGATATTTAGTGGACTTGGATCCATGGATCCATGTGTATACTGGTCAATACAACAAATTCATTTGGTTGAATTCTTTTATTTTGACAGTCTGCTTCTCTACCTGATCACTTGCAGTGAAACCTCAAGAATTCCCTACCAAGGAAGACCAAAGCCACTTTGAAGGAACTTAATCCGAGTCGTCCTCCCCCTCAGCCTGGTCCTCACCTCCCTGAGCATTGGCGAAGACGTTGACAGCCTTGTCAAAGGCTTTATTGCGTCTCTCCTCGAGCGCTTGAGCCGAAGCCTTCAGGTTATCAGGGGCTTTCTCATTCAACGTCACAGAGAATTTGGCTCCCGCCTCTTGGCTGTTCAACAAGTTTCTCTTAACGAGACCTAATTTAGTGATGTCATTAGTTCAAGCCTTGTTTCTCAAAATCGAAGGGATGCAGTCCGGACGTTCGAAGGATGGAAAATGGGGGATACAGAAGCAGTGTCCAAAGGCCACCTACCTCCAACATGTAGCTCGTCAATGCGGGGCTTGTTCTGGACCATAGTCTCCAGTTCCTTCTCAGTCAACTCGACGACCTTCTCCATCTTTGTGAGGATGGCTTGTGCCTCCTCAGGGGTAGGATCAGCACCCTATTAAACTTTTGTCAGCACTTTATTGTTCTCGCACATCGAACACTCAATATGTAGCTGTGGACATCTGGAGGCCACGTACATCGTATTCGCTGATGCTCTTCTTAATTTCAGATACAATAGAGTTAGTTTTGCGTCCCAGCTTGATAACATCTCCGAGCTTCATGTTCGGCCCCTTGTCGGCGATCTTGATGGACTTCTCCAGCTTGCGCTGAATAGCATCGATGTGGCCTTGCACTTTCTTGACAGACATTATCACGTTTGAGACGGTGGATGGCTGTGTTTGGGGTAACTAATGTTGGAGGATGGTTGCCTTTGATTGTGGATTGTGGTGACTTATTCACTGGATTTCTGTGTGCGAGCGCCCTCTTTAAGTACATTCTGGAGCTCTCGAGATCATATGAAGTTGTGAGTCTCATTTGAGCCACCGTGTATGCTCACGACATGTGGCTCACCATGCCGAGGTCAGGAGCTTCCGCAGCAACCCCAAGATCAATGCAGCTCCTTGTTATAACTCAGGCATAAAACATAACACGGGCATTACGCCAACGTGGATATTGGAGGAAGAGAGGATGACAGCGGCCCGTAGTATCTACAGTCATCGCCACCTAGGTAGATGGATGCCCGGCGGGGAGCTGAGGCGCTTGTGTGGTCGCAACAGTAGGCTGAAAGGGGAAAGCCAAGAACCTGCGACAGAGCTGCCGTTCATGCGGCGGCACGTCGCGGTCGTCCCCCGCAGAATGCTCATCAGGGATCAACCATGGGAATCAGCTATTCTACTTGTGGCCGGACGTCAGAGTGTCGGCATTCACATGCTTACAGAAACGTTCCTTCGACTTCATTCTCTACAATTGTATGATTGTCAGAGCGAGTGCGGTGCGTATGTGTGATCTGTAAGTTGGTTGTGCTTTCAGTAGATGACCCCAAGTGAAGCAAGTGACGATGTGCATTTGTTAACACCCTCGCGGAATAGTTGCCCAATAAGTGCAAAGCCTCCGGCATGGCACGAAGCAAGGCAGAGGTATGTTGAGGGAAGCCTCGGCTGTCTGCCTCGTGGCTGAAGCACGCGCCGTCTGGCTCTCCGATCTCATGCTACACCTACCTACTGGGTAGCTTCCGGGATCTTGAGCAAGTACTGATCATCGGTAGCTAGAGTTCATAGGTCAAGTGAGCCGGAATTGTGACACATGGTACTCTACATGGGATGACGACGTCAAACTTGCTTCTCTGTCAATCCATGGGTTGGGTTTACTCCATGTTTGAAACACTGACCCTTGCGCAAGGCATTCTCCCCACAGGCCAAAGGGTCTCGACCGTGTTTTCCAGAATGTCTCGGGTCACCAAATGAGGCCGCCTGCCTGCAACATTGGCAGGACATGTGAACGCCATGCAGAGAGGGACGAAGCTTTAACATGTGCACATGTGACGCGTGGCACCATTTGCATCAACATCACACATCAGATTATGCAGTGCCACGATCGGTTGAGAGGATACAATGCCACACTCTTAGACAAAACACATTCAAGTCAAATTGCTTGAGGCCATAATCTAGAGGCTTTCGCGACGACTGACTGCATCTCCGTTGAAGCAGTTTGCTGAAACAACGGTAAGTATATTCATCGTCAACCAGTCGAGCTCCCAAGTGTTCACGATTGCGGGCACAGAAGGACTATGGGTAAAACCCAAAAGAATAACAACTACAAAGTGGCAACCAAACCCCGGTGGCTTCAGCCTTGACAGCCACTTCACGGCTAGTTTAATATCACCGGCACGAGTGGGTCAAGACCAAACACTAAGACTTGCAGTGCGGGTTGATGGCTTCTGAAGGCACACCATTTCGCTGTAGATTGGGAGGTCTCCGTTGGAAAGCGTGCACTCGAACTTGTTGCAATTACATATATAGGAAACTGCTCTTTGTATTTAGCGGAGCCTCATTGTCACTTCGAAATCATAGGAAGACTAAATAGACACAACATTGACAAAAAGATTATTGGGCAACCACGGATATGTGGTTTCGCTTCTATTCCGTATGTGGTTTCGCTTCTATTCCGTATGTGGTTTCGCTTCTATTCCGTATACGTCCGAGGACATACATGGCGCCTTCATACGGTGCAACCACGGATATGTCCAATGAATGCTGGTCTCGGCTTCCAATTGTAGACAGAACATTACATACATACCTAGGTACCTAGGTACCTAGGTAAGTAATCAAACAAAAACTTGTTGAAGGTTACCTTCTCGTGCCATATATGTTAAATACAATGTGAAAAGCAAGACTTGCATCTCATATTCTCCCAATACGACTCTAGAAAGAATGGATGAGGCCTTGGAATTTCCATATAGGGCAAACTGAAAACACATGTAAGTACCTTGAGGACTGAGCGTAAATAAAAGACCTAGACAATCTTGAAGCACATGTAACAAACACAACTGTGGCGCTCAAGCAGACGGGCATTGTTTTCAATCATCTTCATTGGCTCATGAAGGTATGCTAATATCTTAAAGGCAGAGTACCACAACTAGGATGTGCGTATCTAATAGTCGTCCAGTGAAAACTCTAAAACATTTTCAGCCAAGTTCAGGCCTCATCTATAGATCAGCACTCATTCTTCTCATAAATCCAATAGATGCAACCCCAACATATACTCAGCACATCCAAGAGAACACTCACTCCTACCCTCTTGCAAACCCTATCCAGAACAACTTGTCCCACCCCAAGAAAGAAAACATATCAGAAAGCAAAAGGAATTGGTACAGTTTTATCCCCCTCCTCACTGAGCATCACCGCCAGAAAGGCTCCTCGCCCTGACAAGCCCACCCTTGTCCAGCACAATCTCGAAGTCGGCGTCTTTGACCGCCTCCACCCGATGCGCGATGGTGATGACCGTGCTCTGCCGCAGCTCCTCCCTGAGGACCTGCTGGATGTAGAAGGCCGTCTTCTTGTCGATGCTCGCCGTCGCCTCGTCCAGGATCACCACGGGGCTGCGGCGGAGCACCGCGCGGCCGAGGCCGATGAGCTGCCGCTGGCCCTGCGACAGGTTCTTGCCGCCGCCGTCGATGCGCGTGGACAGCGAGAAGGCTGAAGTATTTTGCTTGATATCGCCGTGGCCGTTGCCGTTGGAGACGTTATTAGCATGCCCATTCGTGCTCGGCTTCGCAGTATCGCCGTTGATGGGGTGCTCATCCGTCTCGCTGGCTCCAACACTGGCGTTGTTACTGCTGGCGTTGGCGCTGGAGCTGGAGGCGGAACTCTCGCTGTGCGGTTCACATGTGGGCTGTGAGCCGCCTGGTGTGATTGAGCCGCTGGCGAGGCCATCCTCAAGCTCGTCTACCGCGCCGAGCACCCTCCTCAGTACCAGTTCACATTCCTCGTCGGAGTGCTCGCGGATAGGATCCAGGTTGTCTCTCAAGGTGCCTGGGAACAAGACTGGGTCCTGTGCGACAAAGCTGATGCGCCGTCTCAGCGCGTGCTTGTTCACCGTGGCCACATCGACATTTCCTATCCTGATGCTTCCCAACGTGCTTGTGGACTCATCGTACTCGGGCAACATCGTCCCCAGAAGCGTTAGCGCAAGTGTGCTCTTCCCACTACCGGTTGGGCCTGTGACCGCGACGGTTGCGCCGGCAGGGATGCGGAAACTCAGGTTGCGCAGCGATGGATCAAGACCCTTGGCATACCGGACCGTGACATTGTCAAATACGATGTCATCATCGTAGCTTGGCCATGCCGCAGGGGGGTCAAAGTCGCCGCGAGGTTCCTCCTCCAGGTCCATGAGCTCAATGACACGCTCAACAGATACAAACTGCATCTGCAACTCACCGTATTTGCGGCACATGTTGTGTGTGCAGGCGACGAAGTTCGCCGCCGCCGCGAGGACAAAGCCGACTGTGCCGGCTCCGAGGCCAGTGAACAGGGCCGACATGGTCAGGATGAAGGTGGAAAGCGCGGACAGGGTATCGAATCGGAACATGAGCCACGCCTGGAGCGACCAGTAGAAATGATCCATCTGCTGGAAGGCGTCGGTTGTCACGATGATGCGGTCCTGGAAGTGCGGCTGTGCGCGAAAGGAGCGCACCGTTGTCAGCCCTTCGAGAAGCGTTCCAAAATTGGACATGAGAGGCGATAGGGAGACCATCTCGAGGCGGCGGAGTGACTGCGAGGCGGGTAGAAAGCGCAGGAAGATCATGACGAAGAGTGTTGTCATAACAAAGGCGATGGCGAGAAAGACAGGCGCAGTAGAAGCGATGACGAAGAGACTCGAGGACCAGAACATGAAGTACCATACAACATCGCGGATTTGTGTGACAATCTGTCCGTCTATGGTGCCAATATCGCTCGTGAGTCTGTTCATCAGCCTTCCAACGGGAGTGACATCGTAGAAGCGGAACGTCGCATTCGCAACCTTCAGCATGACCTGTTCGAAAAGGTGCTTGCCCGCGGTGTAGATGAGGAGCACGATGGTGAGATCGGACAGGACGAAGGAAATGAACTGTAGAAGGGCAATTATGAAGAACCAAAACAGCCAAGGGCGCACATTGACGTCGGGGGGCGGGAGGTCGAAGTCGATATCCAACCAGTCTTTCGGGGCAGCGGCGGCGCCGACCGGGGACATATTAGCCGTGCGGAAGTTATACTCTGGCTCGTTGCTTGCGGCGAGATAGACTTCGGATGACCCTCCCGGTTCGTATGATTCACCCCAGACTTTGAGGAAGTAGAAATGCGTCAATCGCGACACTCGGAACATGATGAATAGGAGAATTAGTAGCCCCCAGTACCACAGATTGCCTGCTTTAATGTACTTCCAGTACACCGAAGCCATGACGCCTCCATGGGCGCGGTATTCTTCTTCGATAAACTTGTCAGGAATAACATCGTCGTCTCCCTCAGCTGGCTCATCCTCGTCAATTGACTGCCGGCGCTGCCCATTTTTGGCCGCAAAGTGGAAAAGCTCCTGGTGATTCTTGATTTCCTCGCGCGAGATGACATTGACCGTCCCGGCTTGTGATACCTCGAGTACTTGATTGGCATGCTGCGTCAAGAGATCCATCCTGTGGGTGACAAATACGACCATCCGCCCTTGCATAAAAGTCTTGTTGGTCAAAAGATTCTGTAAAATCGCTTCGGCGGTCTGATGGTCCAGTGCAGCTATGGGGTCATCAAGCAGCAAAATTCTGGCCCTGCTGTAGATCGCTCTCGCCAAAGCCACTCTCGCCTTTTGTCCACCAGAGAGTCCGACACCATTCTCACCGATCATAGATAAGTCTCTAGCTTTCCATTTATCCAGATCAGGCATCAAGCAACAGGCTGTGAGGACCTGACGATACCTGGCCTCGTCGTATCCGGAAGAAAACAAGATGTTCTCGCGAATACTCATGCTCTGCAGCCATGGGGTCTGCGCGCAGTATCCGATCATCTCATTTGGCACCGTTCTCCTTCCCCCACGGTCATCCAGTTCGCCCAAGATTGCATGCAGCAGCGCTGTCTTGCCTGAGCCGACCTTGCCACAGATAGCAGTGACTCCTGGTCCGGCCTCGAAGGAGACGTTGGAGAGGACTTGTTTATGAGCCGGAGAGCCTGGCCACGCGAACGAGGCTCTTTGGAATGCAATTTTGAGTTCTCCCAGTCGCTCTGTGCGAGCCTCTCCGTACGCTCCCGCTCCCGAGCCGTATTCCTCTTCTTTGTTCAGCTCCGCCATGAAGCTCTCGATCCGTCCCATGGCCACCGAGGCATTCAATAGCACCGTGATGAGCCCAGGCAACTCGTTAAGACTCTGATTGAGCATTGTGAACAGATTGAGCGCCGGGAAAGCAACATCAATTCGCAACGGTTGTTGGCCGATGATAGTGTAAGCATAAAATGCAGCCACAGGGAAGAAATACGCCGAGATCTTGTTCGTCGCCGCGACGGCCTTGCTGAGCAGGTTGACGATGACCCTGTATCTCAGCTCCTTCTGCCGTGAGGCCAGGATGTTTCCCAACCACTTGTCCTGCCAGTCATACCATCGCAGGTGGCGGATAGCTTCGACAAATTGTGAAGTTATCTGCAGCTTGACATCGGTGACAGCACGACGGCCTCGTTCCCAGCTGACAAGGAAGCGGACGATGAAGGCGTTGAGAAACTGGGCGAAGACAATCAGCAGAACGCCGCCCAAAGCCGCCGGTCCAAGGATCTGCCAGATCAACACGATGGTAAGGACGAAACTCATCGGCTTCGTGACAAGATTGGCAAACTCCCAGAAACGCTGAGCAATCTCGTAGACGTCGTTGCGCATCAGGTTGAGAATCTTGCCCATGGATGCGGGGCCTGAGTTGAGTGCCTCGCCTTTATTTTTCTCTTCGCTGCCGTCCTCATCGACATCGCTAGGGAAGGTGAATGCTTTACGCATTAGGGTCTTTTCGTAGATCATGGTTATCATCTCGCCCCGAGATCGCTCGTAAGCTCGCCGACAGAACCAGAGGTTGAAAACACCAGACTGAGCGCCGACAAGACGAGCCAATAATATGAACACGCCGTAGACAACCGCTACATTCCGATTAGGATGCTCGCCCTCGAGGGCCGCGAGTAGCTGCTTCAGAAAGACGACTGGAACGAGGGAGCATATCAACTCCAGGATGCCCAAAAGTGTGGTGACTATCAGGTCCGGTGCGTTGACCTTGAATACGCGCGCGAGAACTGAACCGGGGACCTCTCGAAAAAGGCGATGCAGGCGACTGTGCTGGAACTCGAGCGGCAAAGTCCACACATCCTCATCATGAAGCTGTCTCTGACACCCCAATTTCACGATTGGCGACATCCAACCGACGGTCATCCACTGCCAAAGGGTGAAATTATCCTCCGGGCTGCGCAACTTGACCGTGGGTGTAGAATACGGATCGCAGATGCCCTCGTTGTGGAGGAGCGGGTCGCGCATTGGCATGTTGACAATGAAAATGATCGATACCAAGGGGTTCACCATCTCAAATCCCCATATCCAGACAGCAGACCTGGGAAAGACTTGTAGGATAGTGCTGAACATGACGAGCTGTACGAGTAGCAGCGCGACTTGCAGCACAAGAGCCGGACCCGGGGTGGACCGTGGCCTTTCTATCAGCAGTATGATAATGGTAATAACCTCCCTCCAAGTTAGTACCGGCTTGATGAGAGACTGGTTTTAGCGAGTGCTCACATGCGGTATCAAGGGGACAGAGAACAGTGGCCCTGCGTCAGGGCTCAGCGTAGCCAGAATGCTGATCACGAGGCCCATCGTCGCACTCAAGATGAGCGTGACTGCCGGGACGCTCCATGATCGCTTCTTGATTGGGATGAGGTCGGTCGAGATGCCTTCTGCCTCCCCGGGCTCCTCGGCTGCGAAGTCGCGGAGCCAGAGCCCCCTGCGGTTCCAAGCAGGTCGAAGACCATACCTCACAATTGGAAAAAGCAGTGCCAGTATTGTGGGGATCCATGCAACCGCGCCGACACATTCCCCAAAGATGGCGCGCTCATTAATCTGCAGGTATCCGTCAGCCAGGGGCCGTGCCGATGTCTCGACCCCGGAGGGCGCAGACGGACCAGGCCTGAGCTCTGCCAGGAACGGATGTACCTACCCAAAGCCGATCGCAGCAGTCAAGACAGGGGCGCAGAATGTCCCACGATAGGTAGGACCGGTGCAATGGGGGTGAAGCCATCATGACACAGTGACAATGAGTGAACCGAGCAGGCAGATATACACGGCAAAGTCATGATTCGCACGCGGCAAGATCGAGAAGGAATCCACGGAGACGTCCCTAACCTAGGAAAAGATGTTGCGACAGCGGCCGAAGAGGTAGTATTCTACGACAATCAGTCCAACACACAAGGCTCAACGGGGACAAATCACGATTTGCCTCCGTGCCTCTTTCTTTACCGGAGTAGCGGTCTGGGCCCGGACGGCCTGCAGGTTGGTTGTCTGTCACTTACTGGCACTCTCAGTGCTGACTGCGTTGCTGCAAGAAACTGGCACCGTCTGACGGGAGCTGCGGGGATGGTCAACCGGCCCCAGTCGCTGCCAGGTAGGGAGCTTCGCAATTCTCGGCAGCCGGTGATGGACAAAGCCACAGAGCCAGTGGAGAATCCCGTTCCAGACGGCAGCAATGGGCCCACTCTTCCCAGTGCTACCGGATATTGGTGGCATTGCTAGCGTCCCATTGACGCCACTTCTTCGTGCGCTTGTCCCTCTGGCGCGAATCGTCAGAGTTGGATTCTCCTCCCCAGTTTGCCAGCCCTGCAGGCCTTGCTCAAACGTGGGCCGAAAGACACGTTACGTCGGCTGCTGGCAACTCTTGTCGGGTCAATGACTCGAAACAAGACGCGATGAGCCTCCCGCATCTTGAATCGACCTTCATGTGAAAGCCGTCGCGGTCCGTTGCGACACGAGTCGAATGGTGAGGGCCATGTCATAGAGCCCAGCCTAAGACACATCACCGCCGGAAACGGTTGCCACCTGCTGAGTGCCACACCAGATGCAAGGCATGGCACACTCACATGGCAAATTTGGAGATGAGATGTCGTGTCGTTCGACTGCTGGTATGTAGTAAGAACTTGCAGCCGCATCCTGTGCGTCCGGCAACCTCTCGGAACGCATGCCGGACGCACTTGGCGACGCCTACAGTCGATTGCCTTGATGCGGCTATCTTTTCAATGGCATCCTCGGCGCCGCACCCGCGTTCTAGCGGGTCCTATGCCGGTGCCACAGCGTCGTGCGTCGTCCTCGCCGGCCGTGGTCTCCGCCCGATCAATGGCCTGTATCCTGGGACTACTGCCGTGGTACATCGTATTGAGGCTGTCTGGCTACGGAGGCGGAGACTGCCCAGGTGGTTGACCGAGGACGTGCTCGTCCGCAGCCAGATAAGTGACCGGTCGGAAAGCCAGCCGCAAGGCACTATTCGTGCAATGCTCCGCGGATTCATTGAGGGTTGCACAACGTGGACTAATGCTGCTCATAATTCTTTGTCTCTTCTTCGTGCTCAAAGTCAGACACTACTGCACCCAAGGCTGACCACCGGGTACAGCACCCAGCCGGGCTGCGCATTAGTTATCAGATGCCCACAGTCAGTGGGCGGTAGTACGCTGCAGTACAAGAAGTGCACTTTGTGATCTCTCACAAAATGATTCCCATCCTTTTCAAGTTCCTTTCCCGGAAATAATATCCGATCCCAAACGCCGACGCTCCCAGAAAACAATATGTCAAATTGTGAAAAGTGATGTGAAGTAGTCCGACTAGCCATAGGTTAAGCTCGATCATAATTCTGTGGGTCACCGTGCTGGGCGGTATGGCTCGTAGCGTCTCGGCTCCTGTGGCATTTGAGTTGGCTCCTGCGCCACATGGGGCAGCTGAGAGTCCCAGTCTGCCCCGGAGTATCTGGATGTTGGTGATACCGTAGGGGAGATGACCTGTATCGCAGGCATCTCGACTGCTGCAGACGGCGACATGGAAATAGGCCGCTCGCCGTCCGTCGACATCTCATGGATAACCGGTGGCGGCTGATGCAAATTTCCAAATCCCGGATTCTGTTTGACGGCCTCGAACGCGCTTGGCGACCACGGTATTGCTTGGCCGTCTGGAGAGGGGTGCCAGCTTCCGCGAGGGTCCGACGCAGTTCCTAGATCTGATACCGTCGTCGACTGGTAGCTCGCGTGTCCGCCTAGATCGGGGCTTCCGTAGGGCGCAGGGGCCTTGCTCATCCGACTATAGGGAGACTGCGCACCCATGACATGTACCTCCTGGTAAGCGGCACCATTCCTGCGTTTCCTATATCGAAACAAGATGAATGCGGCGGCGACGAGGACCGCAACCCCCCCAGCAACCGACCCAGCGATGACGGCGATCCTTGCACCGCCTGACAATCCGGCGTCAGTGTCTTCCGGGGGCGGGGAGGAAGTAGCCGCTGGGGTGGTTGTTACTGTCGCAGTGGTCGTGTGGCCAGCGCTGGTGGTAGTCATGGTGCTTTTCGTAGCCGTGTTACTGGTGGTGGTCTTGGCTGATGTGGTTGTGGAGAGGCTTGACAGTTCTGCCATCCATCCCTTTTTGGAGATGGACAATGGCGTGTTGGAGTCGGAACAGTGGAGGCTCAGGGCTTCCCAGGTGCTCTCCATGTCGTCCGGGTCTTCTCTGGCTATGCATTTTGCAGCATTGGTGACAAAGTCCCCACCGTTGCTGCAGAGACACTGGTTCATCTGTGGCACGGTATTGCCGCTGCAGCGCGAGTCGTCCGAGGCATCGTCCAAGCATTGCTGCGTGCCCGAGGGATAATCCGAGAAATCGTTCTTGACTGCTCTCCTGTGGACTGCTGCCGACGACAAGGTCGTAAGAAACAGCGGCAACAGAAGGGGCAGTCTTAGTTGCGACCTGAGCTGCATCGTGGGTAAGGTATCTATGGCGCGGCGAGTGGGCGGGGAGTGGGGGCCGGTTGAGCTTATTTGGCGGGGCCTGCAAGACAGCAGAAGCAGATTGCACGATGTTGCCGAATATCGACAGTGACAGCGGAACAGTGCCTGGTCAATTGAGTGGTGTCGTCGACCGAAAAGGTCAGGAGCAAAACTGAACGGGCCTGGAGGGACTCTTGACTGTTTTCTCTGCGGAACAAAAGGGATTTAGACGCCCAGGTGCCGCTGCGGGCAGGAGGCCAACGGGCGTCATCAACAGTAATTAAGCATGCTTTGGGTAGGCGCTAGATGGCGTGCCTTCTGCTAGCACCAACAGGTCGGGCTGCGGCTGAGCTGCCCTAGCTGCGCGGGCCCACGAGGAGAAGGAGAGACTGACGGGACCCATTTTGCCAATCTCCGCAACGAGGCAGTCCGGCCGTGCCCTCTGACGGCCACAGCCATGGCCGTGGGCGGTGCTATGCCACGAGCATCGCCGCCAGTTGGTCGTGTCGGCTCCCGTCCAGTCCAGTCCGAAGTGGCTACCCCCAGCTGGTCTAGACTGCGATTGTGGCTGGCATGGCAGGCTGGCAGGCAGGCTGGCTGGCAGGCTCCTGCAGCAGCCATTCATCAGCATGGGATGCAGATCCTGCTAGGAAATGACCGCATGGGTCCAGGGGTCGAGCAGTTGGCCGACGTATCGCGGCATCGTCGCGTGTGCCGACCTGTTGTTTGTGCCAGATGCAGCCTGAGTCACCCGGCGGCAAATCCAAGTGCTACGGCATGGGTTAGCCGCCTGTGGAGACATGGAATGAGACATGGAATGCTACCGTGTGCACGGGAACAAGCAAGAGAAGAGGCAGGCAAAAGGCCTGAGAGAGGTGCTGTGCTGACTTTGTCTGCGGCGGGCGGGAGGATTGTGGCTAGGGCCCGCCCAAAAGGTGCAGGCAGCCACTTGAGCGCTTGTTGCTAAATATGGCAACGTTGCTTCGCCCTCCTCCTTCCTGCAAGGTACTTATCCCAGGTATCCTTACCCAGGCCGGCGGACTCCCCCCCACACGTGTTTGTTAAGATTCGGTGCCTAATATTTCCGCCTGTGTCTGAAGCCGTCGATCGATCATTAGGTCTCCTTGTCCAGCCACATTGGAATTCCACATTTGGCATCATTGATGGGCATTTGCGGCGATTGTTGAGGAAGTCCTCATCCACAGCAATATCTGCCGATCTGGAATGAAAAAAAAAAAGGTGGTGAGGCCGAGTGGGCTGATGAAATAAGCTGGATGCAGCAAGGTCAGCCCATCAGCCCCGAGACATAGGGAGACAACAGTCAACACAACCAGGTACTTAAGTAAAGAGTCACATACTCATGACCCAAACATGTCACCGAAAGACGTTGCTGACAAGCCATTGGTCGGCTGAGCTGGGTTGGCTTGTCATACAGTCGACTTCAGGATTCTTACAAACGGTACTGCCCGCTGTAGAAGTAAGTACCGGATCATTTCTTTGCCGCGTTGCTCTCTGCTTTTGACCATTTGCAATCACTCACTGACTGGCTGGGTGAAGCTGAAATTGAAGTCTTTTCTCGACCAAAGTCTCATAACGCCTTGAGGCTTCTGGATCCTGATCTAGATAGCAACCATGACAGCCCTGGAGGCTGTAATCAAGAACATTGTGGACAAGACTTTCTGGTCGATTTCGAGAGCAGAGTGATTCCCCCGTATTGCTGTGTTGTGTGTCAACTCCAGCATCTCGGTCACACTTTTGAACTGGCCAACTAGTGTGGACTGATCCCCATTGCTAGGTCATCGCGTCGCCACGATTAATCATCTGGCCCGTCTCTGAACCACGGGCAAACCCCAATTGAACATTTGAAGCTTCTCATCAACTCAACAACGCGTTCCACGCAGGTGACATCAGAGTCGCGAGACATGTGCTTGTTGTGGCAAAAGGTCGGCAAATTCTATCCAGGCGTGAGAGAAGATTTGTTGGCAAGAATCCAGAGTCAGTCCTGATCTCCTCTTCTACCATCCAAGATTTACAGTCTGGCTTCCGTCGGTCTTATCAGCGGTCTGTTAGAAGGCCTTTGGTTGCCGCCGATGTCATCCATGGCGCTCAGTCCGTCTCGGGGGTCGGCAATTGGGGATCGATATTATCGACATTAAGCTTACTCCATGCTGGCTCGTCCTCCCATGCTCAACCCCGCCTCCGACTCTCAGCACGAAACATGAAACACATGCAGTCGACTGGTCCAACCACAGCAACTCTCGCCCACCAATTAGCCCTTCATGTCCCTCGTGGCGCCCCGGTGCAACCAAAGCCCCCATGACAACCCAAGGTTTGAGCTATGAAGCTTCATTCATGCTAAGACTTTCCCAGGTCCCAGAGAAGCCCCCGTTGAAGCCCCTCCCGCGTCCTAGGTCCCGCCTTCGCCCTGGTCATGTCATCGGCAGCCGTTCGCTTGGGGCCATTCTTCTTGACCGCAGACTAGATTGGAGTTCGAGGTTCTGCGCTTGGGGATTGGTTCGTCTGAGGTCGAGCACCGACGACATCTACCACCCTGTAATGCTTGGATCATGCATGCGTGCTGTTTCCGTCCACAAGTACCCTAGGTATCTACCTGCCTAGTAGGTAGGTAGGCTCGAGCCTCTCGACTCCAAGGCTTCCCTTGGTGTGCCCCTTTTCCACTTCCTCACTACCACCCAAGGTTTCTTCAACGTGCAATGCACCTACACGTCCCCAGATGGTAATGGTACAAGTTTGTATCATTCCTTATCTTCGTCCCACTCTCTATCCTACAGCTTGACCGCCAGGCCAACCTAGTCCCTGCCCGCGTCCCACGGAACGTCATCATCCCTCGTCTCCCCACAGAGCTGACTTCAGGTCCATCAGGTCTTGAAGTGCAAGAGCTGCCGCGATGCTGAACAACATCCTCACTTACGCCTGGCTCCTCGCCGTCTTTGACGTGTCCAGTCATGTGTGCGCCTACGAACCAAACACCGGTTCCATTGCCACCGGCGACCTGAGCGCAGCAGCCCCGTACGGACTCCCCGCGAGCAAGTTCCAGTCCGACACGGACAAGCCCGACGCGGCAGCCACCTTCAACGTCACCGGCTATGATGTCTCTGCCGACAGCACGCCCCAATCCGTCGACGGGTGGAAGCTCGAGGCAGCAGTCAAGAGCGGCGTGTCCCTGTCCGACGCTACCAACATCAGCGTTAATAAGGACCAGGTGTTTGAGGCTACTACTCTGTATATCCAGGCGCCCGACAACATGAAGTTCGCCGATACCTGGAGGATGTGTTCCGTGGTCTATCCTGGCCTGGTCAACAGCGTGGACTCCTCCACCGCCGTGGACGGCTCCTGCAGTGGTATTCTCTCGACCGAGTGTGTCCAGGCGCTTACAGTGGCCGCTGGCGGAGCGAATTCGAACGGCATGGACAAGAATGGGAACTGCACCGAGTTTGTCCTGCCCGCGAGGTGTACCGAAGCTTTCCCAAATGACAGTGTCAGGATGCAAGCCATAGGTATGTTGTCTCTACCTACCTACCTACCCAGGAACCTTGGGGTACAAATCAGTCCTCAAATGCTCTCCTGCGCCTACCCACCAACATGTCCGGCCAAGATCTCTGACAGCCAGCTACTCACAGCAATCAACCAAACCGTTCTTGACGACAAGCGGTTCTACGCGTACGGGAGCACGCCAGGCGACTCCGGGAACAGCACCGCGGCGGGCCAAGAAGCGCAGCAGAACGTCTGGCCCGTCGTGAACATCTTTGGTCACCTTTCGTCGAGCGGGACCCGGGACTCGACCAATGTAGGAGTTCAATGCGTTCGCGCGATCAACGGGACGACCGATAACGTCACATCTGGAGCAGCCCGTGTCGTGTGGGCAGCTGGTCACACGGCCAGCGTGCTAGGGGGTCTTGTAGTTCTGGGATGGATCATGGCGGTGTAGGTCCAGGCATTGGAGTCTTCAAAAGAGATTGGCTGTTCTTTTTCAAGCACACCCCGAGTGGGCTGCGAGAGGAATTTCTGCGAGGCAGGACATGTGGACCCTGCTTCGTATAATCGGTGATACCAAGTAGATTTCATTGACTGGAAGGGTACAGCAGCATTCTCGAATGCTATTACTGGTCGGGTCCACTATTTTCCCACTTCATGTGCTGCATAATCATCTACAGGCAAGCAAGGATCCTTGATCGTGTCTGTTTCTAATCTTGGAGAGCCTCTGCCATGACCGATACACAGGTCTCTGTACTTTGAGCCAAGCCACCACGCGCATATCGAAGCTGGCGACCCTTAATTACCGGCATGAAGTCCAGTATGGCATATGTCTTTGTACCTCACACGATGCCAGGAGAGAAGAACGTTTGAGCTTCTTTGATGTGATTCACAACCGGGATCTACAAGTATACTTGGCAAAAGAAAAGAAATGTACCCAAAAGCAAGTGCTAATCAAACCAAGCGAACAAGGAAAATATCTATGAGTTGTCCTCCTCTGGCTCGTAGCCCATATTAGAGAAATAGCCACCGTTCTACATAAACTCCCCTGTCTTTTATTTCAAGTGTCCTTCCCACCCCATGGAATCAAAAACAACGGCTTAAATCACATATCCCGGATTACAAGCTCGTCCCGTCCTAGACGCGCTCAAGGATCTTCGTCAGCTCCGCAGCGAAGCTATCCATCAAGCCCATGACCGCCGCGCGGTCCCCACCAAAAAGAGCCTCGTCGCCACTCGCCGCGACGCTGACCCCGCCGTCACGGACAATGACGTTGAAAAAGAACCTGTGTGGGCTGAGGTGGCCCGTCTCGAGCCCCTCGATCATCGAGTCCGCGGTGGTCGACGGCTCCGTGACGGTGAAGTACTCCGAGGCAAGGCGCTCGTCAAGCCTGTGCCTCTGGAGCACCGCGAGCCCGGCGTCACCTTGGCTGTTGCCGTCGTCGGTCTTGGCTTCGCCGGGGTAGAGGATGTTGATGTGCGCGTTGAACCTGGGGCTGAACCTCTGCGCGCCGTCCGACTGCGCGAACTTGGTGAGCTGCGCCAAGTGGCCCTGCACGAACTCGATCAGATCCTTGTCATTCGCGGCCGCTGACGCCTCGCCGAGATCAAGGCTGAAGGGGGTCGTGGTCATGGTAGGGGCGTTGGCGTCGGTCAGGTCTAGGGTCTGGGTCTCGTCCGCTGAGGACAGCGACCGCGCCGCGTGGTTTACGCCGAAGGTGGGCCGGGAGCATCCTGTGAGATTCTGCAGCGTCCTGGCGTACGCAAGGATGATGGCCGCTGAGGTGCCCGCCTTACCGGCTGTTTGCGAGAGTTTGTCGGCGGTGGCTTGTGGGATGGCATTTTGGCTTCTCACCTGGAAGTGAGGGCCAAAGGGCGAAGGTGAGGCCGCATCGTCTTGGTTGCCGAGCAGGGTGTCCTCCGCGTGTGCCAGGTGGGCTTCCCAGTACGAGTTCTCTGCACTAAGCTCTCTGATTGCCGTTATCTGGTGGACCGCGTCTATAAGCTGCGTGCGACGCTGCAAGTCGCCTCCAGCCAAGAGCCGGTCCAGGTCGTTGACGATCATCTTGATGCTCCATGCGTCATACAGTGCGTGGTGCAGTCGGAGCACGACAGCCTTGCCATCTGAGCCTTCGAGGAGAGTCAGTCGGGCTGGGGGCTGCCTCAGGCCCGTGGGCTTGTTATTGTCGTCGCGGACGCACTCTTCAACTAGGGCTTCAAGGTGTTTGGACAAGTCACGAAGCCTTGCGAAGTTTTCTGAAGGGGGAAACTGCTCGCTCAGAGTGACTTGGACGAGCCCTGCTTCCTCCACCTGTGTCTGCAAGAAGGTGGTTCTGAGTACTTCATGATTTCGGCAGAGCTGTGCCCAGCAATTTTCAACCGTCTGCTTGTCTAGAGAGTCGCCGATTCTGTAGACCCATGGCGCCTCGAGGAACCTCTTGCCATTGAACAGCCACTGCTCTAGGTGGGATCTTTGCCCCGGCAGAGCTGGGAGTACGGACTGCACAAGCTCGCGGTCTAGTCCCAGTCTTTGGGCTGCCTCAGCAAGCAGATTCGCCTGCTGTTGGGCAGTGAATACGCGCGGCCTAGTGGCTGATTGGACGCTCTTCTGGCCATCCTCGTGCCTGACATCAGTGTCTAGGCTCTGAGTCGAGGCCGCGATGATGATTTCGTTCACGGTCGCGCCCTTCATAATCTGGAAGACGCCCACGGTCATCCGCAAACGCTTCCTCAGGAGGCTTGATAGACGGATGGCCAGGATGGAGTCTAGGCCCACATTGATGAGCTTCGTGTTGTACCCGATCTCCTTTCCCTGGCTTCTCTTCCCAAGCACGCTTCTGACAACCTCCAAAACAGAATTGGCCTTGGTGGTAGAGGTATTCACCTCGGGCCGTGCGGTATTTGATTTCTCCCCCCTGGCGGCGGTGCTTTGCTTCGTGCTCTCCATGCGACTGACATCAAGCGCAGGCTTCTGCAAGTCGTCCAAAATGATCGATCTCACTGCAGCCTGTAGGTGACCTCCTAGGGTGTCCACCTCAGTCTTGGTCAATCTCGCCCTCAGCTTTCCCCTGAGTGTGTTATTCTCGATCCGGAAGCTGGTGATCAGATCATAGTCATCATAAACCGGCTGATCGTCACCATTGTTGGAATGTTCATGAACTGGCTTGAATAAAGATACTGAAGTACCAATTCTCCCATTGTCTTGGTTGCCGACGACGCCATCGAAGACGAACAGGCTCTGGAACAGGCTTGCGGGAAGTTCGTGGGCATTAGCTGCTGAGGATCGCCATGCCGTCTGCACCTTCCTCAAGGATGCCAGCGCAACGGATCCCAGAGCCTCGTCGCTCAGCCTCTGAACTTGAGAAAGCCCATCAGTCACGCTGTGTGTCTTGTCAAGCGTGACACGCATGGGCACCGTGTTGATTGTGGGGCCCACGACGGTCTCGACATCGTGTCCGCTTGAAACGACTTGTCCGAAGACGACGTCGGGTTGCCCGTACATGGACTCGGAGAGGACCTTTGCCCAGGCTAGCATCAATGCGGTCTTGGTGGTCACGCCGGCCGCCTTGCATCTCGTCTGGAGCAAGGACAGTTCATTTTCTGTGATGGTGAAGTGGAAAGCGGCCGATGCCGAGAGGTTCTCCAAAACTTCGAGGGGCTTGTAGCTGTAGCCACGTAGGAGATTGGCCCAGAAGGCTACGGACGCCCTTTGCGTCGTGGCAACGGCCTTTGCGAATGGACGGAACTTATGTTGCTGTCGCGCTTCAGTGTCGGGGCCTGGGATCTGCTGGCCGCCCAGGCGCCTCTTGTAGTTGTCACCCAGGATATTCCAGATAGTCTGGATCGAAGATGCGTCGTAAAGCGCGTGGCTTATCCTCAACTGGATCTTGCCCCCGCCAAGATGGGTCCAGCTGGCCAGGTCGCTCTGTTCAGTCGGGGAGACGATACCAAGCCATGGGGCCTCATCGTCCTGGGTGAGAATAAACCTGGTCCTCAGGATCTCGCACACCTGGACTGTGTCCTGAACAGCAGCGAAGAAGTAATCAAGACCCTTGGTGTCTGCCTTCAGTGCATCCTCTGACAGCTGCACTGTGTGGTTGTAAGTGTAGGCTCTGCCCGACGTGGCCAGTGAAGCACTGAGCATGCCCTCCTGGAGCGGCGTTGCCACGAACAGGAGGTCCTTGGCAAGCCGCCCCAATGTCTTTTCGTACTTTGTCTCGTCATCATCATTTGCATCTGCTGAGGTCTGGTCTGACCTCCTGGTGACGGCCTTGGTATTCGCCCGCGCCCACGCCCGCGCCCGCTGCAGCAGCCTCGCGGTGCCGTGGATAGTTCGGGCCTTGAGCACAGCATCGGGTGTCAGCTTGACCTTTTCGGACTTGTTGATTGACCTGACAAGCGGGAGGACAGTGATAGAGTCCAAGCCGATCTGATACAAAGACGTCGTCTTGTCCTTGCTGATATTGGATGGGTCGACGCGGAGGAGACGGCCTAGGATGTTCCGCACGCTGGCCAAGGCTGCTCCAAATTCGGCACCCGAGTCACTGTGGTCGTCTGCGTCTGGGATCTCGGGAGCGACCTCGGCCACCACATTTGCATCAACATCAACCGACAATAAGTCCCCCACTTTGGCCTCGTTCTCGACAGATATGAATGTGCCGACGGCTTTCTCAAACAGCCTCCCAACGTGTTCTAGATCTGACGCGTTCAAGACACCGGCGGAAGAAAGCATCAGGACAATCCTGCCATCATGGTGCAGGTCAACGTCGAAGGCCAAGGCCATGTCACCCCTGCTCTCGGTATGCAGAGCACTCATGCGGCCCGGAAGAAGCTCCGATGAATCTGCAGAGGGGATGAAGTTGATACTTAGCAGGCTGTCAAACAATCTGTCTTCTGAACCCGCCCAGCGCTGCACCTTCTCCACGCTCACGAGGGGCATCGGTCCCTGACAGGTGTCGACGTGAGTCTGGTAGACCCTCCGGGCGAACTCATGCAAGGTCTCGCCCTTCTTTAGGCGGAAAGCCTGCACAAGGGTATTGAGGCAAGGCCCGAGGAAGTCGTCCACCCCGCCTTCAACGACTTGGCTGAGCAAGGGGCGGAGTGACATGACAAACCCATACACCACGGAGGTCGTCTGCTTGGTGAGTTGAGACAGGCATAGGGCTGTTGCAGCCTGGAAGGTTGATGAAGCAGACACGATGGAACGCTGGGAGTTCAACTTTTCTCTGATCTGAGGCAGAGTCCAGGGAAGAGTTCGGACAGAACGAACCGTCTCCTTGCTGTCGTCAATGGGGCCAATATGGCACGGCCGGACGCCGCGCAACCTCTTTTGCCACAGGTCCTTGCAGGCTTCCAGCTGCGCGGGCGAGAGGACGCAGTGGGCAGATACTCTTGTGAGCACGTCGAGGCTCTTGTTGGCAATGGCCACGTGCCCCTGGGACGGGCTGCCGTCATAGGTCTGCCCAACCTTCTGGAGCAGCACAGCAATCGCGACACCGTCAAATAACGCATGGTGAATCCTCAGGGAGACGAAGGCATCGTCACCTTCATTTCTCAGCTGAATTCTGATAGGGGGTTGTGTGCTCATCTTGGCCACGATGTCAACGGGCTCTTCCCCTTCAGTCTCAAATGGCGTGGGAGACGGGGATCGGAGTACAACTTGGAAGACAGCACCATCATCCTCCCTTTGGACGAAACAAGCTCTCAGCATAGCCTCCGACGCGATGACCTGCTTTACTGCATTCTGCCATATGACAAGGTCTGTGCCTTGGGAAAGTCGGTAATTGAATTGTGCCACGTACGGGACTACCTTTGACTGCGACGATGAAGCGAACTCATGGTTATTTGCACTCATCCAAACCATAGATCGGGCGACCAATGCCGCTTGAAGGGGGATGCAAGGCAACACTGCTTCGACATCATCTCCGGACAGACCTGCTGGGATCTGGCCGGAGAAAACGGTTTCGAGACTGAGAGACCTGACTTCTTCCAGCCCGTTGTCTTCACCTGGGGTAAACTGCTGCAGGACTCCAGTAGTTTGCGTACTTTTATCGTCAGTCAGCCGGGCTATGGATGCTACCGTGGCTGAGGATGACAGGACATCAGGAACGCTGACCTTCGAGAACCCGCGCTTCCTCAGGAGAGCGACCAGATGAACAGCAGAAAGGCTGTCAATGCCGAGGCGAATGCTGCTGCTAGCCTCGCCACTGACTTTGTAGCCGACGACCTCCTCTACAGCTGCAACGACAAGGGACTCCTCGTCATTTAGGCTGCTCGAGGCGACGTCGACTCCAGAATCGTCAGAATCCTCACCATCAGAGTCTTGCGAGACCACGACATCATTTGCCAGCTTAGCCAGGAGCTTGGTGTCAACCTTGCCAGAAGCAGCCAGGTACGGAATTCTCGACACCCAGACTAGCTTGGGGACCATGAACGCCGGTAGCTTGGACTCGCACTTCTGGCCCAGGCTCTCCAGCAGCGACGACAAGGCCTGGCCAGGGTTCTGGAGCAGCTCAACCTCAGCAGTCATTTCACTCCTCAGGCGTGCCTTGCGCGCGACAAAGCCGAACAGCTGCTGCTGGTTTCCTTGACCCACGGCAACGGCAGCGGCGAAGTCCAGCTCACCTTCGTCTGCAGCCTGCTCCTTCAGGAAAGAGACAACCTCGTCTAGCTCGAGCCGCTGGCCACGTATCTTGGCTTGCTGGTCAGCTCTGCCCAGGAACTCCAGGGTGCCGTCGTGCATCATCCTCATGACATCGCCTGTCCTGTAAATTCTTGTCTCGGCGTCGGCCAGCAGAGAGGTCGTCTGGAAGCTCTTGGCGTTCTCTGCGGGTCTGTTCAGGTAGCCCAGGGCCACCTGAGGGCCGGAAATACAGAGCTCGCCCGGCTGGCCCCTCCTGGCTATGATCTGTTGGCCGTCACCGCGAGGCGCCAGCAAAAGAGCTTGAAGGCCCTTGAGCGGCAGGCCGAGGTTACGGGCATTGGAATGACGGTTCACAATATGGCCGAGGCAGCCAATCGTAACCTCAGTCGGACCGTAGAAGTTGATTAGTTTGGCACGCGAACTCTCGCCTGGGCTTGTCCACGTGTCCAGAAGCTCATTTGACGCCTTCTCACCGCCGGTCGTCACCACCCTGACGGAGGGCACCTCCTCCGGTCGAAGCCGTAGCTGCGTCAGCACAGAGGGTACGCTGCCGAAGTGTGTGATTCCCAGCTCGTTGATGACGTGCTGGAGGTTACCCAGAAGCGCGATCCGGTTGCCAATGACGACTCGGTAACCAAGATGCCAGGGCACGAAAAGCTGCGTGAGGTGCGGGTCGAAGGCCCTGGAGGTGAGGTTGAGGTACTTGCCACAGCCGCCTAGTTGTTCTGTCTCAGCCTCTGGAGAAGGGGTTTCAATCATGCGCAGGGAGAAAGAGGAGATGAATTGGCACAGGTTCCGGTTGGAAACGCGGACACCCTTGGGCCGACCAGTCGAGCCTGATGTGTATAGCAGGTAACCACCTTCACCGCGGTCGCTTGCAGACGGAGGCTGGAATGCGTTCATCTGCTGCTCGAGTATGAGATCCACCTCTCCGTCGCCCTCGGCAAGCAACAAGGCTGGAGGATCGTCGTGATCCATATCCAGCTCCTTTGCGAGCTCCTGGGTGGTAATGACAAGCTTCGCGCCAGCATCACGTATCAGCAGTTGCTTTCGTGCAAGTGGCAGGTCTTCGTCCACGGGGAGGTATATAAAACCTGCGCGGAAAATGGCTAGAGTTGCGGCCAGAGACTTGATGTCTCTGCCGAGATATAAGGCGACGACATCGTCCTGCTGGAGACCAACCTCGTGCGATGCTAGCTGGGAGGCAATGGCGTTGGTGAGCTTGTCTAGTTGAGCGTATGTGATGGTCTTGGTAGACGATGCGTCCCGCTCATCGTCGAGATCGTCGCTGGTGTGCACCTCCTCAGCTGCTATCCAGTCTGGGTACTGAACTGCATGCTTGGAGACGGCTTCAGTTGGATCAAAGCCTGTGTCTGTGGCGACCTCCTCAATTTCACCACTGATAGACACAAGGCGACGGTCCAAATGATTTTGCAGTTGGCTTAGAGGGAGTTGTGGGAATTGCTTCATGACCCTTGCCTGATCGATGATCTGGTCTAGCATGAGTTCCAACTGAGCTCGTGACACACGCCTCGCGTCACCAGTGAGCTCTACTTTGCCCTCCCCTTCGAAGACGTTGAATGCAAGAGGGTGCTCTACATTGAGTGAAAGCGCCTGATCAACCTCTCGGAACAGCTGCTTCTCAGTGCCGGCGCCGGCGTGGTCGTCATCAACGCTGGGGTCCGGATGATAGACAAAGACACCAGCGAATGGCGCATCGCCGCTTCCAGTGCCCTGATTGAGAAGCCTCTTGATATCCACTGGGTGCAGGTGGTGGGTAACACGGAAGAGATTGGAAGAATCACGCGCCATCTCAGCCCACAGCTCTTCAGCGGAGTTTGCATCGGCCCGGACAGCGAGAGGGAGGGTAGCTATGGCTGGCCCAACGACATTGGCAAGTTCCGGGTGGATCAATCTTTGCGATACTGTCTGGCCGAAGATAACGGCCTTGAGCTCGAGGTAGGATGCAAGAACACACCCAAAGGCTGACTGGAATAGGATTGGAAGAGCCGTTGGGGCACCAGAAGCCAGCAAGTCAGGGACAAATCTCTTCGCTCCGATTATCCTCTGTTCCTGCTTCTTCCTAGACTGCGTCAGGTCAGGGAACGGCGCATTCAAGACTCCCGCTGTTTCCCTGAGCCCATCAAGACGCTCAGTCCAGAAGGTGGTGGCCTCGTCTCTCTGGGCAGTGGTGGGCAGCAGACCGAGTTCCATTCCTCTGGAGAACTGTACCACATTCTCATGCACGGTATTGTTCTGCTGGTAGAACTTCGCAACTGCGTTGAGGATGGCTTCAGACGAATCATGGTCATAGAGCGCGTGATGCATGCTCAGCATCATCTTGCGGTCTTCCTCTGCGACTGTGACAGCCCAAGGGGAAGTCCCAGGCGTCAACTCCGTCAGGCCTGGTTCCTGGGCCCATCTCGCCAAGTTCTGGTCCTCGTCACTTGACAGCCACTTCCAACAAATTGCTGCTTCTTCCTGGACGATCTGGAGGATGGTGGCCTGGAGACCCTGCCGACGGGCCCAAGAGATGCCGTTGGTGGACTGGTCTTGTCCTTCGGCGACTGCATCCAGTTGTGCCAGAGGAACAAAGCTAGTGCGAAGGATGTCGAATGTGCTTGCGGCTGCGGTCCAAGCTGCCTTGAGGCGTTCACCGTCAAACGTATCAAGATGGCTCAGATCAAAAACGCGGTGGGCCCAATAGGCTCTGGGCTCACGCATGGTCTCGAATATGAGGGATTCCTGCATTGGGGTCGCCGGCAAAAGGAAGCTGTTTGGCCGGAGTGCGTCACCACGTAGGGTCTTTGAGAGGAGGTCGCTTATGGCAGCCACCCACGTTTGCTCAGTCGCTGTCGCAGCTGGAGCTCCGTTCGATTTGGTCTCGCAGTCCGCGAGCTTTTGACTGCCCTTCTGTCTACTGAGCACGACGTCGACCAGCTCGCCGAGGAACTCGCACTTCATGAGCTCAAGCACTCCGACTTGGACTTTGAGCTGCCGTCTCAGGGTCCAGGCCAACTTGGTGATCTGGAGGGAGCTAAGACCAAGCCCAGCCAGACTGTCACCAGGACCAAGAGGCCCGACTTCCACTTTGAGGTTCTCGGCGAGAACTTGCAACACGTCACGTTGTGTATCAGTCCATTGTGGCTTATCGGCGGCCTGGCCGTTAGAATCTCCGGCAGAGGCTCCTCCCACCAGGGCCTGCAGGTCTGAGCTTTTGTAGATCGCCTGCAATTCTTTACGGTCGACCTTATTCGATGCAGTTCTCGGCATAGTCGTGCTCAACACGACGACATGCCCCGGTACCATGTAGGAGGGGAGAATATCCCTGGCCTTCTTGAACACCTGAGCCTGGATGGCTTTCGTGTCGACATCCTCTTTTTTTACCGAGACGAAGGCGACGACGACCTTATGATCGACACTTTCCCTGTCTGGTCGTGGGAGATAAAGAGTCTCAACGTGCTCGATAGCATCATCCTCATCCTTGACGCTGGCGCAGGCAGCACTGATCTCGCTCAGCTCAATGCGGATACCTGTGATCTTGACGAGATCGTCATTTCTGCCTAGGAACTCAAATCCGTGGTCGTTAAGCCTCACCATATCGCCAGTCAGATAGATGCGCTCATCGATCCCTGGGCAACCTTGGATGAACTGGGAAGCGGTCTTGGCTGGGTTGTTCAAGTAACCTTTTGCCACCTGCGATCCACCCAAAGCCAGCTCACCGACTCCGTACCGCGGGACGAGCTCCCAACGTTTCTGGTCAGAACCAAGTACCGGCACCTGGTGGACGACGTATGAAGTGCACGGGCTGAGAGGAAACCCAACATTGGCGGCTTTGGCCTGGTCTCTGCTCCTGCCGTAGAAACGGCGCATGGTGGACACGACAGCGTTTTCAGCTGGACCGTAGGTGTTGTATGCGCGAGTAGTAATACCAGGTGCGGCCCAGGCCTCGGCCACGTCCTCGGTCAGCTTCTCGCCAATGAAGGTCACGTACTGAAGCGTACTGCCTCGGATCTCCTCCACGGCGATACTGGCACCAAAGCTAGGGGTCAGGTGCGCGTGCGTCGGGCGGGCCTTCCAGATGAACTCGACGAATGAGCCTAAGACGAGCTCCCGCGTGCCGCTGATGACGCTCCCCCTCAGGCCCCATGTGTAGAACAGGTCCTGCACGAAGACGTCGAAAGAGTAAGCCGAGAGCTGCAGCGTGCGTACTTGTTCAACCGTGGGGTCGTGCTCGACTTGGACCTGGAGGTCTTGCATCGCTTGTGCCGCAGCACTGTGCTGGATCATGACACCCTTCGGCTCGCCCGTCGTTCCGGATGTCCACAGGAGGTATGCCAGATCTGTCCCACTCAGGGCACCATCCTGAATTCCATCTCGCGGCTTCGGCTTGACTGCCGACGGCTTCGCATGTTGATCCACGAGAATGACACGCATGCCCTTCAAGCTCTCGCTGGAGAGACACGGCTCCACCAGGCTCCACGACTCAGTATTGGTCAACAATATCTTGCTTTCTGTCCTCGCGATGAGAGACGTCCGCCTCGCCACTGGAGATGTCAAATCAACCGGGCACCAGGCGGAACCGGCCTTCAGGACGGCCAACACGGCGACATACAGGTCAATACTCCGCTCAATGCACAATGGGATCACGTCAACGTTTTCCTCGCGGAGAACGTACGCCAAGCCGTTGGCGAGAGCGTCAAGCTCGGCGTAGGAGAGATTGATAGGAGGTGAATCTAGGGACGGGTAGAAGGTCAAGGCAAGTCTATCTGGCGTCTCCATGGCTTGAGCTTCGAATTGCCCGTGTAGGATTCCCAGGTGCTTTTCGTTATCGTTGACAAGGCCCTCTACCGGAGAGGCTGTTCCTTCGGCAGATAGGAGGCTTCTCGGCAGACGTGCGGGAAGTGATGAAATGGCATCGTCAGGCGAGGAGGAGATCATGATCTGCGTGAGAGCAGCCAGCTGCTTAACTATGCAGCTTGCCGATAGCTCCGAAAGCGTCTCCTCGCGGTACGTGAGCTTGAAGGTCAAGTTGGTAAACTCGCTTCGGCTGGGTGACAAGGGATCATTTGGAAAGACTTCGACGAAGATGGGGAAATCGTAGCGAATGGCAGGGTGGCGGACTTCAGTCCACGGCAGCGGAGAGAGTCCATTCCCGAGTCCACCATCTTCCACCGGGTATGCCTGAAGAGCCAGGGCGGTGTTGTACGGAAGAGTCTCGAAGACTCCATAAGATAGATGCCGGTGGACCAGAGCAAACTTGCCTTGCTGAGTGAGGCCGTCGACTAGCTGGTTGATGGTTTGAGTCTCAGGCAAGGCCACGCGGCATGGAACAACAGAGAATGTGGGCGCGTGTGTTGTGGTAGATAGGTGGCCCGATATCACGCTGCCAAAAGTGACATCCTCCGTGTCCGCCTCGGAAAAGAAATGTAGAAGAAGCGACCAAGACGCCTGGAGGATGGCAAGTGGGGACGCACCACCACCCAGGGCTTTGCTCCTATTCTCGAGAACTTGCCATGGGAGATCACTCTGGTACTGGACCACGCCACAGTCCGAAGCTGACTTAGTGGACTTGTTGCTGTGGACATTGTTGCCACTCAGCGTACCAAAAGGCTCGACCTCCCAGCCTTTCAATTGTTCCCGCCACAAGCCGTCCGTGTCCTGACCCACATTTGAATAGCACTCGAGCACTGCATCGTATATGCTTTGCCTCTGGAGAGTCTCGAGGCCTGCATACCGCCTGGCTATGTCGCACATAAGAACTTCGACTGACGCGCCATCACAGATGCAATGAGCAACACTGATGAGGAGGAGGCCATCGCTATCAGGAGAGGTCTCGTCCTCGACCACCTGGATGTGGTAGAGCCTCTGAGACTCTAGGCTAATGTTCTCTTCTGCCAGGGCGACCCATCGCTGCGCACCGTCCACGGACAGTGGCCCAGAAGCCTTTCGGTGGACTACTTGTGGCGCCTCGGCGTCAGTGCTCTTTGGCCGATTCCAGGCTTCCTGCGTCAGGATAATCTGGGCAAATGGCGACAGGGAATCGTCACATGGCAGCAGGACAGAGCGGTATATGGCCTGTCCCATCAAGATCTCATCGATGGCTATTTTGAGCGCTGGTGCAGAGACTTCCGGCTTGAGTCGCAAAACAGTGTGGCTGATGTATCTGGTCCTGTCCATCGCGAAACTGACTGCTAGTTGACTTTGTTGGGTAGTGGCTGGGAGAACCATTTCGATATCAGCCTCCCCGGCACCATCGAGCTTTTCCAGTACCTCAGAGAGGTGGTCAGATGAGAACTGTGCGAGCCGGGTGTGTATCCTGTCTTCTGAGGTGATATCAACCCCACTAGATAGCGACTGTGCTGATGACGAGGGGAAGAAGACGGAGCGTATGGTTGCTTTGCTGTCAAGAAGGAGTGCTAACGACGGTTGCAGATTTCTGTTTGACGACCCATGCCATCGCTTCCTGATCTCCCGCAACAGTCTCATGGCGCGCAGACTATCCACACCAGCATCTGCGAGAGGAGTGGCAGCTGAAACTTGGCTTCCTCCCAGAATGTCTGCCACGATGGACAGCAACTGTGCTTCCACTTCGGCATCATCGCCTGCCAGAGGCTTGAGCGCTTCGATTTCCTGGCTAGTTGGAAGTGCCGGCTGCAGATCTTCAAGGACTGCTCGCACATGTGCTGAAACTGCTTTACGGTCGACTTTACCGGACGCGGTCCGCGGGAGAGTCTCGACGTGGATCACTTTAAAAGGTCTCATATAATCCGGAAGGTGCCGTTCTGCTGCCTCTTTGCACCTTTGCATGACTGTTGCCTCAAAATCCGACCCTGGAGTGGTGACAACGAGGTTGACGACCCTCTCCGAGCCGGGTGCGGAATTCTCAGGCTTCCAGATGCATGAGACGGTTTCCAGCACGGTGTCAACCTTCGACATCAGCACGCTCTCGATCTCACCGAGCTCCACACGCCTGCCGCTGAGCTTGACCTGGTCATCAGATATTCTGCCCAAGAATTCGATGACAGGTCTGCCGGATTCATCCCAGACTATCCGGGCCCTGTCGCCTGTCCTGTAGAGCCTGCCCCATCCAGATGCGCCATCGTCATTGATAAAAGCCTTAGAGGTCTCATCAGGTCTGTTTAGGTAACCTATGGTGCTTACTTGCGGGCCGGTGATGAGAAGCTCTCCACTGGCGCCCATTGGTACAGGCTTGACCGCTGACTTGGAAGTCTCGTCCACAATGAGAACGCCGCAGGTCTCGAGGGGTGATCCAATCACAGAACCTCTTTGGCCATCGGACACATGCGGCTGTGCAATGCAGTAAATTGCTGTCTCCGTTGGCCCGTAGCCGTTGTATACACCACTAATCGCTGGCACCCCTTCCTTGTGGGATACGGGATTGTGCTGGGAGAATTCGCGTACTACGCGCGCATTCAAAGTCTCTCCGCCGAGCATCAGACCTCGGATGGACGAAGAGTCTAGCAGAGTGGCGAAACTGGGCGTGATGTTGGTGATGTCAGCCTCCAGCGTCGTGACAACCTTGTTGATGTCCTGCAGTGTCAGCTGGCGCGGGGCGCAGCAGAGGGTGGATCCGGTACTGAGCGTCCAGAAGATCTCAAATAGGGAGATGTCAAATGTTGGAGCTGCGCCTTGGAACCATCTGGTAGGTTTGTTCGCGCTGAGTGACTGGGTCAGGGTGGGAATGAAGCCGAAGTGGGCGCTCAGGGCAGACACGGTGCAGGCTACCGAGAGATGGGAAACTGCCACGCCTTTGGGCGTGCCGGTGGTTCCTGATGTGTACAAGATGTATGCAACATCGGTTTCTGCCACGCACAGAGCGTCATGCTCTTGCGGCCTTGCTATCTTCTGGTCGCAAGCTGCAAGATATGGGCTCACGTCAATCGTGGGTGCATTACCTGCGACAGCTCCGGATGATGCAGGTGATGAATCAGTAACGAGAAGAGCAACGGGCTTGAGGTCTGCCATTAATGCATCCACTCTCCCTGCCGGTGCGTCCACAGGAATTGGGCAGAAGGCCATGCCGGCCTTGAGAGATGCCAGGTAGCTCGTGTAGAGCTCTGGACATGGTCCTATCATCACCGCAACGGTATTGACGTTGGACGCATCGCCTGAAGCACGTGAGCCTTGCGCACGTAAAAGCTCTCTCGCCAGCGCATTTGCAGCATTTTCCAGCTGCTGGTAGGTGAATTGTCTCCTCCTGCCCGTCTCAAGATCCAGGAGGAAGTCTACGGCCGTTCTATCGGGCTGTTCATCCACACGATGCTCAAACCACCTGTGGAGGAAGGCCTGTTCATTCTGCGTTTGTGATGGCCCCTGAGACCCTGGCAGCAGCGGAACAGGCCGGGACTTCGGTGGGAAGTTGAGCACGGAAGGCAGCGTCCATTGCGTCCATTCGTTCTGGTCTCCGCCAGTCCGCAGATCGTAGATGAGATCCTCCATTATGCATCCCAGGGCCTCAAGCGCTGCTGCAGGCACGAGACTAGGTGATGCGCTTAGCCGTACATTGGGCACGTCAAGATGTAGCTGTCAAAGCGTGAGTACTTGGTTACAAGATGATCTGCACAGTTCCCCGAGTACCGAGAAACTTACCTTCGGAGTTTCGATAAGGTTGCTGTCTCCAATCGAGAAGTCTGTCGGAATCTCATCCGAAGTGTTGTGGTATTCGACGAATTCAAAATCGTCTTGGCCTGCATGCGCCAGGAGAAAGCCATTGCCGGAGGAGCTGCTGTGTTTCTGGATGCAGTATGCCTCCCCGTCCTCCAACACCACAACACGTGCTACAAGCTTGACAAAAGCCTTGATGCACGTGTCCACGTCGGGTCTGGGCGAAAGAGCACTTTGCCATTGCACGAGTTCTGCCGTCAGTGATGGCGCTCCTTGCCGCGCAGTTTCAGATCGGAGACAGTGCAGTGGTCTGAGCTCCGTGACTGGTGGTGATGATGATGATGATGATCTCATCTTGATGTCCCCGAATATCTGTGGTATCCGATTGTGTGGAGGGGAATTTAGCACACGAGTGAAGGGGATATAGTCAAGCTGAGAGAGCGTCAAGCGTACGTGACTTTGGAGTGCATGAGATGTTCTCTTCCCAGGGGGCAAATGCCAGTGAACCTGAGGCTATATCCAATTGATTGGGACTATGGGCAGCTCCTCAAAGAGACATCCACGGCCTCAGTTCTAGCTACTACCTATAGTACTCTGCTAGCACGTCTGGAATCTCGCCTCGCCATCAGATGCCCAGACCAACTTGACTGAGAGGCCTCGATGCTCCTAGACCGGAGCGCTGAGGTCTACCGCTCAGCCCATGTTCCGGTCCTTGGGGCAGCCGGAAATGTGAACCGCGGCTGTGTGGGTACGCCATGATCCCAGTGCAAACTTGGCCCACGCGCTTTATGTCGCTCTCGCTCACAAATTGTGGCCCGCAAGGTGTTGCATACCACTTGCGCGCACCTGAGCACGTCTGGAGCTTCCAATTTGAGTAATAGAATCGGCCTTTCCGGGGGCGGGCCCTGTACTAGACTGGGCACTACGTAGCATACCACATGCTCTTTTCGAGATCGGGCCAGCGGGCGGTTTGAGGTGACATCTTCGGCCCTCGTTCCCACGCCAAATGGAGCCCCCACGCGATGGGGTTTTCCTAGGCAGTCCTCGCCGAGCACTTCGGTGCTTGGCGTGCTTTATCAGATCTCATTATCATCAGATTTCTTTTCATCTGCCCAGGTGATCATCAGTAGGACCCGGTAGTGCTTGATGACGGAGTGGCTTGAAACAAGGAAGGAAGATCTTAATCTAGGTACCTGGGTAGCCCGGCGGGTGCCCTGATGCCCACGCGCCACTGCGTTCCAGGGATGCTACAGTTCATCACGATAGTGTGCATGTGTAAATGTTGGCCCATGTCCCGAGGTCGCTGTCAAGCGGGGTTGATACTCAATTAATTGGTTGCGGTCGGCAAAGATCGGCGACAATCCCGGGGGAATTTCTCCCTGACCCGTTAGTAGCCTTGATTTTCCTCGAAGTGTCTGGTTTTCCAAGGTTGTGACGATCGTGGGATGCGAGCTTCGTATTACTAAATCCTGGCTTGGCGTCGTGGCATCGGGTGCACATGTGTTTATCTGATCCATCTGATTAGATCGCCAAGAAAACCGGGGAATTGGTCAAGCCTGGCCGTTTCAGGGGTCCCAGTCTCCGTGCACTGTGCATAATGAATGGCTCAATGTGACTGCATTAGCGTGCGCAACCAGGTGTGTGGATAGAATTTTCTGACGCCCAGCTTGATGGGTTCATTCCAAGCACCTTGGAAAAGTTTATAAAGAATTAGTCTCTACTCCCATACGTCAGAGAACATTGCTAACAGGAAAACTTTCTTGGAACTTTTAGTGTGATCCATAGCAAAACTCAAAAAAATACAATATCGAATATCATGTATCCCGTATAACGCGTAATAAGATGAAATGTGACCAGTTGACGCATATTCTGTACAGTCTGAGGCTCTAAGGTTCGGATGTCGCGATTCGCGACTAAGGGCACTAAACCGGGGGGTTTTTCCTTTGCCCGCCCACCCGACAATGTGGATCATGTCACAATATACCTCGATCGGCAGTTGATCCTTTAACTCCACCGGTTCACGAATCCTGCTTGGTGTGTTACCTCCAAATGCACAGCGACCCTGCACGTCACCGCTGCGTGGACAAGGCGCGCATACCTAGTTTCGAACTCTCTGGTGTGCTGGAATCAAGAAACAGCAAGAGTGCGCTCACAATGTTGCCAATTGCACATATGGCTCATTCTGCACTTCGGCCGTCACCTGTATTACGCACTCTATATCAGTAGCTAGCCAAGTATCCTAGACAAAGTGTGCCTCATGGAAGAAGCGCTCGCGCTGGAGGGCAAAGAGCATCGCCGTCTTGTGCGGCAGGTCGAACCTCTTCTTCTTCTCTTGTGGCAGATATTTGTCCTGAATGGCCACGTGGGACAAGTCATACCGCGGCTCAGCGACGACCTGCCTGGTCCTGGGGTCACGTAGGAAGCATGTGTGCTTGATGGAAGTGGCCACGGCCTGGTAGCGCTTGCCTCCACGGAAGCGCTCCTCACCGACAAGGATGTGCGAGTTCTGGTCGTGCTCACCGACAGTGATGTTGCACTGACCCCCGAAGAAGCACGCTGCGTTGTCTTCCTTGACCCAGCCGATCTCCGTATAGCCAGCCAGTTCGCCATCCCACAGGAACACGCACGACATGGTGTGTGGGTCGGCCAGCTGTGCCGCCAGGTAAGCCCGATGCTTCTCGTCCGGTCCGCGCTCCTTCCAGCCCGCGTTGACCCGGTCTGAGTTCTGCCAGCGTGCGTATGTGGAGAAATGTTCCGGGTTCGACGCGTCGATGTGGCGGATCTCGAGCTGCTGGCCCAGCTCCACGATGAACCGCGAGTAAATGACCGAGCCGGGCTTGGGCTTGGGAGGGCGCACAGGGTGAGTCGTGCAGACATTGCCCTTCTTTGTGAAGCCCAGCTGGCTGGCGAAGACGCCCAGCCTGCTGTTGAAGCCTGGGAAGTTCGCCTCGGGACGGGAACGCAGCCAGTGTTGGCTGTCTGGCGCGCCCGCACCCTGCCAGAAGGCTTCGCGTTGTAGCCAGTAGATAGCATCAGGGCCAGAAGTGTTCTCAGAAAATGGTGAGACGACTGCAAGGCCAGTACAGCGCAGATACTCGCCCAACCTCTCGCTGTCCACCGAGATAGCGATAATGTCGTCGTTTCTATGGCTTGGGTGTAACCAGAGGGCATAGATGGATGCCCAGACCAGCTGCAGGGCAAGGTCGTCCGATGCTGAAGTCAAGCCGTCCAGTGTCAGTCGCAGAAGTTGAGCCGACTTAGCTCTGTCCTCATTCACCATCGCTGATGAAATCCTGGCGTCTTTTCCGGCATTCTTCCACTCGGCCAACAGCCTGTCCCCGGATGCAACCACGAAGCCGTCACCCCTGGTGGTTATTGACACCGTTGTGATGCCATCGGGAAGTCTGAACGAGGTTGTCTCAGCATTGAGGTCTATGCTTCCAACATTTCCGTTGCTGTGCACCGCGTCGAGTCGATGGCACACTCCCTTTACGGAGTTGATGCCGTTCACTTTGACTTGGCTCTGCACTTGTGTTGTCATGATTTCCTTCTGGTTGTCGTTTGTCTTTGATATAGTTAGAGGACGGCGTCATCACATTGAAAAGGTGCTCCAGCCGAATAAACCTACTATATCAAGTTATGTGTCTCAGGCACCTGAGTAAGAAGTCAGACCAATGATTTCGGTGACCTCGGAATAGGCTAATGGATCAGTAATGGCGACATGCAATCAAAAATTGGGCTAGAGCTGAAAGAGATGATGGTACTCGTTTGTTGCATGCCCAGCCATAGAGAATGTGGGAGTATTGCTTATAACTTGATGGCCTCGGCAGCATTCGAAGGTTGGCTGACCGTGCCTCAGTATGGCCCCGTGCGTTGGGTAAATCTATTAACAATGCCGAATATTGCCAAGGATTTGCGCTGCGACGTTGTCGGGCAGACCAACAGGGCCAAAAATTCTCTCACATTGATTGAGAAAAAGTACTGAAATAGGTAGGAATAAAAACCTAATACACACTAGAATTTGGAATGAAAGCCGGCCTAAATTCTCTCTTGATCTGATCCTACTACTAAGATAATATCTATTATAAACTTCTTCACTTTCTCTTTTCTCTCTTCGTCTTGAAGGGCATTGTTCAGTAAACTAGAAGAATGTACTTTAACACAGCATCTCCAACAAAATCTTCGAGGTATCCCATGGGATGTTACCTGACACAGATTGTTGAGCCTCTATCTTCCTCGATCTAGACTAGCGTAAGTAGTCTCGCAAGCAGCTCGCATGGGCATGAGAAACATCAACGTCATGTGGGTCCAGGCTCCCATTCTTCCCTCGTCCAAACTACCCGCCCACACACACAGTGCGGGAGGACGGGGTCTGGTGACTTACAGGCAGTAGTTCAGCCGATCGCCGTGGTAATCGCTACACAAGCGTCTTTTTCTTCCTTGCGGAACACATCCAAGGTTGCCAAGAAGACGGTGAAGTTGTGTCTTTTCTCATTTGTCATTAAGCCGATCCAAATACGGCCACGCCCTCGACAAGGGCCTGTGAGAGACATGTCAACCTCGGGACACTCCACCTTCCGCAAACCCGCGTGGGGTCTGACTCCAAGTTTCCATCCAAGAGGGAATGTAGTTCCGTCCTCGGAGGCCAACATCGTTGTCTAATTGGGACACTTGCACTCCTGAGCAGGGGCCTTCTGGGCCAGGGGCAACAACGAGAGCTCCCCCTAGTAGCCGACCAGCAGCCAGCAGCTAGGTAGCCACAGACCAGCAGCCAGCAGCCACCAGGCCTTGCTCCTCTGTTCTGCCTCGCTTCAGGAAACTGGGACACATGTTGTAACAGGCACATTCTAGTCCCTGGACCCAGAATGGCTGGCAACGTCACAGGAGCCTCTACCTTTCCCCCTCGAAAGTGGTACAGAAAGGTGCCTTTTGTATCGACAAAACCCATACCAAAACGACTGACCGAGCCTGTTTCGAAATTATCAAATTCAAGTCCAGGAGATATCGAAGATGGACCTGGTAATGGGCTCGGGGTTGGGGGCGAGATTCCCAAGGCGAAGTTGCCAGAATCATCAGCGAACTGGCTGTCGATCTTGCTATTCGCATGGCTGAGCCCGACCCTGAGAATAGGCTACACCAGGCCTCTACAGGCTGACGACTTGTATGATATGCCCGACAATAGGCGGGCCGAAAATCACGCCGATAAACTCGAGCACAGTTGGGCGGCGAGGATGAAAAGAAACAGAAATATGCCAGCCGAGTCCGGTTCGTGGAAGCCATTTTGGATGCGTCGCAGGAGCGACAGCACAGTCCTGGCAATGTCGCTCAACGACGTCTGCTTCCGCTGGTTCTGGCTTGGCGGCATGTTCAAGCTGGCTGGCGATCTCACTCAAATGGTGACGCCGCTGATTATCCGTTTCGCTATCTCCTACCTGTCCGATCCGTCCCCGTATGCCACACGTGCGGGATTCGGCCTCGTTACCGGCCTTTTCCTCGTCCTCGTTTTCTCGGTAACCTCCAACGTGCATGGCTTCTACCGATCATATACGACTGGCGTTCTACTCAGAGGCGCACTTATGCACACGATCTACCGTCGGGCGACGTCGGACCAGCTCACGGAGAGGGCCAAGCTACGCAACGGCTACACGGGAGTTGGCAAGCTCATGAGTCTGATGAGCGCCGACGTGACGCGAATTGACTTTTGCTGCGCGTATTTCCACTCGGCCTGGACTAGCATCCTCCAGATGCTGCTGTGCTTCGCCCTGACCGTGTGGACCATGGGCTACAGCGCCCTGCCTGGCTTCGGCCTGCTGGTGTTGCTGTACCCCCTGCAGACCTTCATGGTGGGCATGTTGCTGAAGCTTCGGAGGGGCAGCATGCCCTTCACGGACGCAAGAGTCAAGGCCGTTGTGGAGGCCGTTTCAGCGATTCGGCTCGTCAAGACCAATGCCTATGAGGAGAGCCTCCTCGCTAAGATCGGGCACCTCAGGGGTGACGAGGTTGTTTACATCCGCAAGCGAATGCTGTTCCGGGCACTCAACACTGCGGTTTCTTATACGGCACCGATGATCGCTGCGGTTCTGGCAATCGTAACTTACGGGGCTACGCAGGGTGGCCTGAAGGCTGATGTTATTTTCTCATCACTCACCTTCTTTATGCTGCTGAGGACGCCGTTGCAGGCTTTACCTGTGGCGCTTTCAGCCATTGCAGATGCCCGTGCAGCGCTTGAGCGCTTGTCCATCTTTATGCTTGCTTCAGACACGGGTGGCCCAATCCCCCCGAAGTTCGTGGGCAGCCGCATAAACCCAGAACTTGATGGGGAGAAGCCAGCCCAGACAGTTGTGGTGGTCGAGAGCGCTACCTTTGCTTACCACGATCACGAGGATCTTCCGGGCGAAAGAAGCGAGACTTTTTCTCAAAACACCACGGAGACGGTCCAGCTTGAGAAGAAGCAGGAAGCAGCCGGCAGTCCAGCTTTGACAGCACAATCTCAGAAAGCTCAAAGGCTGCACATCGACTCACTCATCGTCGAGAGGAACCAGCTCGTCTGTATCGTTGGGCCCGTTGCATCCGGGAAGACGTCCATATTCCGTGCTCTTATGGGAGATATGCACCCCATCCAAGCCCAGAATTGCCAGGTCAACACGCCCTCGCTCGCCTACGCGCCCCAGTCTGCCTGGCTGCTCAGCGAGACAGTCAGGGAGAACATCCTCTTCGGCCGGCCCTTCGACCAGGCCTGGTACCAGGAGGTACTGACTCGGTGCTGTCTTCACCGGGACATGGAGAGGCTGCCAGAGGGAGACAGGACAGTGGTAGGAGAGATGGGCGTGTCGCTCTCAGGTGGTCAGAAGCAGCGTATCAGCCTGGCCAGAGCCATCTACGGCCGGAGCCCGCTGCTATTCCTTGATGACTGTTTTTCGGCTTTGGATGCGGACGTCGGCAAGCAAGTTTTTGAGATGGTGGTAAACCGTGCTCGTCGCAATAAGGAAGCTACTGTCGTGCTCGTCACGCACTCAATGGTTCTCGCCTCGCAGGCGGACCGCGTGGTATACATGGACAGAGGCCGCATCGTAGAGCAGGGCGAATTTGCGTTTCTCTCTCGTCGTGGTGGTCCATTTACTCGTTTTGTTGGAACATCCATGGACTCATGGTCAGCTGCGCAGGACGAAGAGAAAACTTGCGACGAGCATCGAGGAGGAGAGTCGAGGCGAGAACCCCCCTCGTCGGAGTCTGCCTCATCTGAGGAAGGCCCAGAGACCAACAATGGCAACAAGAAGAAGCCACAAGCGGAAGGTCGCGGGAAGGATATAATGCAGAAAGAAGAGCGCCTGGTCGGTTCTGTCAGCGGCAAGACATATCTTCGCTACGTCCTGATGGGCAACGCATACATCACGGTGCCGCTATTTGTGACCTCAATATTCATCTACCAGGGCACGAGCGTCGTCTCGCCGCTGTGGTTGACGTGGTGGGAGGGTGGCAAGTACCCGAACATCACCGAGTCCGAGTATATGGGTGGCTACGCGGCATTCGGAATAGGGCAGTCGGTCGGGCTATTCTGCATGAGCGCCAGCTTTGCTCTCTTCTGCTTCTACTGCTCCAACCGGCTGCACCACGCCGCCATTGCCCGCGTGCTACACGCTCCCGTGGCGTTTTTCGACACAACACCCCAGGGCCGCATCACGCACCGCTTCAGCAAGGACGTCGATGCTGTCGATAACGTCGTCGGAGAGACGCTGCGCCTGTTCATCTCAACCACCGTCCAAGCCATTGGCACCATCATCCTCGTCACCATCATCCTACCGCCCTTTCTCGCCATCGCCGCCGTGCTGCTGCTGGTCTATACCTGGACGGGCATGTACTACCGCCCCTCTGCCCGCGAGCTGCGCCGCCTTAACAACTTGCTGCGCAGCCGCATCTATGAGCATTTTGGCGAGTCGCTCTCCGGCCTGGCCACGCTCAAGGCGTTTGGTGCCGTCTCCCGATTCGTAGAGGATAACGCCCGCCGCATTGATACCGAGAACACGGCCTACTGGATGTCGGTGGCTTGTCAGCGGTGGCTCAACCTACGTTTGGACCTTTGCGGTGCAGTGCTCGTATTCATCACCGGCCTGCTCGTGGTTGGGCTCCGCGGCACGATCAGCGCCTCAGCTGGCGGTGTGGTGCTCTCTTACGTTGTCCAGGCCCAATCCGTCTTCGGCAACATGATCCGCCAAAGCGCCGAGATCGAGAACAACATGAATTCGGTCGAAAGGATGTTGCACTACGCGTACAACATTGAGCAGGAGCCACCCTATGAGGTTGACAATGTTGACAAAGACCTGGAGGCTAAGGCGTGGCCGCAAAATGGTCATGTTGAGTTCAGGGACCTTACTCTCAGCCACCGGCCTGGTCTGCCCCCGGCGCTGAGGGAGGTTACGTTGGACATTAGGCCTGGCGAGAAAGTTGGCATTGTTGGGCGCACTGGCGCAGGAAAGACTACTCGTAAGCTTTGTTCATTCTTTGCGTCTGCCTTGGGCCCGGTGCTCCTTTCGTCCGTGACTCATCTGTTTACATGGAACATCTCACTGACTCTTCTCTGATAATGCAGTGATATCGGCCCTATTAAGGAACACGGAGCCCACGAGCGGGAAGATTGTCATCGACGGAATCGACATACACACAATTGGTCTCAGTCTGCTGCGGTCAAGCATGTCAGTCATAAGTCAGGATGCTGTGCTGCTTGCCGGCACTATTAGATACAACCTGGATCCATTCCAGCAATATGACGACGGCTGGCTGCAGAAGTGCCTGAGCAGGGTCAAGCTCGCAGGTACGGATGAACAAAAAGAGATTTTCGACGCAAGCCCTAGCCCAACCGCCAGCGAAGACATGATCGAGCTCGAGAAGCAGGAGACTGCCCTCTCAGTGCGCGGGACAGGAGGCCTCAGCCTGGACTTCGAGGTCAAGGAGAACGGGGCCAACATCTCCCAAGGCCAGCGGTCGCTTATCTCTATCGCGCGAGCATTGGTGAGACGGTCGAAGATCGTCATTATGGACGAGGCCACAGCTTCGATTGACGGGCATGCGGACGCAAAACTGCAGGAAATGCTGAATGAGGTCCTCGGGGATGCGACAGTTCTGACCGTGGCCCATCGCCTGGACACTATCATCACTACGTGCGACCGCGTTGTTGTGATGGATCACGGGCGTGTGGCTGAGTTTGACGGCATCCCAGAGCTCTTTGCCCAGCGCGACAGTATTTTCAGGTCGCTTTGCGATGCGTCCAAGATTACTGTCTAGGGGAGGCGTTGAATTTGGGCTTACACGTCAAGAATACTGAAAGGGTTGGACACGGCCACAATCGGACATAGACATCGATACCACATAGACTTGCTTGGACTGTAGAAATCACTGATTTTTTACTGCATGAAGAAAACCCAAGAGAGGAAAAAGAAAGTACTGTGACTACATAGCGTTCTTTCAATATTCATGAAGTAGAATTTTACAGACCATTTTCGGCCAACTTGGAAGGTAACTACATGTAAGTATCAGGCCACAAATTACACGAAATCAATAATAATTGCCAGTAGCATCTCTCAACAGAACCACACTGGAATGTGTGTTATTAAACATTGTTGTTCAATCCTCTCTGTGAATATTGGCCGAGATGCCCCCTTGGTACTTTGGGATCCGTCACGGAGAGTTTTCGTGTGACAAGTGAGGGCTGGAGAAGGGATGGAACAAGAAACAGGATTCAAAATCATACTGTGAATTTGGATGTAATCCATCCGTCCCCCCTTTCTGGGTCTTTGTGCCGTTCCCAACACTCCGGTGACTCCCTTTCCCTCGGCTCGATCGCCGCGTGCCGATCCCACGGAGAGGCAAAAAGTTTGACAGGTAGCAATGCCAAGCACCCGGTGTCAGGATTTCATAATAGCCCTTGCGAATATCCCTCCAAGCCCACCCCCAAGCCCCCAATCCTTGTTAGTCACTGATCTGCACATGTAACTCCTATATCGGCCACGGACTGATTTGATCTGATAAGATTACAATGGGGCCCTGGCAAGGTTCTTCTTCCCTGCTACCTACCCTAGGGTACCTACCTACCCGATGGAGCGACCAACAGGTTTCGATGGCACCGCTCCAGCTCGTGTGATAGACCCACGGGTGGGGTGTTCCCGTATCCTATTGCACCGCTGCCCACACATCCGCCGCCCCCTTCACTTCTCTTGCGCAAGCTGGCGTCAGAGTGTGAGTGTGTGTACCCATCCTTGGTCCATTGCCAGACTCCACCGCCGAGCCATGGCAACTTTTGTTCGGTTCCCTTCCTCCCAATGCAGTAAACATGCCGGATCTCGGGTCGATATGGCACCCAGGGCGATCAACATCCTGCGTCCATGCTCAACCGCCAGTCTCGATCTTTGCTCTTGGCCTTTTTCCCCACGCGCGTTTGCCAGCATATGCCTGACCACCGTCCAGGCCGTCACGTAAACATTTGACCTAATTCTAGACTTACTCGACCGGCACACATCAGACCACCCGATGCCAGTCTAAGTCTTGGGTCTACTTCGCCTCGCTGCAGGTGCCTTCAGCTTGGCCTTGGCTTTTTACCAACCTTTCTTCTTGCTGTTCCTTTTCTTCTTTTTTCTGTTTTTCGTTCTGAAGAGTATTGTAATCTGGAGTCTTCACAAAGATACAACAGCTATAGCCACAGCTGCTCTGACGATGTCGACGTCCAAGGATTATGATGATAGCCTTACTGGCAAGAGGCCGGGCTCTCGCTCAACGAGCGAGCCCAACAACCACGCCAACGGTTCACACGAGGATAACGACCTTTCCCCGCTCAAGACGAACGACCGTCATGCCGTCAACTCGGACATAGGCGAGCCCGTTGAAAGGGTCGCAACAACAGCCCAGCAGGGTGTGAACAAGGTTGAGGCTTTCAACAAGGTGCTGTATCAGTCGGGCCCAACTGGCAAAATCCTGCTGTGGCTGCTAGGTGTGTCCATTGGCCTGACCATGTTCGCGTATGCCCTCGACCAGGGCATCACGGCCAGCATCTTCACCACCATGGCCAGTTCAACCTTCGGCCAGCACAGTTCGCTCGCCGCCGTGAGCACTGCCAGCCAGATCGTGCGTGCTGTCGCCAAGCCTTTCATCGGGAAACTGGCCGATATCACCTCGCGGCCTACCACTTACGTCGTCATCCTGTTCTTCTACATCATCGGCTTCGTCGTCGCCGCCAGCTCCAGCACCTTTGCCGCCTATACCATCGGCATCTGCTTCACCTCGGTCGGCAAGTCCGGTCTCGACCTGCTGAGCGACATTATTGTCGGTGACTTGACCCCTCTCGAGTGGCGTGGCTTCTTCGGCGCCCTTCTGGCGGTGCCCTTTGTCGTCACTGTTCCCATCAATGGCTTCATTGCCGAGGGCTTCATCGACAACTGGCGGTGGGGCCTGGGCATGTTTGCCATCATGGTCCCCGTGCTGTTGTGCCCAGCCATCTTCACCCTCTATGCCATGCAACACCGTGGAGAAAAGATGGGCATGGTCACCATGGCCGGATCGAAGCAGGAGAGGACAGGCGCCGGTGCGGACGGCACCTCCAAGGGTGCTGTACACTGGACCAAGCTCTTGTACCAGGGTCTCATTGACATCGATATCCTGGGTCTAATAATCCTTGGTGTAGCGTTCGCGCTGCTGCTGCTTCCGCTGACCCTGGCCGAGGATGCCAATGGCGGCTGGCAGAACGGAGGCATCATCGCTATGCTCGTCGTCGGCTTCGTGCTGCTCATCGCCTTTGTCCTGTTCGAGATCTACCTGGCTCCCGTGCCACTGATGACCAAGCGCGTTCTCAAGAACCGCGCCTTCATCGCTGGTGTCATCATCTTCACCTTCAACCAGACCGCCTCGTCTGTCCGCAACACCTACTACTCCTCCTACATCTACATCATCAAGGAGTGGAGCACATACGAGTGGACAATCTTCCTGGGTATCACCACCATGGGTCTCAGTCTACTAGGTCCCTTCGTCGGTCTCATACAACGCTCGACTCATCGCTACAAGTCCATGATGATCTTCGGCGCCGCCTCTAGGATGCTCGGATACGGTCTCCTGGTCAATGGCTCCGACGCGTCGATGACACAGGACACCGGCCGTCTCATCGCCGCCCAGCTCATCTTCTGCCTGGGCTCCTTCAACATCGTCGGTGCGCGCGTGGGAACCCAAGCATCCGTGCCCCACGAGGACATGGCGACTGTCATCTCCCTGCTGGCGCTGTGGTCGACACTGGGCTCCTCTGTCGGCAGCGCCATCTCATCGGCCATCTGGACCAGCGAGATGCAATCGCGCATGTACGAGGAGATGATTCCCGCGGGAGCGGACGCAAATACCGTCAAGAATATGTACGAAAACATCAAGAAGCTGCGGACTACCTACGAATTCAACGACCCCATCCGTCAGGCTGCCATCCGCGCCTACTCCGCTATCAACGGTCACATCGCCGTCGCCGCCCTCGTCCTGGCTGCGGTCCCTACCATTGCCTCGCTCTTCATGCCTGACTTCTACCTCGGCAAGCAGCAGAACGCCATCACCAACACTGGTCTCGACGGGGAGAGGGTCGACGTCCCCGAGCGTGAGGGTGGTGGCGCCCAGGAGGTGGATGCTGCTCCTCAGAAGGACAAGTGGTACGCTAGGTTCAGGGATGCTTACCGACGACAAATGTAAAAGACCATCCGGATTCTTCGAAGTGGAAGCCCAGAGGTTTCAGAAATTGCATCGTGAGATGTCACCAGGAGTTGGGGCATTCGACTAATTGTCTCGGCGCGAAGCACGACTCGGAGTGAACACTTGCGCATCAGTCATCGGTACTAGTATCTCGTGGGATCTGTTCAGTCTTATGGTCCCTAAATAGAAACAGGCGTGTGGCAACAGGGCGGGAAGACATGGTCGCTTTATGCGCGTGTCCATGCCCGCCATCAAGCATATTCACATAGTATTGGGTAGCAGTGCTTGTAATTGGAAGCGGTGGGTATCGTTCAGCAAGACAGTAATTTGTTGCTGTCGAAATTGAATTAAATACACTACGCTTGAAAGAAATCCCAACCTCTATCAATGTGATTGGTCTTTTCGCCGGGCGGGGGGGGGGGGCGGGACAAAAAGCCGCAAGCCTCCCTTCTAGCAGTCAACTGGTGTCCCCTTCTTCGCCTATCATACATGTGATCCCAGCTTGACCACAAGAGCAGTCGCGTGCCGACCCCAGAGATTGCATTCCTAGAAAACAGATAAAGTGAACCCATCTCCCATGAGACCTAATCTCAGTCATTATAGCATGGGCCCAGCCGCACGCTCACTTAAGTGGAGCAGGATTCACAATGCTATTGGGCTGAAGGGGCGTGTGCACCCAGGCGCCACCACCAGGCCGACCTAGGAAGCGTATTCAGCTTTTGGGATCATGTCAACCCCCTTTTCTTTTCTTGCATGGCACATCTTGTCAACAAGGGCCCGAGACCGGGCAGGTGTTCGCGAGAGCAACCTTCAATCACATTCTTGACATATGTGGTGTCTAGGTAGTGAACCACTTAGGTACGTCAGCTAGCGTTCAGTACCTAGGTAGCCGTGAATCAGATTTCTTTTCGACCGAGCGATGCCATTCGTACAGCATCGTTTATGAAGCCGGGAGGCGGCCAATCAGATGCATCATCATAGGTCTATATCCTCTATCCTAGATTAACATTTATCTAAGAGCAAGTATAACCACCTGGGGCAACTTGAAGCAGCCTAGAGCTACTTATAAGAATAAAGGGATAGATTTTTCTTAATTATAGACCTATTTAGGAGGGAGAGGACAGTCCCTTTTATAGATAAAAGTAAGTCCTTTAAATACCTATTAAAATACTATAAAAATTAAGAGAAATAAGTATTCTTTATATAAGTTAGTACTTTATATTTAAAGGATTAAAATAATAGTTATATTAAGTTATAAATACATATAAAGCTATTAATAAATAAGGTATTTTTATAATCTTTTAAAAGTTAGATATATAATATAAATTATTTAAATAGCTTTTATAAAAATATAAGTATTATTTAATTTAATTTTAAAATTTATTATTAAAAACCTTTATAAAGGAATAAAAACTTAATAAATAGTTATAATTATAAATATTTTAATTAAATAAAACTTTTATAAAAAAGTTTAGTTTATAAATATAAAATATAAATTATATATATATTAATAATTTTTAAGGTTTAATTTATTAAATAAAATAAAAATTAAAAGTTTAAAAATTTAATTATATAAGTAATTAAACTTAAAATTTTTAATATATAATTATAATTATTTTATTAAAAGATTTTATAATTATATTTATATATTATTATATTTATTTATATATAAATATATTTTTATATAATTTAATTATTATATTTAAACTATTATATAATATATATTATAAATTTATAAAATATATATAAATTTATAAGTTTATAAGTATAGGTTAGATATAATAATTATAATAGTATAAGTATATTATATATTATAAGTTAAGAGAGTTATTTTAAACTTTTATTTTAAGTTACTTTAAATTTTTATTTAATAGTATTTTTAAAGTTTATTTAATATATTTTTAATATATTTATTAATAGTTTATAAAATATAGAAAGATTTTTATTTTTAATAAGAATTTTTAATAATTAAAACTTTTAATATATAGAGTTAATTATAGTTTTTAGAGGAGAAAATAATTTATTTATAAAAGTAAAAACTAAGTATTTTTATTAAAGAGTTTATTATTTTTACAAAAATACTTTTTTATTAGGTATATTATAATAAATATTATAGTTTATTTATTATTTTAAAATATCTTTTATTTTAAAACCCTTTTATATATATATAAAATATTTTATATTTATTTTTATATAAATTATATCTTTTTAATTAATTTAAATTTTTATTTAATTATAGGCTTTATTAATTAGTTTATAAAGTTATTTTTATATTTATTTTAGTAATTTTAATTAGATTTTTAATTATATATTTATTAAAGTAATATATAATATTTATATATTTAGTTTATTTATAAAATATTTAATCTTTAGTTAATTTTAAAGTAGTATTATTATTTTTATATATTTTATTTCTAGAAATATTATACTTTAATTTTAAAATTATTAAAATAAGTTAATAAATTATATAAATAAATTCCTTTTAGTAACTTCTTTTAAAGTTATATATTTAACTTTATAAGTATTTAATATAGATATTTTTATTATTAGAAGGATTAATTAATAAAGTTAAATATTTTTATTTTTAATAAATAAAAGAATATATAGTTTAAGGTAGATTTTTATTATTTATATTATTATTTTAATTTAAGTTATAATAATTTATTAAATATAAAGTATTTTCTTTTAAATATTAAAATTTTTATATATATTAAAAATTTTAATAAAAATTTTATAATTTATTTAATTTTTAAAATATTTTATATTAAAGTTAGATATATATTTAGTTAATTTAAATATTAAAAGTATATATTTAATTTAGTTTTTAAATTAATATATAAAAAAGCTTATTTATTATTAAAAACTTTTATTTCTTTTAAAACTTAATTTATATTTCTTTTAAAGCTTTTTAAAAGTATAAAGTATTAATTTCAGTTTTATTTTAATATTATTAATATAATTATTTTTAAATATATTAAATTTTATAAGTATTTTAAAAGTATATAAATTTTAATTTATAATAATAATTTTATTATTTTATTAATTTTAATATTATTATTTAAGAAATTATTTAATTACTTTTAGAAATTTAAATTTATATTTTTAAATATTAAGGAAATTAAATTATTTATAATATTTAAATTAATATTTAAAACTATTATATTATTTATATAATATATAAATATTATTTATAAATTTATATTTATAAATATATTTTTATTATAAAGATACATTTTAAATTTAATTTTATTAAAATATTAGTTAAATATTTATATTATAATAAAAGTATTTATTTAAAGCTATATATAACTTTTAATAATAAAGTAACTTTATTTTTATATTTATCTTTATTATATATAAGATTAAAAGTTTAATATATATTTTATAATTTATATTAAAGTATAAAAGTATTTTTATATTATAATTTAATATATATTAGTTTTATTAATTATTATAATTAATAATATATTATAAGTTTTAATTTATAAATAGTTAAAAAGTTTTTAAAATTTATTTTAAATTATTATTTATAGTTATAAATAATTTTTAATTTTATATTTAATAGTTTTTATTAATTATTTAGTTAGATTTTATTATATTAAAATTATTTATATATTTTTTAATATTTATTTATTAAATAATATAATTTTATTTTTAAATAGTATAGTTATTTTATAAGAATTCTATTTTTAAATTATTTTTTTATTTATTATAGATTTAAATTATAAATCTTTTTAAAAGAATTTAATATTTTTATATTAAAAGGTTTAATTATAGTATTAATTATTATAATAATAAAAGAATTATTAAAATTATTTATAATAATATTTATATAAGTATTATTAATAGAATATAGTTCTTTATACCCTTTTACTATTATTTTATTTTTATAAGTATTTCTTCCTTTATAGGAATATTTTTAAATTTTATTTTTATAGATATTTCTTTTATAGAATTTTAATATTATTTTTATTTTTAAATTTATCAAATTTATTTAAAAATTTTTTTAAAATCTATATATTTTATATTAATATAGATTTATTAATCTCTATATTCTAAACTTTATATATATATATTTTTAAAATATAGTTTATTAAAAACTTTTTTATTTTTAGTTTTTAATTTAATTTTATATTTATTATTATTATAATAAACTATAAAACTTTAAGTTTTATATTATTAATATTAAGTATTTTATTATTTTTATTTTATAAAATTTTAAAATTTAAAGAGATATATAGAGTTATATTATATAAATATATAATAGTTTTAAAATATCTCCTATAATATATATAGTAAATTAAAAGTTATTATTAAGTTTTAAACTTTATTTATTATAATAAAATTTAATTTTTATAACTTTATTAAATTTCTTTATATATATAGAAGTAATAAAGTAATATATATTATTTTTATTTAAAGAGGATTTAAATTTTTATTAATAAATTTAGTATTATTATTAAAGAAAATTCTTTAATAAATTTATTATAATTATTTTTCTTTATTTTTAAAGTTTTTAAAGACTTTTAAAACTTTATTCTTTTAATAAATACCTATATAAATATTTAGTTTTTATTAAAAATAAAATATAATATTTATATTTATTATATATAAATATAAATAGTTTATTTATATTATTATATATTTTTAAAATATTATATTTTTATTATTTAAACTTTTTTATTATATTTAGTTATATATTTAATTTATAAATAAATATTATATTTAAAGATTTATAAAGTTTTAATAAAAATTTTAATATTTATTTTATTATTTTAAGTATTTATATAAGTAAAATAAGGTTTATATAATTTAAATAATAGTATTAATAATATATATTATTTGGAAAGATTATTTTCTTTTTATATAATAAAAGTATTTATTTATATATTAATATAATTATTATTAAATATTTTAACCTTAATATAATATAGGTTATTTTTTATATTTTTATTTATAAATCTATTAAACTTAATAAAATAAAGTTTAATTATATTTTTAATATAGTTTATATAATATAATTTATAATATTATAATTAAGTATATTTAAATTTAATAAAGGTATATAATATATATTTAATACTTTAAGTTTATAATTATTATTTAAAATAATATATTATTTTTAATATATTTAATATTTATTATATTTACTTTATTTTATTTAACTTTTTATTTATAGATTTTAATATTTTAAATAGTTTTTATTATATAAACTAATTATATTTACTTTATTATTAAATATAAATTTTATAAATATAGTTTATATAATTTTTATATTCTATATTAATTATTATATTTATTATAAATATATAAAAGTATAAATAGTATTTATTTTTAATTTAAAACTTAATAAATTAATATTATTAAAATTATTAATTATTTTACTTATATTTATTTTATTTATAAATAATTTATATAATATATAAATAGTAATAATTTTTAAAAGTTTTTAATAAATCTTCTTTATTTTCCTTATCTTCTAATTTATTAAGAAAGTTAATACTTTCCTCTTTTAATTTAATAAATATAAAAGTAATTTATTAATTTTTTATTTTATTTTAACCTATTAAAATTTAATTTATATATATAAATATTTTCTTTCCTTTTCTTTTATTTTTAAACTTTTAATACCTTATTAAAATTAAAAATAATAATTCTTTTAATATACCCTTTTAAATTATAATAAAATATTTTATTATTTTTTATTATTATTATTTTTATAAATAATACTTTTATAAAAGAGTTTTTTTCTTTTAATTTATTTATAAAATTAATAAATAAAATATTAAATATATAATTTTTAAAATCTTTTTAAACTTTATATAATATTTTATATAAATTATTTATAATTATTATTAAATAAATTTAATATTTAAATAATAATTATTTATTTAAAAGGTTAATATTATTTATTTTTAAATTTTTAATTAATTATTTAATTTTATTTAAATATTATTTTATAATATTAAATTTTTAAAAAGTATTTTAAAGTTTTTAGAATTAAATATTTTATAATAAATCTATTAAGTTTATAAAGATTTTTAAAAGTATTTTAAAACTTTATAATAATATTTTTATACTTTATATATATAAGAGGTCCTTTTGTATATATTAAGTAAATTAAAATATTAACTTTATAGTTTTATTAATTAAAAGATTTTATAAATTATTATTATTTTTAATTAAATCTTTTTTATAAAAAAGTTATAATTTTTATATTTTAATATAAATAATTTTTATATTAAATAATTAAAAATATTATATTTATTATATAAAGCTATAAAATTTATAAAAAAGTTTTAAATTAAAAAATTTCTTTTATTAAAAAAGAATTTATATTATAAAATAAGTTAAAAACTTTATATAATAATACTTTTAAATATATTTTTATTATATTTAATATATTTTTAATTTTTTATAATTTTTTTATAAAAGTTTTATTTATTTTTAAAATTAAAAATATTTTTATAATTTTAATTATATTAAATATAATATAATAAATTAAAGAGTTATATTTAATAATAAGATTATAAGTTTTAAAAATATTTTATAAAGTTATAATAATAATAATTTTTATAATAATATTAAAAATATTTTTAAATATTTTTATAAATTAAATATTAAATATAATATATATTAATTTTATTTAAATATTAAAATTAATTAAAGTAATAAATTCTAAATAAATTATAAAATTTAAGTATTAAAGTATTATTAATAAATACTTTAAAAGATTTAAAGTTTTATTAATTAATTAAAATAATAATATAAATATTATTAAAAATTAAAAAATTTAAAATTTTAAGTAATATTTTTATAGAAAATTTAATTAAGAATTTATAAAGTAAAAATTTAAAAATATAAGGGTAAAAGAAGGATTTTTAATAAATATTTAAAAGTTTTTAATAAAAAATTAATTTAAAAGTTTTTAAAGAAAATTAAAAGTTATATAATAACTTATTAAAATTATAAATTTAAATAATTAAAAATAATATAATTAAAATTTATTTATTAAAATAAATTAAATAATATATTTTATAATAAAATAGATTTTATAATAATAAAATAATTAAAAATATTTAAAATTAATAATATTAAAAGTAAATATAAATAGTTTAAAGTATTTATTAATTTTAATTTAAAAATAAAATTTAATTAATTTAATTAAAAGATAGTTAAAAACCTAATTTAATTAAATATAAACTTAATAAATTTAATATAATAAGTTAACTTTTAAAATAAGTAAGTTAAGTTTATTATAATTTAATTAATTAAATATTAAGTTTATAATTTATAAAAATAAAGAAATAAATTTCTTTTAATTATAAATTTATTTAAAAAAGAAAGGATAGTCCTTTTTATAAATAAAAGTAAGTTCTTTAAATATTTATTAGAATATTATAGAAATTAAAAGAAATAAGTATTCCTTATATAAGTTAATATCTTATATTTAGAGGATTAAAATAGTAGTTATATTAGGCTATAGATAGATATAAAGCTATTAATAAATAGGGTATTTTTACACTATTGCAGAAGGCTAGTAGGAAAGAAAGGAGAGTGCTGTGAGTGAATGTGACCAAACGCTGGGAACCAACTCGTCCCGATGAACGGGTACACAAGGTAGAATTCCTGTCAAATATTGTTACGCTTTTTCCAAGCACCAGCTAATCGAGCCTGAGGCCTTGATAATCTGCATGCATTTAGCGGTTGTTTCCTGTCTGTCCACTTCTAGCAATGAGACGACATGCCTGGAGCAGGGTTCTCCGGCTTTCAAGAACTACTCGGTGATGTGACACAGAATGTCAAAGATTACGTGGCTACTGAGAATTATACGGCCTTCACTTCAGCTAATTGGACGCATGGTTACTAGCTACTAAACGTGTGAGAGAGGCCTTAGGCAAAGCATGCGCCTCAATAGACAATAGCATGGAGGTGATCAAAGTGACAAGATCTCACCGAAATTGGTTCAGTTAGCAAGAAAGCTTTTTCTGTTGAATGTCCCAGTGAAGAATAGGTGTGTGTGTTTGCGTAAAGGCAGAAGATGCGTTTGGGTCAAAAGTTGGGAGCGAGACTCGCATGAAAGGTTTGTCCCTTCTATCCAGTAGTAACCATGGATGTGAGGCAAAGACGAGTGGCGAGAAGCTAACCATTCATGCTTTGGTGAGCATTAATGTAGGTGGCCATTTAATTTCTATTTTCTTTTAAACACTTTCACTACTTCGATGCTTTTCGCCAAGTTGACTTGGTCGCCTGGACAAGTCTGGCGCTGCGTCGAAAGTATCATGCGCCGCGTGTGACCTCACGCTGACCAACTCCATATTCGATTCGCCGTCTGCGTCGGGGACGTGCCTCGTATCCTCCACCCTAGAGTCGTTTGCGGTGGTCGCAGTGCTTCTTACTATCGACGTGACCGGCAGCCAGAACTTCGACGACAGCATGCCACTGCCTTTCCTGGAACCTCTGGCGCTCGGGCGGTTGCTATTCTCGACAGAGGAAGGCAGTTGGCTCTTTCTAGATGACTTGGACAAGCCGGTAGAGTCCAAGACCTTTGTCAAGTATCTGCTGACAATGATCCTTGATGCCGGCAGATTAGCAACTATTAGTCCTGTGGCCAATTCGATTGTTGTCCACACCGCCGCATTGTACAGCCCCTGAGAATTTGTCGATTTTGACCAGTTGCCGAAGAAGCCGATGATGATTGTGAATCGCGTGATACTGATCGCGGTCAAGCTGGGGTCTCATTAGCGAAGGGGATATAGACCAAAGATGAAGGCTACTCACAGAACACCACAGGCAAACATCAAGGTCACTGCCAGCTTGCGCTTGAAAGACATGTTGAGCTTCCAAACCTGTGTTCCCGGAAGGACCAGCATCCACACGTCGATAGCGATGTTGACAGCGGCATGCCCATAAGCAAAGCCATTGATATCAAAGCAGCTGCCCTTTTGTGTACCGTCCCAGCCTTTCCAAAAGTAGTTCAATGGTTGACACTGAAACCAGCCCACGAGGAAGAAGGCAAAGACGGCGAGTACGTTGAAGATCTGCGTGGCCCACATGACCTTCTGGAACCCAGGGCTCTGGAAAATCCGCATGTAAAAGAAGCATATCGAAATCTTTATCATGCCAAGGCACAGGTTGTATACCATTTCGAAGGCGAAGAAGACAATGAAGCTTCCCTCTATTTGCCAAAACTCCAGTGCCCAGTATGGTTTGCCAACCCCGAGATCAGCTTCGACAATACCAGAGGCAAAGAACAATATACCAAGGACCTGTGAAAGGTGGGATCAGTCAAATGGCCTGTTCCACAATCAACACACGCCAACTCCCAGCAGGCTTTCTGGGGACAGCGAGCGACGAAATGGCATACCCAAGCAATCACGACTGTCGTATCATCCAGGCCCCATGGTACCAGACGCAGGGCTCTCGTGGTCATGCGCAGGAGAAAGAATATGGAGTGCGCGACGAACAGCAAAGCATGCAGCAGCTTTAGGCTTCCCCCTGTATCCGTGACAGGGAGTCCGCAGCCCAGGGAGGCTTCTCGTAGCGTCACTGTTCATGATCCGTGGTTAATTGATTGTAGTGACGGATCGGAGTCGAAGATGACTTCTCACAAAGCTGGTCCTTGACGGTACATCCCGCAACGACGCAAGTTTGAACAAGGTCATTGTATTTGGTGTCTTCGCATAGACACGTTTGGTTCGTAAGCGGGCAGGACGATTGGGGATATTGTGAGACTAGGCAGGAGACCTGGACAGGTCAGATATTTTGGACAAAATGTTCAGAGACGCGCGGCAGACGGCAATAGACTTACACCACATGCTGGCACAGCCGTCAAGTTCAGCATCGCGCGGGCTGTGACAGGCAGGCGAGAATACAAAGGGCAAGGAGGGATCACATTGACAGGCGTGCAGCGCTCATCAATGGAAAGTAACTGTGATCAGATTTCCACATGGCCTACCCGCGGCCTATAAGCAATGCAGAAGCCAGCGCAAGCAGGCAAGCAGATTGGATGCAGCGCCGAGCGGCGATTCTAGCGGCGATCGCCGCTCCACACAGGGTTCCTGAGAGTGTCATCGTTTCGCTCGGGCCTCCTCCCCGGCTGCACAAGGCCAGGGCTTCTCGACCTGCAGACTGGTTCCTCAGATGTGCGAGATTGATTGAGGGGGCACCATGGGTGACATCGGGCTTGGGACGAACCACTGGCCCACGCTTGTCAGTGGGACGGGTCGCTGCGTCCGAGCGCGAAGATCCCCGGTCAGATTGCTGCGTCATCTACTATGTAGTATGGGAAAGTATGCCAGTCTGCCAGTCTGCCCAGGTCACGGGGCGCACTGGCAGCTTAGTGGCCGGGGCGGATGCTCACGGTTGAGTTCCCCGTGCATCCCCAAGGCTCCTTTTGTCTCTTTCCAGTATGCTCACCGAGATCTTGGTTTCGGGGCGGCGTCTAGTCTGTGCGGCACCGGCTTGATCCGCTCGAGATGCTGCCTCAGCGTGAGGGCAACCGGGGAGAGACTCCTCCAGGAGGACACCCAAGTACTTCAAGGAGGTGCCTACCTATGTAGGTAGGTATGCCGAGAGACCGACGGGCCGGGCGGCGACTTATCTGTGCAGTTCCTCAGTTCTTGATTCATGACAACAAGGGCTTGGGAGATACGCTGCGCTCCAGATCCTAATAATCATCAATTGCCAGTGCTTGATGCACGACGGCGATACGTCTCGGCAGACTCCCCTGCCGAAGGATCTGGCTGCCAAAGTCTCGGCAGTGGGGCCCTTATGATCCTGGTCTGGTCTATCAGGCGGCAGGCGTATCCTCGAGATAGACAGGCAGACAGGCAAGACAGGGCTTTCGGCATCAGCACTGGAGAATTACATGTGCCGCCTGTGCAGAGACTCTTGCATGACCGCGCAGCAGCAAAAGCAGCACCGCGATCAGACCCCTACCTACAACGTGTAGGTAATCGGCAGTTTTGAGACCATGTTATTGTTGAGATTCCCCTGAATCATCTTGGCAATTGCTGATCGAAGCACCACGAAAACGAAAACGGGTCCCAAATTCGATGGCGTCTTGCCACTGCTACGTACGTCAATACGTACCTAGGTACAAGCCCAGACAGCCCCGTTGCACGGCTTGCCAGTGGAATGGGCATGCTGACGAACTGCCATACTCCGACCGTGCCTGGTGCCGACGGCGAATGCAACATTATGAGGCGTTAGTGCGGACGCATTGAGCGCCTCTTCCCGGAAATCTGGTTCAGAGGCGTTGTTGTGGTTTCGAGCCAGTTCGCAACAATTGCACAGTCCCCTTACTCTGTGTGCTGCCAGTTTGCGAATGCCTAGGTATTCGAAAGGGTCAAGTCGTCTGCGGTTGCACCCTTCCCGTCGCCAATCTCATCCGGCAATGCAGCTGGCCCTGCCTTAAGCCGTATGTTATACTGCCAAACAACCGTTAACCTAGTCAATAAGGTTCAATCGTGCGTCGCATTGCTATTTCCGGTCTCGGGCAGCTGAGGAACTCTGATTTACGCCAGGGTGTGCCAGATTAAAGCTGCAATGCCCGGCATTGATGCCTAGGTATATTTAGGGACAGACAATACACTCCGATAGGCCAGCCGTCCGAGGCAAACTGTCTCTTCATTTCAGGGCTCTCTTCTAGGCATAATCCGATTGTGAACCAGCAATCATAGCTGCTGCTCTTCGATATTACTGCTATATATTACAGCTTGGGTTTGATGCCATCTATACTACCGCCTCACGCCGATTCCTGAGGTTTGCATTATATAAGGCAGGATTAGTTGAAAAGTATACTGACCGCCAAAGTAGACAGTGTATTAGCCACGATTGAGTTCATCTTTCAGTCTCGGCGTAGACCAAGCTGAGTTCTCGGCAATGCTGTGATATTGACCGCCCGCCCACACTCAGGGAAACACACTCGCTTGTTGCTTCTCCAGGATTTCGCTTATGCTGCACACCGAGGTCGCATAGACAGGGAAGTTCAGGTACATCGTGTCTTTGCCATCTGTGTCCTCTGATGATACGTACAGGATCGTCTTGGTGAGGACGATGAGTCGCGATTCAGAAGACAAGGTTTGAGTGAATCCCACCCAGGAACGTCTGTTTTCCGAGTTGCACGATGTTATCGCGACCTCGCACATTCACCGCCCGGTGCGGCAAAGAAGGTGAGATATTCTCCCAGGGGGCTGTCTTGCGAACCGGGTAGTCCTCCAATACGGTGTCATGTGTTGCTAGGAGCCCAACAGAATCCACTTGTTGGTGTGTGGGATGTCCATCCACTCGCGTTTGCGTATGCTGCCTAGGTTATGCAGGTTTGACACATCGCTTCCGCGGATGTAAGCCGGACACTCAATCTTGGTCAGGTCGACCCGCTTTTCGTTCCAAGATGCTTTGATGGTAGGCGATCTTCGACAAATTCCGGCGAAGGATTCAACTCCTGAGTTTGGCAGGTCTCTGAGGATCTCTTTGTCAAAGTTTGAAATGCCAAACCATCCACTGCGGCAAAACTGCTCCCGGCACAGATCGCTTGCACCTTCCCACGGTGTGATGGCCTCCAGACTTGGTGCTCTGGTGCTTTCAATGAATCATTGAGAGGTGGCGAGGTCAGTCGGCCACTGCACATCTGGGACTTCTGAACTTTTGACCGAATGAACCCGAAGATGGAGGTCTCATGTTGATGAAGGGCTTGGCCCGCCGCTTCGATGGATTCTTCTCGCACAAGCCCACCAGGGATCAAGTAATACATGGACCCGCATGTCTCCTCGGAGAAAGATGTCAAGTGGTTCGAAGAGCGTGGTTGCGAGCTCATGAAACTGAACATGAAGCAAGATGGCTTCGTTCTCTGGGACAGCCGGACAATGCACTACACGAAGCTGCCCAAAGGTGAGCAAACCTGGAATTTGCAGCATATCTGCATGACTCCTCGCACGTTTGCGACGGAGGAGGCTTTGGAGGCTAAGAAGCAATGCCTTCAGAACTACACAAGCACGACATACTGGCCACACTGCAATCTCAGGCCAGCTAAAAACAAGACTATGCCGAATGGTGAGGTCTATTGCAAGTACAGAGAAGAGGCATTTGAGAAGCCTAAGGTCACGGACACGGTGCTTCGCCCGGCGGGCATCAAGACCTACCGAGGGTGTCTGATGAGATCAGCCAAGATAGTAATCAAATTTGCCGCTACCTAATGGAACATATGCACGAAGTTTCAAATACACATCTTGAATCTGCTGTGCTGGTACCCTGAGCTAGTATGTACGGAGTTTTCCCCGAAATCATTTTTTGTGACCAAGAGATCTTACATGCTTCCCCGTCCAGATAGTTGCTTTTCCTCCTCCAGTGTTCAGGCCAAGGCTTCCTGTGCATATATTCGAGTCATTGTGAAGGGCAACTGAGTGCAACAGCTCGCTGACCAATTCCGTTCCATGGTTTTTCGCTTGCGGGACAGGCCGCCTCATGGGCCCGTACTGGGTGATGAGAAGGCATTCAAGCTTACTGGCATATCGTACATCAAGGCATGATGGACCTGGAATTCTTTCGCTATATATCTTTGGTATACTTTCCGGGATTGTCAAATCTCAGTTGTAAAGGGGGGAAAGACGATCAAATCTTGGACAGGCCACGCAGATGTGTGTCTGTAGTCCTCACCTGTGAAGAGCGAGCTACCATTTGGATCTACCTGGCTGGATGATTGACCCCAATCGGTACAATCGGCATATGAGGGGCGTGAGAGACCGAAGATAGCTTCAATATGAATTTGAAGCTTCCCGGTGGCATTGCATCTCCGATTCATGTGACTCGGGACCTTGGCTGTATGCCGCCTTCATAGCGGTTCGGCTTGTTCCAAGGTTGTCAAGAAGCACCTAGGCAGCTAGTCTAGTGAGGTCACCATCTCCCAAACAACGTTGAGGGTGGCTGCGATTAGGTTGATTGGTGGGTGCTCTTCCGGATTCTCCCCGCAAATGCCACCCACACTAGAGCATCCGACCCCAGATGTCATCACGATAATCGCCGAGTTAGCACCCCAGACTGGCGGGACTCGGCCCCAAGAGCTTGGCCCAGGGAGGGAGGCACGCCCTGCACGCCTGGCGTCCAACTGAAACCGGGGGGCAGCAGTAGGTGCACGACCCGTTCCGAACAAGGATGCCACAGTGAGCAATGGCACTAGCCATTGGGGATGAGGCCGGCCCCAGTGTTGAGCCGACGACACCATTCCGGCTCGTCGCTGTAACATCACCGGCAACTGCTAGGTGCTGGGTTGGTCAACTGGTCTTACAATATCATGAGAGTCGCATTGCCATCCTTGGCCCCCTCTCCGGGACTTCATGAAGCCACAGGATTTCAGGCCGAGCCGGAATAAGATAGTTGCATAACAGCAATTTTCACAGCGTGTGGACACCTTGAGCGTTGTCCATGAAGCTTTAAGTTAGTCAGCCCATAACAGTAATTATATGACCTAATATTATCACACAATACCGAGGAATCAGACCGTCGTGGAGTTCCATGAAGAGTGAATACAAATTAACCATACTCGTATGCAGATTCCCACTTCTACTTGTTTCCTTTTTTCTCATTACAGATTCCAAGATGTTTTCAAACGCTTTGAACCGGCTTGGATCCATGCAAATGTGGTGTACACGCGTTCTAGTATGTCGAGTCACGGGATGCTCGTGAGATCGCCATCGCCGAAGCGGCTTAGCTGGACCAGAAGACACCGTCTATTCGATCCCCACACCCAGTCCAGATCCTCGATGGTATACGTATATGTTGTTGTGGCTAATATGGAGGAACGTACTTCCTCCTCACATTTATGGCGGTATGTGCAACCGTTGGGTTGACAGTGGTCAGCAGCCTGGTAAGTCACACGCTGGTGTCGATGTTCCAGGAAATATGACACACCGTGCTGGCAATTGGCTACAGAGAGGATTCATTGGTACTTCCATACCAACATACGTGTCAGAAGGACGGGGGGGGGGCGCTGAGGTCACCTGTGAGTATGCCCAATACACCCGAGCTTCCAAGATTCCAATTGCTGACATTGCACAACCCAAGAGGGCTTATTACCTTGCCAATCCTCCCAGGGTCTTCATGGGAACGGGAAACCTTATCGGGATGCCTCTGGCCCTAGCTATCGACCGTCGACCTGTCTTCTTGACCTCTATCCTCATCATGGTCCTTTCTTGTGGCCTCTGCGCAGGCCAAGAAGTCATACGAATGGCATCTTGTGGCGCATTTTATAATGGGCCGTTCAGCTGAGCAATCTGAGGCCGTGTGCCCTCTGATGATTCAAGGAACATTCTTCATACAAGAGAGAGGCCGGACCCAGATGTACTTCATGGACTTCAGCAACATCCTGACCAGTGTATTGACTCTGCTCACGTCGTACATTGCGACGTCCATCGGCGTCACCAGCTGGTACGGCATGGGGACCGGCCTTGCTCGAACTGTGTTTGTGTGCAGCATCTTCTTTGTTCTGGAGACTAGTATGGCTGGCCCATCGCAGTATACCTAGGTAAGGGCTCCAGCATCAGTCAGTATCCTGGCCAGACTGGCGAGAGCGACGGGGCAAGCCCGTCGGGACAAACCATCTGCTGAGACGCATCACAACCACTGACATGTGGGAGCTGGACTCGGTTAATGTTTAAGTCGCGGACTTCTGATATGCGCTTGTTTGTGAATAAGTCCGACTTTGAGGAAGGTCTCAGGACGTGGCGTCGGATGTCTACTGTCATGCTGTTCCCAGATATCCTCTGGGCTTTTGTAAGTGTCCTTGCATTCTGGCATTTCGGACTCAAAGGGTGTTCGTGGATTCGCGGCTGACCGTGACACAGCTTCTCAAGGGCATTGAAATTAGCATCAATATCTCGCTAGGTACAACGCGTGGTTCCATTCTTGGCGCGCCACCCTACTTGTGGGCCTCAAAAAACCTGTCCTGCTCCATGGCAGAGCAGATCGTGGTGTCGCTTACCGCACTGCCTCTCCTTGGAGCCGGGTCTGACCGCCTCGCCGGCTACCTTTCCAAGCAGAACAGGGGAGTCCACCGGACAGAGTACCGCCTTGTTCCCATCATCTTCCCAATCATCCTCGGTGTCGTCTCTTCCATCTTGTGCGGGCATGTAGCTGCGCCTCCGGACCGTCTGCACTGGTTTGCCATCGTTTTCTCCGTCAACGAATATTATTTTGCCTTTGTTTGTTCGAACCAATGCGGCATTGTGTACTCTCTAGACTCATATCTGAGGAGGTCGGGCCCGGCGCTGGGTGTCATTTGTGCGATACGCGTATCCTCAGCTTTGGTACATCTTATCGCGTCTTCCCATTCATTAAGCAACGGGTCTATGCTAGGGCATACCTGATTCAGGGTATCCTGACTGGAGTGCTGGGAGCCATAGGCATCGTGATGTACTTCTCGAGCGGGCGGATGCGAGTATTTTGTTCTCGATGGGCGGTACCGACCAGTGAGACAGAGCCAACTTACCCACAGGTTGCGATGATAGAATGTGACCTAGACTAGGACTTAGGGCAGTCAGTCTGTCCAAGCGGACAGTGTGTAGCATGTTGTTCTCTACCCTTGTTGCATTGAGTCTTCTGGAACATCGGAGCTGTTCTACCAGAGTGAGTTGGCACTGCCTGTAGCTGCTACCAGTCTGGGTACTTACGCAGGTACTCAAGTACTTACTTACCTGGAAAGCTCGAGTGTCGTGGTTTTCCCCTGCACTTCAACTTTCCCGCCATTTCTCACCAGTTGACAAAGCACCACTCCCCAAGCATTCTTCTTGAATCCTGTGCAGGTTCCTTGTGGCTGCGCTTCCACAAACCCCCACCTCCCTCATGTTGACTTTACCCTGCCTTATTTGACGCGACTGACTGCCCACCCCTCCACGCGTCTCCCGTCAACTGCATCGACAACCACCTGGCAGCCACCTCAACTAGCTCCCATCTGCCCCTTCATCGCCCATCAACACTTGCACACTCACAAAATTATCAACGCTGTTCTCTCGGGACATCCTCCACGAGACGCCATGTCTGGCTCTCCAGCCAAGCACACGGCGCAATGCCGCATAAAGCGCGAACCTGATCCTGATGAAAACGGCTCTGGTACCACTTCAGTCCCTGCTTCCCTCGTCGCAAATTCGAAGCCTATCTCTGCTCACAGCAATCACCTCGAGAAGCTTGCCTCGAGCTCTTCCGTCTCGGAGCTTGAATCTGCTGTTCAGGTCGGCATCCGCCTTCTCGAAGACCTGAGGGCGCCCCTGAACGCTACTCGGGGAGATGGGGATCCCCAGGTGGCCCACTGGCTGCAGTGCATTCAGCAGGTAGAGCTCAAGGCAAAACCACCTCGCACCGTTGTTGGGGTCGTGTGAGTATTCTCATTTGTCTCTTGGACGCACAAACTCTAATGTGATTGTCACAGTGGTGTCACCGGTGCGGGAAAGTCCAGCGTCATCAACGCGCTGCTTGATGAAGAGAGGTAGGCTATCCAAGCCCACAACCAACCCCGAACTCTTCCCTCGCACTTTATGACGACTCTTGCTTACTACTGGTACAGACTGGTGCCCACCAGCGGATTGCGAGCGTGCACAGCTTCCGCTACTGAGATCTCATTCAACCACTCGGACGACCCGAGCGAACTTTATCGCGCAGAGGTCGAATTCATCAGCGCAGACGATTGGTCTCAGGAGCTCAAGACCCTTCTGAATGACCTCATCGAGATCGTCGATGGCACTCCCAGGATTTCTCCGGATTGCTACAACCCCGACACCGATGCAGGTCTGGCATATAGCAAGATCAGAGCTGTCTACCCAAAGAAAAAGAGGGACGACATCGTGAGACAAGCGAGCAATCCGGATGATATTGCTCGAGAGCCTGAGGTTCACGGAGTCTTGGGAAGTACCAAGCTGCTGTGTGCCACTTCATCCTCGGGCCTCTTTGAAAGCCTCAAACAGTACATTGACAGCAAGGACCACGAGGGAAATCCAAACCAGGATAAGGAGAACTCGAACAAGAGACAGAAAAAGTCAAAAAAGGACAATGAGAAGGACAAGGACAAGCCGAAGAAGCCTGAAAAGAAAATGGAGTACTGGCGTAAGTCTACAACGATCAACCCTTCTCCTCCTGACGCCCCGTTCTCTGGATTGCCAACTTCCTTCCCCTTGATACCTGCTTCATTCCATATCCCCCTTTGCGAACAGTCGATTAATACTTCGCAGCCCTCATCAAAGTGGTACGAATCTATTCCAAGGCCGCTGCCCTTTCCACAGGAGTCGTGCTGGTCGATCTTCCTGGTAAGCATTTCCGAAATACAATTTTCGCATTCCGATCAAGGAACGCTGCCAGTCTTCTTTTGAATGTCCTATCCAAGTTGTAAATTTGAACACTCACAGATCTATCACACCCAACCCGTCTCCGACGTGTTCAACTTCTTGAGTGATGGTTGGTCAGCTGACTCCGGATCTTGCAGGCGTGCAAGACTCCAATGCTGCTCGCGCCGCAGTTGCTAAGAATTACATGAAGGCGTGCAACGGCATATGGATCACCGCTGACATTCAGCGAGCCGTCAACGCCAAAATCGCCAAGAAACTCCTCGGCGATAGCTTCAGGAGGCAACTTAAATACGACGGGGCTCTTTCCACAGTGATCTTTGTCTGCACAAAGACAGATGACATCCTGCCCACGGAAGTTGGGGCCAGCCTAGGTATTGAGGACGAACTCGGAGATTACTGGCAGAAAGCCAATGACCTGGATTCGGAACGAAACGAGCTGACCTCGCAGATCGAGAGCTTGAAGGAACAGAAGCGTGAGTTCGACGAACTCCTTGAGAAACTAGATCTGGACAACGAACAATGGGAGGAGCTACAGGAGGAGCTGGGTGGTGATAAGCCTTTGTATGCGCCTTCTGATATCACTAAGAAGCGAAAACGCGAGATTACCCCATCAAGCGACGTCGATGCAGCTCAGGATGATACCGACAACGGAGAGACTGGCCAAACCTCCGAGGCCCCGGATACACCACTGACAGAAGGCGATATCGAGAGAGAGCTTGCGACTATCAAGATCCACAAGAAAGAGGCTCGTAAGAAGAAGAAGAGCCTTGAAAAGGAGATTTCCAGGGCTAGGCACGCATTGGATGAAGTCACAAAAGAAGGGGCAGAAACAAAATCTGACATGCTGCGGCTCTGCATCCAGCGCAGGAATGAGTATGTCAAAGTTGCAATCCAGCAAGACTTTGCGCTGGGAATCAAAGAGTAAGTACCATCTATCTACACAAGAACAGAGCTTGCTTGGATGCCACTTCGTTAGCTTCTGTTGATCTGGGCTTCAGTCCTCTTCTTCTTGCCTTTCAAACATCCTCGAGATTCTACATACCTTTTGACTGATGTAACAAAATACAGGCTTGATCAGGAGGTTTCAATTGAAGAGGATGAAGCCGACTTCGACCCGGAAGAGGAGAAGCGAGACTATGATGAGCTCGCGCGAAGCCTGCCCGTCTTCTGCGTCTCATCACGATCGTACCAAAACATGGCCGGAAGGCTAGAGAAAGACATGGTCCAAACTGATGGCTTTGCATTTCTAGAAGACACAGAAATCCCTCAGTTACAAGAACATGCAAAGAGAGTTACTGAGCGCGGCCGCGTCAGCACTTCTCAGCTCTTCTTGAATGAGCTGAACCGGCTCTTGCACTCTATGATGTTCTGGGCCTCCGGCATTACATGCCCTACCATGATACAAGAGGAAGTAGAAGTGGATGAGAGACTCCTGGATAATCTCTTCACTAAACTTGACAATGTGGGTGACGAGATATCTGTGTCCCTCTTGGTTTGCTAACGTCTTTTTCCAGAGTCTCCGTGAGACCATCGAGGACTGCCACTCTTCTATGAAACACGACCTCGAAAAGAACCTCCTCAAGACTTTTGATACGCTCATCCCTGCCGCTTCTGACAGCGCTCTCGAGACCGCAACGTAAGTAGGATTCTGAGCTTTCCCTCAATTACAGTTATTGCACAAATGCAGAACACCTCTTCTGGTGGGGAGTTGGACCTGCCTGCATGTAGTCCTCAATAGTCTGACACTTGTCAACAGTGGATGGGGAAAACCTCGAGAGGAGAACGGACTGCAGTGGTCGAGCTACAAAGCAACATGCCGCCGCGACGGCTGTTGGAAAGGAACCTTTGGAAAGCGAGACTTCAACGAAGAGCTGTTCGAGCCTATAAATAGGCAGCTGGCTGGAAATTGGGAGAGAGTCTTCCAACGACGGATTCCGCGGACCCTGCGCACATTCGCCCAAGAATGCAAGGAACATCTGGAGAGCTTCCACGGCGACGTTGCTGCCAACATGCTGGATGCTTCTGCAAGCTGGACAAGTGTCAGCGGTCTAGACCAGCAGAAGCGTGCGTACCAGAAGATGCTCGACACCACTCCTAATTTCTTCGGTGCAAAGATCACAGAGATTCAGCGTGAAGTGAATCGTGGATTCACGCCAGTCATCCAAGCTGCTATGAAGCCCGCCTACGAAGCTTGTACCAATGAGCGAGGTGAGTCTCGAGAGTGCATGGACATCCCTATCCGCCTTCCTCTCTAATGATTATGCTACGAATTAGGCAGAGGCACGTTCGTCCGCATGAAGGCCATCATGGAATCCCATGTGGCCACCGCCCGCAACACCATGTTCAGACAGGCATGCGATTCAGTCCAAAGACAGCTGGATTCAATGTGCGTGGCAATTGAGAAATCATTGACGGTCTTTGTCCAAGACCTGCTCGCCAAGATTCGGCGGGACTATCGCGCCATCCTAGCCGGCCGCTGTGACGAAGCATCTGCTGAGGTGCCTTTGGGCGAGCGAGTGCTGCGTGACCAGATGCGGCTTATCCTCGACGACGCCGACTATCGATTCGCAGAGTTTCGCTTCGCGGCTTCCGAAGACTCGAGGTCAGAGGAGAGCCTCATTGCCCAGCAGCTCCAAGACGGCATGGTGCAGAATCAGGAGGACGTGCCAAACTCGGGCATGGAGAAACATGTGAAGTCGGAGAGCGCCTGAGGATGAGGGCAAGTGTTCGAGTAAAAGCATGAGAGAGAAAAAAAAATGGTGTTGGAAGGTGGTGGTGACTTGATTTCACCAAGGCATGGTTTGCAGTTCTGGGACGTTTCGCCCTGTAAGTTTGTGGCTGCAAGCTGGTATGGATGGATGCAGACATCGGAGCACCTGAGTAGGTCCTTGAGGTGGATGATGAGAGGTTGATGGCTGTAAGTTGATGAGGCAGTGCCCCCGTTACGCGACCCTCCCTCTTTGTGATAGGCATCCTTGTTTTGCCAAAAGTAGGCTGGAATGGAAATACAATGAATTTTATGTACACTAAGGTTGCAGTTTCTCTCTTCAACAGGCTGGCAGATTGCACCAAAATCGTCAGCCATACAGATCATGTCAATGAGTTTAATTCGTCTCTCACTGCTAGGTAAGGTTCCTTAAAGGAGGGTCATTCAATCAACGGCGTAGTCTTGAAGCATTTCTATGATAACCTGGACTGGTATTGGAGTCGGTTCATTGTGTGAACTTATATTTCTGGTGTACGGATCTCATACAGACAAGTGTTTAGAGTAAGTTCAGCAGATCAATGCTAACCAGTCGTTTGGATGTGATTGTAGGATTCAAACGGTTTGTGACAGTTCGTCCGAATAAGTGATGCTATAGAAAACTACTGAGGCTTGACTGCTAACCTGACGCTCGGCCCAGACATGTGAAGACTCCAACGACCATGTCCTAGGCCAATTGTGAAACATGGCCAGCAAGTCAAGGCCTTGGTCATGCGACGAGTGGCTTTGGTTTATTACTTCGACCCGAACCTCAGCTTCTTGGCACCCAGATCCCCAATTCAATCCGACTGTCTCCGCACTCCGCAAAAGGTAGGTATCAGTCTGGAAAGCGACCCAGAATTGCACCAATGTTCCCAGTTCCCAGGTCTCCCAGGCTCAAACTAGGGTAGGCCCGCATGTCTACCCCAGCTGCTTTACCGAGGCCGCCTTGCCCGCGGGCTACGGTTGGCATGCAGGTGACAGGTCCCTGGTCCGACGCGTTTATCAAGTCCCAACCTCCATGTTTGTGCGTCCCTGCTCTGTTATCCTTGTGGGGGCAGGACTGCCGTTCCGTGAATCCCAGAGGATGCCGCGTGAGATGCAGAGAATTGGACGATTTCATTCATCGCCGAGTTCACCTCCGTCTGCTTGCCCAAAATGCTTCCACCAAAGAGTCTGAGAAACATATGGGTCGGCGTCGCGATCTTCGTCACATTGATTCTCGTTTCGCATGTGTACATGGGTGAGGATGAATCCAACGTCCCAGAAAAGATAAGTCTCTGGCACCCCTCGACACATCCTCAGCAGCAACTTTTGAAAGATGCACACAGACTACGATCCGCGGATGCGTTCCTGCCGCATTTCAAGGCAGTAATGGAGCTGCCAGGTTACACGATGCAACAGGCGAGGCGGTCTTGTCCCTTGCGACACGGCGAGAAGGTGAATTTCCAGTGGGAGGAGGGCGGCCCGGGCAGGGAATGGATCAAGCAAGACGTCCCAGGCTCAGAGATCGAATCTCACCGGCGAGAGTGGCAGTCCTTCATCGGCAATGGCATGATCCCTTACTCGAAGGTTAAAAAGAAATTCTCTGGGCGTGGACTTGTGATCGTGGCTGGCAATCAGGACACCCTTAAGAGAGTGGAAGTGATCCTGAGATCCCTCGCCCGGCTAAAGTCGACAATTAACATAGAGCTTCACTATTGGAATGGTGAAGTGTCTGAAGTGGACAAAAATGCCCTTCAAAAGCTATATTCGAAGATGTACTTCAATGATTTGGCAGGGGAACACAACATCATCCAAGTCAAGAAAGACGGTGACTACATCAACTATCAACTCAAGACTGCTGCACTCGTCAACTCACGTTTTGCCGAACCAATCCTTCTCGATTCAGACAACATCCCCGTCATCGACCCAGCGCTGCTATACTCATCTGACACCTACCGCGAGTTTGGGACCATCTTCTGGCCCGACATAGCTCGGACAAGGCCTCAGAACCCAGCCTGGGCCATCTTCAACACAAACTGTCGAATGGACGAGTACGAACAAGAAAGCGGCCAGCTCGTGGTCGACAAGACACGCTTCTGGTACCACCTGCAGCTGGCCTCGTGGCTTAACAACGAGCAGGGCGCCTATTACGGGCAATTCCTCCTCGGGGACAAGGACACGTTCAGGTTCGCATGGCACGCGCTCAAGACTGAGTACGGCAAGCCCAAGAGGTGGCTCACGAGCGTCGGCACGACCAACGATGGCTTCTACTGTGGCCACTCTTTTGCGCAGCATCACCCAGACGACGACCGGATCGCCTTCATGCACGGCGGCCTGGTCAAGACGGTCCACCTGGAGGTGATGAGGTGGAACAGGGAAAAGAAGGGGGGCTACTTTCGAGACTACAAGCGCGCCATGTCGGATAGGGAACCGGCGGTGAGTGTGGACGTTGGGATCAAGTTTGACGGGGCGCTATACAAGCCAGATCATGGGCCTGATTTCCACGCTGCCATGTGTACGGACATGTATGATGTTGAGCCGAGGGATCTTGATGAGATTCTGCCTGGTTTTGAGCAGGTGTTTGAGGAGATTGGGGGCTATTGGGCATTGGATGGTTCCTAGGACTGAATATTTGTTGCTGAAGGTTGTTTGACAGTCGAGTTTCCATCTTATCAAAGAATCTCGTAATATCAGCTATATCTCCAAACGTTCATATACCATGTGTTGACCAGACTCGTTAGACACTTCCTCTGCTCGGTGCGTGGTGCTCTCTCGGATTGCCTTGGCCACCTCACCGTCTTCATCCACGGCAAGGACGGTATAGTAGTCTTGGTTTAAAATGACCAAGAAGTCATCGTCGCCATCAGTTGCCCACGAACGAACCAGAGGTTTTGGTAGACCAAACATCCCCGGGCAGTCTCTGACGTGATCCCCCTCCCAGTTGCACTGACCGCTATAGAACAACAGTAGGTGCCGCAGACCAATAGTAGTACAAATTTCCGGCATTGATTCGGGGACGTCTGGGGCCCGAATGATATCATGCCTTTGCTTCCAGTGTTCCAGGGCTTCAATCATAGTTCGAAGCCGGTGGGAAGGAGTCAAACTACTGCTAGCTGTTTCCAGCGATGTCGCAGCTTTGATCAAACATTCCATGGCCAACTCGAGTGGAGGACTTCCGGTTGTCGCAGCCGCAGCCGCGGCTGCTTCAAGGCTGCGAGAGCCGGACGATGGCCCCACTACCAGTAAGGGCCAGGGCCTAATAAGTGGTCCTTCTGGGTCGTATTTGAGTACCATCTGATCATTCCAGAGTAAAAAGCTCTCGGCATCAGTATGATTCGGTGCCTGGAACCCGAGAGCCCCGAACGATTTGCTAATGGTGTTGAATGTGACACTGCGGATTTGGACACCCTCGCGAGTTCCTTGTCTTTGTTCCAAGAGCCGATACGTACCATGCGCGTCAATCAGCCGAGGGCTGAAAATCATCGAGTGAGGTCTGTGCCAAAGAATTGGTACGCGATATGTGAAAATCTGACAACACCGCTTGTCCCTGTACTCGCACACCCAGAGTTCGTCAGGGTTGAGATTCTTGTCGTTGTATGTTGCCAGAAAGAACACATCATCGTGCCTGGGATGGAACATGATAGTCAGCTCGTTGAGTTCAAGGATTGATAGGGGTCTGTTGAGAATATGTCTGCGTCGTTGGGATCCTCGATGGGCGCTTTCATCTTTTGGTATGGTTGTATCGACATCTTCCAAGCCATGACGGAAGGACCAGAGTAACACATCGCCACTTTGGCTCACAATCACGACTGAGTGGTTTCTTGTAAAGCATTTGCTTGGTGGGGTGGGAAGAGTGACGCGATCGACGGCTCGCGACACCAAGTCCCATGCGTATCTGTTGTTGCTGTTAGCATGATGTAAGACCGGTCACGTATTTTGGGCATACACAATTCTCTCCCCAGCCACTCTAGCCACAACGAGCTCATTCCCAAGTGCACAAAGCAATAACTTGATCCCTTTGGTCCGCATAGAGGGCAGGGAAAGATCCCAGCGTTGATGTGCACGGAAGTCATGCACGATAATCGGGTGTGCCCATTCACCGGGAGCTGGCGTCGATTGCCATACCAAATAACCACTAGAATAAGAATAATTGCTCACAGCACTGCTCGAGCCGTGGTATGGAATAGCGTATGCGTCTGGCGGCGAATCTCTTGCTGTTCTGGCTGAGGGGGACGGTCGAAAGCTGATGGAACCGGCGCAGGCGAGATCCTTAAAAGTTCGGCCTCGGTGTAAGCCTTCAACGCGATCCATGGCGAACGTTCCATCGGGATTCTTGAAAAGTCCACACGTGAACCTTGCGTGTGGGAAGAGAGGACGTCAGTAGACTCCTTCGGGTGAGACGAGACAGGCACGACACTTGCCTGGTCCGAAATCTGGCGGAATCTCTGAGATATCGCTTCCTAAGGGCTTTGGGAAGCGTCTCGGGCGCGTTGTACGTGTCATCGAAGAATCCCGGGAAGTGCTTTTTGAGCAGATTGTCGGACAGCTGGCTGCTTTGCAGCAGTAGACATCTCCATCTACGGCAGACGTTGGTACAGTGGTAGAGATCTGTGACCCCGAGCAGGCTGACGATCTGAAGCTGAATCTCGTGTGGCAGCTGAGCCCTCGAGACACGGGAGGTGCCACAGAGGATATCGACCCTGTGCTCCAACCGTCTCCGAGCCTCTTGGAACAATCGAAGCTCGTCTTCGCCCAGGCGCTCAGCAATGCCGATGATGACTTGCTCCCTGGTGTCAGGACTGGCCAGGCCGAAGGCTCGAAGGAGACTGGCTGCCATCACGGGCTGGGTTATGTCGTTGTGTAATCCGAAAGGGCCAAGATTGACCTGGTCAGGGGCGCGAGAACTTGAAGGGGCACTCTCGCGCCAAACCGCAGATGTGGCAGGGGTGCGGGAGCTCCCTCCTACAAGCAGCTTGGGGTTGCAAGGAATTGGTTTCCTTGTTGGACCAAGACACAGAACACCCTCCTTTTGGCACGCGTCGAGTCTCCGTGGATCGACCTCGTGATTCGGACTTCAGCTGATTGTCGGGGTAGCTTGGACGTCACTGGACCTGGGAAGCCGCCCGCCTGGGTAGGTACCTAGGTACCTAGGTACCTAGATATGCCAGGTGTAGGAGTAGATAGGTACTCCGTATGGAGGTACCTCCGTACTGTTCTGGTGCTTGCTTATCTTATCAGCCCATCTCCGAGCTCCGGCGTCAGGAGCCCATGACACAATATTGCGAATGTCGGATCCCCTAGGCTTCTCCTCCTTTCTTATCACATAACAAACCACCAACCCACACCATGACCGGCGCCACCAAGAGCGGTGGTAAGCACCAGCCTCCTCCTCCTCCGTCCCCGAACAAGGCCGGCGAGAGCATAAATCCCCTGCTCCAGCCCTCCGCATCCTCCACCGAGGACGACGCCTCATCTGTCCTCAGCAGCCCAGCCTCTTCCTACCGCTCCGACTCACCAAGTCCCTCCTTCAGGCACCGCCGCCGTGCTGCCCTCGTTACCAAACGAAATGTCTCTTTCGTCGGTGCCATCTTGGCTGCGCTCTGCGCTGGCTCCATAACCGCCTTCTCGCTGTACGGCCATCTCTTCCAGGAGCGACTGCACTACACCCAGTACCAAGTCAACGGCATCTCCATTGTTGCCAGCTTTGCGCTCTACATACTGGTCCCTTTCTTCGGCTACATCTGCGATCGCGCCGGGCCTGCACCGCTGGCCGGAGTCTCGGCTGTGCTGTTTGGGGTTGGCTACGGCCTGGCGGCAATACTCTACAAGCAGGGCGAGGCAGCAGGCGGGTCAAAGCCGGGAAAGCTCTCCTACGCCCTGATGGTCGTTGCTTTCATCTGCATCGGAATGGGTTCCTGCGCCCTCTACATCAGTTCGGTCACCACGTGCGCCAAGAACTTCGGAAAGGGCAAGCATCGTGGGCTAGCGCTGGCGATGCCAATCACTGCCGTTGGTCTCTCGGGCATGTGGCAGAGTCAGGTTGGCAGCCGCCTGCTATACGAGCGCAATCCTGATGGAAGCAAGGGGGATATCAACGCCGTCTCGTTCTTCATCTTCCTGGCCGTCTTGCTTTTTGTGGTGGGCATAATCGGGAGTTTGACCATGAAGGTCATCGACGAGCAAGATCTTATCGACGAAGCCGTGGAGGAGCTCGAGAGGAGTGGTCTTCTCGATGGAAGTGCACTCTTCACCCCGGGGCGCACGTCGGCCGGTGGCTATGGCACCATCGAGAGGTCCAACCCGCTGGAGGACGAGGAGGACGCCCGCCTGTTGGACCCGGCTGCGGATCTCGAAGACGACCCAAATTTCAAGAAGAACTGGGTTCTCAACGCCGAGACTCGGCGGTTCCTCAACGACCACACAATGTGGTTTCTGGCGGCTGGGTTCTTCTGCACCATCGGTCCCGGCGAGGCTTTCATCAACAACATGGGCACCGTCATCAAGACTCTCTACCCGCCCACTGCCATCCTCATTGGCTCATCCACATCAGCTGCAACCCATGTCTCAATCATTTGCGCCACGAGCACGGTCATCCGTCTCCTGATAGGGGCTCTGACAGATCTGCTGGCGCCGACGCCAGTGTCACAATACGTGCAGATTCCTTCCGGCCAGCCTGCTCGCACCATTCTCCACCGCATGAAGTTCTCGATTTCTCGTGTCACATTCCTCCTCTTCTTTGCACTCCTCATGTCCATTGGCTTGGCTGTACTGGCCTCGGGCGCGATACAGAACCACGGCGAGCGATTTTGGATCGTGTCCAGTCTTATCGGGGCGGGGTATGGAGCACTTTTCAGCATTACTCCCATTATTGTGACGATAATCTGGGGCGTCGAGAATTTTGGTACGAACTGGGGCATCGTTGCGACTTTCCCAGCGCTTGGAAACACGCTCTGGGGCTTGGTCTACTCGGCTGTTTATCAAGCTGGCGCAGAGAAGAGCCCGAATCCGCCAGAGGCAGGGAATGGCGACCTCTTCTGCTACGGTACCCAGTGCTATGCCACCGCTTACTGGGCGATGGCAATCAGTGTTTGGATCTCTTGCCTGCTGGTGCTGTGGGCCTGGAAGGGAAAGAATGGTTGGTCTCAGCGCGGCATTGTGATTTGATTTTAAATTGGCCTAGAATGCTTTCAAGTCGGTTTCACTTTTCTATCTTTCCATCTCAACGAGCAGTTCGCTCTCATTTCCTTTGTTCAACACGCATCGGCAGGGCGTTTGGGTCCGAGGCATTTGGTGGTTGTTTCGTGTATTCGAACCAGACAGACCTGAGGTCTTGGATATATATCGGCGTTTGCTCATCCCCTACGTCTCATAGAAAGATCTATAAATCTATGCGCTCTCCTTGTTGCCCTTTGTCTCTGCCACAAGCTTTTCGATCTCCCACAGAATCTCGGATTTTCGAGTTTGACCGCACCACGACCCTTTTAGAAATGTCAGTTTCTCAATAACGCCAACATTCTCGTAGTGGGGAACTCACCTTCGACCGCATTCACGGCAATCGTGTTCCACTCATCCACGCTGAGGTCAAAAGCCTCCTGCACGGCCAAGTAGTTATCCAGGATGTATCCGCCAAAGTAGGCCGGGTCGTCGCTGGAGATGCTGAAGCGCACGCCCTTGTCCAGGAATGTCCGGATCGGCACCTCGCTGACCTTGGTCACACCCCTCAGCACCACGTTCGACAGCGGGCACACGCTCAGCATCACCCTGTCCCGCGCTAACCTCTCCATCACGGCCTCATCGTGCCTCGCGTTCACGCCGTGGTCGATCCGCGACACCTTCAGCTCGTCCAGCGCCTCGGTGATGTACGCCGCGGGGCCCTCCTCGCCCGCGTGCGCGGTGAGCCGCACATTCTCCTTCCCCGCGAGAGCGAACGCCTCCTTCCACATCGACGGCGGGCTGTCCTTCTCGGTCGAGCAGAGGCCCATGCCTGCCAGCGTGCCGTCGCGGAAGTGGCCCGCATCGCGCATCGTCTTGAAGCATGCCACCGACTCCGGCACGGGCAGGTGCCTCAGCAGGCACGGGATGAGCAGGCTCGAGACGCCGAGGCTCTCCTCGGCGCGCCTCCGCGCCTTGGTGAACCCTCCCACGACCGTCTCGTACTTGACCCCGCGGTTGACGTGGACCTGCGGGTCAAAGAAGACCTCGGCGTGCCGTACCCCCTGGGCGGCAGCCTTCTCGAAGTAGGCGTAGGCGAGGTCCTCAAAGTCCGACTCGTGGATCAGCACCGTGAAGCCGATGTAGTAGTAGTGCAGGAAGTCGTCCAGGGAGGAAAACCGGCTGTAGCGCTCGTATAGGGCGGCTGGGGACGCAAAGGCCGGGTCCTCGGAGGCCGGCGGCAGGGCGATCTTGTTGCGCTCCGAGAGCGTGAAGAGCAGCTCCGGGCTGAGAGAGCCCTCCAGGTGCATGTGGTGCTCGCACTTGGGCAGGGCCGTCAGGAACTCATGCAGGTCGTGCTTGGCCATCTTGGATCTTTTTTGCTGCACAGACGGGGTGGCTTGAGGCTTCCGTGTCACCGGGTATCTTTTGGATCACTTGAGACACGATCTGTACAACGCCTTGCCTTTGGACACGCGATTTGTGAGGCCGTTTTGGGGTGATTTGTGGCGACGTTGTTTGTCACTTTGTGTATTGCCTGCACCTTGGCCGAGACTCTGTTGTCCCGCCCCTCTTTCACTGAATCGGTAAACAGCCTTGGAACTTGACTGACTCAAATTAAGCCGGCGACGAGGAAGGTTGTCGGGACTCGGGGGAGCCTTTCAGGGTTTATTTCATTCAGGAGACTGACTGCTGCCGTTTTTGAGAGACAGATTCGCCGGTGCAGAAGTCAAGAATGTCTATGTGGAAGACCGGGCTGCAGAGTTTTCCTTCCTCTTCGCTATCTGGTGGTGGTCTTCGCCCTTCGTCGCCCTCTAGCTCGTTGTCGTCCCCTATCCACTTTGCAGGGACCCGGCGACCGCCGGCCCTCGACCCTGAGCCCGAGCCTGGAAATGCCGGCCCGCGGTGCTAATGAAGAAGCGATCAGATGTTGTTATTATTCATCCTTGTAGGCACGCTGGGTCGCCACGGAAAACCCGGCCGGGACGCAATCCGACAGACAGCCCAGGTGGACAGGAAGGGGGCAGCGCTTGCTGAGGCATCTTCAAGATATCTCGAGCCGCCGAGACCTTGTGATGTCTGTTGTCGCCGACGCAGTCCCGAACACAGGGCGCAGGCACAGTCACAGCCCTGCCCGCTTTCCACGCCAAGCCGCGTTCAGGGGCACAGGGGCAGGATCCGAGCGTGCCGATTGTCGACCAGTCCATCACGGCGGATAGTGACAGGTCAGTTTGTTTGCATACACCCCTCCCCCCAATCGACCTCTGCTAAATCCCCAACTTTTTGCTCGGCACGTTCCATTCCCGCCCCAGCCCGGCCGGGTACCACACGTGTAGCTGAAGTTTGCGGACGGGCACTACGCCAAAGCAGCCACAACAAATGCCCATAGCAGCAATGATAAGACCGTGAGAGCGCCCAACGTCGATGCCGTGCATGGCATGGGCATGGGCCTGGCATGTCAGCCCGTCATCTTCAATCTCCGGGGAGCGCCCCTCTTCGCTTTCGGCAATATCGCCACCGCCCAACTACACCTCGAGGTTGTGCTGTCAAGGTCAACGCTGCCAGTCAAAGGACGGCTAACGCCACCTGTCAGCAAGCCCAAGAGGCGGGTTCCCTGTCGCAAGACTTCCGACGGGTTGAGCACGAGCTAGGAACGCAAATTGTACGGTCTGCAAAACAGACTAGTAGGTGGTGGTGCGCATTGCCCCCCAGAGGCCTCGGGAGGAAACTCGTAGAGCCGGTCACATAGAGTCCCCTCTGTGCAAGGAACATCGCCAATACTACTGGTGCCGTCGTCGTCAGCAGAAACAGCTGATGGGGGCAAGTCTCGGCGCAAGGGATGTGGGACCGGCGGCGCAGGATGCCCCAGGATGGCAAGCCTCCATCGAAACTGCGGGCACGACTCACGATGGCGCGTTCAGCGCACTCCCCTAATCGGCAGTCTGCAAGGTGACCAAGTGCTTGGGGGGGGGGGGGGGAGAACAAGGCGTGACTGCACTATTCCCCTTTTCTTTCTCTCCCTGGACGCGTCCCACGTCAATGGATTTCCATGCCGCCGGTCCCATGGCGACCCGGGGGCTGCCAGGGAAGATGCCAGCGGCCACGACGGTCCAAGGCAGGCAGACCGTCAGGCTGCTCAATGCGAGCCCAGCCCAGCCCATGCAAGACAGACGACCCATTTGTGGCGTGCTGTAATAAGCACAAAGGTTATTTGTGCCTACGCACAGGTCGTGGTGTGATCAGTTTCAACGTCACATACGCGATAAGGTTGCGGCTGGTTCTGCCAACAAGTCTGGTTGCCCGCGTCCCACCCGCTTGTCCGCTTGCGATTGGAACCGTTTAAGCTCTGGCAGAATTCTCTTGGACGTGCGAGCGCGACTGCAACGGCAACATCAGTCCAGCTTCAGTGGCGCGGGTGGCACGACTGGCGCGGCAGCATCGACTTGTGTCAAGGTACTTGTACGAAGTACCTGCCATCCCATCATCGCCCAGGTGCGAAAGCTTCTACCGGCTAGGCCGGCCTGTCAAGGAACTGTCACGCAGAGCTTCACGTGGGCTAGAAGTATTAGCGAGTCCCTAGCCCGGCGCGTCACAGTAGTATCGTTGCGTGATGTGGTTCGAGCAGACTTGTGCGGAATATGTGCCTCGCAGAAAGAGAGAGTGAACACCAAGGCAACAGCATACGGCAATGCCGAAATACGGGACAGGTGCGCTTTACCAGGGAGGCGAAGATGCCAACCGAGAACATGCCCATGAACACCCGTCATCGCCACATCCCAGCTAGCCCTCGCAGAAGCTGAAATTCTCCGTGAGAGTCTCTCAGGCCATGGCCAATGCGAATTTTATCCCTGATAGATCTCGAAGGCTGCAGCGTTAAAGCAGAGCCCCTCGGCCGTCAGGCCCGAGCGTGCGGCAAGCCAAGCCAGAAACATCAGGCCAAACCTCCGTGGTAAGAGAAACATCGGCTCAACGGTCAATGGCTTGTGCTTGATAGTCCCTGCCGATTCGAGTTTCAACCTTTCCATGACACATGCCATAGGCTTTCGGAACCTTCCAACGTCGTGACGTGATAGGTTTCGAGGCACGAGGGAGAGATAAGAGCAGTTCAGGGGCTTTTAAAACAGACAACATATTAATGAAGCTATCATGACTGCTGAGGTTGTCTCTTTTGCCGGCATCGTATCTGTAACGATATCTTGTTACAGGTCAAAGGAAGGTAAGAATCTTTACCTGCAGAGCTTCACTTGGACCAGGCCTTATTATACCATCGCGGCGACGGTGATGCCCCGAACGGGCCGCAGATCTGCGTAAGCGACAGTTCTCCTCAGGCTACTGAGCGCTGCAATCGAGGATTCTGCCGGCTGCAAGTGGGAAGTGACCAAGCCAGTCAGCATGTAGCTGTTACGCTCGTATCATGCCTGTTGCTGGGGTACACTGATCGTGCCCACGCTAAAGGTTCCCCAAGGCGGTGACCCTTGTGTGCCTCGCCAGTGCATCGGAGAGTTCCAAATATTCAACAGAGTTCGGTCCATTGTTCAGGGTCATAACCTCTATATCTTTGATTCCATGGACCGCTCTCAACCTGCCCAAATTTGACGGTCGCCCACACAACCAGAGCAAAATGCTTCCGGCACCCGAAACATGCGTGAGCTCGCAGTAGTAGACGCGCAGGATCTAGCGACATAAAACTATGTTCCGAGAGGACGCTGCCGAATGGGTGGGGTGATATGTCGCGTGCACGTTCGACATGGAGGACGGACGGACGGACGGACGGAGATACTCGAACCAGACGTTGAATGGCTGTGACTCGGCTCACACGTAGCGTAGAGTTGCCAGGAAAGCACTTGGGCAGCGCAGCCAGAGTAGCAGCGCTTGTTCGTCCTTCGACGGAGCGGTTGTGGGATGACTGCGGTGCTGCATTGTGTAGATGAAACCTGGGGTATAAGAAACACAGGGGTATCTCGACAAGTAGTTGCTGACGCCCAGGTGTCGACCAGGGGGCTAGAGGAATGCCGACGTGGAAATGACCTGACAACAGGATTCGCGAGGCATTCCTGGATTGAATTGCCAGGACTTTGGCACGAGGCCTGCAAATTGCTACTCCGATTGTATCAGAGGATAGTGCCTTCTCATGTACCACGTCAATTGGTGGAAATCGTCAAGCCGTATTCAATTAGGCAACGGAAGCCAAGCAACGGCCTCAGGCGACTTCAACGAGTCGAGGCTGAACGGCTACACCGCTTAGACGAGCAGAAGAAGCTAGGAGACTGTAAGTGACCTTCACTAAGTGCTGGATATGTTTCAGAGGCAGCAAGAGCTAGGTTCGGGGGAGTCGTACCTGGACAAGAACGCACTGACGACACCCGTGGACGGCCCTAACCGATAGTACCGTATTGCGCAGTAGTACGGTAACTTTACTGGATCTCGGATGTTCCCCAAAAAGGCTCAGCATCGGTACCTTCGAAACTGTATGTACGTGTACTCCGTAGATGACTCCTTGCCCAGAGAGCACCCAAGGCCAGTCCGTACTGTGTGCGAAGCGCCCCGAGTGGCTCACGTGCCCAAAAGCCCACATGACGGCCCGACGTGCTGGTCCAAAGTCACCGGCACCCACGACCAGACGCAGTTAGCATCCCGCAGGCGTTGCTCACTGCGCGCTACCTGCCGTGAGCGAAGAAGTCGGTCACGACTCATGCCCGTTGCGAAGTGGAGGTCTTCGCCGAACCTTGGCCCACTAAGACCACGCGGATCACTGCCCATGTCGGCAAGCCTTGGCCCAGGCGCGCAGTAATCACGATTCCGTCGAGAGCCGCCGGCGATCACTGTCTCAAACAGGGCTAATGCTTGCGTGAATTTGGTGATCGGCAACGACCCCTTCTGTTTCAATACTCGGTCATCTGCGCTGGGTTCGCGCCCGTTGAGATGACGGATCTTGTTTCTCGCCCAAGGATTTTGCTTCCCACGCTTTCAACAGCAATTTCGAAGCTTTTTCGGCTGAGACGAGAAAGGGCGATGTGCTCTGCAAGGCTGTCGCTGCCCCCGCTGACATTGTTTTGGCGACGACAACCTTGTTGAGGTATGGTCGGGGGTATCAGAACCACTGTCGATCAATTCCCTTGCGGTGCGCTGGACTTTTCGGCAATCGGCTGCCTTCCAACTAGCGTCCGGGCCAAAATGCTTGATCAGGCATCTCACCCGTCACACTGTCTATGTGTTTTGGATTTCGCCGAAGGGGCGCGTCAAGGGTCGCAGGGCCTTGTTGGCAAGATACTGTTGCCCTCGAGATCCCCGTACGAGTCACAATCCGAGGACCCCTGTAGGTAGCCGCCGTCTCTAGACCGTGGGGCTATATTACAGCTGTTATCCATGCCGAGGCAAGGTCGTGAATGACGTGTAAATGACGGTGGCAGCCTCGAAGTACTGTGGTAGGTGCACAAGATGTCTGTATGGGCTGGCTCGAGCGCTGTCAATAAAGGCGCGCACGGTAGCTTGCTCGCGTCCTTCATTGGCATGATGCGAGGCCTGTGAAACCATGCCCCAGCTGTTCAGGCTGGCATCAAGTATGTCAGAGAGGTCATGCGCGGCAAGCGGTAGACCAGAGCGGGAGCCCGGGGTCTGTAGCTTTGTGCCACCGCGTGTTGCACCAATGGCGTTCGGCGTTCTGCCATGTTTCTAGACTTGCGCCTTAAGCGCCACGAGGCGTTTATGTTGAGAGAAAGGTAACCCAGTGGCGAATATCAGTGCTCGCGCTGAGAGGCTGCCCTGTAGCACAACAAGGTGACTAAGCCACGGCGGTGGCATCTGTATTGGCAATCATGTTCCCCTTGGATAGTAAAAGGTTAATAACAGGTATGATTGGTTGACAGGCGGTCTGTGCCTTGAGGTCCCACCACGAAATATTGGCCCTACGCGTAAGTTCGCACGGTTCGCCGCCAGTGCTCAGGGACGACGAACCGCGTTTGGTTTGCCATGGCCGTGTTGTATTGACCCGGGTATTTGGGGGACACGGAAAGCTTCATAATTGGGTGTCTTGGCTCAACTGTTTCACGGAACCAGTCTGGCGTGCCTGAGTACCGAAGATGTGGGTAGTCGATGTAAAGAGGCAAGGATAAGAGCTTGCGGGTATTTTACAGTGATTGGTCTGCGCCTCGTCCCGCCCAGAGAGCGAGGCGAGTCGGTTTGTACAGAGCGGAGCTGATAGCGGAGTCGAGACGAGTCGCCCGTGTGCCGTTCCGAGGCGGAGCTGTAGCGGAGGAAGCCTTATCCAGAATCACTGTCTGCGGAGTCGCATTCGTACCCAAGTCTCCATCAGCTGAGCCCCCGACCCCGAAACCATTCGTTAGCGATCTGAAATGAGTAAAATGTCCGTCCCGATTCCTTCACCATTGTACGTGGCTTGCCAAGCACTGATGTCCAGGTTGGGCGACATCGTATAGTAAAGCGTGGCCAGACTCTGCTCTCCATCTTGAATGGTGCATTGCAAAATGGCGCTTTTTTGGCATGGCTAAAATGTCGATCTCCCTGGCAGCCCTGGTGGACGCAGGTTTTCAAAGCCTGCAGAGGCGGTCGGTGGCTCTGAAGCGACAGGGTGTACAAGGGACGGGCTCTGCATGTTCTCTGTTGAAGAGCACTGTCCCAGCCACGGCCAGTGTTCTGAGCTCGAGGTTATGGCTGGCTGGCTGGCGGGCTAGCATGCCGGCCGACGGCCAGGCTAGCTAGGGCGCACATCAACGGCCACAGGGCCCGCCGCACCACCCTGGTCGGCACCCGGCCAGCCGGCCGTCACTCTGCTGGGGTTTCCAACGGGGCCGCAAGGGTCTCATGGGTCTCAGCCGACACTGACAACCTTGCAGCAAAGGCAGCTAGTCCTGTTAGTGTACTGTACAGTACTATGCAGTACGGAGTACAGCCCAACAGGGTTTCATGTCGTTGGTGCTGGCGCCCAGTGCAGCGGAATTCCCGTTCCTGACATTGAAGAGTGACATCGAAGGGAGCAAAAGCTGTCTGGCAAAATGCATGCGAGAGCCCTGACGCCCGAGAACCACTTGTCCGATCGGCGCTGAAGCCAGCCGACATGGCACCCATCCTGCAAATTCCTCCCGCTAGCGCTCACGACATTGTGTTTGTGACGAATGTGGTGACAGGGCACCCCCTGGATCGATCGTGAGGGTCCCATTCGTGGCCTCGGAGGGCGATGTTGGGTGCAGACCGGCATGAGATAATCCCCCGACATGATTGCTGTAGCAAACAGAGACGGAGAGTGGGATGAAACTCGCGGGTCGCTGGCTCGACTTGCTGAGGGCTTTGCCAAGAGGGCCCCCATCAGGGCTGGGAGTGACGGCCAGAGGCCAGGGAGAAGGCGGCGCCTACTGTGTAGTCCACTCTCGTAGTGGTGGGCTGATGCTGTAATCAGCAATGTTCTGGACCGTGGGTCTTGAGATTGATGCCCCAGACAAATCCTACGACGCGCGATCGACTTCCGTTTCGGGTGAAGTGCGGGATGCTGGCTGGCTGGCTGGCTGTGGTCCATCGTTGACGACAACATGGCATACGCGAAGGTGCACACTTTTTGGAGGGCCATGAATCTAACAGCCCGGTGTGGCTCGGTGCAGACCGGTGCGATATCTCGCCCACCAACAGAAAGGGCGAGCCCAGAGAGTGGCCTGGCCACAGCGGCTGCTGTTACGGCGCCGAAAGCCTGGCGCATGGCCAAGGTCTGGTCTGCCCGGCACAGTTGGCCCCGGCGCTACGTTATACGCAACGACCAGCTGCGATTTGTTGTTTGGGCCTCTTGAGGTGCCTGAGTGACCAACAAGCCGCCGCCCAACGAGGCTGGTAGGGCATGGGATCGCTGCGAGGGGGTCAGAAGTTGAGGTGCTCATATAGCCCAGCAAGGCCAGGGCGCCGTGCTACTGTACAGAGTAGAAGGGTCGGATCACACCGACGGGCTCGGCTGTGCGAGAGCTTGAGAAAGGCAGGAGGAGCCTGCGTGCCCAAACACTGTGTATATGTACTCGGTATGGTATGTTGCGCGGTGAAAGAGCAGGCTGTCAAAACTGACGAGATGAGATGAGATGAGACGAGACGAGACGAGTGGCACCTCGTTAGATGACATGACGAGCAGCAGCAACAGGCAGGCAGGCAGGCGAGTGGCCCGTAGCATTGGAAGCACATGGCAGCAGCGTAGCATTGCCTCGTTCAACGGCCTAGCCTGTCCTGCCCTGCCCTGCCCTGCCCTGGCCTCGATGTCGTGCATGATTCGCCTGGGGGAATGTGTATCCAGACGGTCGAGGTTGCAGTGTCAATGCCATGAGGCTGTCAACCACTCTGCCACGGCGTGTCAGTGTGTGCACCGAGAGCTTCGCGGCCCCTTGTGAGGAGCCATGAATTGGGTTTCCGTCTGAGGTTGTAGTCGAGGTCACAGTTACGGGCGCTGGCCACGGGCGCGGTCGCGGTCGCGGTCGCAGTAGCAGTAGCGGTAGCAGTTGCTGCCGCGGTTCAAGGAGGCCGGTTGATGTTGACCTGCAGCATGGGTGGGCGACAGACATGTCTTGCTGGGCGGCCGACCGAGTAGGTTCGGAGAGTTGTTTTGGGGGCGGGCAGCGGAAGTATCGAGGTCTTCGAATTGCCACAAGATCACGCAGGGACGGTACGTACCAGGTACCCGGTACCTTGCTCCTGCGTCCCATGTGGGGAAACCACTTCGGTCCGCCTGTTCCTGCCTCGCTCGAACCTACCAAGTAACCTAGGCACTTGCCTGCCGTGCAGATAGATGCAGAGGCCAGGACTAACTAACTGCTCGGGAGGCGAGTCACTCACCTGGGTGTGTGTGTGTGTGCTACATAGTACGTGTGCAGGTGTGGTGGGTGCACTTGTCAATGTCCGGATAATGGTCTCCCATACATACTGTACATCAATCATACATCAACCACCATCCCCAACGTCGACAGCGGACATGGTCAGACCAGGTACACCACTCTGCACCACGGTACAAAAGCCGCAGCTACCCATGTCCCTGGCAATAGGGCCTCTGCCCTGCCCTGCCCTGCCCGTGCTCTCGTGTCCGTCAGTCTTTTGCAGCTCCCGCGAGATCACCGCCCCCAAGTTGCATGGCGTGGCGTCGACGATCTTGCTGATCAAAGCCGGAGTCTGCTGATGCTTGGGAGAAGCCGGCCAGTGTGTTTCGAGAGAGTCGAGACTAAAAAAGATCAGGGCCGAGGTCAGGTCCCGGCCTGCAAGTTGCAACTCTACAACAGACCACGAGCGCCGTGGGCCACAGCACTACCACAGCACTACCCCGTATGCCATGCCGACCCACGCAAGCCACGGACACATGGCTGTGGGTGAACCCGGCGCTTTGGTGATGGCGGGTCGACCATTCCAGCCTGGCCGCACATGGCGTGCCGGGGAACACGCCCAGGCTCAACAGGCACTCAACTCTCATCACTGGCAGGCCTGGCAGGCCTGGCAGGCCCCCCTCGGAGACTCGGAGAGCACAACACACGGGCCCTGGCGTTGACCATCTCATTTCGTGTTCCCCAGTACCCTGGGTACTCCGTCGGGCCCGGTCGCCAGAGGAGCAGCCACACTCCTACACACCCACGTCGGCCTGTGCAGGCTGGCAGGCTGGGGCAGCACTGAGCAGTGACAAGAGTGACAACAGGGTTGAGGGTGCGCTCTGTCCCGTCGGCCCATTCCATGCCCTCACCACTCTCTCTGTTTACTAGTGTTCACCTTGGTCCAGCTGAGGCCGACAATGCCTGACTTTCCGCCTCGCAGTCTCTGTCCAATCTCAGTCACTGCCCAGACCTGCTAGCAACGGACCGAGGTCACCGTGACAGCCACGCATCCGGTCCAAGCCTGCCAGCCTGCCTGCGGCTTTTAATCACGACTTGCTTGGGTGTCCTTCAGCTATCCTTGTTGGGACAGCTGTGGCTCCAACTTTGATCTGCCGGTACCAGAGCCCAACAACATCAACGCTCGGAGGGCGGAGTACCGGCCACCAAACCACTTGCCGGGCCCATTCCGTGACACAGACATCACGTCCAACAAGTGCCGCAGTACACCACAAAATTTCAACAAGCTCCTCCTGGTAGATCGTAATAGTCTGCCGCTGCTGGGCCCCGGTACTTGGTTCCGGCACAACGTCGGACAAGCTCTAGACTCTTGCCTGCGGGATACGCTGCTCCCTGGGCCACGCGGTAGACTTCCGTCTGGCCAAGTCGGGGGCTGTTCGGATCCACTGGTCAGCAAACCCCCAGTCTTGTCCCTTGTCGCCTCTCGGAGACTTGTTCCAGTCACCACACGGGAAGTTCCACTCGGCCCTGGCTACAGGACCTGAGGCCCTGCGTGCTATTGCAGATATGTTCCACATACAGTATTGCATGGTGCCGTGCACTGTGGTGGTGCTTGCGCCGGCACCTTGCCAGCTTGCCAGCTTTCCCGCATCCCCCCGTGCATGGGAAAAGCCAAGTCGGAGCAGTTGCGTGTAGAGTGGGTCCCGACCAACCCAACTCCCACCCCTTACCAGATGCATACAGCCACGGGGTCTGCCACAGCCAGGGAGCCGGGAAGCAGCCTCAAATTGGCCAAATGTCCATGGTAGCCTCGTAGAAACACGCGCCAGCAGCACGAAATGCCCGTCAAGCGCAATGGATTCCTTTCAGAGCTGGCGGCGCCGCCATCTGACGCCACGCGTTTGAGATACCTGCGCCCATGCCTTGTCGAGGTGCCTGCCACCCCTTCATTCCTGCACTACGGGTCGCCAACAGGGAGAGGGCAGCCGTTGCGCCAGCAGTGAGCACGGCCAGCTGTGTACTTTTCGACGCCACTTTCGGGCACGGTGCCGCCAATGCCCTACGCGGGAGATCGCGTGGAATCCCCTCCCTCCCCCCCCCCCACACCACGGACAGCAACTGTCAGGTCAGCCACGCCGGACAGTCTGGTAGGCAGTACTCCGCCCGACACGTCCAGGGAGGCATACGCCGAGGGCAGTGCTGCCACAGAAGACTCGGCGACGTCGCCAAACACCCCTGACCTCTCAATCTCGAGTCGTGTGGGACTCTGCGTTGCCGAACTCCTGCCTTGTTTCATTGATCGAAGCGAGGAGGATCTGGGTCCATTCCACACGACCACAGCACGCACAGCCATGCCCGTTCTAAGGAGACTCGACCCGGCAGTGGGGAAAATTCGCCGGTGCGGCGTCGCTGTCAGTAAAATTCCCGATCTCTGGGTCCGCCAATCGCTAGCAAGCCATAGCACAGAGCTATGGTACCTGGTACCGATGCGGTCCGGTAAACAACAAGCTCGGTCAGATTCTCACACCACAGGCCAGCGGGGCATATACGTGGTGTCCGGGCTGGCCAACGCCCCTTGCCGCGCAGGACAATTCGCACGGGGTTTGGATGAAAGCTTTGACATTGATGGCAAACGCATAACATGTGCCGAACCGAGCAGGAACCTTGTTAAGGCGATTAATAGACTAGCAGTACTAACACGATTTCGGCGACCAGGCCGACAATTTCTCCAGCAAGCAACGGCGCAAGTCATCAACGGCCACCACGGGTAACGCACGGAGGGTCGCGGCTACAACCATGTACTTGCACAGGTACCTGGTGTAGTCCAGCCTTGGACCGACATTCCACACGTCTGACACCATTTTCTAACTAATAGGAACGCAACGCTGGCGGCGCATGCGCCTGCAGGGTTCAGGTCCGCCTATTCAAGCTTCCGTGGTAGCCATTCACGAGCACCCATTCAGAGCGGCAGCCGAAGCACACCCTGTGAAGGGGTCTCCTGGTCGCATGAACATGATTTCGGCACCCCTCTAGCTCGCCATCAGTTGAAACCTTGTCATAATTAGAAGCGTGGCACCCACATGCCAGAAAAGGGGTAGGAAGCCGCATGGCACCTAACGTTTGGATACTCCAGGACGTTCATCAGTCTTGAGTGTAACATCCTGCAACGCCATGAAGTATCGCCGCCTGGCCAGCCAACTACACGCTCACTTGATTGTACAATATCTCCCAGTGAGCAAAAGCACCGTGGGGACTGCCCCCACCCGCTGATCTATATACAAACCTAGGCTGGCCCGGCGGCCGGGCAATCAACTCGCCAAGTGGTGGGCAATTCTTAGTTGTCCGGAAGCGACACTATACTGTTTCCCCAGGGCTGGGACTTGCGGGAAAGTGGCCGGCTTGTTACCGGCGGGAATGCAGCAATGAAGACCCATGCCTTAATTGCACGCCTGTATCAACGCAGCGGCCACTTCGACTTCAGACGCTGAGCTATGGGGAACAGGGGCTTGCTCTGGGGTCCATGACTAGCAGGCACACAGGTCGTAGCAGAAACCGCCTGCCCACAGCCCCTTGGGCCACGAAACACGCCAGCAATGCCGGTTGTTGAACATCACTCAAGATCTCTCGGTTTGCCCTAGCCACTGTGCGCCAGGGGGACCTCGTCAGGTGGGCCTAGAGGATTCGTCTCTCCAGAGAATTCTTCCGATTCAGCGTTAACACGCGGAGAGCCCCGGCAAGCTGCAACCCCTGACCGGATGGACCACGCAGAGTCGGAGAGGGCATGCATAGTGCCTGCTGCGCAGTACTACGTACGTACTGGCAGGGTAGCAGTACGTACCGAGACAGCTCCTCCCTCCACATCGATCTCCACTTACAGGCCCCAACTTGTCATGGCAAGTCAAAGTCAAGCTTGCATGGATTCACGGAGATCTCCTTGCACTCCCTCTCAGGCCGAGCTAAGTTGACCTTGGAGCCATACTTGTCGACGTTTCTTTCGACATACTAGTAGACGTCTCCTCCTCTAGTCACCCCCATAGGCCTAGACTTTTCCCTTCCCTTGTCTTGTCATCACCTGCACAAGCCCTGTCTCCTGTGCTTGCATGTCCCTCGATCCTCATCGGCAGGATCCTCTTTTTGTTTGCCGACTCAATCCGGACCTGATTCTAGTCTGCTCAGCTCTGCAACTTGGCGGTCCGGTGGCACTGACCTGCATCTTTCGTACGGAAGCCTGCGAGATTAGCCGCGGATATTGTGTTGCCAAACGTCAGTCTCTCGCCCAACTCCTCTACACACAGAAGGCGCTGCCAGGTACCTCCTTCGGCAACGTGGAGCGAAATTCCAAGCCAGAGGGGCAGCCGCATATCAGCAGATGCAGCACTGCGCTTTCTCGACGTGCTCCACGACGGGCTGTGTCCTATCCGATCCCACTGTGAAATAGAAATATTCACGGGGCGAAGGGGAAGTCTGCCGAGCGAGCTGTATGACACCACGGACCAGAACGCATCGGGGTTGCACAGAAACTGCAGCACTGCGAAGTTGCCGCCAAAGAGGACACCTACCTGTGCCCTGACGAATTGGGGTGGAGAATACTTGAGACATCTCCGCGTTGCCCATTCTGACCGACTTGGTAGATAACGACCAGTTCTTACGTGTTCCAGGCCAGACGTGGTCTCGACTTGGTAGTCGTGGAGGGAGGCTGGTAGATGGGGATCAAGTCCGCCGCCTATTCGCGACCTGAGCTCATCTACAGTCCGTCCTTTGGTCCGGCCGACCAAAGATAGAAGACAAGAAGACTTACCCCAGGAATTCTACTCTGCATGTTTCTCGACAGAAAGCTCCCCGGAATCTCACCTATTGGGGAGCTTGTGGGGTCCTTGCCGCACAAGACCAGAAGTCACTGGACTCTAGACTCGTCGAACATGGCAGCCGCGTCACACAGCCAATACCCTCGATCTCCCAACCCTTCCACAAGGTCATACGACTCTTCGTCAGTATCTTCTGCAACTTCTCCAGCGCCTCCTACCCAGTACTTGGGCGGCTTGATGAGCACAAGTGCGAGGTCGAACCCGGCGCCAGCACCACACCCCATCGGTATTCCCCCATTGCCCCCGGTTCATCAGCATTCGTCCTTCCAGCCGTATACTCCAGTCACCGCGACGACCATGATCGGGCGGGATTCTTTACCGTCGAACGAGTCCGTTGCCAGCACGCCCGGAACAGCCAATGCACAGCTCCCACCAACCTCTGCCAGCAGTAGCAATGTGCAGCAAAAGCGGGCCTACCGGCAGAGGAGAAAAGACCCCAGCTGTGACGCCTGCCGAGAGCGTAAGGTCAAGTGCGACGCGACGGAGACGACCAGCTGTTCTGAGTGCTCTAGCCGCAATGTCAAATGCCAGTTCACCAAGGAGACGAACCGCCGCATGTCGTCCATCAAGCAAGTACAGGATCTCGAGAAACAGATAGAACGCGTCCGCAGGGAGAACAACAGCCTCCGACGCATGATCTCAGAAAAGGATGGACAGCTGGATGTGGACGCTGAGGGCATCGAGCAGCTACCCCTTCAGCTTCCCAGCATAGGAGCGGAACCGAAGAGGAGGAAGCGCCCAGCGCCCATGCATGACCTCTCCAGGGCGCGATCGAATTTGTTGAGTATCTCGAAAGGCGTCTGGAAGCCGCCAGCACAGTACCGCAACTCTCTGACCGCGACACTATTCGACGCCCAACGGCCCGAGTTGCCACCGATACAGGCGACGAAGCAGCTCCTTGATAGCTACTTTACTTCTACGCACAGCATGTTTCCAATACTCCACTGGCGCACTTTCGAGCAGGGCATTGAGGACATGTACAGGGCGGCAAGCTTACAGAGTGTTCCTCTGTCGTTCATGTCCATGTTCTTCGCCGTTCTGGCAGTCGGCAGTCTGTTTACACCTGAAGCACCAAGCGAGCGGTCATACCGCGGCTCCGAACTCCTTGAAATGTCACGGAAGCTGGTCGATCCATGGAACAACAACTTTGTGCTCGATGATGCGCGAACGCTAACTTTGCAATCAATCTTCCTCAGCGAGATGAACCTTAAATCCGCAGCGTGGAACTGTCTAGGGAATGCCGTCCGAGTTGCGCAAGACATTGGGCTGTACTCCGAATCAGGGCCGTGGCCGGTCATAGAGGGAGAAATGCGTCGACGAGCTTGGTGGACGATCTACATCCTTGACCGCAGCCTCTCCGTGGAGCTCGGCAGACCACTTCTCATCGACGATTCCGACTGCGACGTGTCTCTTCCCGCAGGCGTCGACGACGCTTACATCCACGACGGCGGGATGACCGTCCCTGCGGGAGCCGAGCCCCTGACGAACTCCCTTCTCGCCCTCATCAACGTAGTGCGATCGTACGGTGCCCTTCACAAGGCTCTCGCCTCCCCAGTGGTGGCACCAACCCGGCTCGCAACTTTCGACTCGCACTTCGCATCCTGCCTGCGCACCTTTCCACCAGCATGCGATCCTTCGTCCCAGGTTCCATTAAGCCCTCACCTCCTCAATCCCTTAATCTACCTACTGCACGCTCGCCTTCTCCTCCACAGGCACAACCTCACGCCCAGCTGCCCATCCGACGTCCGAACCTCGGCGATTGAGCAGTGCACCCACACAGCACTGGAGACCGCCTCTCTCATCACCCGAACAACACCTCAGCTCCCCGACGGGGCCACTTCTCTGCTCGCTATGCATCTGTTTCGCTGCACACTGTTCCTCTTACTTGCAGGATATTTGGATGCAGCCACAGCCTGTATTCGCGCACTGGCTGCCATCGGTACACGGCGGGATGTCACTGCGCCGTGTGGGCGTTTTCTGTCGTTCTTCGCAGCAGTCCTAGCAGGAAAGAAGACGGAGTATGCGGCCTACATAGCCAGGAGCAGTCCACAGTCGCTCGCACAGCCGCCCCCTGCTTCTGGGAGGGCACAGCCTAGCCCGTTGCAAGATGCGCTTCTGAGGGATGAGGAACTACTTGTGTATGTCAGTGCGGATCTTCAGGCTGGCCCGGAGACGGGTTGGGTCTGGGTGGGCGGCGAAAGGGATGCGCAGGCACAGCAGTCTCCCAGCCCTGGACTGGTACGGAGCAGTGCGTCTGGGAGCGGAAAGGGGGCTTTGTTCAGCTCGGAGGCCCGAACCGGGCTCAGTGAGGAGGAGAGCCGAGACTGGGGCGGATGGGAGAGAGTTGAAGGTCTGATTCGCGGCCTATCATCTGGGTCGACTACACCTACTGCACCGGCAAGCGGCGGGCCTTGGGCCCATGCACGTCCTGCCGTCCTGCCGCCGCCACCAGGACCGCCATTACAAGTCAAGATGGAACCAGGAATGGGCCAGGTGACTCAAGCGGCCGGTCCGAGTGGCGGGGGAGGTAGCAATGGCAACAGTCCCACGACGGGCAAGACGAAAAGTCAAGACAGAATTAGCATTGCGAACATCATCTGATCTCGCGGTACGAACAATTCGACGGCGACCAGAGCGAAGCACGACTACGACCATACAATCCTGTCTATCAGGTTGAATACACCCCCGCGCCGTTCCCTACATGTTGTGGCCATCTCGGACTTAGGATTCCTTGGGTTTACCGGGCAGAAGTTTTTACCAGACAAAGACCTTTTTCGAGACATATACCTATGCATTGCATGGAAGAATGTACGACTACGAGACGAGCCAGCAGATAAACGATACTTGGCTTTGAAAAATTGAATCCCTTTTCTCCAAGCGACCGACGTTCTTCTTAATCAGTGCGAATACCTATTACAAAACATCATATTCCTTGCTTGGGACGGATAATGGAGGAGAGGATGCGGATGCTTGGGCTTCGGCGTGCAGGATGAGCAACGACCAAATGCGTTTTACTAGCAGGGTAGATATTGCGCAAATCCGGCTTGGCTTGCGAGCGCGGCTGGGTCTGTTCCTCAGCAAGCTTGCCCTAGGACGATGTGGGACGAGAGCCTATTCTCACTATCGCGCGACCCGATCAGGCATACACAAGAAAGAGCTGGTGGCCTGGCCTGTGTTTGCGTATTGCACGGTTATTTGCTGGCAACCCGATGGTCCAATCCTCTCTCCCTCAACACCTCTACCGATGAAAATACGGCATAGTTTAAATCCTGTGCCTCGTCTCTGTTCGTTACCTGAGTCTGACGTGGAATCTGGCATGTGTCGGACTGGATCATCAACAGAGGACCTATTCTGTACTCTCTACTGGACCTTGCGACGAGTCTCGAGACGAAAGGGCTATGGTATCACCGCCCTGGATGAGCAAGGAGTGTGGGACATGGCCAGCGCACAGGAGGTGCTGATGCTACAAAGTGGCCTACTAGGGCTTGTACATTTCTTTCTATCTAGCAAGGGCTGTCGGCCTAATCCATAGTTGACAGTCTTCCCGCCTGAGTGTACATAAATTAAGACTGCGAACAGGGTACTATGGGGAGTTGGACCGGTGAAGGAAGACCTGAACGTGAAATGAAATAACCACACACACCTTGCCAAAGCATCACTTCTACAGTCCGCTGCGGACATTGATGACAATGAAGCACATGTACAAGCAATGCAGACCGCGTGCCGTCTGTGCAAATGCAGAAAATTCGTTCGGGGCCACAATGCCCAGCCCAGAGGACAGTCGCCTGTGCTCAGCGGACCACCTGAGGTCTCGGGATCCCGATGTGTGTCTGCGACGCACCGGGTCGGGTAGAAAGAACTGCTTGGTTCTTCTCCTCTCCCTTCCTGAGTATAGATCACACACGCGCGCAGTCCTGTCCCATCACCAGGCATGGTGAACCCGTCCTCGGGCACGAGAATCGGTATCGCGCGAGCTGTCACCACTACCGTGACATGGGCGGCACTTCCCCCATCACATCCGCCTGCCCCCTTTTCCTGGATGGAAGGCAAGGCACCCTTCACTCTATCGGCCGAGGACAGGGCGGAAGAAACATTCCAGATGCCCTGTCAACCTTACGCGTATGTTTGTGAATGGGGATGCCTCGCTCTCTCGCTCTCTCGTTCTCTCTTTCTCTTTCTCTCGCTCTCTCTCTCTCTTCTTTCCTTAAACAAACAATCACCGTGCGGCCGCCCCACCTCCCCGTACTTTTATTACCACCCTCCCATTTCCTTCCCGGCCGACAAATATAGTACCGGCGGCTGCGTGCGTCTGCCCAGCACAGTTTCAAGAAACTTGTGTTGTTGAGGAGCCCCGTGCAGAGCCTGGTTCCCTTGCCCCGGGTCGCACAACTATCTCCCCCTGGAGCCCTCCCTCCCATCTCCGTCCATCTCTTCCCCCCCCCCCCTCGGGAGCAAAAGCTACTTCCTTGATAACCCACCCCGCCTGCGGCCGCACCGTTACACGCCGTGCTACCATGACCTCCCAAATACGAAGTCTCGGTGAGGCTGATTCAAAACACCACACACAAGAACAAAGGGGGGTTGAGACTTCGGGAGTTGAGGGGGGAGGGGTGGTGAAAGGAAAAGTTAAGCTGCAAGCAATAGATAGGAGTGTCTAGGTGCTCCGGCTCCCGTGCAAGGGGGGTGTCGTTTGGGGGCGGCGCGTCCGCGTTAGGCATATGAGTGGTGGGCTACAGGGCCATAGGATGGTTGGGGGCCGAAAAGGAAGGGGTCCCTTGAAGCGCTCGCCCGAGTGTGCCTTGTCAGAGTCTCATTGGAAACAGCTGGGGTTGTTGAAGACCTATTATTGACTTTCGGCAGCTACCTGGGTATTACCCGACGGGTCTTGCTGGACGCTGTGCCCGTTCTCCGGTGCGAGCGTTTGAACCCAGCTCCTGGCCAGCTAGCTGACTTGTCTGATTTTCTCAGTGGTGTGCGGGCGAGGACTTGCATACTTGGATAGTCAGGTGTTTAGTCTTGTGACCTGGCACCTGAGTGCCTCGTGTAACGTTAGGTTAACGACAAAGTAGATGGGCGCACTTCTTATCTTCACAATCAAATCAATTGTATTCGTGTTGGTTTTTATCATTCACTACGTTACGCAAAAATTGTAATCCACCGCAAAACCTGATGGCCTCCCGATGACTTCCGCCTTCATTTTTTATGCGGCTCAATGAAACTTTGCAACAACGACTCAAGTGATCCTGGGCAGCAAACGCTGGCGATCATTAGCAGACAGCGTGTGTCTTGCCGTGCTTGCCCTGCAAACTGTGCTTCTCGTTCTGCAAATCATTAGATTAGTCTCGTCCTTGGCCAGATGATGTGTCCCTGCGTCTGTGTTGGGGTTGGAACATGGAATCTTTGATCGAATATCGATAACATAGGTATCATAGGGAATTTCACGGAAACAGTTGTTTGGAACATGTTTTCAATCTTGGAACACTTGCCTTGAACTTGGGATGATTGTGTGTGGATTCTCGGAGATGGTGCTTAGTTTTCTGATGACGTTCAACCTCGGCCTTGACCATTTTCTCAAGCAGACCCATGCACAGCTTGATATCTGCGATGAGGGATTCACAGCGGCCTGTAGAGTGGTGAGTCAGCAATCAAAGGATCCATGAGAGGAGCATTGGAAGGGGTGGACCGCAATGTGTCCACGGCCTGTCTTCAGAGTTCTGGCCTCACAAGAGACTGTTTGGAAGACTAGAGCTGGAAGAGGCTGTTTTTTGAGGGGATTGAGGTTGCTTCTGAAAGCTGCTTACTTCGGGTGAAGTCCTCTCTTACAACAACACGCAGCATTTTCAGGTTGTCGGTCTTTGGAGCCTGTTCGGGGGTCAGCTATGAAGAACCAAAGAAGCAGTTTCATGCAAATACGGCACAGACTTGGCCACAAGGTGGCCGAACCCCCCCCCCCCCAAGTCTTTTCTCGAAACGACCGGAAGGGCTATCGGTACAGATTATATCCTGAACTTGCTTACCATGGTGTACGCTGGTACGATCCAGGAACGCTGTCACACGTTAATTACTATTTGCGTTTCATTATCGACCCTGTGGATGCCATGATGATACGTACAACTCGAAGTTGATGTGCTAGGGCAAACTCGTCATAAGGCCTCTCCCCTTCGGTGTCCGGCGGCAGGCCTGCAATGTTCAGAGTCAGCTACAAAGAAACAAGAGAGTAGCCTCATAGAACTTTCAGGGGGGGGGTGGGATGACACTGTTTGGTCAGAACCTGTCACGCATCCAGCAGTGTGACAAATCTGTTGTGGCGCGGGCCACAAGTGCAAGAGGTTTCTCCTTGAAAGGATTGACGTGGTATCTGAAATCTGCTTACGGAAGGCCACCAACGGCAAACCTGCTCCACTCCCTTGGCTCATGATGATGAAGCCCAAGGCCTGAACGTGTGACGTTAGCCTTTCTGCGGGTCTCAAAGAGTTGCATTCTAGGTGAAAGACAGGGATTTGTGGGAGAAAGGCTTACTTGTAAATTTGAACTTAGATAGTCAGCTGTCAAAGTGAGGTTCTTCATGATCTGGGTGTAGCCTTTTATAACACACCGAAATCAGCGAAACAGCTCTCCAGGGCGGACGGTGTTTGCATTCCAAGGAAATTGACCATTCAATAGGCTCCAGTTGGCCAGGCTCGTCGTACGCTGAAACGAACTTGGGCCAAATGAACTCGTCCAGTCACACACCCAAAACATTGAATTCTGGTGATTCGGGGTCTTCATACCTTTCTTGCCCAGGCGAATGAGCTGGTAGTACTGTCCGATGACCTGCGATGCTCCTTTGGAGAAGTTCAGTGTGAACTGTATGTTACGTGTTAGCCACATGCTACACAGGCTCTGAGCTATTTGATTCGCGGTGAATCCATGGATCTGATGCTTGGTGATTTGACCGGCGAGAAAGAAAATTGGCACGTACAGACGATTGATCTGATCCTAGGTAGTTGATGTTGAACACAAGCTCCTGTGGCAAATGCTCGGCATCTCGCCTTTATCGAGGACATCAGTTCGAGATCTTCACCGTGTGGTCAATCAGGAGGTACAGCCTACCATATAACCCAGCCCACACCTTCGCCGAGGACGTTAGTTGGAATGTATACCACATGCTCAGCTCAGATTACGGCTTACCAGGGTAAACAAGTCCATATTTATGGCCTGACACGTTTATGGAGACGACCCTGGGAAGGCGGAAGTCCCACACAAGGTCTGGGTTCCTAAGTAAAGAGTGTTAGAGCCTATGGACGATATGGTAGACAGGAGAGTCCCAGACGTACACGAACGGCGCGACGAATCCGCCAGATGCCGCGTCGACATGTATGGGCGTCTCCAAGCCACGCTCAACCAGAAGATCATTGACGGCCTTGACATCCTCATACTCGCCCGTGTAAGTAGTTCCTAGGATGCAGCAGATACCGATGGTGTTCTCATCCCTGATGGTGACGTTAGTCCTGTTATTGGTTTTGGAATGTTGCAATCTAGAACATTTTAAAACATGGGAGTCGGGAACCCATGAAGGGGTGAAAAGTGAGACTTACACAAGGTCGACAGCTTGCTTGGGGTCGATAACATAGCGCTCCTCGGTGCAGTAGACCAGTCGTTCCTCTATCTCGAGATATCTGGTGGCTTTCTCCCAGCAGACTTGGACTGCACTATTCATCACTATGTTGGGATTCTCGGTACTTTTCCCCTCGGCCTTGCGCTTGTTCTTCCAGCGCCTCTTCATGGCCAGGACGCCTAGGATGATGGCTTCGGAAGAGCCCACGCAGCTTGTTCCGATGGCCTCTTCTCCATTTCCGACCGGAGCGTTAAAAAGACTTCCTATCATGTTAACGCAACGGTTCTGCATCTCGGCTGTCTTCGGGTACTCCTCGTAGTCTATGAAGTTCTTGGAGAGGGCGTCACTCATGAGCTTTTCGGCCTCGTCCTCCATGTAGGTGGTGACGAAGGAAGCAAGGCTTTTGCGGCATTTATTGTCAGTCCAAAACTCGCAAGCACGTTTGAGCAAGGCATGGGAGAAATCATTCAGGCGTACTTGAGCATGGGATTTCCGTCCAGTGACAACTCATCCTTGATCAAACGGTAGGCAGCTGACTCTATGATTCAGCCATCATCTCCAGGACACAAGTCTAGGGGTTAGTGGGTACCTTCTCTCGGCATTTCCCCGTCTGGTATCTCATAACGAGGCAGCTGATCGTGACGTTAGTCCTGGTACGGGGTTCTAAAGTGTTGCATTCTAGAAGGCAAGGCATGAAATACGAGCCCTGGAGGATCGGTGGCAGGTGGAAAGTAATGCTTACATCCTGGGTCGCGAACTTGGAGCCATAGACGGAGGTGGTGAAGTTGTCATTGTCCGTTGCTGCTTCAATATGGAGCTTCCTGACCTCCTTGGAAAGGTCGTCGCTCTCGTGGAGCTTGGAGTCGACCCTGCTGAGATGGACCATGTTGGGCAGTCGGCGGGACCTGAGGCAAGTATGAGGTTGGTAATTTCGAGACTGGTTTTGTGTTGAGCACGGGGAAAATGATGCAGGGCTCGCTTTTATGTCTGAAAGAAAGGTGATGTATTCCTCTGGGAGGCCGCCTTGGAGTGTCTGCGAGGCGAGTCAGCGTTCATGTCGCTCGGGAGAGTTGGGGGAGTTGGGGGCCTATGAAATGGGCTAATAAGTGGGGTGAGACGGTCACAGCAGTTCAGCTCGTCCAGGGCCCAAGTCGCCCAACATTTGCCAGTGAGGGGTTTAGCTGATCGAGTCAACGAGGAATCCCACTTACACGAGACGAGTGATCTTCAAACACTGGTACTGGCAAGAGAGGAGGCAGGAGAGGAGGTGGAAGTGGCGGGCAACGAGCTAATAAAGGGGCATCAGGAACGGCGGTAGCTTAGTAGGTGCAGTAACTGGGTTCACAGAGGGGAAACGCGGGACAGTGACAGGGGGTGATAGAAGCTCACACAGCTCCCTGCCCAGACTGACGTAACCGCGGGCGACTAATAGCACCGATTGTTACAGGCCAGGCCTGCATGGACGAAGGCCTCTCCACCGGTTGGTTCTGGTGGTCATGCTGCCACGCTGCCACGCTGCCATGCTTGGCCATTGACATGGCCCCACGTATGTGTCTCTAGTAGTACTGAGACGAGAGCCATGTCTCTTGGGAACAAGCACGCACTGCATGACAGCATGAAGCACGATCGCCAGGGGTTCTGTGGCTATCGCTTCCTAGGTTCGTCTCCCCCGCGCGGGAGCGGGACTCACCGAATCGGCTCTAGGCCCTAACTGACATGGCTGGGCAAAAAAGCTTGGTCTTTAGTCGAAGCAGGGATCCCGTAGATCCAACCTCGCCTGAACGGTTGAACCTCATCAAGCAAATAGCCTGGGGCACACTACCGGAACTCGGGGGCTGCGAGAGCTGACGAGTTACACAGCCGGCTCAACCCGCTGCCAGTCCGTCTTTGCACCAACTGCATTGGGAAATGGTGCTGGTGGATGGTCTTCCCAGTGCCTAAGTACCTAGGTATGTTTCCATCTTCCTCATACTCAAGTACCTAGGTACCTAGGTATATATTTGTGCCGGGCTGGCTCTCATATATCGGCTCCGTCCACGTGAGTGCGGATGCCCGATTGCGAGTGAATCATTTCGCTTCCTTCGACCACAACCCCTCGAGGTTGCAGCCCAAGTCAAGCCAACGCTGCCCCAATCCAAGTGAGTAACAACTGAGTGGGCAGTTGTCAGTGCCACGTCTCTAACCACATGCATCTACGCAGCCAACAGGCACCTCTCGATCTCAAGGAACTTGAGGCCGTTGTCTCTCGAGGCAAACTACAATCAAGTAGGTAAAATTCACATCCACAGTTGCCTTCCCCAGCAGTCTAACACATTGCAGGATGCCGTACGACGACGATTTTAGCGACGGCGAGCCGTAGATGCCCGCCACGGAGCTGCAGGTCGTCAACTTGGGCAGCGCCGAGCAGCCCAATGTTTTCTTTGGCACACAGGGTGGCATTGAGTCTTGGCGGGCCCTGACAGGACCACATCTTACCTACCTAGGTAACCCCAAGGAAGCGGAAGGTGGTGTTGTTACCCTCTGTATCGCAGTCGCTACACTGAGCAACGACATGGGCACTGTTACCAGGCAGCCTGCCAATAAGATGCGCGCGAGGAAGGCAATGGTCCAGAAGGCGACCAATCGCCCAAGGCAAGCCGGTCCTTCTCATTGCGTCCCGCCACGAAGCTGTGGATGCTTGCCTCAGAAGGGTAGAGGGCCTGTGCCAGACAAGCGGCATCGACTGTGTTATCGTCCGGGTCTTTGATGCCGCAGAGGACAAGAGCGCGTGCAAGCGAGTTCTTCGAGAGAGGGACGGTTGGCGTAACTTGCCATTCCGAGTACGCTCGAAGTGGCGTCCCCACCTATCGGTCGCTTTCTAGGTCGCGTACTATCTTGACATCGAACCTTCTCCCTGGACCGGTCAGCATCTCGACGCAACTACCTCGCCCCAGTGCTTCGCGGATGCCCTGGACATGGCCCGCCGACTCAACGGTGCACCAACAGACATGCCAGATGCAATGAAGTCTCGACTTCAGAACCTGTTTAACATCTATGTTGACCAATGCATTGACCACATATACCAGTCTGCACTGCTGGTTGCTGTGACGCCGTATGCTGCGTTGGGAAAGGTGGTCAAGTGGTTCACCCGCAATCGGGCGTCCGTGCTTGCTGTGGACGAGGCACACGTGATGCAGTGCGTGTTCAACCAGTCCACGTTCCTCTTCGCCTTCGATCCCCGGCAGCTCCCAGCCTTTAGTGCATCTAAAACCTCGCCAATGGTGCCAAGGGTTAACACGTACGAGAACCAGACCATCTCCTCCCTGGCCGAGCGCCTGTTCACTCTCGAGTGGCCTATCATCTCAATGGACCAGCAGTTCCGGGTGCTGCCTGGCCTCTTTGACCCTGCACGCGAGGCCTTTTACGCACAGCGTAACATCGTGGACATCAGGGACCCTGGTGCCGATACTTCTGTCACTGCTGTTGTCGAGTCGTGGTTGGGGAAGAGAGGCGGCTCGCCGCCACCTTCTGGGAAGTTCTGGCCCGCCTTCTTAAACATCACTGGCACCAGATGTGAGAAGGTGACGGACTCCAAGTCTTCCATCAACCCGGAGATGTGGGAACAGTTCTTCTCGGTGCTGTGGTACGACTTGCTGAGGCCTAATGCAGAGTTTCGTATCGAGTGGAACAGGCTCTGCATCATCACGCCGTACCGAGCCACGACGAACTATATCAAGGACTACCTCCGCCGTCGAGGTCTCGAGCTCACCACATCCACTGTCGATCTATGGAAGGAGCCATCACCGATCGCGCATCCGAGCCAGGCTGGCTATGTAGCCGAGGCCATTCGGGCTCTGGTCCTCACCGAGGACTCTGTTGCGCCAGACAGAGAGGAACCGACAGTGCGGCTACATAATCCCATGAAGCTGGATTGTGCCACGATCGACTCGTACCAGGGACAAGAGAAGGACCTCGTGTTCTTCTTCAGCACAGTTTCCGCCTTGTCTGGGCCCAAGTTCGTGGCCAACGCCAACCGACTTTGTGTTGCGTTTACAAGGATGAGGCAGGCACTAATTGTGGTGGGAGACCCCGGTACTCGTACTCGTAATAAAAAGGATATTGCGGAATATGGCCAGCACCTCGATACTCGGGCGTTTAATGGCCTTTGGGGTTAGTTCCCCACAAATGAGCGTGTTGTGCGGATAGGAAAGTAGGGTTGGGACATCCGACGGAGATAGGACTATGGAGGGTGAATTTTTCAGCCCACAATGGGACAGTAGATAGGACTATAGTGTCAGACAGAGTTCTCGCACGCTACAGTAGCTAACACAACACTTTATTGTACTGTTTATGTGATTACTACACATAACTGGTTTCGCAACAACGACTGGTAATGCGACGATGGGCTCGAAGAAGGAGGGTTGCGAGTTCTGAATTGCACATCGATGGCGAGCTCAGTGCCAAATCATTGTGAGTTAGCAATTGGAGCGGTATTGTTGAAGGCCGACCCATAGAGTTAGCACAGAGGCAGACATCTCGAAACCAGCCGAGCTTCTTGGGAAGAATAGAATGACCACGTGCGAGATTCGAAACATGGACTTTTCTGAACAATAGGTTAATTTTCGCATGCCTCGTGTCAAACATACTATAGAGTAGAGTGTATCAGACGGGGTTTTATGGTCTGAAGATCTATTTCATTGAACAATCGACTACCAAGGTTGACTTAGATTCCTCACAGCTGAGTTCCCTTCCCACCACTGGGCTGAAAGAACAGGGGCAGACCCGTTATCATTCCGTGCGTCTACTAATTGAAAAGGGACCCTCTCTTAATTGGCATGTATCCCTGTTGCCACTTGTGCTGGTCCATATACCAAAATTGACCATCTTTGCTCTCTTTTACCTGTGGTGCGCTGGGAGGCACGAGGTCCCGAGGGTCCTCATTTGACCCACGAGGCTCATCAGACTTGGATGGAGCAGATGTTGTAAAGGCCCTCCCGTTGGCAGGGATTGAAGTCCTCTGACCTGGAACTCCTTGGCCTGGAGTAATTTGGGTTGATGCAAGTGGCCGTCCTGGGTGTACCGGGAGCGTCGTAGAGCCACTGGCAGTAGCGGGCGACGCCCTGTTGGTCTGGGCTGCCGCAGCGGTAGGAGCTGGGGCAGCTTCGCCGGGTGCTCTCGATGATGTGGCCGTTGAGGCTGCCTGGGGAGGCCGACTGGTATTGAGGGGTGCTGCCGTGGGCGGCTTGGAGGCCTGCCCACCGGATACAACCCTTCCACCAGCCTGTGGTGCCGTGGCCGTGGCTGCTGCGGCTTTCTTGGCCTTTGAGGCAGCAATCTGTTGAGCGGTAGCGGTAGCGGTAGTGATAGTGTTGGGAGCCATATTGGTTTGAGAAGATCAAGTGATTTGTTGGATGGATTGGAACGAAGATATTTGAAAGTCACAGGCAATGTTCACCGCAAGATCTCGAATGGCTGTGAGATGATGAAGCTGAGAAGATGGTTTGGTGATTGGTTGTGTTTTCAAGTTATTTGATATAGAAGAATGGCAAACATGATTCACCCAGGACTGCAATGAGTTTAAAGTAAATGTATTGCCATGATCGCCCAGTTAATTATGGCTACTACTGTTTCTTTCGCGGACCAACAAGTCCCAAATGTTTCTATTTCGAGCTAGCCAGGTCCTCTGGCGGCCTTGATATGATCCATGTCCAGGTCCAAGTTGGGTGGTCGGTCGACCTGATTTCGCAGCATCCTCCAGCAGGTAGGTGTGGCACGGCTGGATTACATCTCGCTGATAACTGGTCGAGGCCTCGAGCGACAAGGGTCTCTGTGGTCGCCAGGTCTTAAAATAGGACAACCTAAGAATGGAGCAAACCATTTTGTGTTGGTGACAGGCCCACCCGAAATGTATCCACAGAGGTTGACCATATCAGGCTTCTGGGTCTGCCCTTGTGGGCCCTGAAACACGGTCAATAGTAAGGTCTGGCGTAGTTTCTAGGGCATCACTGCCAAAGCTGGGGGGGCTGGGTCTTCCAGTCACGAGGCCTGTTTTCGATGAGCGGCATGTAGACGAGACGTGAGAATTTCTGAGGTTGGGCCGCCTGCCGTCCAAGTCCCATGCCACGCTTGCTGCATTTAGACCACTGAAGGTCCACGAAATTGCATCCCACCACTTTCAGGTTAGTAGGCTTTTGAACGTCGTGCATTATTTATCCTTGTGGTGCACGAAAATTAGGGTATGGGCAAATGCTCAAGAGATTTCACGCATCCGGCTGATATGACTGTCATAATAATTGCACTCAAGGGGGTATTGTACAATATATTCAAGCCCTTGGAAAATCTGGAATTGGAATTGCTAGTCCTAATATGCTAGTATCAAGAACGTGCCCCTTTTTCAGGGCAGGTTCATAAGCCCCATTTATATGTGGTTTCGCTTCTATTCCGTATACGTCCGAGGACATACATGGCGCCTTCATACGGTGGTAAGCACTCAAGACATAAGCCCCATTTATATGACAACATCCTGATCAACCTTGTCAGGGTCTATCAGTTGATCTAACCCTGTGTGTGACTCTATGGAGACTTTCAAACGCTATTCTTCTCGGAATCAGCCAATTTTTGACTCACTTCATCTCTCATATGCCCTGTGATAGGAAGGTAAAGGCCTTTCGTATCATGCCCACAGAACCTCTCTATCAGCCAATCCTGTTGAACCTTGCCATCTTTCCACGTGTCAGGCACCCAGCCAGCAACATCCTCCCACAGATATTGGCTCCAGAAAATCTCAGTTGGGTTAGGTGGCAGGCGATCGAGCTGCTCGGGTGATAATTGCCGTACGTTTGCATTGTTATAGTCGATGAGCACAATCCGGGGGAGGAAAATACCACCGATCTTTTCTGATTGCATTGGCGCGAGAAGGATGTTGCGTCCCGCAAAGTCGCTTTGGTCAACTCCGCCCTTGATTTGTTGAACGTGCGCGTCCATCGCTCGTGCGAGCACCTCCAGTCGGTACTCTTCAGGGTAATGAAATGCGTCTTTGCCCGCTGCTCGACTATAGGTGTTTTGGATACGACTGTCTCGGATAGTGACTCCGTTAATTCGTTCCATCAAGATCAAACGTACAGGTCTTGATGTCGATGATCCTTTGAAAACAATAGGAAGAGTGAATGTCCATGATCCATAGTATTTGGGGGCAGAAGAACCAGTGTAGCCGGTTTGCTCAAGTATCTCGTAAGCGTATGTCTCAACCGCATAGTCCTGATCGGCTTCGTCCACGCAGTCTCGTGGATAATAGCCCATGCTGTGCTCAAAGTTGTAGTAGAGCGGGTCGTATATCTTGGCAGTTGCTTCAAAGGGCTCTGAATCTCCATCCAAGGGGGTGACTGTGCATGCGACAATCTGGGCACCTCGAGCAGCCCCGATGGCGATGCTTGAAGTGATGGCCAGCTCGGCCTGACTCGAAGAATCTTCAAGACCGTCGACAGGTGGATTGGCAACAACCGCCTCGCTATGGGTTACGGTTTCCAGATACTCTTCGCTGAGTGTGGGTCGCTCTTGGAATCCTGATTGTTCACCCTCTGAAGGTGGCGCATGTCGAGATATCCGGACGGAAAATCCAGGGAGATACGGGAGCCTCGGCCTGTCGGGATCCTCAGGAGCGTGCCAGTGATTGAATCCGCCCATTTTATAACTTTGGGTTGCTCTCCTGATATGTTGTTGTGTTGTAGAAGTCAACGAGTGGTCTAATAGTGGTGGTTGTAAGTGATGACTAAATGATTGTTAGGCGGTATGTGGTTAGGTGTACTCTGAGGGAATCTGAGTGTTGGCGAAACAGTCAAAATAGCGCTTATGGACGTTGTAGAGTGGAAAACCAGCCTGTTATTACACAGCACGGATATGATGCAGTGAGAAGTCGATGAAATCGGGGTGGCAAGATTGAGCATGTTGGCTCGGATGCGATGAAATGGCGCATTTCGCATTTACCATGTGCCGCCGCATGATGAAGGCTGTCTGTTGGGAGGCTGGGGTGGAGTGGGTCTGGTCATTTCACGGGCCGCATTCAGTCTGGCGGCTGTGGATGTCCCTGGCCTTGAATTGACCAGGAAAGTGGATTTATCAGCCATATTTAGTTGTGAAATCCACTCTGGTCACACAAGCCCTGGACCGTGAAGGCTCACCATATCCAGCGCCGTTGGCTGCAGGCTAAATCAAGTACAATCTCAAGATTGGTGGGCTTTTGTAGGCCCTCATGTGGAGTCATCCGTGGATGGTGATGTGCCTCGAAGCCACAGGAAGGAGCTGCGGCTCGGGAGGCACAACAGCCTAGCACAATATTGCGCCGGATGTGGAGTTGTCAACCGCCAAATTTTGCCTCAACTTCGGGTCAAGATCACTATTTTCAGCGCAATATTGAACGAATTCTGGGTCATCACTTAGGCCCGTGGAGAATGAAAGAGAATGACCAAGCAAAACCAAGCGACCCGCTTTGGTCGCCGGAGCAGGTCATCTTCTCCCTTCGTACTGGCCGAGCATAATGCCTCGGCAACATAGACTGAAGATGTGGTCTGAAGTAGACCAACCGCGTTGACCAGTATCTGTCAGAGACTACAGAGAACCCTGGGGCCAAGGCCTCTGACCACAGGCCAGTCGCGAAGCTGTGGGTCCGAAGGAGAGGTGATTGTTACCGGCCACGGTGAGTACAATCATCAGCTTAAATACTCGACATGGCCTCTTGTTCCGTTCCTTAACCACATGACTCCAATACTATCAAATATTTGACCACACCCTGATATCTCATCCAAACCTCATTGCAAAGCTCGATCGAATCGAACACTGTTTAGCTTTTCAGCCACCCTCCTATTCTCTACCAAGCACTCGATCCAAGCGAACAACTCATCATGTCTGCTCTAGCCGCGCCAGTCTCAATTTTTGACTCTCTTGCGAAACCGCTGCCCAATTTTGAGAACACGCCTACCAGTGACAAAGATCCCCGAGTCGATGAAGGGGCCATTAGCACGCAGGTAATGCCACCTCCGAAAATTGCTATACCTCGCCGTGCAGACATCCGCTGGCACATTTTGGGTGCAAAGGACCTCGACCCTCGGAGCATAGGCTTCAGTGCATCCCTGGCAGGGCAAATGGCGAATTTGAAGCCAACGGACAAATGGGCTGCCGAAACTCTCGAACACGCCAAAGCCTTCCGCGACAAGAAGTTCTTTATTCCGGAGAAAGAAGACACCATCACCCACTCGAACGAAGCAGACGTCGTTCGAAGTGCTGGACTGTACCTGATACACCCTGTGATGCAAGCAATTTCAGCACATCCGCGATACTATCACCAAATCATATCCCAGGCCGAGGATTATGGGTCAAAGACACGCACGGATATGACCTTTTATTTTCCTTTAAAGACTGGCAGCGCACCAAACGAAAAACGCCGAGCTTTCGCCGTGGTTGAGTATAAGAAACGCGAAGCATTTAACCCTTCGGGCTTTGACCATGCCCAAAAGATCGATCAGCATATGCCACAGGCTTGGAGAGCAAATACAGCAGACAAAATTGGCGATATTCTTGAGCCGTATGAAAGTGGCAGTGCAGGTCAAGCTCGGCACAAAATTGCGAATGATACTTTCCTTGAACTTGTCAAAGCGTGCGGCCTGTCAACGGACAATGCTGCCAGTACCCTCTTTTCAAGCTCCGAGGAAAACCTAATAAAGCAGGCGGCCTCGTACTCGATCACATATCGTGTCAGGTATGTTGTGCTGTTTAATTACGATTGTATGGTGTTGTGTTATTTTCCTTGGCTGGACTTTTCCAAAACAAAGAAACAAAACGAACAGGAGTATCGGTTCAGACGGGATACTAGGCATCAAATGGGGAATCCGGCAAAGACGTATCCCGTCGAAGTTGACATCTATACCAGAGCTGACGAACAGTACTGGAGGCTTGCACTTATGTCTTTTATGCAGCATGCATGGGAAGAGACCAAGCCATATGTTGCCTAGGCATCGCGAGGGCTGGGGTGCAGAGAAGGATGTGCATTGGAAGATCAACAGCCGATGTTGTTCTTGAGACCTAAAAGAAGGCCATGTATTTAATCTCCGTCTACTCTTCATTGAATCGAAGACTGTCGTTGCACCCCCATAAATACTATTGGAGTAAAGTGCGGAAGAGACGCCTCGTCAACCCAAGCTCAAACTTATGGATACATGCTCCCAAGCGCAATACCTAGGTAGCGTGGGCGTGCTTTAGTGTGTCGGGTAACGCAAGGCGAAAGATGGCGGGGTACGAAGCATGTTAACCAACATCTTGTCTTGGCATTTGTAGATATCAGCATGCTGCATTCCTTCTAATGCCTGCGCCCCTTGTTCAAACGAGGTATTGGTCGTCAACTTGAATTCGAAGGTTGGAAGGACAACTGAGGCATGAAAGCATCATTTCTTGTTGCCAAAGGCGGCAGAGGTTATCATCCTCACTCTTTGCTATGATGTCGCGACTGGGCTGGCTCTATATTCTAGTTGTTATCTATTTTACCCTAGTTATTGCACACTTCGGTACTAGAACAAGGTGAGTGCAGCAACACCTGTACAGCTGTCAGAAATGACTATTGCTCGTGACAGGTACTGGGCCCCTTTTGCTTGCACAGCAGCACTTCAATACCCGGGTACCCATCCTTTTGGCCACTTGCACGTCCAGATGGAACCACAGCCGAGGTTCCCTTCTATTGGTTTGTGTGGTTTCGCTTCTATTCCGTATACGTCCGAGGACATACATAGCGCCTTCATACGGTGGTGAGCACTCAAGACCCAGCGCTTGGAAAGAATACGGTGTCGATAACTGTAGTTATAATACGATAGATGCTTGTGGCCTCAGCCTTGCGACGCACCTTCTATTGGTTTATATGTGTTTTCCGGTTATTGGCTTTGACGGAAGCTTTGCACCTTTTTGACATCAGTTTTCTTGCTTTTCACACCCAAGCTTTAGTGAATACCCCTTATATTTAAGCTTCATTTATGTTAGTATCCAGTGTGTATTTGAATCCCGAGTATAAGTTTGGATACCAAGTCTGTTCAAAGTTCCTCAATGTTCCTTGACATACTTTTGAGACAAACTAACACCGACGGCAACTTTTGAATACTCTTTACACAATTCTCAAGAGGACAAGGGTTGTTCGAAAGCCTGCATTGGTTCTGAACGTCTATTTGAGGTATGTGGTTTCGCTTCTATTCCGTATACGTCCGAGGACATACATGGCGCCTTCATACGGTGGTAAGCACTCAAGACCCAGCGCTTGGAAAGAACACAATGCCGATAACAATAGTTATAATACGATAGGTGTCCGCAAAACTATGTACTGGACAACCAAGAATGTGGGACGGCTCCCCCAGGCTGCTTGATAGGGGATTCTGCGCTTTCTAAGCCCCCTGCTTTCGTTCCCATCGACCTCCAGGTCGTCGTGCTTCAGAATCTGTGTGGCCGAACAACTCCAAACTACGACAGGGCCCAGAACTGCTTGGAGACTACGTAATCATCGTCCCTCAGCTTGAATCTTGCCCGCACTGTCCTTACAGAGCCTCCGTCCACGGAATCACGTGCGTAGGAACTTCCCTACAACTAATGGCATTCGAGCTAACGCGTATACAGTGCTCACCTCAAGAGCAAGCATCATGGCGAGTCTTTACCAGCTGTCATACGATGCTCCAAGCAAGGTGAGCTAGGCTGAAGCCAGGTATTCAAGGACGAGAGGGGCCGAATGCGTCACAGACAAGAATCCTGCAAGTTCTTGCCGCCGAAATTCTTCCAGTGCTGTTGCGGTGGAAAAGTCAAGCGTTGGGCAAACTTCGTTCAGAGCCACGGAGGTTGTGTCTCACGCACCGGAAGTCCCTATGGCTGCAATTGCGAGGCACATTTTGCGGATTTCAAGCGACTAGAGAGCCACTACCAAGAAAATCACAGAGGAAAGAAGGGGAGGCCCCTGAAGGGCCACTAGTGACCACAGAAGAGCAGATCACTGGGAAATGTGGCCTGCAAAAGGGGTTTGTGCTGATCAACGGCAATACGGCTGGGCGTCAGCCTTGTGATCGGTGCGATGATCTGATATATCTTGGCTTTCACTGGTCATATCTATCTCCACCTACCTAGGCAAGTACCGACATTTCGTTCTGTGACGAATCACATGGCTGTCGCCGAGACACATTTGTCACTTGCTTCAGCCCCCACGTGATCCGTCAAGGTCTTGAACAGGGGCGTGTCTGCAGCCAGCCAGACCGCTGATCCTCGTGACATCTTCTAGCAGCGAGGCACATGCATGAACGCTGAAGCATTCAATGTTGAGGTTGTCGCATTGTAGGACAGCATCCGAATACTGCCACTTGCCACTGTCTGAGAGCTTGCCAGATCTAGCAACTACGCCGCTCCATTTCGTCTCAGGGACTCGTCAAGTTTGCGAACATGTCGTCTTCCTCATTACGAACTTCTGGAGCATCATCCCTCTAGTGGCAGTGTTCAGGGGCGGGTGCCCTAGGTATCTGTGACAACCCGATCATGCTAGTAGAATCTAGCAAACCTAAACGTGCGTTTGAATGCATTATGAACATCCAAGCAATATGCAAAGGGCACATGAATTGCCTCACTAGGTCGACTATCGAAATAACTCTGCGGGTGCTCCCGTATGAACGGCGTGGCAATACTACCCTTGTACTACCGACAAAGAGGTGACAGGCCAGGTTAACCCCCCTCCATGTGACGACGAAAGGCAGCCCCCTTATTACTAAACGGGAAAACATGTGAAGAGCACCTGCAGCAGGAGCCACAGAAAATGCATGCCGAGAATGCGACCAAACGATGCGGTGAGGAATAGGAAAATGCAATACCACCCGTGCACCCCCCCCCCCCCTCTCAAAAGAAAAGCACCCCGGAGGCTCGCACGCATTAGTCCTGAACTTTAAAAGCATGCGCAGCATTTTCGAGGCAACGATGCCAGTTGCATGCTCACCTGCATAGGAACCTCGGTTCCGAGACCCCACAGGCAAGACCTCGGGAACCGATACAAGAAATACAAACAACAGAAGATCCCCGGCGATCTGCAGAGCTGCATTGTAGCAGGAGCAGCAAACACCGAAACTCTCTCGGCGCCAGACGCGAACGGTTCGGCCTGCCCTCGCCTACACCACCCCTGCTCTCTCCCAAACCATTCCATTCCATCCCCTGCACGGCGCCCTTGAAGACGGCGAACGATGGATGCATCATACGACCAATGACGCCCATCCCCGAACACCCCTCCCCCCCGAGTATTCCCAACCGGGGTCCTTTCACCCAAGGCAAGAAAGAGGAGACGGGACGAACAAGAAGATAATATAGAGAAACTATAACACACAATAATGGCCCAAATCCCGCAGGAGCGGCGGACGATGCGTTGCCCAGGACCAATAGTTATCAACCCTTAGTTGTTTGAAAGAGCCCTTACACATCCTTTGTATGATTATGTCTAAGCTGCCTAATACCTTGTTAGGTATTAGAGCTTTTGTGTATGCTAAGAGTATTTAGTAAGGGAGAATTCTCCCTATTAGTCTTGTAGAAGGCTAAGGGACTAGAGAATGTATTTCAGTTACTGAATTTAATTCCCTTCCATACGTCCCGCAGACACGGCAGATGTGGGCGACGGGCCTCCCTCCTCAAAGCGGCGTGACTTGCGGCGGGCATCCATCCAACAACAACAGCAGCAGCATGTGCATGGTTTCGGATTTCGGGGACGGCGGCGTCTCCGGCGGCGTCGCCGCCGCCGGCGGCGCCCGAGCCGAGCCGACGCATAATTCAGCACATGCACCTGTGGATGTACGTACCTAGGTAGTTACGCCTTGCGGGTGATTCGGCAAGGGAGGTTCGGGGAAAGCTTCGAAAACCTGCGTGGCCAGGTGACCGCCTTCACGATGCTAATATTAACTCGAGGCTCTTGTTACTCCGCCCTGGTGGAGTTCCATGGCATATTAGCGGTATTGCCGGCGTCCACGGGATGGATCATCGCCCTAGTTCTCCAAAGTATCTATCTGCGCGGTAGGTCAGCTGCAATGAAGCCAGGCCTGAGTGGCTTTCAGTGCTGACACATTGTCGACGACATGGGAAACAAGACTCGAGGCATTGCAAGAGACAAGAGGATAATATGTTCGTGTTGAAAGCCTAGAAAGTAAATGGCTCATCGAAAAGCAATAAACGCAGAAATGATGTCTTCACAGCCAGATGCGCAGAACTCCGATGCCATGCCATGCCCCCTTTCCTGCGCATTCTTTCCCTGGGTAAGTGATGTGAACCCCAATTCATGTTCCCCTTGGAAATACCATCATCATTATGAACCTGTTCCCGTCCTCCAAAATCGTGGGGTATAATGGTATACAATGGACAAAGTCGCCGTCCGGTATCAATATCGGTATCCCATACCTCGTTCCGCCGTCGATGATACAGTCGGCCGTAATTATCACCCTTTTTTGTTCTCAGTCACATTCGTGTCTCGTCCCGTCGAATTCTCGACACAGAAGCAGATTTCGCTAACTCTGGTTCGCGGCCGCGGTGGTTGTTGATGGTGAGCTGGTGCTGCCTGTCTGTTCAGAAGATCGCTGAACAGCTCTAGTCCTGATACGAAACTTTTCCCTAAGTCGGTTGGTAAGCCGGGACCGATCGCGACCCTCTTCCTCATTACTGGCAGATGACCCTGAGCGTTGCTCGGTCCGATATCGTCGGAGGACCTCGATGCGTTCCTCAACAGTGGCGTGCCGAAGCCGGTGCAGGTCGAATAGCCTGGATCGACGCCGGGAGGAGTTTGAAGGTTCTCCTGTGTCGTTGACATCAGCGCCTAGCGGCGGTGCCTCGCTGGTTTCATTTTGACCATCGTCACCACCCTCCGCTTGCTCCGGGCGTAGGTCAAGCCGACTGCGGGTGCTGTAGTTAGCAAAAAGAACACTCAGACAAGGTGCAGAGTCAGCTTACCAGAGTGGGCAGGTGCCTGACACATTGACCAGCCAAGGGTCGATGCAGGATGGGTGGAACTTGTGGTTGCATGGAAGTACGCGGACGTCCTCGCCGACAGTGAAGTCTTCTGTACAGATTGAGCAGCCCAGTCCTTCCTCGGTCTGGGTGCCACCACTTGTGTTTTCTGTGCCGTGCTGAGCAACACGGCTGGCCCCTGCGGCATCTGCCTCGGAGTCCGACCCGGTCCCGAGGGCGCCTGAGGCGGCGGGGGCGGGATGCACAGGAGAGTTGAGCGGACTCTCAGGAATAGTAGATAGGTGGCGGTTAGAGCCATTGTCCGGTGACTGACGATCGGCGGTGTTGCCCGCCGTCTGCCGTGACGAGGCGTTCTCGAGCTCAAGGTTGGGATCGGGTTTCGGTTGAGAGTCTCCGAACTTGACGATGGGTATGGTTTCAAGCACGGCACGGGCCAGGCCCTTGGCACGACTCTGCCTTGGCCTCCCGCCGAAGGCATTGCGGGGGCCGTATCTCTCGGGGTATCTATGCGCTCTTATAGCGCCGGTCGCGATGATGATGAGGAACAGGAGGGTGATGAGACCGGTGATGCTGTACAATATGCTCATGGCAACGGCCGAGTTGTTTCCGCCCTGCTGGCCAGCACTGTTGTCCTGTTGGGTTTCGGTGGCGTTGCCCGAGATCTGAGCCAGCACTGTCCCTTGTGACACATTGGCCATGCTTAAAGTCTGATTAGCTTCCACCTTGTCGGCCATGGTCAAGATGCGGTCGAATCTGAGGTTGCCGCCGGTCAGGCCACAGCACATGCCCTGTTGGCTGTACAGCAGGATTGCAGCTGGTTGTGGGACGTTGGCCATGAGGGCGTTCAGAACCGCGTTCGGGTCCAGATTGCCTTGGGTAGTTGCGTTTTGCTGGTCACAACACAAGTAGGGAATCACGTCCGAGCCACTGATATCGGCATAATTGTTCGCGTCCGCAGCAACCAACCTGCCCGTTATGTCGACTTTCTGGAGTCATGTAAGCAAGGGACAGAGCTCAAGGGCGAGCGCGCCGGGCGTGGTGTGGCTTACCCCTCGAACAAGCTCGGACTCGTTCAGACCAAGATTTGTTGTCAATGGAATGACAGTATAAGCCAATGGCACCGTATCATCAGATGCCCGAATCAGCAGCTGCATCTCGGAGTCCCGCTGCCAGTCGAGGACATTGAGCATTGTGTGGGTTCCAGCCATCTCGGACTCGGCGCAACGAACGCTGGCGATTGCCAGCGCAAGCGCGAAGGCCCAATGCCAACCCATCGTGCCCATCGTGCGAGGTCGTGAGCCAACGTGGGTTTCGGCGGCCCCGACGAACGATGTGATGATGATGTGGCGACGGCTCGGGACCAACTGTGTTGTCTGCGTGTAAACAGGTTGTCACATAGCGGTCTCGTGGTCGGCGATAAAGTGGCGTCACTCGGCAGAGTTACTAAGGGGGTTGGTGTGAGACGAGGACGAGAAGGACGAAATATATTTCGCCCGGGCGGAGGTGGCACGAGGTGAGACGAGGGCAGTGAACAAGTCAAGGCGACAGGCAGGCCGCAAGCTAGATGAGAGGGCAGAGGAGAGGGTGACTTGGGCGGTCTTGGTGGTGGCCAGGCTGGGTCTATGAGAGGCGGCTATGTTGGTGCCAAGATGGCTTGGGTTCTAGCTGAGAGCCAAATATCTGGGGACGAGGACCAGCGCGTTGGTGATGTGGGCCTGGGCACACGGCAGACAAGAGAAGCGAGCGGCGGGGGCGTCGGGACTGAGCGTGAGGCTGCGCGGCCGGCCAATGGGTCACGCGACGAAAAGAAAGAAAGTCAAAGCCAGCTTCGTGGTGTCGATGGCCCGGACGGTGCGGGATGTTGGGGGTGAGGCGAGGAGTTGAGGTGAGGTGAGGTGAGGTGAGCGATTGAGAGAGGCACCGAGGAGTGAGATGGGCTGAGCCGGGCCACAGGGCGCGCCAGCAAGGTTGAGACAAGACAGTCTATGGGCGATAGGGGAGCTCGGCATCAGAGAAGGTGGCTTGGCCTTGCCCGAATGTGCCGGATGTCGGACAGGAAAAGGCAGCTGACGCCAGGATGGGCCGGGAAGGCAGGGACTGGCTATAGCACAGGCGTCGTCGTTATGGCAGGGTATTTCCAAACAAGAGGCCACGAGGAGGCCAAAAGGAGGCCAGCAGTTTGTGATTGATGAACACAGTTCCGAGACAAGGTGCAGAAGGCGAGGGCGAGGGGCTTGCTGCGTTGTGTGGTACGGGAGTGCTGGTGGTGTTGGTGGTGGTGGTGGTGGTAGTGCTGCTGCTGCTGCTGCTCGCCTGCTTTGCTCTGTTACCACTCACTCACTCATCCACTCCCACACTCGCCCACTCACTGACTGACTGACTGCATTGAGGCGCTGGTTGGTTTGGTGGTTTTGTGGCAGGTCTGAGACGCCGTCAACGTTTTAGCGCGGTGGCTTCGTCAAAGCAAGCAGGCACATGCCCTGATCTGTCAGACCTGCCACAGAAACCAGTCCCGCGGTCGCAGTCACAGTCACAGTCGCACTTGCACTTGCACGTCGCAGTACAAAGGTACCACAACACGTCCAACACACTCACCCATCAAGATATGACCCTCCCATAGGTAAGTACCTAAAGTATTTAGTCCCGCCGTGTGGCATAATAGGGCGGTCGCTAGTCCAGAGCTGTCTTTTTTCTGGTTCCCCCATTTTGTGCCAAGCGCCGATGAGGGACAACTGATGACGCCTTGCCCAAAACTGCCAATCGCCCTGCAGCCCGCGCGTCTTCCCAAGCCTTGGCACCCGCTTCCCAGCTCGGCGGAATCGACATCGATCAGAGTTGGCCCGTCCTCATCGACGCCAAGCCAGGACAAGGCATTTTCATTCCACATTCCAGGGTTAGGACAACCACTGTAACGTCCATGTGTCAGGTCTCTTGTTTATTTATCTACTACATAGAATAGTACTCCGCATTCGAAATCGGACGGCCGAGCCCCTTGCCCTCCTGGGCATCCCCAACTGCTCCATCAGCCCATCCAACCGCCGACAGCCCTAGCCCCAGCCAGCCCGGCCCTAGCTAGCTTCTGGCCCTCTTCACCCTGTCTCGGGGTCTCCATGCTCTCGGAGCCTCCATGTGGCCCCTGAACGAACCGGCCCCAGCTACTCTCCAAACCAGTCAGTGCCCCCGACCGACGAGGTCGAGCGCGGCATTGGCAAAGAGCCGCAACACAAGCCAGCCGTCCAGCCGTCCAGCCGTCCAGCCACATCCATCTAGTCCAATTTTCTCGAGGCCGTACATGTGCAATATGCCCGTCCCGCCTTGCATGCCGGATAATAGTCCGAACAAACTGGAGATGCACCTCAAGGGTCGTCCTCAGGCGAGGCTAGTGTCGATGAGGCTCAAAATCTCACGGCATTGCACTGCATGGGGGACCCCATGTAGCAGGTTTTGAGCCTCACACGGCATCGGTTTGAGGTTGGAGGGGTGCATGCCGGGACACGCCGCTCCCAAGCCTGCCTCGACTGTCATCCTCCCATTTCTCGGACAAGAACACCGGGTCCCAGCGCCTGCGTGTAGGAGAATAAGACTGATCAACACCGCGCCCACTTCAGGCTGAAGCCTCTCCCGCCCTCCCAAGGACCAATCAATCAAAGACGTGATCCGGCACATCGCTTTTGCCAAGCAACATGTCTTCTAACCCCGTCTCATTCCCCGCAATAAAAAATTAAGAAACTCCCCTATTCTCCTACGCGGTACCGGTATGCGATCCGATGATGCCTCAGCCGCCTCAGGACTGGCGCTGTTTCTAGGCCATGCTCAAAGGGCGGATGGCATAAAGCACACCTGCGGAGGATGAATCCTGCCCCAGTGCTGCCCTGCGGCGATCGTCTCGTCGCAATTATGGCGCTTGGAGCTTGTGTGGGCATGGTCAAGACAAGACGTTGAGCGCCATGGCTGCTGGCTGGTCCGAACGGTGCGCAGCATATCGAAAAGCCCAGGCGTGATGGCCTCTGTGCCCTTCGAGAGAAGGATCGGGTGAAACCTCGTCAAAAGTCTTGCGAGCAGGGTTCGGACGTTTGGCCGCGCGGAATGGCACGGGAGCCGCGATCCACGAGTCCCTTAGAGGCAACTACGCCGAGGGCAAGCATTTCTCGGCTGCACGAGAAGCCGGCCTATTTATGAGGACTTGGGACGAAGCAGCCACTTCCAGTTTCTTTCTTGGTTGAGTATCACCAACACCATGCAACGTTGTCGTGGTCCTGGTCTACCGCGTCGCTGCGGGCCTGTCCGGGCCAGCAGCCGCATCAGATTTCCTCCATATCGCCCAGATCGTCCATCGCGGGAAAGTCGCCGATCTCCACCCTCTCGGGCCTAACAAAGACGCCATGCTTCATGCCCGAAGGCTCGCCCCAGTACCTGGCGCCGTTGATGCTGCCGTCGTTCTTTCCAACCGGCTCGTCAAGCTGGATGCCAACCCACGCACCTGAGCCGCTGGGGATCTCCTTCACGTCGCCCACGTACATGACGGTGCCTCTTCGCGTATCATCGCCTCCAACACGGCACCGCCTCCCAGTCTCGATGCCACGGTCGCGCACCTCCTGAGCGAAGGCCGCAATCTTGGCTTCCTCTCGGCTGGGGGCGTTGGGGTCGAATCGACCGAGCTTTTCAGATTTCTTCCAGGCGAGTACCGAGTCGGTCTTCTTGGCGTATTCCTCCTCCGGCATCACGTATTTCTCGACGCCGCTAGCATCTGTGTAGTTGGGCCTGGCACCAGGAGGCCGAGTGTCCAGAACCTAATTCGTGGTCAGCAATGTTCATAATGCGCCGTCAACCGGGGCTCAGGACGCTGGTAAGCTCGCCCGAGAAGACGCTGGCTGACAACTGTTTTGCGCAATGCTCAGGTCTCCCAGTACCATTGTAGATTGTCGTCACAGAGGCGCTTCTAAGAGGCACGAATCATGAGCGCGCGGAAATGCGACCAGCCCGGGCAACGTGACCATCGGTGAACCAAGACACTTGTTCATGGATGCACCAAGTGTGCAGCAACCACTCTCCTTCCTCTCCAGAGCGTTGACACCTGCGACTCATGCCGAAGTCCACGACACCGCCTCGACAAACCAACGAGCAAGGCAAGAATAGCCACCGCCCGGACCAACACAAGGGGTAGATACTCACGTGCAGTTCGGCATATGCAGTCAGATGGAACGTGCTCAGTTGTGTTGAGTCTTCATCGCTGGCCTCGATGGGAATACTTCCCTCAGCTGCGGTCTTGAGCAGGAGCCTCTGGGCTGAAGGAGGTATTCCAGTGACGGTTTCTAGCTTTGCCTTGAGTGTGCTGATTGGCCACGCCGGGGTGATACGGCGCTCTGCTGACGAGTTTTCGGAGACGACCAGAAGTGGAACGTCCGCCATTGTGCCTGTGTTAAACGGTAGTTGGTGATGTGATGCTTCGTGGCGTGTCCCGACACCGCCAAAAACACCACACAGTCGTGTGAAGCTGTAAGCTAGTATGTAGTCCGCCTATCGAACCAGACGTCTGTAGAAGATACGTAGATGCCGAGGCTCAGCTACTGGCTGGTGCCGACGTGCCGCGTGGGAAAGATGATGAGGGTATCAGGGCCCTGTTCAGCCTCACTCTGGGCAGTCAGTGCTTGTCAGTGCTGGTCACAGACCGGTTGGACCGTGCACCACATTATCTTATCAGCAGTTTGCTGTTTCCCCATGCCCCCCCTGTCAACTGCCAAACCTGGTGACCGGGTTCTCTCTGCCTGTCTGGACTCTGGACGTTGAACTTCCCAAACTTTGACACTGACACTGACAGTCAGTCAACCTGACTAACTGACTGACTTGTGTCTTGTCTTTTGCCACGGTCGTTGCAGGGTCACACCCGTGCCCTTTCTTCTTATGCATTCAGAGCCCGTCTTGTCACTGCTGCTAGCTTCAGACCCATCCCGCTGTGCGATACCACCGTAGTACGCACGATTTATCCTCGTTTGACAACACATACCCACGCTGTACCATCTGATCTTCGCGAGACAACGCCTCTCTACAGCCCCAAAACACGTCTGGGCCATATTGCGAGGGCGGTGACGCAGGGATCTGAGCGCCTCGGACTGACCGGCGTCCGCGACGTGGGTAGGCAGGCACGCTGGCAGAAGAAGGTCATTTGAAACCACTCAGCCATCCAGCCGGACAGCCATCCAGCCATTCAGTCACTCTGACTTTTGCTCGGCCGCCACGCCCACGGGTCACGCGGATGCTTAGCTGTCGCTGCGCAAACACAGTCGGCCGCCACCAATGACAATGGTCTGCATGCCGCATAGCTGGTGTCGAGGCCGTTTGCAGGCCCTGCATCTGAGCCCTTGTTGCGTCGTGGCGACACGACGTTGACGCCGCTGCAGTCGGACGCTGAACCGAACATTGTCATACCCGAGATTTCGCGTGTTCCTGTCTCTGGCCACCGGAGTATCTCCTTGTCCTGGATCTCGCCCGGGACGTAATTGGCCGGCCGGGCCTGGACAAAGAAATCGGGCTGCAGTCTGATCTGGCTTGCTGCACCTCACCTCGGCACCGTTGAGCGGCGCCTCCGAGAAGCAATCCCATGGTGTCACCGGCCGCGGCAGACTGCAGTCTCACATGGACATGCCCATGCTCGCTGTCGCCTCGATGCCATTGTCAACCGAAACAAACGGAAACAGAACACACCCGCAGAGGATCGTTGCATGACAGGCCTGGCCGGTTGACATGACTAGTCCTTGTGCAGTAGCAAGCTGCACAGTTACCTGTTGCAGACTCTCCACCTGGTCATTGGTCGGTTCTGGATGTGCGCCCAGACAGGTTCATCTCGCATCTTCGCATCTGCTACGGCTCGCAATCAATTTCCGAAACCGTACCGGTTCGTCTGGGTACCACGTCGTCAAGATCTCCGCGATCTAATGAACCTAACACCTCCTCGTGCCGTCCCATCTCGCCGCGGCCGACCAGTCAAAACGCGTTCGTGGCAGTCCGGTCAAGCTCACCACTCTAAACCTCCCGGTGTGCGATATGCTAGTCACGTTGGGCCCGGTGACGCAGCTGGCTCACCTAGCTCCAATCCCAAGTGCTCTCGGCGCCGCCTGCTCAAAAGAGCCCACGGGTGCCAATTGGCGGTCCTCGGGCTACCCTTTTGCGTCATCCTTGCTACCTTGGAGCCCGTCTTGCCTATAAAGATACTCACCGCCTGGCTGGGTTCTTGCACGAAGCTTGCCAACAAAGCCCTTGATGTGACGTTTCCATAAGTACGAGCCCGAACTGGGCCGTAACGCGTGACGACGGCGCCTCATCAAAAGGCTGCCCAAAACCACGGTGGGGGTGTCGGCCTAGCACAGGACGGACCCAATGCACTGGTCACACTAGCTCAATGTCTGCTTGCGTACTTTCATCTAGCCTCACAACGCCACCGCCGCCGCCAGCTCCAGTGGTGGGTGTTTCTCTGCTCAGGTTTGGCAGTTTGAGAATGGTTGCGCAGCATGTTTGGTGTGGGGGGCGCGCTGTGGCTGTGGTTGCTGAGAGATATTCGGGCCCGTCCACGGCTGCATCACCGGCTTCAGGGCATGGCCGCCCAGCAACCGTCCCGACGGTGGCGAGATGGGCCGACAGGATACCCAGCAGATGCACCTTGCGATCCATCAGCGATCCAACGAACCAGCCTAAGCCCTGGCCTCATGCAAGGCCAACAAACCGTTCTGTTGACCTGCATTCCTCTGCTCCGCTCCGGTACTCCACGGGGCTACAGTACATGCTGCCTGACCCCCAAGCTACCTTGCCATCCACCCAGCCATCCACCACATCCTCACATCTTATCCAATCACTAAAGGGAGGCTACTGACAAAGTCAGGGTTCCTAGGCGCCTAGTTGGTGCGGCTGCCTTACCTGGGGTGCCAATCATGCCGGCACGAGAATGTTTGCACACATGAGATTTCCCTCACTTGACTTGCATGTCTGTCCGGAGAGGAGTGACCCTAGCTCCTCCAGTTTGGCGGCAGGCAGGCGCATCAAGATTGTGCGCCTGATTTTCCCCTCGCAGAAGCTTTTACTTTCTCCGGCCCGCATGCAGACTGTCAATGTCGTGTCGTAAGTCGCGCAACGTCGACAATTCTTTGTGGTATTACAAGAGACGACCCGAGACACAAACCGCGCTTTGTACCATTGTGGCTCGGGCAGCAACAGCTACGACGGCCTAGGCGCACCTCTGCGCCGCATCCCTGGTCCCTACCATGCATCGCGTACGGAGTAGTAAGGGCTGTCATCTTGCAGATGCGGCATCGTGCGTTCAAGGCTTGATGGCGCGTGGACAGCCCAATGGCCTTTTTACTTCTGCTGGGAGCTTGGGGTTTCTGTGCACAGCTTTACCGTACTGAGTGAGGACTTCGTGCAAGACCACTAGAAGTTCAGGGTCAACCCTTGCCCAGTGATCCCGCCCTCGGTGTGGATATACGTGCTGCGGCATATCACAAAACCCAATCTTGCCTACAACAGGGCCGGGAGGGGATCCAGGCGTGGAATCCAAGCCCGCCTTACTCGTTGGCACACTGATGCAGATAATTCTGCAACGCAAGGTCGTGAAGTACCCAGCGTGCGCAGCGGTGCCCAAATGAGGAGACGCCTATTCAGCTCTTCCAAGGTATGCAAAGGCCCAGCCCTCTCACTAATGAATCGTAGTACATGCGAGCCACCATCTACCGTCATGTCAAACGCATCTGGCACCGATTCGTGCCGCGCGGGCGAGGGATTTGGATGCTGGTGATCATGGCTCATGGACAGGGGCTGTTGACGGAAGTCAATTTGGCATGCCGGTCATGGTGAAGTGACGACGATTTGCGTATGCCAAAGTCGTCGAACGATGGGCCATAGCGACTCAATGCTCCTCAATCAGAGATCGATGATTTATTCTACATCCGATCCTGATGGGCATCCGAGCGAACTGATTCAGCAGGGAGGGGAATGGATTGGGACGCTGAGCTGACCGCCAGTTCATCACTTCAACGGAGGCGTGAGCTAAGGCTCGGCGTCCCAGGGAATGCCCCAGAGGCACATACGCAGCCGTTTGGGCGTCGCGCTGACGGCAAGCTGAAGTGTTGGCACATGCTGCTGCAACCTACCACCTGTGCAGAGCCCAAGAGGATTCCACAACCAAAGGCCGCCACGGCAGTGACAATGTCGACTCTGAACAGCCTTCTCGGTCCGGACCCCACATCCGCTTCCGAGACGTCTAGACAAGCCTCCTCCAATCCATACAGAGTATAGGCCGGTAAATCATCGCGGACTCAAAGCGTTCGAGCCCGGAGGAACTGGGCCAGGGGCAATTCCAATACGCACAGACTTTGGTCTCTGACGTCCCGACTCCAACGGTGACTTTCGGGCCATCCGCCGAAACTGCGACAGTATCCAGCGGATGCAAAGGTTTCCAGGCCCCACCAACATCCCGCTGGTGTCCGAGCAGGGAGAGGGGGTGGGGAACAATGGGACGGAACGCGCGCACCACAAACTTGTCCGTACTGCCTAGTACAAATGCCCATACTATAGTTGGACTGGGCTTCACATATGCTGTCAGTAGCTCCGACGGTGGCCGCACGAACCCACCACAACGAGACCTTCAAGACATGCAGTCCGTGGCCCAGCGCTCCGGGACCTAGTTGCAGCCCTGGCGCCCATCGACGCGACCCTTGCTGCTAACCAGGCTGGGCCGTAGTGGCGAAGAGCTTGGTCTGTTGGTGTACACATCAAGAAGCTGTCAATCGAGGTGGACGTGGCGCACTTGAGTTTGCTCGAAGCTTTTCAGACCCGATGCATAAGTCCACAGGATATGACTCCGGCGCTGGGAGTGGTATCTCGAACACTGACGCCGGGGCATAGCTTCATCACGGTCCTGACTTGACAGTGAAACTGTTTGCAATGCCCGAGAGGCGACCGGGACTCATGTAGTCAATGCAGATCCCTCCATGGGCAAGCGCGAAAATCACCGGCCATGTTCACGATTCCAAAACACAACCGTCGAGCCAGCCAGCGTGATGCAAGTTCTGGACTGTGTTGTGCCCCAGCCCCAAGTGCTCCTGAGCCTCGTTTTCGCCTTGGGGACAGTTTCTGGACAGCAACAAAGCAATGGCCGACCATCGTCCGCAACGGCTGAAGACGAGGCTTAGGATTTCGCTGGAACTCGCCAACCACCTCGCCTACCTTTGGATGGAATGGTTTCACCGCTCATGCGCCCGCGCTTATGCCACAACCTCGACGAGCAGCCACTCGCATCGCATTCATACTAATTAATCCGTGGCCTTGTCAACCTTATCCGCACAGCCATCCGGGAAGGATTACTGCTGCCCCCCCCCTTTCCCTTCTCTTCCAACCCCCCTCCCCCTCGAGTTGACTACGTACTCCGTATGGAGTATACCAAGTCGCCCAACATCTGCTGCACACTGACACGATGTCCACATTGCCGCGATCCACTGACCTCAGCAGTGTGCACCTTACTCAGTCCGCGGGCTCCATTTCAGGTCCGATTCAGACCCAAGCTCCAAGTGCTTCCGCGAGAGGCATGGCCAGAAGCGCCATCCCGGTCACTGCAACTATAATTGCCGTGTCGGCGAACTGGCCCCCAGCCCTCGCTCTCATCTCATCATCTGCTCCGGTTTGTCCGTTCCCAGCATCTCACACCCAGCAGGGTCCCCTCTGGTCTAGGGCCGGCCCCCGTAAGGCAAAGCCGCAGGCGCTGTCCTTGGGCCCAATGGGCTGGCATGATGCCGGACCTTGCTCGCGATTAGACCACGGCAAGCAGTGGGCATCGAGGCGATGGACCGAAGGGGAACATCCATCAGGTCGCAACCAGGGGTGTAAATGGAATAGCCGGCCGCCCAGCGAGCTCATGCATGAATTCGTGGCCATGTCAGCAGCCCCTAGTCGTAGCTCACACACCAACAAACCCCTTCTTGGGTCTGCATTCGACAAGTCCTCCTGGGGTGTCCCTCGTGGTGGTCCACAGCTCGGTGGAGGGTAAGCGCACGTCCGGGGGACGCCCCTACAGACCTCGACCTAGCTACCCATTCCTTTCTGACGATTTTGCTTTTTCTGACTTTGTTTCGAGTAATGTGCAGCAGCCACCTGCCCACTCCTGGCCCCTATGGTTCATCCAGCTAAAGACGGCGCCGCAACCCTGGTGGTGATCATCACACTTCTTACTGCCGACTTTGACACTGCAACCTCGGCGGGTCGTGACCTTTTCTCAGATCAACCCTATATCTGAAAAATGCTCGCCCTGATATAGGCGCCGGGCATGCTTGAACCCAGCCCTGGTCTCCCAAACCTGTCACAAGTCACTCATACCCGACATGATATCAGCAACCCACACGGGCTGACTTCTCCCTCGACTTGAGATTTCTGGACACACCCCTCCGCTCTGGCTACCCCCTCCCCTGCCTCTGCCTCGCCTTGTGCTTGGCCTGGCCAGTGGTCTTTTCTCATCCTCTGTGTCTACCTGACTGTACTTCTCGCGCCGGCCCTCGACGACTGAGGCATCTCGCCTCATAGCATTCTCAGAATCAGACTTCTTCTACCTTCTGGATCCCGGTGATGCCCCCACAGGCGACTCCACATCCTAGATCACTTGCTTTCCCTTGAACCTTCTTATTTCCTTGCTCTCCTTCTTCCTATCATTTGCCTGCAGGCGCATCTTCCCGCAGCTAGCCCAGCTCCAACCCTGTCGAGCCTGCCCCCATCCCACACTACATTGCTCTTCAGAGGACAACGACTACAACTGGCGGCTTGCTCTCCTGCGGTGACAGGGAAACTTTGACAAACTGGGTTGACTGACGTATTCACCCGCTTCCGGGGCTGGCCATCTTGCGACCTTGCTGGGGACTCTAGACGGGATTCGTGGAAGTGGGATCCTGTCCCTTCTTCTGCCTTGTCAGGAGCTCCGGTAGCGCCAATCATGTTCATGTCTTCTACTTCCCGAGACGCGACCCACGCCTTATAACTCTAAAGAGCTCGTCTGAGCCACCTTGAAAGCCACCTCGACCTTCCGTGTCAAGCTTGTCTTGACCAGATTTGTCCACTCCGCACCTTTTACGCCTCCAGCCTGCCTCGCGTGGCGTCCAAGGTCTGGTCTATCATTTTGCTTTTCTACTACCAACATATCCCTTCCCTCACTCACCAATAAGCACCCCAAGGCCCTTTGGTCGAAGCATTGAGTTCTCCAAGGCGGCACTGAAGGAACGAAGTGTTGGCATCACCGTGTTGGACGGCCACACGTAGCGAAGGAACCCGTGACGAAGCCAACGGAGGAGTTACCAGGCCTTGAATCGCAAACGGCCAGATATCACCGAGGAGGCTCATACGTCACCCCCGACCGGTGGTTCGACTGAGTCTCCACTTCTGATCGCAAGGAGGCAGGGGGTGTGAGCCAGAGAGTCAGAGAAAGAGAAGGAAGCGCAAAGTCAACCACACAAAACTGTCCCGACGGCCTCTTAGTCGATGATACCTGCCATTCATTGGCAACATCAGGGCTAAGACACCATCACCGTGGATATCAGGTCTCTCCTCAAGGTCCCCCCCGACTCAAATGAGTCCCCCGACTCGCCTCCCAAGCAGCCTTTCCAAGAACGATCTTCGTCCGTCACCGCGCCTCCCCCTTCAGCGGCAGCACAAGCAGCCGCTGATCCCTCAAGGCCAACAACCACGGCAACCTTGGCACCCGCTGCGGCCATCTTTGGTGGTCCGCATTCAGTCGCCAGCGTGGCTCCTTCAGTCGGAACTCTGTACGCCGCGCCGCCGCCGGCGTACCCCCCGCCAGGGGCGTACCCTTTCCTCGGAGGGGGAGGATATGCACCGGCGGGGGCTGTCCCGGGAGGGGGGGGAGGACAAAGGCCCGGATCAGCAGCTGGATCAATAGGCCCAGGGCAGGGACCAGCGCCGTCCCCAGCAGGCAAGCGAGGCATGCCACCGCACACGACCGAGAGCCCAGCCAAGAAACAGAGCAAGTGGTCGCCCGAGGAGGACGCGCTGATCATCGAACTACGAGGCAGTGGTATGAAGTGGGAGGACATCTCGAAGCGGCTCCCTGGGCGCAGTGCGATTAGTTGCCGCCTGCACTACCAGAACTACCTCGAGAGACGGAGCGAGTGGGACGAGGAGCGCAAGAACAAGCTTGCCCGCTTGTACGAGAGGTGAGTGGCCCCCAAAGACCACACATTTCTTCCCCCTTTTGCGCAACCTATGGCAAGCTTCGTGTTGGGTCTGGTGGTCTGGTTGTCTTGCAGAACCAGCCTCCAAAAGGACAGCAAGAGGCTGGACCGCTCGACTAAGGCCCCAACCACCACTCTGATCTGTGGGCAGTGGGCAGTGGGCACAGGAATGCCGGCAGGAAGATCCACACCCCCATGAAAATGCTCGATTCAAGATTCTCGATCTCGTGAAAAGTCCAGTGCCGGAGATTTACTGACTCGCGTGTCCTTGCACAATTGCAGGTTCAAGCCGGAAATGTGGGCCAAAGTGGCAGAGGAGATGCAAGTCCCATGGCGCGCAGCCGAAGCCATGCACTGGCAGCTGGGCGAGGCCGACATGGCGCGGCGAGCCGGCGTCGTCCCCTTCTCGCTTACGTCGGTCAACATGCAGCAGGACAACACCCGGCAGTCGCCGACAAGGGGCCACATGCACTCCCACTCGCAAGGGAGCTTGCCAAGGAGCGACCCTCACCTGCTGGGCCGGTACGCACAACGCGGAGGGACGCCTCACCTCGCCCAGCCGCCGCCGCCGCAGCAGCAGCCGCCTCCGCCGCAGCACCATCACCAGCATCCGCCGCCGCCACATGCGCTGACTATCCCCCCGCCCATACCTTCGATACCGCCTCCGGGGCCGGGGCGTGGTCCACTGCCGCCAAGACGGGAGAGTCTCCCCCCGAGACAACCTCCGGCCGACCTCTACGATCACGTCCTTCCCGCCCCGGGGCCGGGACTGGCGCCCATTCAGACGCCCGGCGGGAGGGAGCGGGGCGGAACAGGGGCGATGCACCTGCCGAGCGTGGCCGAGCTGACAACAGGCGTCAGCCCGTACTCGACCCCAGCGTACTCGCTGAGCCGGGCCAGCGCGAGCCCAAGTGCGACAGCCAGCCCGAGACAGTCCGCGTTGCAGGCCTCGCCTCTGGGCTACGGTGAGTCGGGCAGCATCGGAGGGGGCGGCCCAGCCACCCCAGGGTCTGGCAAGAGAGGGCGCGCAAGTCCGGACGCTGGCAGGGAGGCGATCAGGCGGCGGCACTAGGCGAGGTTTGGGTGCAAGACACACAGACAGACAACAAGAGGGTGGGATCCCAAGGGCAGGGGGCCGCATGAAATTGGGACGAGGATGAAAGTTACGATGACTACGATGATTTTCCTTGGGAGGCTAGAGACATTTTTCCCCTACACATACACAGCGTCATAAAACGAGATGGGACGGGGGTTGTGGTTGGGAACGGACATGGCCGGGGTTCATAATAGGACGAGATGGACGGTTCAACGCTTTTCCACACAACACACACGGGCGCGAGGATCATACGAGAACTGTCTGCGTTGTCTTATTAGGACACGCCTCTGGTTAAGATGGTGGGGGGGAATAGGGTGGGGGGACGAGAGGGGGACCACGACGAAGCGATGCGATGCCAATGAGACATGCTGGGGCAACACGGTACTTTGCATTTCACGGTGCGCATTGAGGAATCGGAATAGGTTTTTCAACGTTTCGGTTCTTGGTACCTTTTTCGTTTTTCAGTTCGTTTTTCCTTTTTTTTTCTCTCTTGTCTGAGTGCGTCTTTTCTGTCCTGGTTTGGGGCAAGAATCAAAAAAGAGCGAGAACAAGCATCACATGCATTCATCATCATCATTATCATCATCATACCGGAAGGGGAAGGTGTGGGAGAAACGGGGAGGGGGACTGGAGCAACTTGTGCTTTATTTTTGGTCATCTGGGAGTATCGGGGAATTCTTCCCTCTTGCGAGCTGGTTTCCTTTGTCCCAACCTTAAGGTTGCTTGTGTTTACTACCTACGATACCAAATCCCTGTTTCTTTTCTCGCCAACGGGCCCCCACCCACGCGTTTCCCAAGGGCCCGGGTACCCTTTTATACCCTTCATCCCTCCTTTGTCAAACACGCAACCCGGACAGTCCGGGACGGAGAGGAGAGGAACGGGGGGAAGGGTGGTATTTTCATCCGAGTGGTTCGGGAACGGCGGGGGTGAAGGGGGTGAAGGGGACGGGGGTCGGGGTGTGAGTAGACTGAGCGGGACGGACGTTGCTGTAGGGAAGAAACCATGTCTTTCTTCTGGGACAAAACCTTCTGCAGAAATTAACGTTGGCATGGGGCTGCAGCGTGTGGCAACGGCGGCAGCGACTACTAAGTATGGACAGGCAGGATGGGGCCTACTTTGCATGGATTTGGAGTCAAGGGAAGAAGTTCGCGATACTTACTTGCGACGAACAAGAAGTATCAGCCCAACTGGGTTGGTCTCTCAAACCTTGCCGACGAGGGCACATGGGGGCAAACCAGGATTGAAGCCAGGGACGACAAAAAAGAAACGAAGGGAAACCACATGGCCCAACATCATCACTCCCCGGGAAAGAGAGATCACTCTCTCTTTTCCAACGCCTTGAGAGCGGCGGCTTCTTGTACAGTCACTACTTGTTATTTCCCAGCGGCATAATATTACAAATATTCTTTTTGTTATTCCCCTCTTTCCCGCCCTGCATAAATTAATTAGCACACGTGGCGTACATTCTAGCCCCGATCCCTCAGCGGCCGCCTTGCGTGATATGGTTCTCAGCTTGATGGGCGCCCAGGGACGAGACGAAGTGGGGGAAGGGGCCTCTGGACTAGGAAGCGCTGGCATAGCAAACACCACACTGACACGCTCGGGTTTTGAATATTGCTCGGGATTATGAGTGATTTGGTCATAATCCGCGGGAAAGATGGGATCAGGGAGTGGTGGGGAATGGCGCAAGGACAGGCCAAGCAGCTCTATAGTGGTCTGGCCAGAGCGGTCATCTCCTTGCATAGATGGCTTTCTCAATTTTTTTCCTGTCATTTTCCTTTTTGATGCTGCTTCTATTTTTCTTCTTTCATTTTGGCCGACTCCCATGAGCGATCCCCGGGCATAGCGGTGGATGGGATGGAAATGGAATGAAACGACGGGGAAAGATGAGACTTGATACCAACACGGCACCTGAGGTCGGAGTAGAAAAGTGTGGAAACCCCTATTCTCGGTGTCCCTTCCTGGGTCCCCTGGGGAGGGCCTCACTACATACAGACCACACAATAAATACGCCATCTGCCGATTTGCCTCAACTGCCGGCTTGAGTTCGAATCGCGCGCCGGACTCTGGGCCCAAGCTAGGACACGAGGTCAGATTTGCACGTGCGTATATGTGTCGGTTCTCTATGGGCAATAGTTGGGAAGAAAGAGGCTTGCATAGAGTTTTGGCCTGACAGCATAGTCGCAACGTATCTCACCATCAAACACCTCCCGCGCGCCGATCAGAAAGAAGCAAGCGATGAGATGGATCCTCGATGGATCCCTAGATCGTTTTCTGTCAACCGTTTCGATCCCGTCCATGTCCGTTGTCCGCCAGGGGGGCCCCATCCTCATTTCTTTTTGGTCTCTCGTGGTCTTTTTCCTCTTCTCCCCCTTTTGGTACTCGGTTCTGGCTGCATCACCCTGCAATGACCCACCAATTGTCTCGTTCGTAGCCGCTGCTCAGGACCGACCCCCCTGCGGCGATAACTTCTTCCTCCAGCTCGCCTTTTCTGTAGAGATGGTAGTACCGGTGGAAAGTCTTGTCGGTGTGAGCTGCCTGCTGCGCGTTCCCGGCGGCCACGTCGTTTTCGGCTGTGCCCGGATCTGCAGTAGCGTCGGCTGCAACGGCTTCGTCCTGTGCATGCTGTCGCTTCTGCTCTGGTTGTTGGCAACGGTGCTGCTGCTGCTGCCGCTGCCGCTGCCGCTTCCCGCCGTCCGACTTCCAGTCGCCTTCTTCACCGCCGCTTGCCCCGCCATGTTGAACTGTTGATCTGTCAACATGCTGCGTCTTTGCTTCTTCTGCCTCGGCGCCGTCCTCGGCTTGCTTGTTCCGTCGGTCCTGCTTCTTCTGGCCCTTCACCTTTGCTTTCTTCTGCTGGGGTGCCTTCATCACCCAAGGAACCAGCAGGTCCTGCTCTCCGCCTTCAGCCCACCCCCTCCTGCTGCCGCTCTGCTCCAGCGCCCAGACGTACACGAGTACTTGGCCTGAGGTCGAGCTCGAGCCCTGCGCATCTGCAGCGCCCTTAGCGGCGCCTGCGGCATCATGCACATCATGCGGCTGGGTTGTCACCCCTGCTGACGTGCTGCCGCCCTCTCCCCGCCTCACACAGCGCAGGAGCTGCCTGATGGCATCGACCCGCCTCTCCCTCGTTGACAGGTGGTGAATCACGGCGATACAGATGACGAAATCGGCGCCAGCCTCCCTGAAAGGAAGCAAGAGGCTGTCGGCCGTTACGGCGTCCGCGCCTGCTATGATGTCCCCTGAGAGCGCGGCACCTGCCTCGGCATCTGGCACCTTGCCTCCATCGTGCTGCTGCTGCTGCTGCTGCTGTTGTTTCCGATAGCGTGCCGTGCACATTGAGTCTCTAGCGAGCGCCACCAGGGCGGCGCTCCTGTCGCAGCCCAACATGACCACATCCCGGTTCACACTCATGTTCTTGCCATTACCGCAGCCAATATCCAGGCCCACGGACCCCGGTGGCCGCGAAGCCAGAAAAGACGACACGAAGGGCCATGGCTTGTGTCGCGTCGCGCTGAAATGCGAGGCGATAGCCTCGTAGACGCCGTGGACATGGGTTTCCTCGTAGGCATCCGCTAGCCCGCCACCGTCGCCGGGCTGCGATGGCCTCGCCGCGGGCGGAGACGCCAGGACCATGACCGTGCTCGACTGCAGACAGCAATTCCCGCCCAAGGCGGATGCAGGGGCGCTGGTTGGTGGGGCGGGGAGCTGCTTCAGGCTGAAGGCAGGTCAAGCAGCGCTATTTCTTGGCTGCTAGCAGATACCAGGCGGCCAATTCGACGTCAGCGCCGGCTGGGTAAGTGGATGAAAATACTGTGGAAAACTGGATGCCTGCCGTGGGTTGGTCCAGTGGTGTGCGTTGTTGAGCGCGTGTGTGTGCAGGCAAGAATGCTGGACGTGGTCCGATATGCAAAGCAGTGCCGTTGCAGTCTCAGTGATCCCGGATCTACAGCTTCGGATTGGGCAAGTTCCAGCGGATAGGTCCAGATAAGGTTCAGCACGGTCCGACCCCAGATCACACTCTAGCGTGGTGTCGTTTCTAGACCGTTGGGCCGGAACCGGGTAGGGCAGCGCAGGATACCCAGGTCAAACGGAACAGAACAGAACAGAAGGCCCGCGGAACAGGGCACAGCGGCAGGGGGTGCCGACGTGGAACAGGCCTGGTGCCCGTTGTGCGGTCTGTGTGTCTTGCTTGTGCGTTGTTTGCCCTTGTCTCGCCCTGTGGCTTGCGAGTACGGAGCCGGATCGAGTCGAGTCGAGTCCTGTGGACAGTACGGAGTACAGTACAAGCAGTACGGCGCGTGTGGTCCCCTGTCGTTTGGAGCTCGTCCCTCGTCCCCTGCCGGCTCAACGTCTGCGGTCACGATGTGTTCTGATGAGAGCTGTCACAGCAACAGTAGCAGTGACAGTGACATTCCCGGTACCGGGGGATACCTGCGAGCAGCGAGCAGCCAGCAGCGAGTGAGGTGGTCAGCCTAGCGGCCCCCAACTGTGGTGCTACCCGACCGAACCAGTGGCTGCGCAGGCCTCGGGGTTTTATTACAGAATACCACTCTGTCGAGGTTGGGTGGCCACTCCCCTTGGCCCGAACGCTTGTGAGATGATCTCGTAAAATCGAGATTGGAGATTGGGGGGAGCCTGCGCGCGGGTGTGGGTACCGGTTGGTGTGTGTGTGTGTGTGAAGCAGTCAGGCGGCTGCATAAGAGTGAGTAAGATGCGAGGGGAACAGTATCATCGCTCGCCTCTAGCCGCGGCTGTGTGGTCGCTCTGCCTGCCCCGTGGGAACAGACTAGAGGAGAGGTGGAACAGAGAACTTGGCTGCGCCCGTACTCGGCACGCCACAGCACCAGACAGGACCAGACCGACTGACTGCCAGACCGACAGATTGGTCGGCACAACAGGCAGGGCGACAGGAGGCAGAAGCAGCTGGCAGAAGCAACGAAGCAGGTTGCAGAAGCAGCTGGCCGCCAGGCCGTCAGGCAGTCTGGCCGTCTGTCGTCAGGCAGTCAGGATGAGGCTCAACGGTCTGCGAGGACGAGCCCTGTGCAGCTGCAGCAGGCGCCCGAGACAAGAAAAACTCTCGGCCCCACGACCCACTGTCGTTTATTGACGTGGATCTTGCAGCAACAATCGATCGGGCGACAAACATGGGCCTTGTCCTGCTTGTGCTTGTGTGCCGTTGTACTGGCGCTGTACGTTGGTTGCACGTTGGTCGCACCCGCCTGGGCCCTGAGATTGTGTGCCTGTCTGGCCCGTGTGCGCGCGCGTGGCCTTGTTGGTGTGTGGTTGCACCTTTGTACTGGGTACTCGGTGGTCCTCCAGGCTTCCCAGGGGCGTCCACGCTGGCTCCTGATGCCCGGCGTGGATATAGTAAAAGTACTATGTAGTACCAGGATTCGGGCTGCGGAGCTTTTTCTTGGGGTTTTCTCGGGGGCCGTTTGTTGAGGCCCCTGTGTCCCTACCGTCCATCAATCCATCTGCCCGTCCATCCATCGATCTGCTCGCTTCTGCTGTTAGGTTTATTCTCCGACGTCCTTGTACCGCGGCCCATGTACATCATCGTCGTTATTATTATCCCAGCACCCCTCACCCTTGTCCATATCCCAGCCTTCTCGGCCTCTTCAGTCGAAACTTGTCTCGAGAGCCTCCTTACTATCTCCAGATCCAGACACCACATGCGTCCTTCTGTGGCTGATTGGCCCGCCGCATTGCATTACAAATTGCGCTCATCCGGTTCACGAGCCTTCCTCACCGATGGGCCGACAGCCCAGCCGGCCGCCAGCCCAACCGTCATTCGGACGCGTGTCTCGAACCGTTCGTCGGCGTTATTCTCATCTCACAAGGGCCTGGATGGCCGCTCTTGATTCAGGCTTGGTCATGCGGCCTGCGCCTGACGGCAGGGCTGAAACACGGCCAGGCTGACCTGCTTTGCAGCTTTGTTGCAATCGGGAAACCGACGCGTCGTGCACGTGTATGTTCGCGGTCTATTCTTTGATTATTTGTCGAGCCCCCTCCCTGGCTTCATGCCATTCACCCTCGACCCGGTGGCCTCCACCTTAGTGCGTAGCCCCACGCAGGAGCACGCAATTTCTGGTACACTGCCCCAGCTGTTTGTCGACACGACGAACCTCTAATAATACCGAGGCGCCGCCTACTGGTTCCCTGTGTTCAGGGGGCTCTTTGCGTCGAATACGTCCGAGGTGATGAGCGCCGGGTACTCGATACCTCCCTGCTTCAGGGCCTCCTCCATGACCTCCATGATGACAACGGACTCTTGCCACGGTAACGTAGCACTCTCGAGCTTCCCATCTCGGAGACACCGCGCGCATTCGTCGGCCTCCCAAAACATGCCATGCCCCCAGTTCCTCGCATTGTCCTTGGGTATCGGGCAGTCGACCACCTCGAGCTTGCCGGGCTGGGCCTTCCTGATGATCCTGTACTGCAGCGGACGGTAAGCCGGTGCCGCAACCTGGATCTCGCCCTCGGATCCCTGGATTCTCATGGCCGGCCCCGCCGTACCCTGTCCGTCAATGTCGGACGCCGCCCTCAGCCCGGTGGTAGCAATGCCCATCTGCTTGTGCTGGGGGAAGCTCAGGACAAGGGTCGTGTTCTCGTCGGCGCCGGTTCGATATTTGTTCATGCTGGCCACCACCTTGGGAATCTCCTTGCTGTCCTGCAGGTGGTACAGGGTCTGGAACAGCCAGGTCAGGGAGTAGATTCCGAGGTCGAGCAGGGCGCCGCCGGCGAGGTTCGTGTTGACCATGCGGTGGGAGTCATCGAACTCCAGCGAGCCATCTGGCTTGTTGTTGTTGAACGAGTTGTCGGCTGTCACATGGCACCGCGGGGGATAAGCTGTCAGCCCATACGTTCAGACGGTCCGCAAGGGGCTGCCACAGCTGTCAGGCGGCTTGCATGACAGGTGGCGGTAGTCGAAACCACGCAATCACTCCAAAACTCACCAGTGACCCGGTAAACGGTGCCAATCTCCCCGGACTTGATCAGCTCCCGGATCTTGATACTCAGGGGAAAGTATCGCGTCCACACGGCCTCCATGAAGAATAGGTTCTTCTCCTTGGCCTTAGCGACCAGCTTCTTAGCCTGCGAGGCGTTCACTGTCAGGGCCTTCTCGCAAAGCACGTTCTTGCCGGCCTCGAGTGCCAGCATGGCGTTCTGGAAGTGATGGCTGTGGGGGGTCGCCACGTAGACGATCTGCACGTCAGGGTCGGCCACCAGCTCGGCGTATGACCCATAGGCCTTGGGAGATCCCGGAACGCCGCAGTCCTTGAAGAAGGTTTCGGCTCGCGACTTTGACGAGGACGAGGCTGCGGCGACAACCTCATGGGTGACATCGTTCACATCACGAGACTTGGGGTCGTTGAGCAGGTCCTTGACGAAGGCTAGCGAGCGTGTGTGACATGTCAGCCGACGGTTCCCTGGTGATGCCTGATCTGCCTGGCCGTGCATGGGCTTGCACGCTTGCACGCTTGCTTGCACGCGCGCCATCAACAACGATATTGTGGCTGAACTTAACTGGTTGCTATGCCACCGGTGGCCATGATTCCCCATTTCAGGTTGTAAGGAGCCATCCTGCGTGACGTGATGTCGTGTTTCGGGTTGCGGCAAGGAGCAAGAGTCCGTCGGCTGAAGACAATGCACAATGACTGCTCTGTTGGCGGCTTCAGTGGGGAGGGAGATCTACTGTGTACATGTGAGGGAAGTCGCGATAGAGATAGCGATTCCGATACACGCAGCTGGCACACAGCAACAACAGGCTGAGGCAGCGCGGGGTAACCCCACGCACTCTGGCAGAGCTCCAGCTTGATGACGATGTTGCTTCTCCACACTATGCCCCTCTCTCACTGCGGAACTCGCCCCTCCATCCTGGCGGTCCGCTTTGCCGTTCGGAGTGAGCGAGAGGCTCCTAACATGAACAATAGATACGCCAATATCGGCGTCATATGTCTCGATCCCATCGCCAGGCACCCAGAAGACTGAGGTACCTCGAGAACATGGCCGTAACCGGCGAGATGGGACTATGCCGCTCAACCAACAGTCCCGGGAACCATGGGCATACATGCACTCCCTGAATTTCTCCTGCTCTCGGCACACAAGCAGTATCAGACTGGAGAGCATCTCGGAGAAGCTCAAAGCCAAAATCGCAGGCGAGTGCTCTACAGCAGATCGTCCTTCCAAGTGCAAGGCCGACGCACAACGTACCGTGATTTCGCCGAGTCTCCCTATCTGTCTCTCTCTTTATCCGGCTCTCTCCCTTGGCCAACACCTCTGATGGTGGTTCGAACTAACCGGGGGCCGTCTCGCAAAAATACCGCTCTCCCTTTGTACTTTTGCCATCCTTTCCGCGCGGAATTACACGGCAGCACGGGTTGGCGCTACCCTGCATACTTGGGTCTTGTTGGTTTTTCCTTCTTCTGCACCCGTCGAAGAAAGGATGCGCTGAAGCCCACTCACGTGCTCGCAGCTTCCGCGGGAAAATGAGTAAAAGAAGCAATTCTGCATTCCACAGACCATTTAGTACATGTGGTCGCCTTGTCACTGTTGGGGGTTAGAGTCACAAGCCAGGATACGAGGGGGGCATGGCCTTCCAGACCGAATGGGAGGAGGGGACGGGGCCAGGCTATGATCCGCCCATACAATGGGCGCGCCTCACCCTGTCACTCGACCCATTGGGCTGAGAAGTTATGGGTTCTTTCTGTGAGTGAATCGATGATAGCCATCACCGGCTGTACCAATACATACCCTCCCAAGCCTCCCAAGGGCCACCGGACCGACTTGCTGTTACTAGACAGCACGACACTGGCATCAAGGCTTAGCCACCTGCGGACATCATGGGCAGGCTGATCTACGGCACAGCCTGGAAGAAGGAAGAGACCGACAGGCTAGTGTACTGCGCGTTGGAAGAGGGCTTCAGGACAATTTCCACCGCAGCCCAGCCCAAGAATTACGACGAGGGCCTGGTCGCTCGGGGAGTGCAAAAGGCCATCGACGCAGGTGTGGTGTCGCGCCGAGATGTCTCTGTAAGGTCTCCCCTGCTCTCTATATCCGCATGTCTTCGTCTTATGCGAAACCTGAGTGAGATCCTTCACCAGGCCCACCTCTGACAGCTCAACGCAGATCCAGACCACGTTCACCCCTGCCCACAGCCAGGCCATCAAGAAACTGGCGAAGACCACCCTGACAGCTTCCCACCCAGGATGGCCTTGTCCTCAGGAGACCAGCATCCCAGGCGACTGCCCATACGACCCCGCGACCTCTCTGGCCGAGCAGGTCCGTAGCTCGGTGGACTCATCCCTGAAGAGATTCGCCCTTGCTTCTGATAGCCCCGAGGATGTGTACATTGACGCCGTCATCCTACACACACCCTACCCAACCCGCGAGCATACTGAGACGGTCTGGACCGCCCTCTCGACCTACGTGCCCGACCGTGTCCGCCGGCTGGGCATCAGCAACGTGGACGACGAGGAGCTGCAGCACCTGCTCGACTTCTGCCGCGGCAATCCAGCGGTGGCGACGCCCCCATCCATCGTGCAGAACAGGTTCCGCGGGTACCGCCGCGACGACAACTTCGACGCCGCCGTGCGCCAGCTGTGCAGGGACAACGACATCGAGTACCAGGCCTTTGGGGTCCTGAGGGAACAGGCCCTGCTCCAGGACGAGCAGAGCGTCGGCGCCGTGGCTGACATGGCGTTTGGGAGCCGTGAGGCTTCCCTGTACGCTCTCGTCATGGCCCTGCAGGATGACATGGCCGTCTTGGATGGCACCTCGGATCCGTGCACCATGAGGGCTGACATTGATGACGTGCGGCGGATCGAGCGTTGCGCTAACAGCCCGGAGTGGAAGAAGGCTCTAGAGAGCTTCAAGAAGGGGATTCATCACTAGAGCTGCTAGTGAGGTTGTTGGGAATCCAGGCTCACCAACTCGTTGTGTTTGCCTCTTACAGGCAACATCCACACGTTGATGCAACCCTCGGATTGACTTTATCTAGTGGATGTTTTCTTAGCCGACAGGCGCACTTGATATCTAGCATACAATGACACCCGATGCCCAAAACACCAGTCAGTACTTTGCGTAGTATTACACGTTGTAGACCCACAACCATGCTCCTTGCGCATGGAATCTCAATCTCCTCTCGTTCGTGGTATCGTTGCGACCATGCCATCCTTCGACTGTGCTTCCAATTCTGGGATCCGAGACGGGGCTTAAATGAGTTCCCCTTGGGCCAGAATTAAATCCGAAATACTACTGCATGGGCCAGTTCCTGGTAGGTTCTGACTTGGCGTTTGTGAATGTTCCCGTCAGCCACGTGTTCCCGTCACGTATCATTGGCAGCGCCACCTCCCATGTCACATCTCAACGGTTGGTTGTCGGACGCTTGCCAGCAAGCCTTGCCATGGTAATGGTTCTCAATTTAAGTTCTGGATGTTGTTCCGGTGTCTGGAAGGCTAGGGTAGAGGATTTTTATCATGGACTGTGTAAGAGCGGGATGGCAAGATGGTGGAGAGAGGAAAGTGGATGTGGCGTCTCCAGACAGGGAAACCAGCACTTGCATGCTTACCTGCACGCCTATCACTCCGGGCTGGAACAGGCATACCACACTCAATAGGCTGGGGGAGGGGGGGTGGGTCTTTGTTCAAAATGGGACATTTCATTGATGGGATGGAGGCACAGTCCCTTCATTAGGACATGAGGAAACAAGATCATTTGTGGTGTTATCGGTTTAGTATTGCAGATTGCTAATTCATAGTAACTGCTGGCCCCCTACTAATGACCCATGAAGCAGGAAGCAGTTCAGGTGACGCCCTCAATGACCGTCTAAACTAAGATGTACACTTTTGAATATGCCCTTGGCATAAGATTCTCTGCATGCTTCATGATGTCCTCCTTCCATGATGCATCCGCTGGGTATGAAGCTCCAAGCAGGACCTATGTGATTTTCTCTTCCTTGAACAGACACTATTGCTGCTCAGGATTTTCACTATCCCTCCACTGCTAAGCCGGAAACACCAGTGTGGCCAGGGGAGCAGTGTTCTCACACCACCATGGCTGTGAGACATCAGCCCTAGGCCATAGTCCAGGTACTGGGTCAGAGGCTAAATGGCTTTCCACAGTGGTCTGGCAAGCACGGCAGTCTTGTGAGCACCATGTATCTGCAATGCTGCCTGACATGCAGGAAATCATGCATCTGTCTTGACACGACCTGCCCTCAGATTACCCATCTCGCCCTAATGATGAATTAGCACAAAGCTATTTCGAGTTTCTGTCATCCTGTGAGGAACTTACTTCGGCCTTTCTCTTACCCAAGACTGGGTCAGGTGCACCGTTGCTGCCGAACATTGGCGTGTTGCCTCCATCCTTGGTCACCTCTGCGTAGCAGCTTGCATGGTATGCGCGGCCGCCCACTTTCGTGGCGTCTGTCCACACCCACTCCTGTGCCTCATCGAGCCACTTCGTGACAAACTTCTCCTGGCAGATTGGACAGACAGTGTTGATGTTGTCTCTGTCATCCGGGACTGGGATGTACTGGATCTTTGGACCAGACGAACTGGCAGCTGAGGAGGCCGCTGCTTTGCTGGCTGCATCCGCATCCGCATCCGCTTGGTGGTCGTCAATGGCCTCTCTGGATTTGATCCAATCCTGGGTGGTACATCAGTTATCTCAGAGCTCTCTCCAAGGTGAAAGAGGGTGTCTCTGGTACTTACCGCCTGGTCCACGTACCAACTTCGATGCTGGCCTCTCTTCTCTGCTTCCATGATCCTCTGGTGCACTCGGAAGTGCCAGTCCATGTGGGCTGTCTTATTCTTTCTCCCTTCCGCGTCTGTCTTGAAGCGTCGCCCACATTGAGTGCATGGTGGGCCCAGTGCCTCATATATGGTAGGGATGAGGTGTGGTCGAAATCTAGAAGACTGTCAGAATACTCATATTTCTCATTTAAAAAGGGCCCCATATTCTGAGGGTGTGATTCATGGGTGGACAAGGACATACTGCTTTAATGAAGATGTCGTCAGACTGATATCACCACTTGTGATGACAACCGGCGGTGGTGTTGACGATGCTGCCAGATTGCGGGCTGAAGCGAGTATGCTGGCCAGGTTTGGTGGCAATGACATACCTGCAGCAGCAGGAGTAGGCGTAGTGATAGGAGCTGTGTTTGCTGGAGCTTGAGAAGGAGGCCCGGATGGGTGGCCCACTGGTGTTCCACCGACTTGTGGTGTGGGTGGTATCAAACCAACACCACGAAGAGCACCCAGCAATGCCATCGGATCAGGAGTGGCTGGTTTCTGCATCTCGGCTCTCTGTGGAGTAGGAGACCGTAGTAGAGCAGCAACATTTGCTGGTTGTGTTTGTGGGTGTGGTGGTGGTTGAGGTGTTGGGGCTTGAGGGGTGGCAGACCGCCGGCTCAGCAATGCAGCCAGAGCACCCTTACCAAGCAGAGCGTCAAGAGACACAGAACCTGGCGGAGCCGAAGCAGGCGGCACAGGGGCTACTGGTGCTATTGGTTGAGGGGGATGCTGCTGCTGCATAGGGGCATGGAATGGTGCTCCGTGGATGGGTGGTGTAGGAGTGACAGTCTGGTGGGCATTTGAGGCCCGGTATTTTACGGCAAGATTAGCTACTTGAGTCTTCACAGGCACCAACTGCTCTTGCGACAGCATTGCCCCGCGAGTCTTCAAAACCGTCTGCAGATCCAACAGCGCCTTCAGCTCCGTCTGTATACTAGTATCATATGGCGACCTCCCAAGTTCAGCTCTGGCGGCAACAACGAGTTGCTCGATTTCATTGATCAAGGAATCTATGCTTATTCCAGGTTGAGCAGCAGGGGCACCATAGGAACCAAAAGGTGGTGGTTGGAAAGGTGCAGCAGCCGGGGTTGACATGTGTGGTTGAGGTGTTGACCCGGGGAAGTTGGCCGCAGGCTGGAACACAGGTCAGCCAAGGCACGAGATCATATGGATGGGGTTCCTCTTACTGGGTGCTGAGAGTATGCTGCCTGGCCGAGTGCGGACTCTGGCCTGTGGCCATTGGCCCCAGAATGAGGCTGTGGTGGCTGCACGAACTGCTGTCGGGCATTGGGAGGAGTGGGCGTGTTGCGATGGGGTGCAACAGGTCGTCCCCCTCTTCCAAGAAGCTGGTGCTGGGTTCGCATTTGCTCTTGGTGAGCGTGGAGGGCTGAAGTTCTGGCCTTGATCAAGGCATTCTCAATGGGTCGAACCACATCAGGAGGGAAGACAGGATTCTTGTCGATGGACCCAGGTACTGGCTCCTTCCAAGTCTTCAACATCTCCTCCATCTTTCTGCGGGTACTGTCGTTGACTGAGGCGTACGAGTCCATGAATGTGGAGTACAAATTCTTGCCGAAGAATAACGTGTAAGGTGTGCCGATATTCTTGACAATTGAGTCCAGGACGTACATGGCCGGTAGTTTTCTCTGAGGAGGCACCTGTTGCAGGGTGTTAGCGACTGTCTTGCGGGAAGCAAGGGAACTCTGTTGGGGGGGGGGGGGGGGGCAAAGGAGAGCGATGCTTGCTAGCTAGGGAACAGGAGCAGCAACATGCTGTCCAGAAAGGGGTCACCTACTTTCTTGATATGCTGCTCCAGGGTTTCTGCAATTGGAAAGGCATAGTTGGTCAAGTCTCTAGCAATCTGGGTCAAGTTGGTGATTTCGAATCTTGAGTTCATTGTCAAACCATCCAAGGCGCTCTGGTAATCCTCAATCACCTCGGCCGTCTGGTCCTGCTCGTCGTACGACATGATGGGCCAGCTTTGGAGTTGGTTGATGATGGTGGTTTGTGGTTTGCAAGAGTTCAAGAACACGCTCGACAGGAAAGATGGAGGCCAGGAAGGCAAGGTTTCTAGACAGGTGGCAGGCCCAAGCGTGGTTGCAAATGTGACATTCAGAGGTGGTCTGACCCTTTCACTTCACGGCGGAAAAGACACCGAACAGTGAGCCTGAACAATCGCAGAACTTATTGCTCCCTAGAGACTGGCACTCCAGAGGATGACGCTCTTTCCAGCACGGCCACCACCAGCTGAGCCAAGAAAGAATGTGGCACGCAGGATCAACTCTTGCTCGCGTCAACACTTCGTCATCTTCCTCCCCGGCTGCGCAAGACTGCAGGTTCTCTCTTCCCACAACTGTTATGTGTTCTCGGGCAGCTTTCGCTGGGCTTCGGTCGTGGTCTATCGTCGTGGAGAATGGATGGTCGTCTCGGCCGCGATCGGGGTGCAGCACTGCCTCAAGTCTGGCAAGAAGTCGTGTGTGTGCAGGTTCCAGGCAGGTCCCTGCTTGACATTCAACAATGATCTCAGCTTTCAACAAACAGGGGAATGTGGGTTTGTTTGGGCAATGGGGCCTGTTGTGATGAGCAGGGACAGTGTGGCTGTTGTTTGGTCGGAGGAAGGATGAGCAATCCGGACGTCAAAGGCAGGGAGTCGCACTAGCGCTGGACGCTGCTCGGCAGAAGGAGCTCTGTTACGTAATCCGACCCCAACCCACCTGGGCATGCATTCGCAGGAAGAGCTCAAGCTCTCTTACAGTTTCAGTTCACTCACCCACAGTCTGTTCTCAGTTCACTCACCCACAGTCTGTTCCAACTCCAGTTGCAATTGTGACAGGCAGTTTTTTGTGTTCAAATGAGTTTGGGAAACAATGGTGATGCTGCTTGCTTATGCAGCTATTATGTGTGAAGAAATTGAGATCCTGCGCTCTAAGGTACCAGTACTGGAGTTCCTACTTAGATAACGGTATGTCAGCCCTTTATTCATTGTGCCCAGTGAAAGCATTTTGACAGTGCCTGAATATGACTGGCTTGAGACTAAGTCAAGCCTTTTTGTGTGTCTAGCAATAGCTTTAATGCCTAGGTAGCTGCTCAACAGCACCGGCGTGGACAGATAGACATAGCTCAACATTAAGACTTATACAAACTTAGAACTACACATGAACAATCCCTAGATTATATTGTAGATTTACATGGCTGAGATATCATTACCATAGGTACAGGCACGGAATAAACACCTGAGAAAAGCTCGGACAAATGGGAGCACCTGGGCATATACAGACAACCTCCAGACTTCATTGTTATCAGAACATGAAAAGGCAGTATCAGTCAGTCACATGGATCTATTCCATGTTCTTGAAAATTTTAAAAGAAATATGACTCATTTGAATTGGCACTCCTGTGGGCTGTCATCGAGGACATCATATAGGGCACATCTCCGATTCCTTTGTATGCCCCTGTGCCTGAGGAGCCAGCATCCCATGGATCGATCGTCTCGATTGCCGTATTGCCCGCACACATACCCCCCCCTACAAACCTCTCTTCCCAGCAAAACTGGGCGCTAGACACAGTCAGCTCTAGTTTCATTGCCCGCCTCTCGAACTGTCCATGATATGCACGCAGCTGGTCCGTGCTCTGAATTGCAGTCCATCTTCCCATGGGTGGTCTCCATCTGATCGCCGTCCCCCGTCCTTGCGAGTTGAACAGACTGGTTGATTATGCTGCGGATATCAAATTTGCCAATCCTATTTGAATGCCACCGACTGTTAGCAGATCGGCCCCCACTGAGCCCAAAGTCTCCAACTCTGCTAGGGTTGTGGAGAATTGAAAAAGTGGCCTACCAAGTAGTACTCTTGCCGCTGTCCATTCGCTTCACTGCCAGCTCACAGCTGCCAACGGCGAAGAGCCCGTGGTACTGGTCTGTGAATTCAGTAGAGTCCTTCCAGTTTGACATCTCCACGCTGAAATTGGCTGTGTGCGGGATGTTCATGATGGCAAAGCAATCGGAGACCTGGATCTGGCCGCCACCAACGACACCAACGGTGGTCGGGTCACAGTGGTCATTGCTGGTGTTGGCCGTCTCGTTCTTGACTGTTCCAGGGGTCTGAGAAGCGATACCTAACGTAGCCACCACACCGAAAAAGAAGAGAGTGATGGCGGGAAGCATCTTGTCCGGTATATTTGACTATGTTTGTGGGTTCCGATGTGTTTCCTGATGTGGTTGCTGGTGATATAGACCAGGGAAAGGTATCATAGAAGAATTCGTGGAATAGATGGTAGACAATTGGGGAGTCAGCATTTTGAATTTAAAGTTAGTTGAGTTGTTAGCGACTAAAAGTATTCAACGGTCGGTGACACAGAGCTATCTAAGACCTAGGTAGGGGTGAATCACTAGCCTCCAAGGTTCCGTTTGCTTCCCACGTTTGTCAGCAGGTGAATCTTGTCTACCAATGGACTTCCTGATTATGTTCCATATAGAATCATGAACCAAAAATTCTTAATTGTGGAGTGCATGTGGATGAGGAGGGTCAGCAAGTTGTGACGAATTTAGCCGAGACAGCACCCCCCGGTCGTCAAGACGGTGCCCCTTAGCCTTGTCTGTGCGTCGCAAGGCTGAGGCCACAAGCACCTATCGTATTATAACTATTGTTATCGGCATCGTGTTCTTTCCAAGCGCTGGGTCTTGAGTGCTTACCACCGTATGAAGGCGCCATGTATGTCCTCGGACGTATACGGAATAGAAGCGAAACCACACAGCACCCCCCGGGGATCGTCACATGAATGATACCACCAGACTCTGTGACACACTCGTCAATTTTCCCTGGCACTACCGAACCGCAAATGAGAAACCTCTGATGGCTGTATGGTAGCTCTCTGTTGAGGTCATCCATGTGACATTGCTTGATGACAGGAGACGTATGAAGCGTAGATACCAGTACCTGCTTGTGGCTTCCCATATGCGAGAAACACATTCGACTCCCTTGTATCATTAAGCTCGAGGAACATGGTCTCGCAAATATAGATGAGGATGATTCTATAAGACGTAGCAATTATTCGCAAGTTGAAACCTTCCTGTTGATCGGATTGTAGTCATTAGTATGCGAGTGTGCTGCCTACAACTCTCACACGCGGCTCAGTGCTTGTGCCTCTCTCACTTAGGTGTTCATATGCCAGGTGACACGTGCACCTCGTCCCCCGTCTCTACTACTTACTTAAGTAGTAAAGGTAGAAGATCTGATTTAGCAACCCTTGGGTCTCGTGGTCCAAAGCTTTCGTTTCATCTGATGCAATTAAATTAGATACCTCAAGTCCACGTGTTCAAGCTCTGTTGTTCAAAGGACCTCACTTGGAACCAAGAATTTCTCTTCTGACTGCATAGAGTGGGTTATCCTCTGGACTTCCTGCGTTTGGCACCGGGGTAGCGTCGCCTCCTTGTGGCTTCCCTCATATGACAGATGTCCCCTTTTCTTTTGTTGATTATCTTTCTGCTCTTGATTTCTCTCCCTCTCTACGCAGTAGTAAGCCTATATGCAAATCATATTCTGCCTTCCAGCAATTGGCCCCTCCCATCGTTGTTGAGTACTTGCGTTCCCCTTCTTTTCTGACTGTCAGCAAATCGACAGCAGGTGTAAATGTCGCAACTCTACTTGGTCGAAAGCCTACTGCACAAATATGTCAAGTCATGGTTGGAGCAAGCAGTAACAGCATGACAAGTCTCTTAAGAGCGCTCATATGCATTCGCTACATTATTTATTTCATGAGAATCATAGCCAAAGACTGTAAGTTTAGACTATGGCGCATCCTGACTGGCATTTGCTACCACTAGCAGTTTGCCGCAAAACATGACACCCACCCGCGGGAATGTGATGCATGTACGACGGCTGAATCCTGCAGGGACAAACGTGCAATTCCTGAAGTCCAGCCAAGCGATATCCCGTCGCTAATTAATACTGCCAGGCGTCCGCAGCGTCCACTCAAAGTTGACCTCGCCACCGTTTCCAGGATCCGTGTTGCAGTTCATCTGTCCCTCGACGGTCCCGAAGAACGCACCGTCGGCCGAGCTGGCGATCGAGCTATTCACAACATCCCTTATGTCCTGATCTCCAAGCCTTGAAGGGGATCGAAGAGGTTAGTATACAGTCGTGCGTTTGCCATTTTTCTTCTTCTTTTTGACCGTCGGTAGGAACTCACAGCATGACATTGTTAAGGCCGTCTAGCCTCTTCAGCGCGAACTCGCAGTCGCCGTTGGCCGCCAGCACGAAGAAGTGGTCCGCCAGCGCCGTCGAGTTCTCCCAGTTGGAGAGCTCGTACGTGAAGTGGTAGTCCTTCCACAGGTCCAGCAGCATGTTGTTGCAGTCTGCAACGGGGACCAGCCTGTCGTTGGGTCCAAAGTCTGCCCTGCGTTAGGAGACGGTCTTTGAAAGGAGGCTGGGATGGAGACCTGGGCGGTGCGCTCCAGGAGGAGGAATGGGATGAGTTTAAAGCCCAAGTTTTTGAGTTCAACACGTACAGGTGAAGGAACTGGTGCCGCAGTGATTGCTCGGGGCAGACCCCCACAGGGCGAATCTGCTGGTGGGTTTCTGATACTGAGGATCCGGCGTGCCAGCGGCGATGCCGCAGCAGACGATTGCCATCAGGGAGACGGCGATGAGCAACATCTTGGGAAGCCTTTTGTGTTTCTGGTATGATGCGAAGAAGTTCTTGCCCAGGTGCAGATTGGTATCTGGGTAGGTAGTATTGCGGGAAATTACCCAGATAGCTAGCTCCTAAGGGGTCGGTGTTGACAGGGGGCAGCGGACTTGGAAGCCCTGGATGGCAGCGACTTGAAGCTTTTATCCTTCCTTGGCCATACCGTTTGCCTTGGACCTTCTCATCTCTGGCCGGATTCCCTATTCGCTCAGTGAGTCAATCGTGCATCACAGTATTCACACATGGCCACGCGTTTGAGACCTTTGATCCTTCGTCTGTTTGAAGTAACCGAGGTGGGCTTCCCACCCAGTCATCAGAGACATTCACACTCAAAACCCTGAACGAAGAGGTGGCCATAGGCATGCTGGGCAGGTCGATTCGGATAGAATCGTCGCCCCTGTCGACAATATGCCGCAGGTTTGACGGGCACATGTGCAACGACGCAAGGCAGCCGAGCCGCGACGGCCGAGGGTGGCCTGCTCTACGACTGATTTGGCCAGAGTTCGTGGCCGATGTTTGGACTGATGGTTCCACATTCACAAGAGACGAGCGAGATTCAACGCAGTGATACCATAGTAAGTACTACAGTGAACGTTCCTTAAGAATTACCTGCCTCACATGCCCAGCTCGCGCCGTCGCACAGAAGCCTCACGGAGGCCAACTCGGCTGCCCCTCCCGTCCCTATCTTTCCCTCCGAATTAATGGGTATCTGGTTTCGATTCTCTCAAACGCCGATGTAAAACAAAATACAACGCCTGGTTATGCCTGTTTTGTCTTGTTCTTCTCGTGGTCATGTTCGTGTGGTCCTTGCTCGGGCGGCCCTGCCACAAGTCCGAGGGCGCCCCTGGAACCCCTTCATCAACTGACACCTTATGTCTTCTAGAACCTGGTGAGGTGCGAGGCCGTGGAGTAGATGCTCGAGCGGAACGTGCGGGCCTTTCCGACGTAGGCTGGGTGCAGGGCGGTTGGTGGGCGCTGAGAGAAGACGGAAAATGTCAGCAGGCGCTTCTTGTCTTCTTCTTTCCCCTTTAGATCCAGTTGCCCGCAGGCTTCTCACATACCTGGACGTTGGGCGCGATGGGGCTGGCCCGGCTGCTGCCCTCCCACGACTCCCTGGCGGTGCCGGGGCTCACGGGGCTCACGGGCCGGTTGACGACGTCCTCCTGTTGGTGGTGGCCGGGGTACTGGGCCTCGACGTCGCGCTCTGACATGTTAACGGGGGCGCCAATGGGGCCGCTGATCTGGGGGCGGGCATTGTTGCTGGTGTTCTTGTCCTTGCCGAACATCTTGGTGAAGCGGTTGCTCTGGAAGCCCTGGCCGAAGTTCATGGTGAAGCGGTTGGCGGCCGGGGCCGGGGAGTGGAACTTCTCCTTGCGGATGGAGTTAGAGTGGGTGCTGCTGCTGAGGGTCGAGGCGTCGAGGTCGTAGTCGGGTGGCAGGGTCCTCGTGCGGGCGTTGTAGACGTTGGCACCGTGCTCGCGGATCATGCGGGCAGTTATCCCGTGGGATCCATTGCGGAACAGCACGGAGACCAGGAAGTTGAACATGCCGAAGACGAGGGCGAGGATGCCGGCGGCGAGGGTCAGGCGCCAGAGCGGCAGGGTCATCTTCTCGACCACCTTGTCGCCATTCAGAGAGCCGAGAACCCAGGCTCCCATCGAGACCATCCACACACCCAGCCATGCGAGCGAGTGGCCCCTGTTGCAGGCGTCGACGGTAGAGAAGGTGGGCCAGTTGTTGCGGAAAAAGTCGCGGACAAATCGCGGCTGGGGGAGCTCGGAGACGATGAGGATGAGCGCGAGAACACCGGTGACCAGGTGTGAGAAGGCCGAGAAGAAGAAGAAGCCGTTGTTGACATCGGTCTTGATGACCATGACGATGCTGGCGGCCGAGACGCTGAGCAGGGCGACGATGTTGCAGGCGCGGAGGATCTGGAGTATCCACCACGCAGGCCCCAAGAAGCGGCCACTGTCAGTCATGTTGATCATTTTGGCGATGATTTGATATTGAGAAGTGATTTAATTTGGAAGCTAGGGGACTGTCAGCGAGGCAACATCAAGATGTCTTTGGAACTAGATTTTCATACAGAATGTCTTGAGAGTTTTACTGCCGGCAGTAGTGATGCGCACGTGGGGAAGTAATTAGTGAGTGAGTGAGTGAGTGACGATGGGGCTGGTAATGGTGGTTCCAGATTCTGTCTCGCAGAGTGGAGGAGTAAGAAGAGAGAAGCTGATATCAGAGTCGAGTCCGTGTGTGGTCTCGAAGCTGGGAATGGTGGCGCCAAGTAGAAGGGTTTTAACGGAGAGGCTGCGTCGAGCAGTGCTATTGTGAGGGAACAATGTAGCGACAGTATGAATAGATCCCAAGCATTGTCCACGGCAGGTTGGGCCGATCTACGGTTGGGGGTGTGGGTGTGGTCGACGGGACAATAGGTGAGATGAATGGAAAAGCGGGCAGGTCGTCTTTATTATAATAATAGAGACCAAGCAGGACTTCCTATTGTGGCAGCCGTGTGTGCCCCCGCAGCATCTGGTAGAAGACAGAAAGGGCAGGAAGGAGGTGGAGGAGGAGGCGGCACGAGCAGTCATAGTCATAGTCCAAGCTGGGCCGACCTGCAAGTGCAAGGGTGGCCCGAAGCTCCTTTCATTGAAACAAACGCGGTTCTGTCCAATGGATTGGACCTGAGGCCTTGTTCTAGCTGCGGGAAGAACGGGTGTTCTGGAGCGATCCCAGGCGCCAGGGTGAAGTCGGTTTCATGCAAACAGCGAACATGCATCCAGGGCACCTTACTACTAGCTCTGGCAAATCCTCTCGACGGGCCATGCATGTCACGTAGCACGGTGGCACGGCTGGGCTGCTGCTGGGGGAGTGGACTTGTGCGTTGTGTACGGCTTGGGAGCGAGTTGCCCTGGTGCCATGTGGATGCAGGAGAGGGGTCGAGCTATGGGCCTCGTCGACTCATCGCTGAGGCAGCGTGGGACGGGCAGGGAGCAGCGATACCCAACCGCTTGCCGTCGGTCTGGAAGTTCCCACATCGACGGGGAGGCGACACATGCAGGAGGGAGCTGGCATGCTGGCATAGGGGCGAACTCGAGGGTGCCACAGCACTGTGGTAAGCGCATGATTGCCGTCGAGAGGAGAGGCCTGGATAGGCTCACGAACCCCCGTCGTTCCCTGCCCGGGCAAGGGAAGATGCAAGGGTGCCAACGAACTGGAAGACCTGAGTGTTCGGTGGGGAAGGTTGAAGATCATGGAGCAGGGAGCAGAGCGCGTCCTCAGACAGGCTCGCGATGCGGCGTCGATTGGCTGGCAGAGCCTCCCGGATGTTTCAAGTGGATCTAGCGCCCGGCGTCAAGGTGGATGTGCCTGATGCGCCGCCATGCACTTTTGACTAGCAGCACTAGCAGCACTAGCAGGTTGCCACTGGCCGACTGCAGGCCCTCTGATAAGAACGTGGCACGACAAGTCATCCGAAGACAAACCATCAAGTGCGCCTTGCGATGTGGCTTGTGTGACATTGCATCGTTGCTTTCTTTTCTCTTTCCTTTTCGTCAATGCCGGTCAAGTCGCAGTGGGCCAGGCAGGCACGGATGCAGGCTCCGCCCACTGACCAAAAACCTCAGACGGAGCTTCGACTCGAGACGACATGCAGCACACGTGTTGTGGGGGAATCGCCGTTTCAACCGACGTGTCAATAGCAATATAACTCAATGCTCCCCTTCTTGCGAGGCCTACACGCTGTTGGTTGCGTTTGCTGCACAGGAGCGAAAGAAGAGCCCACCCTCCGTCATCCCGTCACTCCATCACTCACTCCATCACTCCTCCAGCAGTTGGCCACGCAGCAATCCAAGGCCACCTCACGGCCATACCCTGGGCCCTGGGCCTGTGCGACCGGCGCAACCGATCTTGACATACAGATCGAAATTGATGAGGGTGAAATCCTGCTTCTGGGGCTGGTCTGAGACAATCGAGACAATCGAGACAATTTCGGGGGCCAGGAACTCGCTCAACCCGGGCGCTTGTATGAATTGCCGCGAGCCCCTGTCCGACGTTACTTCTTGCTCGTGGCCAGCATTTTCCGGCGCCTGCGCTTCCTTGCGCTTCGATGCAGGCGCCTACACGCGAGCACCTGAGCCCAGCTTACGGCGACACTCAGGATCATCCGAGCGACCAAGGGTTCTTTCTGCCTCTGCCCTGTGTTCATCTGGTTGATCTGGTTCGAGTGCACACCCGCTTTTCGTCGTATGACTCGTCATCATGTCCAAAAAGGAACTGACAAGACCGTGTGATATATGTGCTAGAGTCTTGCCTTGATTTGGCTGTACATGATGCCTGAATGCCTGAATGCCCACTTACACTAGTACCCGAGGCCAGTGGCTTGTGCTATCAATTGCTTGCAGCGAAGATCATGCTGGTTTTGGCTTGCTCCAGTTCCATATTTTACCCCAGACGGCAGAGTCCAAGTTCGTGCCCAAGTTAGTTGGTTGTACGGAGTACGGAGTACCCACCCCCAGACTGTCTATTTGCCATCTACCTAGTGACTTATGTACTCTCAAGAGGCATGTAACTCAAAATCACACAAAATGGATTGTCCGTGTCACTCATCTCGACATCACTGACTGGAATGCACGTCCAGTAGCGCTTGTGATTCGGCGGGTGCATTTGACTGTCGAAAGCGGCCGCCCCCAAGTCATTCATTCCAATGAGGCTTAGCGCGGGTGTCCATGCGGCGACGGGTGGGGACACAGCCTCGCGCTTCCCTTTCGTTCTAGGCCTCGTCCCGACAGCTGACCCGGGGTGGCCGTTGCACGACCGAGGAAGCTCTTTTTCTCCCGCCCTCGACGCACTTCTGCCTGGTGTCACCACAAGCCTCTCCCGCTGAACACCACCTGCTCTGTCGACCTCGAGATCCCAAACACGCACCGCCCCCCCCCCCACCAAGCATCAACAACCATGGCTCGTGGAAACCAGCGCGACAAGGCCCGCGAGGCCACCCAGAAGAAGCTGGCCGCCCAGGTAAGCAAGCCCACCCCAGCGACCAGTCATCTCAGCCCTTTCTGCGGCCTCGATTTCCCCGGCCCAAGACCAAAAAAACCTCGTCACCCTCTTAAGCGCCCAGCGGGCCGCTCTGCAGAGGGGCCAAGCCCTCGCCGCCAGGGCGGCTGCTGCCCGCTTTTGCCGCCGGGAGGAAGAACAAGAAACCACGAAAGAAGAAAGAAACAAGGCCGGACCCGTGGCACAGCCTTGCTAACGCCGTCCTCCTTCCCAATGTGCAGAAGTCCAAGAACACCAAGACCGGCAGCGAGATGCAGCGCGACAAGGAAAAGGTCGCCGCCATGATGCGCGAGAAGCAGGCGGCTGGTAAGGCTCAAACTACTATTCAGGGAGCAGTCTGCCGGCGGGCTGCAACGGCTGGCTCGTTACCTAGGTATGGACTAACCCTCGCACAGCCGACGCCAAGAAGGCCGAATTGGCCGCCGGAAAGAAATAGACGCATCTCTCGACTTCCGGACGGAACATCATCATATCTCACCCGCGGCGGGGGGACAACGACAGTAGCAAGGGAGGAAGGGCGAGGGAAACCCGCGTACCCACCCAACGACCCCTCCACTCCCGGGTTATGGATTCTGCTTTTCAGCATGGAGCAACGGAATGGAATTGGGAAGACCTATTTTATCAACACTGGCGCACAGGTCACATTTCGCCCGCACGAGGCGGCAGCGCGGAGTGGATGTTGGCTGGGCATAAGCTGGGGGCGGCAGAGAAGAAGGGACAAGGCAAGGAGGGCTGTTGTAGCGTTTTTAGGCAGTCCCCCCTCTGGCAATATACTTGTGTCTCTCCCCCCCAGAACCACCCTGTTGTCCTTCTCAAGCGGCGGGCTGCCGGCCTTATCTGGGTACGACCTGTATGTGCGAGCGTGTCGCGGGGAGGACGGAGCGAAGAAGCAACGACGCGCAGGCGAATGGACGATCGTGAGGCTCGGCCCGGATTGATGCCGGGAGGAACATGGTGGTCTACAGAACACTCCAAGAACACGCTTTCCCTCCGTTGTCAGGCTCGACCAAAGCCGGTCGGGTGCAAGCCATCCCGCCGCGAGAACACACGGGTCGAGCGCATAGCGTTTGCACGAGTCCAATCGCACGAACGCGTCCATCTGAACCCATCACCGTTCAAGCAGAGATCAACAGAGAAGGACAACCGACAGCGGCACGACGCCTGGCCCGTCAGACTGGCACCTCACGATGGGATAAGGACGTTGGGGGTGGGAGGAGTCATCACAACTTTTCTACCCGGGATGCCACCGACCGGATGCTCCAAGCACCGTCCGCCCCGGCCACGTGAGCTCGGGTGAAGAAGGCCTCAAGCTTCCTCGCATCCGGACACCCAAGTCGCGCCCGGACGGCGAGCGGAAGCAGGGCGGGTGAGCGAGCGAGCGGGTGAGTGTTATCCTCATTACCGGCTGTTCGTTCGCTGTTGCCAGGTGCATACATATTGTTATGTCTCGGGATCGGGCGCGCCCGGGACGACTCGGAAAGTGGAATCACCCCGTTTCAAAGTGTTTCTCGCCGGAAGCCACCCTCCCGCAGCCGCAGGTTGGGCTTGGCGGTCGCTACAGGACGATGAATCAGGGACGAGCGGGACGACCACGGATGATGAGCGAAAGGGACAGGCAATCAATCCGGAAGGGTGCGCTGCAGGGAAATCCTAAATTATCTGGGTCGGTACGGAAGACGTCCGGTGTTGGGCCCAGGTTCGTCCAAGTTCATTGAAGCTTGGTACGGATACTGAGCATATTGTGAGTAAGGCGGTGATTGCCACACCACCAACAATAGTGTGTTGATTTGCGTGCGCCTGGTTCGCACCACTGTCAACGCCTCTGGCCTTCCACCACAGAAGCCTCGTTGCGGACTAACATCAAGACGCAAATCACAGATGGGAACTCGAGTTGGAATAAAAGGTTGTACTATTAAGGTATCCATCCAGGATACGAACCAGTCATATACAACCTTTCCCCCGCCGCCCCTGTTTATAAAGAGTAAAAAATGGGAGGAAATCTAGCCTCCTGTCTCCGGCGGGTAGCTGCTTAAAAAAAGGGGGATCTCTACAATTCATTCAAATCATCATAAGAAAAAGTCCGACATCCGGGTCGTCCCAATAATCTCCTATAGTGTCCTACAACAGACAACGTGAAATCCTTTTTACGCGGCGGGTGCGTTCATCATGACCTCAGACATGCTTGCTGGGAGAGCACCTGGGGAAAAAGGGATGTTAGAAGGCTGCGTCTTACGATGAAGAAGAAGGGATCCAGGCTCTCATTGCTTACCAGGGAGACCACCGAAAGCACCAACACCCTGAGCCTGGGCGGCAGGGAACGAGCCGGTAGAGCAGGTGACAGCGCAGACGCAAGCACCGTTCTGGATCTGGCCCTGGCCCATGGTAGGAGTGACACCACCAGCAGAACCACCAGCAGAGCCAGAGCCAGAGCCACCGGCCGAGCCACCAGCAGAACCACCAGCAGCAGCACCACCCTCGGCAGGGGGAGCAGCGGGAGGAGCAGCAGCACTGCCGTTACCGCCAGCAGCCGGAGGGGGAGCCTGGCCACCGGTGATACCAGTGCCGGCGCCGGTGCCGTTCTGGGCGATTGCCATGGACTGGAACATGGCCTGAGTCTTGGCGGCCGTGGGGTTGATGGAGAAGGTCATGCCCTTTCCGCAGTGACCCTTTTGCCTGCAGTAGAACCCTGGTTATAACCGATTAGCGACATGAATCCCGAGGCGTGCTGATTTTTGGTGGTGGCAAGCAAATACTTACAGAGGGGAGTGTCGACCATAACTTGCATGGCAACCTGAGGTGGTGGGTTGACAGAGTTGTTGGGGTTGGCCTGGAAACCAGAGTCCATACCACCGGCGAGGGCCTGGCAGGGGGTGTCGAAAGCGGACTGGGTTGCGGTGTGGTTGGCGCTCATGAAGGTGAAGACGACCATGTCACCGACTGCGGCCTTGATCTCGGCGGGGGTGAACTGCAGACCGGCAGCTCCACCGACCATGACCTCGTGCGTCTGGGCGCCAGCGGGGGGCGCGGCCTGAGGGGGAGGGTTGACGTTCATGGTCGGGGCACCGTTGCCCTGGTTGACCCAGATGATGATGACCTCGGTGGCGGCGTTGGTGGTGATGCCGGCGCCGGACAGGCCGAGGGTGAGGAGCTGCTCCTGAGACGCCGAGATCTGCTGGCCGGGGCCCTGCATGCCAGCGAGCACCGTCGCGCCTCCTGACTGTGCCTGACCCTCGCCTCCCTGGCCCTTCTCCGACGACTTCTCCTCTGACTTCCGGGGGTACAGGTCGGTATCCCTCTTCGACGGGTAGACGTTGTGGACGGCCTTGGCCAGGGCGAGCGGCGCGGCGAGGGCCGCGAGAGCTGCGGAGAACTTCATGTTTGCGTTGATGGGTTGGTGATTAGAACTTGTGGTGCGTGAACTTCCAGAGTCGGTAACCTTTGGGTGGTGTAGCGAGTTCCTGCTCGTGAGAAAGAATGACGGGGTATAGAGAAATGGAAAATGAGTGTGTACTCGAAATCTACACGAGCCAGCAGCAAAAGTACGACGGGTATAGAGATGGGGGAAGAAAGAAAGAAACAAACAAGACGAAGGTTTGTGGATGAGGGAAAGAGCTTATATCAAAGCATGGTGGATCAGGAATAGCACTCGGCTGGCCCCCTCCCCTCCCCTTCGGTCATGCTGCTTGGGAGCAGGACAGGATGATGTCTCTGGGCACCCCTAGGCACAGGAGACCATCTCGAAACAGGACCAGCAAATCATCCGTACATGGATCAGCCGCCGGGCACGACTGGGTCCGACCAGACGCAGGCCAGGGAGGCGGCTGCGAGGCTAGGCGGAAGCCTTGTCCAGGTTGTCCATATTGTGCGTGTAAGTGAGGGAGGTACCTAGGTACCGTTTTGTAGTGGGGCCTGGGGGGGGCTGAGGGGGTCGGTCGGTCGGCTAGGACGGACGATTGACTGACTTGCTGCTGGGCATCTCGCAGCAGACCTCGGGAGAGGGCATGGGTTGAGACGCGGCAAGCAGTTGCCATCCCAACCTAAAGCAAAATACGCTTAAGCTGCGGCCCCTGGTTCGGGACCACAGGCTGGGCAAGGGCCCGGTACCAAGCAGCCATACAGCCATAGCAGGCATTCAGGTGCAGCTCCCAGTTTTGTGGGCAATGATGAGACAAGCCATGATGGGGCCGGGGGGCGGGCCAAGCGGGCAGGGCGGGCTTGGTTCTACTTGGTGCTTGCGCTGCATCCAGTGCGCTGCTGAAGCCTGAGGGCCAGAGGGCCAGAGACGGCCAAGCAGGGGTTCCCCGTACGCCGAGGTGTGTGGTGCTAGCTCCCGCCTGCTAACCCCCGTCTTGGGGCCGTAGTGCAGGAGTCGGGCTGTGACAGATCCGTCTCGAATCGTGTTTGGCATTTCGCCGCCACCACAACGCGAGAGCGCCAACCGCCTGGGCGCTAACCAACGACGGCTGCTCGGTGGATGGACGGCAGCAGATCAGCCTGTCAGCACAGTCAAGATGAGAGGGAAATCATATTCATCATCGTCATCACCAGTATCATCATCATGATAATTAACATGCGGATAAGGGCCACCCATCGTCCGAGCTTTTCCTCCCTCTTTCTAGTGTATACTTAACCTTCCGGGTCAAAAGCCATTCATTCAAGATCAGATTCATTAGATTCGCGCCAGAATGGTTCAGACCAACGTAGTAGTAGTAGTAGTAAAAGACTTGCGGCTCCGGCTCCTCCAAATAACGTTTAGAGTTCCCCGCACGACTCCGTCCACCACTCACTAGCCTCGCCCACCTTTAATAAAACTGGTGCATGACAGGCTCAGGGTACCCCCTCAGCTCGGCCGCTGCGCCGGCCCAGACCACATCTCACTGGCCGGCGCCTGCGAGATGCGGGTGTGCAGGCTGTCCTGCAGCACAGCACGTCGTGGGCTCTGCTCGGGTGGGTCTATCTTTAGCCAGGGGATCTGCCTCTTCCGCGTGCCTTGCTTGCACTGGGCAGTAGGAACATTGAACACATATCTCGGCATCTCTTGGCCCCGTGGAGGCTGAGCCCACTCCTTCCTGTCTCTCGTCTCTTCTGGTTAGCTGGCTGGTGGTCCTGGGAGGCCTTCGAACCCTCGACTTGGACCAGTCACCGCACGTGCCGAGGCATCCTCAAACGTCTAAATGCCAGGGGGTGTGCCGGCCCTGGACCAGACGACAACGGGCACACTTCATCTGGTCTCAACTGTGGAGCCGACCTCCTCTACGCCGCGCCCTAACAGGAACCTCGAAAGCGCCCGCGCGGACTGGCCGTCACCTCGCTAGCAGGGCATGTACATCCTCCCCGTCCGGAGTCGATCCAAAGAGCTCTGATGAACAAGAGATAAGGCGTTGGCAAGTTGGGATACCTGAGCGGTTGGAACGTGCACCCCAGACCTGCAGCCCTGCCCACTACTCTGTAACGATGCGGGTTGCCGGCCAACGTTCGAAGGGCCCAATTGTTCGCGACGCATCGGTCACGGAGAATTTCTTCGACGAGACCCCACTCCTCGACGTTTGGTCCCAAATGCCGTCATGCTGCGGCCCCTTTCAGGAAGCCATCTACAGACGTGCATTGGTTCATGTGGAAACAAGGCCTGCCTGCCCACGCAGCCACGCTGGTTATCTCCTACACCAGGGTCGCGCTCGGTGAGGGGGCTGACAGGTCAGGTCAACCAGTCGTTTTGATTTTTGAAATTTTTGAAAATCTTCTTGTCCTTCCTGGAATCTCCATTTCCAAATGGCCGAGCCTGTCGGCCCCCGGTCGGAAACGGATGGGGCGGCGATCCGGCCCCGGGGGAAACATGGGACGTTTACGTGAAGTCATAATCACCAGATTTCGGGGGTACGCTAGTACATATTCCGTATGCCTGCTAGAGATTACCATCGTGCAAGGGCTCTAGAATGATATCCACCACAGTATTCATGAACTGGCAGGCTAGATTATCTCGATCATTCAGGTGTAAGCCCCCCTCGCAATGTTTTCAGGCCATGTGGGAAAACCCCGTGTCACGCAGCCTAGAGAGTAACTTTGTTTCGTCTTCTGTCATGGCCAAGTACTTGAGTACACACTATGATTGCACAGCACGGGTCCTGACGAGGTCGACGCCACCATCTGAATCGTTCAAGCCTAATGTCCCTTGCCGAGAAATTGAGGTGAACGTCTGTTCGTAGTTTTGCCCAATCTTTTACAGGACGAGAACTCTACAACACTTTCCCCCCCTACTAGTCCTCCCCAACGTGGTTGCATGGGCCACGGACAGCTTAGCTCTGCTGCCGGCCCAGCAGGCTAGCAGGCTAGCAGCACAGCACGTTCCCCCTCGCTGCTGCAACGCGAGCTGTTACAGAAACCCCGTCCTGAAGGTCGATCAGGGGAGGTTTGGATAAAGGCGCTCACCCCTAGCCTTGCGCTGCCTTACTCGACAGTAGTATACCCAAAGTCCCGCTTGCGGCGCTGGCAGGACGCCGAACTCCCGGCCAGCAAGATTTGTTTCTCGTCACTAACAAAACTGTGCCATGGCTTGGTCGTGCCCCGCCGCGCCTTCGTGCCGGCTTGCATCCGATGCTCAGCCTCCACACTGATATATGCTGCTGTGCAGGCTCCCAGGCTCTCCCACGCCTCGACTCCCATGCCGTGATGCGCGATGCAGGCCTTGGTAAATGGCGATCACGGCCGGGGCTGATGCTGCCTGCCCTGGCTTATTGCTGGTCCTGGCGGGTCTGCTTGCCTTCGTACAAGCCCGTATAGTACCCGGCGTAATACCAGGACATGAGGAGCCTCTTCAGGCCCTCATCTTGCACTGGGTGGTTCCAATAGTGTCAGTCCTCGCAATCTCGGGGGCCGGGCCTTGCGAAACAGGTAAGAGCAACAAGAAAGCAAATTGCGCGCCCGCTTATCCTTTGAAAAAGACGTACCAGAGCCCATCAGAAACTGTGGAGGGGCCATGTTTCCTCCGCCGGCGCCCTCACCCTGGCCCTCGCCGGCGTGTCTGCCATCGCCACTACCACCGGCCACGCCATCGTTCATGCCATCCTATGTTGCCGCGGCCGTGATAGGCCCGCCGTCAGTAATCTGGATCGCCAGGTGGGACACGCAAGGCTTCAGATGCCAAGCTTTTGTGATCTGCTGCGATTGCCTCTGGGGTGAGGGCAATCAACCAGGCGGGAATAGGTTTGGCGCCTTTCGCCTGTCTCTTTCCCTCCTGCAGCCGTCCATTATTATGCGGCGCACTTACCTTGGTAGCATCATCTGTGCTTCCCGCGGCGATCTGCTCGCGCTGCTCCTGAGCCGGCTGGTTCTGGGGTGCATTTTGGTCCGATGTCAGTGCAGCAGACGACCAGACGGGCTCAGACTGATGGTGTGTCCCGCTCGTTTCAGGCTTGGCATCCTGTGAATACCTGCGACGGCGCGTGAGCTGAGCAGGTTCGGCCAGCGAGAAGACGAGAGAAAAGAGAGTTCGGACCGGTCTGAAGGTCCTCCCCCTCCTGGGCTGATGGCTGTCGCACGTACTCGGGAAGGTCCTCCAGCTTTCCTCCGCTTGCATGAATGCTGTGGTATTTCTACGCTCACCGATTAGTCTCAATTCGCAAAAGAGGAGGGGTTGGTCGTCGTCACCGTCGGCAGTGGCTTCCGCAACACAACGTACCTTGTACTCGTCCAAAGCCTCATCCCAGGACCTGATCAGGGCGGAGTCGTCCCAAACATCATCATCTGCCATCTCAATTGCCTGCCCTTCCATGTCGGCAGCGGTTGTCCAGCACGGTCGGTGGCGACGTTTGTGGGTTGGACGGACGAATGGGCGGCCTTGTTGTCGGGCTGTCGATTGAAATTTAGGAGGCGTCTGAGCTTTTTCAGGCAACTGCCGCGTGCGGTTTCATGGAAGCTGCAGCCACCGCCGACCCGGGTCAGAAAGAGGTCGACTTCACGCACTTCATTCGTTCGTTATTCTGTCAGACGGTGATTCAATCTCTGACAGCACCAGCCCTGCGTCGTTTTGCGTGTATTACTCAGATCGCATCGTGCACTACAGGTTTTAGTCGAGGGCCCATTTCGTGGTCGATGGATGACGCCTTGGCAGCACCACAACGCTTAGTAGAGCCATGCTATGTCTCTCTGTTAGAGAGTGGATGTTGACATTGTTTACTGTCCAATCCCAAAGAAATGACTTCGAATATTTCGAACAGGAGAGATGCAACCCCACTAAATGGGGAGCCCGAGGTGAGGTTTAACTGTACTAATTGGGCTGACCGATCACCTTTCGCCGGTCAAATATGGAAACCAGGTTCGCAAGGCTCATACGACGACCCCAGCTTTGGGCATCGACGACAGAAACATCTAGACCCTCAGACGCCGGCTTATAGGGCAACAATCACAGTTCAGGGCTCGAGTCTATCGAAACTCAAAACGATCGGGGAGGACGGACTCCCAAGGCATGACCAGGAACCGCGGAAACAGAAGCATCGGTGAGTCAATCCCGTAAACTTTCCCGGCCGGAGCACACTGGGCACAATGCTATTGCCACTGATTACAGGCGTCCAAAATGTTGACATGAGGCATTGTAGACCCACGGGAACACAACATTGTCTCACATGGTGATCTACGAGATATCTACCAAGAGGGCGGGGCCCGTTATCTGGCAGATGTAGCCTTTGTGATATCGGCCACCTACCTGCATGCTGTGCTACAGGACCCTTCCGGCCCGCGAGCCCAGTTACCACCGGAAGACAGCCCGGCGGGTTCGGGCGACAGTCACCCCGCGAGACCTCAACGCGGGGTGTTTGGGTGTGCTCAAGGGCACCTCGGGTGGTGCGGGATCGCATACGAATGGAGGGCGGGCGGACAGAGGACCGGTGGGCAGAATGGGGTGATATCCCAAGGTCTCGAACCGCATCGGCCGAGGCGCCTGATCGGCATTGCCTTCGCCGCGATGCCTCCCTCGCTTGGAGGATGCGGCCCCGCTGCTTGGCCTCGCTGCTTGGCGCCTCGTCCACGACGGAACCGTCGAGAGAAGGTGGTGGAGGAAGCAGAAGACGAGGCTCGTGATGTACCAGTATCTCGTGTGCAGATTTGCAGTTGGTCATGCAAGGCCCAGAACCATCTCATTGCCGAGTGACAGGACCCAGACCACCAATGGCCACGGCGGCGAATGCGTGTAAGTGGGGGTTGACTCTTGAGGAGAGAGGGTCCGATGTAGGCACCCAATGGCACTCTGCCGCTGTTGGGTCCTTCTAGAATGCCCGCGTCCAGCAGCTAGCTCCATCTGGCCTGGGGGATGTGGGGAAGCTTCCCCGGAACCTTGCCTCCTGAGAGCACCACCCTCAGCCCCAACGTCATCCCATCGCGTCGCCCGCGGCGTCGGAGGACAGGTGAGGGTGGCAGTACTGCGTGGTAGCAGCTGGACGGGGGAGCTTTACCAAATAGGATTTAGGAGGCAGGCTCGTCAGCTTGTTGGGGAGCAGCAGGAGCAGCCTGCAAAAAGCAATGAGATCCTCCCTTCGCCCTCTGATTGAGTGTGCCCCGGTGAAATCATATGGCTCGCCACATCCTTGAGAGCTTGCGTGTTGGTGCCCGATACCTTGCGATACTTTACATCAGGATCCTTTACACCGGCCTACCCGTGGCTTCGTAGCTCACGTCGCACAGCAGAACTCACAAGACAAGCTGACTGCAGCAACATCGTTCTTGCCGTCTGGAGTCTGCCAACCGATCTGCAAGGCACGTCTAGAACTATCCCAAGTGGCTCCAAGCGGCTTGGAAGTCGCATCTGATTCACAATGCCGCCCTTGTCAGACACGAACCTGCCCACAACTGAGGAGTTAGTAGTCAGCCTTTAAGACTCGAAGCTTGCAACAGCATCGCACAAGCTTGGACTTGACACCCCTCTTGCAGCAAAGCAGCAGCTGACACGTGAGACAAAATGGACAGACACCAGGAACACTTCATTGGTATCGACGTCGGCACGGGCTCTGCCCGGGCTTGTATCATCGACTACTCAGGAGAGATCAAGGGCCTGGCCGCTCAGGAGATCAAGCTGTGGCAGCCTGTGAGCGGGTATGAGGCATCGCACTATGTGAGTGAGCGCACCGGGCCACGTCGACTGGACAAAGTACTGACGCAGTCCTTGTCATGCAGGAGCAATCCACCACAGACATCTGGAACGCAATCTGCTATTGCGTGAAGAAAGTCGTTGCAGACTCTTCCGTCAAGCCAGACACCATCAAGGGCATCGGGTTCGATGCGACTTGCTCACTGGCGGTTTTCACACACGACACAGATGAGCCAGTCCCTGTTACTGGTCCCGACTTCACCAACGATGGCAACGACCGCAACGTCATCCTCTGGCTCGACCACCGCCCGATTGAGGAGACGGAGAAGATCAACGCGACCGGCCACAACCTCCTACGCTACGTCGGCGGCACCATGAGCGTGGAGATGGAGATCCCAAAAGTGCTCTGGCTCAAGAACCACATGCCCGCCGAACTGTTTGACCGCTGCAAATTCTACGACCTTGCGGACGCCTTGACACACCTGGCCACAGGGAACGACACCAGGAGCTACTGCAGTACTGTCTGCAAGCAGGGCTTCGTGCCCGTGGGAGTCGACGGAAGTGTCAAGGGCTGGCAAGAGGACTTCTACCACTCTATCGGCCTGGGCGACTTGGTGAAAGACAACTTTAAGCGCATGGGAGGCGTGGACGGGGTGGTGAGCCCCTTTTCTTTGAAACCCCCCCACCCCCAAATGTCACTACTCGGTTCAAAAAGCACGACCCGCTGACCAGATACTGCAGAACGGCACGTACGCAAGCGCAGGAGAGCTTGTTGGGCCGCTATCAGAGAAGGCTGCGAAGCAGCTTGGCCTCCCCGCCGGCATTGCCGTGGGCAGTGGCGTAATTGATGCGTACGCCGGATGGATCGGAACCGTGGGCGCTAAGGTCAAGCTCGGCCCGGATCATCTTGACGAGAGTCAAGCCAAGAACGACCTGAGCCAGGCCTTCACGCGGCTGGCTGCTGTGGCGGGAACCTCGACCTGCCACCTCGCCATGTCCAAGGACGCAGTCTTCGTCCCTGGTGTCTGGGGCCCGTATCGAGACGTGCTGATCCCAGGCCACTGGATGGCGGAGGGCGGGCAGTCGGCGACAGGCGAGTTGTTGAAGTACATGCTTGAGACGCACCCGGCGTACACCGAGACACTTGCCAGTGCCAGAGCACTGGGAAAGAACATATACGAGTTCCTCAATGACAGCCTTCACGAGCTGAACGCGAGGATGGATGCCCCATTCATGGGCTACCTCTCCCGCCACTACTTCTTCTACGGCGACCTCTGGGGAAACCGCTCGCCTATTGCTGACCCCAACATGAAAGGTGCGGTGATCGGCATGAGCAGCGACAAGACGCAGGACGGGCTGGCAATGCTGTACTACTCGGTGATGGAGTTCATCGCGCTGCAGACGCGGCAGATCATTGAGAAGATGAACGAGTCCGGGCACACGATCCTCAGCATCTTCATGTCGGGGAGCCAGTGCCAGAACGACATCCTGATGGACCTTATCGCCACGGCCTGTGACATGCCCGTGCTGGTGCCCAAGTACGTCAACGCGGCGGTCGTGCACGGGGCGGCAATGCTGGGGGCCAAGGCTGCCAGCGCCGACAAGGATGGTAAGACGGAGCCGCTGTGGGACATCATGGACCGCATGAGCAAGCCGGGCAAGACGGTTCGGGCGGACGCGGACCCGGCCAAGAAGAAGCTCCTGGAGGCCAAGTACAAGGTGTTCCTGGAGCAGTGCCGAACTCAACGGGAGTACAGACAGCAGGTTGACGCAGCTCTCGAGGGCATCGTGAACGGCGGCGCCAACGGGAACAAGAAGTAGCAGTAGGCCAAAGAGACGACTTCATGTGTGCTGGCGTGCCATTTGTGTATGATCAAGACTAAGTCGAGTTGCTGGGGGAAACCGAAATGACAAGGCAGGCGTTGGGCTTGGTTCGAGGATTTGACGGAGAACTGTCATGAACGGGAATGCAGTTCTGACCTTATTGCTGAACACATGTTACAAAGGATTGTGCACAAGCACTGCGCAGTGCTGAGTACCTAGGTACTGAGTACTGTTAGACCACTGCAGCTGCTTTGTTAGGTGTGGAGCTCCCTTTTACCTGGCCCCAGCTCCAGCTCCATCCAGCTTGGCCAAGTAAATTTTGGGCCTCAGCATTTTGCCGGCCGCGGGCAGCCCAGCAACCACAGGACTGGCCGCAGCTTCCCAGCGCCTGGAACAACCCCAGACCTATGGTAAACAAAAAAAGTTGCTGAGACAGCCGCGCACTTGACTCTTCGCAACGCGTGCAGTCGACGTGTCTCCCCGTCCTGTTCTGCTGCTCGCCACTTCGCAGGCCGTCACTGCATACCTCGCTGCAGCTATCATGTCTCTTTTCGGCAATCTGAACACCGGGGCGGCCAGCCAGCCAGCCTCCAATACTGGAGGAGGCCTGTTTGGCGCCTTGGGCGGTGGAGGCCTGCTGGGCGGCAACACCAACACCACCACCGCCGCCAACCAGGCGACTGCCAAACCAAGTGCCTTTGGGCCTGGGTCGACTTTGTTTCCCCCGCAGAGTACCAGCTCAGCTCCGGCCGGGGGCGGCCTGTTTGCGTCCACAAATCAGCCGGCGACGACCTCTGCAACCAGCCTGTTCAGCGGCAGCACGGCAACCACGGCGGCGCCCAGTCTCTTTGGCACAACCCCGGCGAACCAAACACAGTCCAACGCGTCGAACAATCTTGGAAAGAGCCTATTCGAAAACTCCATCAATACCCAAGCAGCCAATGCGAATGGCGCGAACCAGCAAGCTGCCCCGACCGGCGCCTTCTTCGACAGCCTGCTTGCCAAGAATAAGAGGGTCCAGTTCGATGATGGAAACACGGCTATGGAGGACCTGCCCAGCTTGCACCTCGGCCTGGGGGATCTGAGGCAGCGCCTGCGCAAGCTCGGCCCCAAGGCAACCCCGGGCGACCGCCAGATTGACGGCCGCGCGCACTACCTCCTTGCTGCCTCCGGCGTCGACCCCGGCACCGCCGTGCGCGATCTGGGCTCCCTGGGCTTCCAGACCTCGAGGCTTGACCGGTCTGTCTACGGTGGAGCTCAGGGCGAGGTTGACGTCGAAACCTATCTCTCGAACTTGCAGAACAAGACTACATTGAGCATGATCGCAGACGGGCTGGAGAGGTCTGTCAGGGACTTTGATGCGTTCTTGGAGGACAATGTCACAATGGAATGGGAGGCACAACGGAGACGCATCTACGAGCACTTTGGCATCAAATCAAAATCCCAATCGGCTGGTGGTCCGGGAGCGTCGCCGGGGAGGGAGTCCAGGGGTGGATTCGGCAAGTCGCGACGCAAGGGTGTGCTCTCGTCTGGCCCGGATAAGTCGACAACAAGAGAGAGCGCATTTGGACGATCAGGTCTTGGGAGGTCTGTCATCGGAACGCCCAGCAGGATTGGCGCCCATTCTTCCGAATTTTCAGACGTCGGAAGCGCTGGTGCTGGCAGCGGCCCGAACGGGACTGATGACCGGTTCCTGCGCGAGAAGCAACTCAAGCTGGCGGAGAAGATTCATCAACTGAACGACGCCCGCCAGCAGGCGCAAGCTGTTGCCTACCCGATCCTCAACGAGCTCGCAGAGGTCGAGTCGAAAACCGGTGACCGGCACGGCGAGCATCTTGTTGATGCTTACCGCGCCATGGTGCAGATTGTGGGGGAGAACCCCGATGCAGACTCTCCGGGCGCAGATGCTACGGCTAGCGAGCGACAGTTCTCTAGCGTCTATCTCAGCGTTGAGCCGAATACGCCGGGGGCAATCTCTCTTCGCAAGCGGATTCTGGCTGGTGCCAATCGGTTCCTCGAGAAGAAGTTCATGGACCAGATTGAACAGCAGATAGCCAAGAACCCGCTCAATGCTCAACTTGGTGGGCGACCGGACGTTGTCAGCAAGACCAAGGCATACGTACGCCTTCTGGCCCAGGGCAAGCACCTTGCCCCCGACAACACAGATCTTCAGTCGATCAGGAGGGAAGGCCAGGATGAGTATGTCTGGGCAGTCATCTTCTATCTGCTCCGGTCAGGCCATGTGAACGAGGCCGCGCGTTATGTCAACGACAACCAGAACCACTTCAAGAGTATCGACCGATCGTTCCCCGCCTTCATGAGCGACTATGCCACGAGCGAGGAGCGGCGTCTGAAGAGGCAACTTCAGGACAGGTGCAACACTGAGTTCAGTCAACGCATCCGCAATGCTCCTGACAACTCGGTCGACCCGTATCGTGCGGCTTGCTACAAGATCATTGGCCGCTGCGACCTGAGCAACCGCAGCTTCGAGGGTTTCACTGCAGACGTCTACGACTGGATGTGGCTGCAGTTCAACCTCGCTCGTGAAGGGGACCGCTCGGTGGAGATCTGGGGGGAGACGTTCGGGCTGGCCGAGGTGCAGAACACCATCAAGGAGGTCGGCCTGAAGTACTTCCCCAAGAACAATGTCGACGATGCTAATGGCAACTTCGGCATGTTCTTCTTCATGCAGATCATGTCGGGCATGTTTGAGCAGGCAATTGCATACCTGTACTCGTTCTCCTACGTGGACGCGGTCCATTTCGCGATCGCGCTGGAGTACTACGGGCTGCTGCGGGCCTCGGACTCGATGACGGCCAACAACGACCTTCTTACGCACAACACACGCGAGCGACCTCAGATCAGCTTCGGGCGGATGCTGGGCTTCTACACGCGTGACTTCCGTGCGGGCAACGTCGCAGCGGCAGTTGACTACATCATCCTGATCTGCCTGAACCTCGACGACCCGAACCAGGAAGCCGGCAGGCAGCATGCAGAGCTGTGCCACGAGGCGCTCCGCGAACTCGTACTGGAGACGAGGGAGTTCAGCAAGCTGATTGGCGACATTCGACCCGACGGAAAACGCATTCCGGGAATAATAGAGAACCGAGGGTCCCTGATCGGCCTCTCTGACGAGCGGGAATTCGTCAGAAGCATCACGCTGCAAGCAGGCCGTTTCGCGAATGACAATGGGCGGACGACAGACGCAGTGCTGCTCTACCACCTGGCCGAGGACTACGACACGGTGGTGGCCATTGTCGGCCGGGCTCTGAGCGAGGCCATCTCGCTGGAGGTGGGAGGGGAGCCCCTGCGGCTTCAGCCAGTCAAGCCACGTGTCGAGGACGGCCGGGCTGGAGCAAATGCGAACAACAGCCTCAGCCTGGCGTCCATTGACGACCCTGTGGAGCTGGCAAGGACGATGATGCACATGTACGAAGGGGAGCGGTTCTTCCGGGAGAGCATACAGGAGGTGAACCGCATGGCGTGTAGCGTGCTGCTGCAGATGTCGGAGATCAAGAGCCTCGTCGGGGCTGGCTTGTGGGTGCAGGCCCTGGACGTAAGTTGACACGAGCCCCGAACGAAGGAGCGATGAGATATGAAGCAGAAAGCTAACATGGAATCAAAACAACAGGCAATCAAGCACCTGGAGATCCTGCCCCTGACGGCAACGGGCGACCCATCGGCAATCCGGGCGTACGCAGCTAAGTTCGCAAGCCTGCCGCAGGTGGTTGCGGCGAACGTGGGCAATCTGCTGATGTGGACGGTGATGTGCTGCACGCGGCAGCGAGAGAAGCTTGGCAGCGGGCAGTTCAGCGGCAACGAGAGCACGTCAAGGGACCTGCAGGTGCAGCTGAAGCAGATGAGCATCGACCTGACGGCGTACACCAGCCAGCTCCGGTACAGGTTCCCGGCCCACCTGCTGGAGGCGCTGGCGAGGGCATCGGCCGACTGAGAGGCGTACGAGGTTTCATGAGCAAATGATAGAATTGGCAGGCACAGGGAGGGTGGTTTGGGGTAGGCAAACATAATGTGTACAACAGATAGTCACAACCCGGCGAACAAATACTTGGCCTGGCCACTCCCATGACGATTTATGATGGTGGACGAGGTCAGGTGGTGTAGTGTGGTAGCCATTGCGAACCAAGCAAGCCAAGATCTGAGACGGCAAGGGTTGTGATGAACGATGGCGACAGGCCCCTGAGGCCGTGGGGGATAGACCCGAGGTAGGTGTGCAATGGTCGACAATTACTACCCAATGCAGACAGACCACTGGAGCAAGGTATCATCCAAGGGACCTAGCTGGCTAGCTTGGACAGCTTCGGACAGGGGGAACACCCAGGTCTGCCGAGCCGTCCTACCGTAGCTCCCAAGGCTCCGTAGCTGGGTTGCTGCGTAGCTGTGTAGCTTGCATCATGGCAGGCAATTGGAAACTGGTGCACGGCCTGGCTGCTTGGTAGGCAAGGTAGGTAGCGTGGCACTATGGGTCCAGCTTGGTACCAGCGCTTATCACTTGCCGTTATCAGGGCGAAAGCCGACCATGAGGCGGACTGGGGCGGACTTGGGCGGACAGGTGCGCCGATGAAGCTCGAGCAAGCAGGGATGGCTGCAGTATTGGGGGTGGCCAGAAAACCCAGAGAACCCCGAGAACCCAGGAATGGGGAGATTCGAAAGCCAAAATACAGCGCCCCTGCCCTGGACCTGGACCTGGACCTGGACCTGGACATGGACATGGACATGGACTGTGCTCTCTGCCCAGGGAGGCGGGAGGGAGGAAAGAGCGAGCCAAATGTGCGGTGGCCCGGTGGGAGAGCAGGAGAGAGAGAAACTAGCAAATTGGACGGGCGCTCAGAGAAGACCGACAAGAAAGAAAAAGCTTCTCCCCCGTTCCTGGACTGACTCGGTCTGCATGTTCTCCTCCTCAGTCCACCATGCCCGCTCTGATTCATTCCCGCCCTCGAAATACTGTCCTGTCTGCCCCGTCAGTAATAAGCACTCCTCACATCAAGCAGCAAAGCAGTACGGCGCGGGAATAATCAGCCCATCTGGGACCTGCATCGCATCTGCACCGGCACCTGTGTTCCATTTCTGACCGATCACACTACTCTGCCGTCGGCTGCCGTGCCACATGACATCGGCGCGCCGAGCCTCGATCCGACCCGATCAGATCTGATAGCCTGACCCGCGTGCTGTGTAGAGGGGCAGCAGGAGAGGGAGAGAGAGAAGAAAAAAAAGTCAAAAAAAAAAAAAAAAGAGCAAGGCAAAAAAATTGACAACGGCGAAAAAAGGTGACATTCCCTAAAAGAGGGACTATCCCAAACTCAATCCAGAAACGGAAGCACCCCAGCACTCGCCTGGATCAGCCGTGCGTTCCTCGGCCTGCGAATCTTTGCCGTGCCGTCTGCTCGAACCGGCTCGACTCGTCGTCTTGAGGCTCAAGTCGAACCAACGACTCGGCTCTTTCTAGGACGACCCTCTTCCCCGGATCGCCAGCAACGACGCGACTCAGGTTCTTCACGACAGAACGCGTCGGCCCGCTCACGGGTCTCCAAACCGGGCATCGTTCCTGACTCTGCTTGAGTTTGTCCCTGACTCCTTGGTTCACCCCGAGGCCTGAGACTGAGCCGGAGCCTGGGTCTGGATCTAGGTCTAGATCTTGTCAGACGGGCCGCCACGGAGATCACGGAGACGTCAACACCATATCCTCCTTCACGGGGCACGTGGATGGTGCAGGGTCCCAGTGACGTCGGACTGGGGCTCGGGATTGGGTTGGGTCTGGGTCTGGGTCTGGGTCTGGAGTCGAAACGGAAACTGCCAACGCCGCGCTCTTCTTATTTGCTACTCCTGTCACTGCCTCCATCATCGTCAATCTCACCGTCGTCGTCGCCAGCATCAGGGGATGTCCAACAACTCGTCAATCACAGCTGCATCTCCGGCGGGAGGAACCCGTGGTAGCCATGCCCGCGCCAACAGCACCCAGGGCGAGTCTGTCGCCGCGGGCGTGAAGAGGGAGAGGGTTACTGACGCCGCCGCTACCTCACCTGCCCAGTCGCCAGCCGCCTCACAGCATTCAACTCCTGCCCCGTCCTACGCCTCTGGCTCTGGGCCCGAGCCCAAGAAGCGCAAGTCAGCTGCTCCGGGCTCCCGAGGTGTTGCGAACCTGACCCCCGAACAGCTCGCCAAGAAGCGTGCAAATGGTACGTTCAAGCTTTGTCTCGAAACTGGATCCATCTATGCAGGTCTTGACATATCTCCCGAGAGCTGCATGGGTCTCTTGGCGTGTTTTGCTTGCCTTTGCTTTGCTTTTCTGTTCTTTTCTTTTTGGTTATGGTTCTCGGTACTGCGGTGGATAAGCATGCCCTGGGGTGGAGCTCATGTTGACTGACGTCGAATCACAGACCGTGAAGCGCAACGCGCTATAAGGGAGCGGACCAAGATGACCATAGAGAACCTCGAGAACCGCATCAGGGAACTGACCAGCCAACAGCCCTATCAGGAGCTCCAGGCGGCCCTCAGGGCCAAGGAAGCTGTCGAGGCCGAGAACGCAGACATCAAGAGACGCCTGGCCTCCGTGGTTTCCATGCTGCAGCCCTTGATCAACTCATCCCACAATGAGCACCAACCGGTCTTACCTTCCCCTGGTCACTCCTACCTCAATGTGTCTGCCACGACAGATCCAGCGCAGGGCACCGCCCACCACAATGCGTCGACACCGTCAAGCGCCGCATCACCGACTCAGGACCCCTACGCAGCTCAGTGGAACTCCGCGGCCTCCACCAGCAGTGGGCCTGTGACGGCGCAGGCTCAGGCATACAAGACACAGCTCAACCAGCAGCGTCATGACCTAGCTCACGGGTTGGAGTTTGGTACTGAGCGGTTAGGCTTGGAATTTCTGCTCGACCAGTCCCAGCGTGCCAGAGGAGGTGTCCAAAATGTGACAAACGGGACACCGCAGGAGTCTCCTGCGTTCCGCCAACATGCCCCAGCACCAAATTCCTCTCACCCAAACTCGCCATATGCGAACTCTGTCGGTCGGGGTGGCGGAGACTATGTCACCGCCCCGAGAAGTGGTGGCATGGACAGCAACATCGACCCGGCCTTGCAGGGTGCTATCGACCCAGCCCTGGCCAATTACTCCACGCCGATAAAAAACTGCTCGCCCACCTGCCCTCTGGACAGTCTGCTCCTGGACTTCCTCCATGAGCGCCGCCAACGCGCCGCCGAGGGTCTGCCCACGCAGGAAATCATCGGTCCGCGCTACCCCAGCGTTTCGTCGTTACTCAACCCCCTCAAGGACTCCCATCCGCTCTCAAAAGTGTTCATCGACATCTTGCAGACATTCCCTGACATCTCACAGCTCCCTGAGCGCGTGGCGGTGCTGTACGTCATGTTCCTGCTGATGCGGTGGCAGATCCACCCCTCGCAGGAGAACTACGAGCGGCTCCCCGACTTTGTGCGGCCGCTGCCAGGCCAGCTGTACACGCCTCACCCGGCGTGGCTTGACTCGCTGCCGTTCCCGGCCATGCGCGAGCGGCTCATCACCGACTACGCGCCGCCCGAGACCTTCCCCTTTGAGCACTTCTTCATCCCCTTCACGACCACCCTGAGCCTCAACTGGCCCTACGAGGACACCGACACGCTCCTGCAGAGCCCCGAAAGCGACGAGCTCATGATCAACCCCGTCTTTGAAAGACACCTGCGCCGCCGCGAGAACTGGACCCTGGGTGAGGCCTTTGCCCGCGCGTTTCCCCGGCTCGAGGGCACGTACAACCTCAAAGTCGACGGGGCTGGAGGCACCGGTGCCCGTGGCGGGCGCAACAGCTCCGAGGGAATCTAGGGGCTCGGGGTTGTGCTCGCTGGCGGGGCCACCGTCTTCGGGCAGGAGGACTCGGTGGGGATGGGTTTCGGCGTTGGTCTGGTCAAAAAGTTCTTCTTTTGCATGTGACATGTGAGGTGCATATGTGTGTGGTGTGTATGATTGTCTGCATCTCCTTTTCCCCCATGGCCTGGGTTCTCAGGTGTTTTGAGGTTGGGCTGTGCCGTCTGCGTGTGTGCTTTTTCTCCTCTTGGCATGTGCGTGGAGGTTGTCTAGAGACTAGAGATGTCCTTTATTGTTTCTTGCATGAGATGGTGCGCTTGCATTGTGTGAGGGTGTCTATTGTGGTTTTTGTTCGGAGCCGTGAGTCGGTCCGTGGCTGGGTGGGAAAGTGGTTCTGCATATGCATATAGCAAATCAATCGACCGTGTGGGTTTGTTAGCGATCATGGCAGGCATGGCATTTCCAGAATGGCAACCAAGGAGCTGAGAGAGATCAGTCTTTACAAAGATTACTACCGCAACACTCCGACGTCCCGATCAAGATTCGTCATGTCATACCAGGGCCCCTATAGTCTGGCAACCCCTGGTTCCTTGTCCTGCGAGGAGGATAGCTCCTCGTATTCTATCAGGTAGGAGGCCAGGAGACGCTCCTGTAAAAGATATTCTTGCCGGAGATTATCTCGTAGGAGGCCATTCTTCAGAGGGTCTCGTTTCATACAGATTCCGTAGCCGCGTAGCGGATACACAGGCAGAGCTCGTTTGATTCATCGACATGCACGCTGGGGTATCTAAGTGTGAAAATACGCGTGCTTCCTTCTGCTTCCCCCAGAGGCCATGGAGGTCCACCAGGAGCCAGCATGCCTCAGCCGCAGCAGGGGGAGTAAGCTTAACCATTCTATAGCCGGCTAGCAGGCTGGCTGCTGCTGCTGACCTGACCTGACCTGACCTGACCTGACCTGACCCATTCATTTCTCCTCCTCAGCCTAGCCCTTGGCCATCACAACCACAGCTCACCAGTCCTCCTCGCCGTCCCCAACCCCAAAGGTGAACTTCTTCACCACGGGGCCCACGCCCACAAACAGGCTGGCCTCCTTCTCCCACGGCAGCCTCTGGAACTGCAGCGCCCTGACGACCCCTCCGGCCCCGGTGCCGGGGGCCTTGAGCACACGGGGGTCATCGACGTCCCCTGCCCGCAGCCTCCGCCCCGTCCGCAGCGAGAAGATGCCCACGGTGCCGTCGCCCAGCGCCGCCGCCGCGATCCCGCCCCCGCCGCTGCCGCTGCCACACGGCCCGCCCGCGTCGTGCGTCACGTCCAGCCCGATCTGGATGTGCGCCTCGTTGCTGTACCCCGGAAACTGCACGACCGGTTGCGCGATGTTGTTGTTGTTGTTGTTGTTGTTGTAGTGGCGGTTGTTGTTATTCCTATAGTCGTTCCTACCGCTGTTTGATGGGTGGGAGGAGGACCTGCGTGGTGCGGCCCAGCGGGTATCGTAGATGGCCATGGCGGACCGGGGCCCCGCGACGAGAACACGGTGGTCGTCGAGGCAGCGCACGTGTGCGGCGCTGCTGACGTGCCGGAACGAGTCCCAGCCTGCGTCTCCTCCCGGCGGGGGCGCACGCATGTCGACGCGGAAGACCCGGCTGTCGCGGCAGCCGGCGTAGCAGACGCGTGGGTTGGAGGGTGAGTAGTCGACGCTGAAGACGTCGCGAAGCAACGCCCTTGTTCCCCCGCCTCCACGATGATGATGATTACCGCGGCGGGAGGAGGAGGGGGACAGTTGCAGGTTTGCTGGGGGCTTGGGCGTCACCCAGTTGATCTCGCCGTCGAAGCTCATGATCCCGTGGCTGGTCGCGATCAGGGCCTCGGTTCCGGAGCCAGAGGTCGAGGCGGGGCAGGCGCGGACGGTGTGTATTGTGAGGCCGCGCACGGGCGAGGTATAGGAGACGTAGGCGGACGTTTCGCCCAGCAGCCAGGTTGGTCTCCGGCTACCAAACTGCCTCAGGAACCAGCCGTCGCGCTCGAGGGCCGGTAGTTCGGCGGCGAGGGCAGGCTGGAAGAGGTTGATCCTGCCTCGCGATTCGACGTCGAGGCTGCTGGTGGCGGTCGAGGCGACTATCATTGTGTGGGAGCCCCGGTGGTACGCGATGGAAGATATGCCGCCCTGGATCTCCTCGCTCTGCAGTGCAGATAACCGTGGGGCTCGCATCCTCGCCGAGTCAGACCCAAAGTTGATCCTCTCGTCCTTGTCGGTGGGGATGTAAGAGCTCTCGAGCTGTCGGCCACCGACCGCGGCGTAGGCCATGCCCAGACCAGCTGCCTCATCGCCTCCCTCGACGAGCAGACACGAGATGCTGGGGGGATCCGGCTGTCGCTCCCGACCGGGCAAGAAGGACACCTCGCCCTTCTGGCGCAGGCCGGCAGCCCAGCTCTCGACGGGTGTTTCGTAATCGACGACGCCGAACTCGCGCCGAAGCCTCCCTCCGACCAAGGGATGGGCGAGGACGGCAGACGGCTTGATGCAGCCCTTCAGCTTGTCCTGGCGCTTGCGCTTCTGCTGGGCCTGTGCCTTCTCAGCCTTGCGCTTCTTGACGTTGCCAGCGGCCCATGCTGCGTTGGCTGGCGCAGTGGGGTGTGACTCGATCTTGAAGTAACGCTTCTTATCCTCGTCTGTTGCCGGATGTTAGTGGGGTGTGGTGATGATGGCGGACAGCGAGTGTGGGAGACTAGGCAGGGAGACTAGGCAGGGAGGCCGACCATAGTAGAAACCTGGGATCTCGCGCGGCAGCCTGGGCGCGAGATTCGAGAGAAACGTCATCTCAAAGACGACCCGGCACTCAGGGTCTTGCTGTGGGGGCCACGAGAAGGGGTCGGATGTCTGTCTGGCACTCAGCCCTTGGTGTTGCTGCCTAAGTTCATCGGTGCTCAATTCCTCTCGACTACTGGAAGGCGCGCTCTCAAGTCCCGTGTTAGCTCGTCTCTGGTTGAAAACTGCAACTGCAACTGCAATCTAGTGCTCTCGTCGAGACGCAATCTCGACCAGCATTGAATTCACCATCTTCCATGGTTGAATTGCTGGGATGCAGATGCAGACAGACCTCAGTTGCAGAAATCCGCTGCGAGGTCACGGCCATTCCATTTTGGTCACGTGCCACGAGCAACTCGCCATCTGAACGCCAAAGTCTAAAGCCCAATGCATGTCTTCACCAAGGCATGGAGAAGAATATCAATCACCGTCTTGTGCGAGGCTAGCTACGACGATAGCCCCGCCTGATTCCCTCCAGGCGGATTACAAATGGAATGGCTGATTGGTAGGACTGGCTTGCAAGCACAGCAGCATGTCAACATTGAATTGATCCTCAACCAACTCTCACCACAAAGACTATCGCACGTACTTTTACCACACCTTTGAAAGAAGACAACATGTCATATCGGAGTTCCTGGGGAGTCCTATAGCAGTTTAACACTTCATCCCATTTGAGCGAGAGACACCGTGACCGCGACGCGTACGCCCTAGCAGGGTATGACACCGTGTAGAGGGGCACCATGCAAGCACCCAAGCACCCACGCAGCATGAGTACAATTTAGACCGATCAGGCAGGGCTCCAGCTCCGGTTCCGAGCCCATCAGCCCCCTTTCCGGTGCGCAAACCCAATCTCCACCGGGCACGGGGGCACGGGGCACCGGGGCACCGCCCTCGATGGCTCAGTCTCACCGATCTGACCGACTCGACACAAACACGGGTTCTGACGGGGCCAGGGCAGGAAAAGAAACGGGACGCGGTTCCTGACCGTCCTTCTAGAAGCCTGCCTGGTAGCCTATGTGGTACTGGGCCCCCCCCTGGGGCCTTATCCGGGTGGGCTTCTGCTGCACATGCAGATGCAGCCCACTACGGGGCCCCGGGACCGCACAGTAGCTACTACGTTGCCGTTGCCGTGTGTGTTAGCAAGTTAGGCCCGGCGGGCGGGCGGTCGAGGAGCCAGGTGGGCTCCACCACGCTGCATGCATGCGGACGCATCTCGGGCCATTGCCGTGGGCGATGGATGAGGCATTTTGGGTCCCCCTCGGTCAGTTCGGTTGGGGTCTCCCCTGTGCTGCCCCGGCCGAGTGCCAATTCCCTCACAGTCCTGGGGACAGTGTGCGGCGCTATCCCGCAATGTGTCGGGTGTTCCTGGCTCTGTCCCTCGCGTATCCGTACAGTACCGAGTGTAGACAGTAGGACGGCAGGACGGCCACGACGACCGCGGCGACGAGGGTGGCTTGGCTCGGTGGGAAGAAAGACTGTGCCCGATTCATGTGAGGAGGGTCCCCACCCTGTCGTGCCTGCTGATTGATGTTGCTGCCCTGCAGATGCAGCCACTTTAGCCAGCCCACGCCAGGTACCATCATCATAGTAGTACGACCAGGCGAGCAAGGCTGTCGCGAGCATAATGGCGAGCAGTGATGGTGGTGGCGTGTGGTGTCATGGAGACTGAGCCCCTCCATTGCTGGATTCTGGAGCTTAGTCTACTGCCCCTCCACACCACCCCCATAAGACTTTTCTACCTGACCTGGCCCGACCCCTCTACACCACCTTCGGCTACTCCGTCAAGCATACTTACATTGCCTACTCTGGACAACCAACAAGGCAGACAACGCACAAACCACCAACCGAACCCAAACCAAGACCAGCCCACCCACCCGATAAGCAATTACTACCGACAACATGGTCTACGTAATCACCGTCCACCTGCACGCCAACGACCACCCGGACAGCGTCGACAAGATCAAGGCCAAGCTGATCGAGGCCTCGCGCGTCTACTCAAAGGACAAGGAGACCCTCAGCTGGTTCGTCTCCCAGTCTACCTCGGACCCCAGGGACTTCACCATCGTCGAGCGCTACGAGAAGGAGAGCGTAAGTACAAGAAAGCAAAAAAGAAAAGGGCCAATATACATACATATCCTCCGCCCGAGAGCTCAAGGAAACACAACACACACAGAGTTCAGGTAATTGACAAACATGTTCTTACTCAACCGCCCTACAGAGCCAGAAGTATCACCTCGAGAACCCGTACTGGAAGACCTTCGACCCCTACGTCATCCCTCTCCTCGACAGGCCCATGGACCTCCGCCGCAGCGAGGAGCTCGACACCAGCAAGGACGTGGTCGTGCCGGCCTAGATAGATCCCACCTACACACCTAGATACTCAAACAAATATGAACTGAACCCGTGACACAATTGAACACTTGGAGTGCCAGTACATTAACAGCACATGTTGTACACTGTAACTGCCAAAGCATATGGCATATGTAAACTACTGTAGACCTTGCTACGCTTATTCAATGAAGACGTTGTGGCCGCATTCAGCACCCCCAAGGGCCAGCATCAAAACACGTGACCCGCCGCCAACCGGCCCCAAGCCAGGTCTGAAACACGACCGCGTTTCCAACACTGAGCCTCATATCTGTCGTCAACACTTGCAAAACTGGTGGTCCATGTGGTTTATGGGCATTAACTGATTTGTATTAAGTTCCTCTAATGAACAGACGGGCTTCCAGCTCCATGTCTTTAATGCACATGCTAATTAACTAAAACTGAAGGCCTTTGGCCGCATGTTTGCAGACAATGAAAGGTCGGCCTCGGGTATATCTTATCCATACTCGACCCTCTCCTACTGGGTCTTCTCGTGTTGCGTAGACACACGTTGGAGAGAAACAACTGCAGGCCCATGTTAGCATCGTGTTCGCGGCGGTTTGGAATACTAGTGAGTGGTGACTTACCGAAATCCTCGAGGGATCGCTGCTTCTGGTTGCCCTTGGGCGACTTGCCGTGCATGAGGTTGTCGAACCCAACGCTGTCCTGGAGGAGGTAGTAGACACCACCCATGACACAGAAGATACCGAAGGAGTAGATCCAGATACGGACGACAGCAACGATGGAGGTCTGGTCACCACCAACGAACCATCCGAAGATACAGAAGAGGGAGGCAATGATGTCGACAACGACGATAGCGCCGCTGAGTTGCCACGAAGGAATGGAAGACCAGAAAGGACCGTTGGCACGGGTGATGAAGATCAGCCAGTTCTCGGTCAGGGAGATCTCAAGGAAGACAACCTCGTCCAGGTTACCGAAGTTCTGGACGATACCGCCGTCGACACCGCCAGCGTACATGGTGGTGACAGTGATCCAGGTACCGACAGCCAGGACGACACCGAGCAGGACGGACATTCCCCAGAGCTTGGGCAGGTTCCACTTGACGGGCGTCCTGCTGAAAGGAGCGTTGTCGTAGGCGATAGCAAGGGTGGCGATGTCAGCAAAGATAGCGATGAAGACAACGAGCTCAATGTTCAGGGACCGGTTGAGGATGGCGATCCAGAGACCGAGGTAGATCTCGAGGTGGATGGACAGAGCGATACGGTAGACGACGTAGGCGTACATGCGGTGGAAAATCTGGCGGGAAGTCTTGAGGGCGTCGATGATGGCACCGAGACCAGGGGCAAGGAAGACAATGTCGGCAGCGGAGCGGGCGGCGTCGGAGGCACCCTCGACAGCAATACCGGTGTCGGCCTTCTTCAGCGAGGGAGCGTCGTTGACACCGTCACCAGTCATGGCAACGAGGTAGCCACGCTGCTGCAGGATCTCGACGACGTTGTACTTGTGCTGGGGGAAAACCTCAGCGAAACCATCAGCAGCCTCGACGAAGTCGTAAACCTCGGAACCGGGCATGTCACCGCCACCGCCGAGACCGAGACGCTCAGCGTTGTAGACGTTGGTACCAAGACCGAGCTGGCGGGAAGTCTCACGAGCGATACCGACGGCGTCACCAGTCAACATCTTGATGGACAGACCCAGAGTCTTGGCCTCGTTGATGGTCTTAGCAGTGTCGTGACGAGGGGGGTCAGAGCAAGGCATGATACCGAGGATCTCCCAGGAGCCCTCGCCACGCTTGCGGGCGACACCGAGGGAACGGAAACCACGGGTGGCGAACTCAGCAACCTTGTTCTTGTAGGCCTGGTCGACCTCCTCGGGGATGGGGTGGTCCTCCTCGACAGTCTTGAGAACAAAGAGAGGGGCACCCTTGACACAGGTGATGCGCTCACCCTGGGGAGACTCGACGATGGCAGTGACCTTCTTGGAGACAGGGTCGAAGGGGAAGAAGTTGATGACCTTGTACTTGGAGAGGACGGACTTGGCGCGGGGGTAGTACTTGAGGGACTTCAGGAAAGCCTTGTCGATGGCGTCAATACCCTTCTTCTTGCGGGAAGCAGCCAGGCAAGCAGTGAGCATGAGGTCCTCGGGGTCAACACCAGCGACACAGTAGGGCTCGGCCAGAGACAGCTTGTTCTTGGTCAGGGTACCGGTCTTGTCAGAGCAGAGAATCTCGACACCAGCCAGGGACTCAATGGCGGACAGCTTCTGGACAATGGCCTTCTTCTTGGCGAGGTAAGCAGCACCGACGGCCATGGTGGTGGTGACGACGGCGGGGAGACCGACGGGGACACCAATGATGGTAATGGCCAGGGTGAAACGCAGGATGTCGACAATGGGGTTGGAGCGGTAGAAGCTGGAAACCCAGACAACAAGCAGGGTGAAGACGACGAGAATCAGCAGCACCGTTCCGATACCGTTGAGCACCTCAGTGAAGTGACCAGATCCGGCGTTGGCGGCGTTGACGAGGGCGGCGGCACGACCGACGAAGGTGTTGTCACCAGTGGCGGTAACAATGACGAAGGCCTCGCCACGCTTGACGGAGGAGGAAGCGAAGCACTGGTCGCCCTTGTGCTTGTCGACAGCGAGAGATTCACCAGTGATGGCAGACTGGTCGACCTGCAGGAAGGCATCCTCGGTGACGATACGACCATCGGCGGGGATGATAGTACCCTCTTCGACCTGGAGAATGTCACCGGGGACAACCTCGGGGGCCTCGAGCTCCTTCAGGGTGCCGTCACGGAGGACAACAGCCTTGAGGGCGAGGGTCTTCTTGAGCTCGTCGACGATAGAACCGGCCTGGAATTCCTGGATGAAACCGACACAGGCGTTGAGCAGGAGCAGAGCGCAGATGACACCGAAATCGACCCAGTCCTCAAGACCGGCAGCCAGGACGGCGGCAGCCTCCATGACGAACTGGATAGGACCGACAAAGTACATGAAGAACTTGAGGATCATGTTCTCCTTCTCCTCCTTCATCTGGTTGAGACCATACTTCTTGCGGCGAGACACGACCTCGGCTTCGGTCAGACCAGTGCGGGTGTCCTGCGGGGGAGGGGCGGTTAGCTTGCTGATGGCGAGATTAAGGTTGCGGAGGTGGGTATTGGGTGGTTGGCTTACAGTTTGCAGGAGCTCCTCAGGAATGAGACGGCCACCGTGCTCGTCACGCTCCTCCTCCTCGTCTTCTCCACCGTGACCATCCTGGGACTCGAGGTCCTCGATCAGGGCGTCGATGTCCTCATCTTCGTCCTCGTCGTCCTCGACCTTGGGCTGCTTGGGAGGGGTGTTCTCGGCTGGGGCGGCGTGCTTCTCGTCGAAGTTGCCGGACTCAATCTGCGTGTTCAACGCAGGAGAGTTGGCGTGGTCGGCCATGGCGAAAAGTCGACTCTCGTCACACCAATTGAATGGGGATTAAGTCACAATAAGTTGCTGGGTAAGGGTAGTGGAAAGGAATTGCGAGATATACTCGTGTCGTCGTCGAAGGTCTTCGATTGGAGACCGGGGGTGTCGATCAGGACAGGAAAAAACAAAGGGTGGTAGTAATGTTGTTTTTTTCCGTTGCTGACCTAAGTTGTGCTCGGAAGCTCCGTCGCGGTGTTGACAGCGCGAAGGAGATTGAGAAAGTCGCACGACAGAGGGTGAGGGTGAATGGGGGGAGGGAGAAGCACCGTGAAGGTCGCACCTTTTCAGGTAAACTAGGTTCGACGCCTTCAAGTGGTGTTAAGGAGGGAAGGAGAGGGAAAGAGAGAGGGATCGAGTCGGGGAAGAGGCAGTCTTTATTAGCTTTGCGCTCCTGCCCTCGAAGGTGCGAGCGAGGCCCAGGTAAGGTGCGGTACGTGGTAGTATGTACCAGGGGAGGAGGAGGAAGCGGGAGTGGATTCCCTGGGTGAAGGCAGGTATTGTGGGTGGTACCCTGGCGTGCGCTCGCCTACACAGTAGCGCAGGGTGGACGGCCGGCACTAGGACGCTGGTACCCAGGTACCGTCGCATGCATGTGTGTTGCTGGTGCCCTCTGGCTCTGCTTCTTGCAGGCTATCTAGGTATCTGGGTACTGTGCAGCATGTGCGGTGGGCTGGCTGGGCTGGCTGGGCTGGCGGGCAGGGAAAAAAACAAACCGCGCAAATCTGAACTGTGTGCACCCTGCAGTGTTGACACTACTCCGTAGGCTGGACCGCCCGGGTCACCACGGTCGGCTATCTCCAGCGATGCGCGAAAATCAGAGCAAGCACCAGAGCTTCCCTTCTCTCTCGGCTTATTCCCACCGCAAGCTCGACCCCCGGCGTGGGCTAGCGCATGGGGCGCCCCTGCTCGTCGCGACCTAGTCCCTGCTCCACGCTCCTCTGGACCGTCCCATACCGTGCGAGTAGGCAGGGCCGGCCAGACAGAACACAACAGAACAAAATGTGGTTCCCCACCCCACCCCAGCCGGCCAGGCCAATCACGCGGCCGTCTGGGGGAGCTTTGGCCAATGACGAGTCGGACGCAGCTCCCAATCCAAGTACATCCGAATCAGACAGGGCGAGGTATCCCGGCCCCGCAGCCGGAACCTGCTCGACCCCTGCCCGTCACCAAGGCTGGGGCCATTCTGCACAGGGCCGCCCCCAGACGAGCCAATCTCGCTCCCAGCCCGGAGCTGGCCAGGTACATGGCAAGCTGCCCCATCTCAGGTACCCCGACCGGTTCCTGTCCATGTGGTTGCTGCTCCCTACCAGCCTACACACTACACTTCTGTCATGGCCCATTGCCCCCAATTCCCAATTCCCCAATCCCATTCCAGCCCAGCCCAGCCCAGGTCCAGTCTGGTCTCTTTTTTTTTCCCGCTGCTATCTCTGGACCGCCTCGACTGCTCGATGGATGGATTGATGAGGGATTTTTTTTCTCTCTCGCTCGCTTCTCGTACTCCCGCCTGCCGTCCCCTCCCTACCTACGCAGGTACCTGCCTAACTACCTTGCACCTTGCGGCTACAGTACGTGGGTACTCCCGTACATGTCCGTACCTCGTGCGCTGCTGCGTGGCCTCGCCCTCGGCATCATTTCGCGAGATGACGACACACAGGGAACCTGCGGGTAAGAAAACAACTCGCCCAGACTGCCAGACTGGCGGTCAATTGCCATTGTCAATCCAATTAATCCCGGATCGGACGAGGTGAGGCTATTTCCACCCATCTAGGCCATCTTTTGCATTGCGGTGACACCAATTGGTCTCTCGTGCCCGGCCCATCCCTTACCCGGTTGCCCAACCTTGTCTGTTTGTTTGTGCCTTGTGACCCCCGGCCTCTTGGCTGTTGTGCCTGTGTAGATGTGGCGTACCACTTCGATATGGTTTCGCCTTGAGTCGGCAGCACGACTGCTGACACTGGCACTGACCACTGACTGACACTCGACCTTTTCAGGCTGTCACGACCGTAGCCTCGGTCGTGTTATGGCATGGGGACTCGCCCGCCGGCCAAGCAAGATTCAACCCCACGCAGGACGCAGCATCAACATTATTAGGAACCGTGCTCACGATTAAGAGTCAATATCGACATTTAGTCTTTCCTCCGAAGTCTGGAGGCGAGATGAGCCAGCCAGCCACGGGCCATGAAGCCCCATCGCCAAGGCACCCGGGACACTGTGACCGTACATGCGGACACCGTAGTGTGAAGTCATCAGTCATCACAGACCTTCCCGCCGGTGCTAATGGCTCATGCTGGCTCATGCTGGCGGCCAGTGGCCGTTGTGAGTTGATGGTCCGCAGCGCCGGCACAGTCGCCAACATACTATGCAGCCCGGGGAAACCAGGCTGCCAGGGAACCAAGACCAACCGCTCGCCCAGTCAGCCCGGTTTATTCCCCAGACACGCCGACAGGACCCTCACTCCCCTTCTCCAGGTTTGGGGTTCTCCAACCTTTGCCACCTCGGCGACAGCGATGGCAGACCTGGGTGGGCATGCAAGCATGTAATAAGGGTCCGTACAGACGTATGAGGCATGCGCAACCACATACAGTCTGCCAGTACAGGGCAGGACTGTATCATACGGTCCGAGTCCCCAGACCATCGGGCCCTACTCTAGGCCATGCACCTAGCAATGCACCAAGATCAAGCCGCCCGCAACCCATGGCGGTCTGCCTGGTCTGCCTATCAGCCTGCCGGATCAATGTGACCGAGAAGTCCAAATGCAGGTGCTTGGTCCTACGGGGGAAAGGCTGATTGAATAGGTCACCAAGCTTTTTTTCCGCCGTTGTTCACCTCGACGAGCGAACAGGCTGGGGTTGCCCTTGCAGCCTTACTGTCCAGTTCGGCTTTTGTCTCGGGCATGGAGCTCACCACAAGGATGCTCGTAGCTCCCGCGCCCTTGGTCCTTATCGTGTACAGCACTGGTCGGACCTTGACCTTGTTGTTGATGTCGAATTTTTTTTTTCTCTCTCCTCACCCGCACCCGCAAGTTTCATGTTGTTCCTCCCGTTCATCTCGCCCGGGCGGGCTTTGACACATTGACGGCCATGGGCCAATAGGCGCCATCTCGTTACGACAGGATTCTCGTCACATTGTCAACACACAACATTGATAGCATCCGTGGCATGAGTCGAAAGTGCGAACAACACCGCGGGCCGCACCGTACAGCGGCGGCACAAGTCCGCTTCTCCGCCTGGAGCAGCACCTGAAAGTTGCCAGCGATGGTCTTCTGGAACCCCTGCCGACGTGGGCACTCAGGCAGAGCGTGGGGTGGAAGAAGGGGAAGAGGGCCCTCGAGTCCAGCAGACCCAGCGGCTGGGTCCCAGCCGCATCCCACGTCCCACCTCATTCCCCAGCGATTGACTGTGGGCGTGTGTGGAGCCATTGCTGTTGATCAGGCCTTGGCACTAGGGAGCTGCAGAGCTGCACGACGTCCCGCTAGCTTCGACTGCCTTCTTCCGCTGAGACTACGCCTGTCTCGACCAGCTGCAGCCGCCAAAAACGGCCAGGGAAAACCTTCTTCGCCTGTAGGCCTGCATGCGCGATTTGACGAGCCAATGCCACCGCCGGTCGCCTTCCTGTAGGTCCCGAGGATCGAGTCGCGTGTGTCATTCCATGCACGTTGATGCTGCTCATGCAGCCGAATGACTGCGACAGAGTCAGCACCACCGAAAAGCTGGTGTGGAAGTGCCGACGATCCATGCCTCTTCGTCTGGGCTCAATACGTCATTGGCTCCGCCGATAGGCAGGGTGTCCATTGGATCCTGTCCTGCGGGCTGGCTGGCTGGCTGGCTGACAGGAGGGAAGCCGCCCGTGAGCCTCTCCCAGCCTCGGGATCGAGAATCCTAAACTCGCTTACACGGTATTGCTGCACACGCCCACCGCAGTGTAGCCTGCCATGGTTTGGGCACGCGGTGCCGATCGAGCCGGGCAGCGCGGTGTGTCTGGGGAACGTTGTCGGGGGTCCTAGCGCGAGAGGTTAACGTCCGCCTGGCCTGCTGGCGTCCCGTCGCAGTGAACTGCTTCCGGGATGTGCGCTGAAGCGACCAGCTAACTGTACATACGCCACACTCCGGGCCATTGTGCAGTACTGTGTAGAGCGAGGGTCGCGAATTGTCGCTCACCGATTTGGCATTCCCGCTATCGGAACTGGTCGGCGTCGGCATCACCGTGCTTTCACCACCTCTCGCCACGTCGTGAGGATCTAGCGGCGAGAATTAACGCTACTGGCCCATGCTGACTCTATACTCTCATGCGTCGGCCTCGTCTTCCCCACGATTGCCGCGTCTGAGGAAGAGGGGATCTCAAAATTGGCATCGATCACAAGCAGATTGCCAGCACAGCACATGGCGTTTCAGACAGGGTGCCCTGTCGCGGTCCCAGCCTAAAACAAACAACCTTCAATTGGACCCTCACGTAACAAGCAATCCCCTCACGTCCATCACCATAATGGACGCGAGGCAGTTTGCCTTGAGCCTTAGTCAATAGCCTACACAGTACGAAGGCATTGCGCATGATGTCAAACTCGGGATATTTGATAATTAAAAGTGCCGCCGACTTGGCTGTGATCCAGACCCTTACTTTGGAAATCACAGGCGTGGTATCTAACATTAACGAATTACCACTTCCCGTCACATTCAATGCACCACCAAGATCAGCAGCGCCTGCTACTCACAACGTGCACAGCGACAGGGTCGCTTTCAAACCTTCAACGGCCCGAGCGTCCACAGGGAAAGCCTTTTGTCCTCTCTCCATGTCACCCTCACCGTCTGTCGTCCGTGTGTCTGCCTGTCTTTCTCTTTCGCATGATCGCCATTTAACCTTAGCCGTGCAAGCAGAAAGATAGGACACTGGCCGTTGCTAGCGCCCATCTAAGCTGCTAATAGAGGCACAGGTGGCCTAACAGGGCTCACCGACGGGAATTCCTTGTGCCAGCGTGGTCGCGTGGGCACTGGCACAACGGCGGCGCCCCAGCCAAAACATCCGAGGATTCTCCATAGGCAGGTCGGTCTGCTGTCTCGCGCACCTACCAACCCAGCGGCTACATGTCCTGCCGCTCCCGGATGAACGCCTGGCCTTTCACAAATCGCAGCACACTTGGTGCCCGCTGCCTCACAGACCAACACCGTCAGCGGTGCCGACGCTCCTACATACCCGCACGCCTGGCAATAGGTGCCAAAGGCGCCAAAGGCACCGCAAAAGGGCCGTTTCCAGGGTCCCGTCCTGCCTCCTGAGTCCTGGACGATCCCCGTCAATCAGTAAAGGCGACGGAGGAACGAGTGGGCACTGGAATATATGGGTCGCGTCGGTGCTATCGGTTCGAGCGACCTGTGCTAGGCCGTTCTGGGCCAGTGCACCCTGCCGTGCCATCGCTTGGGGTTCTGCGGCACCGACGGCACTCGACGTCGCAGCGACCGCGAGATTCTCCGCCTGGCAGCCTGGGCAGCAAACTGGCAAGCTGGCAGGCTGGCTTGCGCCGGGCCAACAGGCACCGCAGCCTGCCTTTTCGCATCAGCAGCCGCACT